ACTACCTAATTGTCGGGAAGTAACTTGATCGATGCATTGCCGGCGAGTATCTGGCTCGATACTCATGGACTTCCACGACAGAGAGCTATCATATTGGCGCGCAGCTCCTGTTGTCGGCGGATGCCCCTCGGGTTGATGCAGCTTTTGGCCCCAGAGTCCACTGATTCGTACGAACAGTGAACCCATGCCATGACGGACATGAAGCATGAGCATGAAGCAGGAACGTACTTGAGCTGCCAGGGCCGCGTCGTCTGTGAGCCTGTCATTGCCTGTCGAATTTCGGGAGATAAATGCAGTGGACAATCCGCGCCACGGTGACCACATATTCTTTGTTCTGTATGCATCTCGCTGCACGACTGTGGCATTTTTTATGTATCCACACCGCCAAGCTCAGAGGCTTTGAGAGCCGCGAAGTTTCGGTAAAGCTGGTCCATTCAGAAGATCAAAGACTGACCCCTCCATTCAGACATCATTTGGATAATCCAGCCGCCACTTTGCCAACACTTTCGGCTATTCAGAAGGTCACATTGCTCCAGCACGAACTCCTGGCTAATGTCGCAACGTGATTTTTTTGAGTAAGGAAATCGATTTAACCATCGGCGCCCTGCCGAGAAGTTTGGGATTTGGCCGGTTCTGTTCATATAATCAACCTATCAATATGATTCCCGGCATTCCATCGCGACTTCACTCCGTCTCGGGTGGACGGATGACTCTCTCCACAAGCACCAAATATGCCAATGGTCGACGCTCTCTATTGTGGGGGGCAAAATCAGAGATGGTTTCACTGATACCGTCAAGTATTACTTAAATGGTTCACGTTGTCGCATTGTATCGTTGATTGAGAGTATCTGTGCTATTTTCTTGCATTCTCCTTTCGTTCCTTCCAAAGGGATTTACTGCGAAGCAAGCTGAGTGATCCCAAAAGCCGGAAGTATGCAGCTGTCCAAATTCTTTCTTGCCTTCGGCTTATCCACTGCCATTTTTGCGCAGTCCAAAATCAAGATCAGTCAGTCCAAGGTCCTCAAATGTCAAAGTTGACAGCAACTTGCTAAGAATTGTCAAGTGCCTCTGGGCGATTCTATCACGGAGATAACGTGCTGGAGAGTCCTTGTCTGGGACCAGATTGTGAAAGAGAACCTTGCCGACAAGGTGCAGTTTGTAGGCTCCATGACCAATAACCCCCAAAACTGCCGAGCGCAGTCGGGCTCTTTTGATCTCCATCATGAGGGCCACTCGGGTTGGCTCTCAATCAACATAGCCAACCAGTACCTCCAGGGGTGGCTGGCAAGCACTAAGCCTGATATTGTGCAGTTCATGCTTGGCACCAACAATGTGGCGCAAGGGCGAACGACCAACGATATTATCGCTTCGTACACAAAGATGACGGGGTTGATGAGAGCGTCCAACCCGCGGATGAAGATCCTGGTTTGAACTCCTGCAACCTCTTCCGAAACGACCCTGCGGCTGTGGATATTAATCTACCTTGCAGGTTGATCGCTTGATCCCGCTGTCCTTCAATGGTGGAGGAATCGACACCCTCAACCAGCGCATTCCGGGGTGGGCCATAGGACAGAACTCGACCAACTCTCCAATCACAGTTGCAGACTGTTCGAGTTCTGCTGGGTTCACGACCTCAATGTTGCGAGATGGTGTACACCCCAACGAGCAGGGAGACCAGGTCATAGCCCAACAGGTTGGTCCGTTGCTGATCAAATACGTCAAGGATCTCATTGCCGAACGCGGACTATGAGACTATCAGATGAAGAGACTGACTGAGGGTTACTTCGGGTTTGAGACAACACCTGCAGAGATCTATGTTGAGTTAGGGTCCGCTCTATGTAGGGGAGTTTGCAGTTGAAAAGTCACAACAAGCACTTGCTTTAGACAGGTGAAGTTGCCATCGGCCAGAAAAGACTTCGCATCGGCAGTGGATATTATCGATTGAACATCTATGAAGGTCGCCCCCATGAAGACCCCCCACGTGATACTCGCCCACGTCGGAGTCGCCCACAGACAGGTCGGCAAGATGCCCAATTGGAGATGAATATAATTCGTATAACGATCCGAAGTTCTAAATGTCAAGGAAGTTTTGGTTCACTTTGCCCCTGGGTCAGCCTTGGAAGGCCGCCATGATGACTGAGCGCCGAGAGCCAAGACCGAAAATCGAGTGAGCTTGCGAACTGAGGTCGCCTGCATAAAGAGACAGCATCAGGTCTAGCTATTGTTATCAGATCAACGAATACAGATGGAATATCCCGAGGAAAAGATTGTTCGTCTTGTTGATGAACAAGAACACATTACCTATCTGCGAAAGTGAGGGATGGACCAGGCCTTTTGCTCATCCCATCGGGCATTTCGCAATCTCCCCGAGCCAAAGGACGCGGGAACTTAGTTTCGTTCTCGCGTTTGGCATTTACATTCAAGCACGGACGAACTTGAGGGACCTCCGGCTACCAGAGTCTAACAATTTTTCGACCCCGAGACGTCTGACATCTGGCTCCCGCTCACCAGCACCAGTCTGTGCTCGGCATGATTCCTCCGCTGCAGATAGCCTTCCGTAAATAATGAACTCACGGACGGACAAGGCAAGATATGCGCAAAGTCTGTCGGCCGAAACGGGGGTTTCTTTACCGAATGAGAATGATGAATAGTTTTTAAAGTGTTCGCTTGGTCAAACCCCATCGGTATTGCGTATGGGCACGTCCCGCTGCTCCTCTAGACCTCGAGGATTCGCTCCTTCTACATCTTCCTGCTGCATATATTCCCTCCGCAAGTTACTTGCAGATCATCGGCACGACAATGTCAGACCCTCTTGAGCTGGAGCAAGATCGCCCGAAACGAAACTCCAGAATGATCGAGAAGTTCGACGATGAGATCAAGGTCGCGGATGTGGGTGTGGTTGAGCAGCCAGTTATCTCGAGGACCGATTCGGTCCAGAGCGAGTCATATGGATCGTCTGCCGGGGCCAAGACCTTCGACAAGAAGCTACTGTACAAACTGGACATGCGTCTCATGATCGCAATGTTTTTCCTTAACTTCCTGTCATTGATGGGCCGGACAAATATTGGAGCGGCCCTGATCCGCCAACTCCCGCAGGACCTCCATCTTGACGCGATGAAGGTGTTCATCGTCCTCACGATGCCAGCAGCGCCGCTGATCCTCTTTGAAGTGCCAAGTAACCTACTGATGCGCTTTCTGAATCGCAAGTTCAACTTCCCATACTTGTGGTACATGTGCGTCCTTGATGTCTTACTGGGTGAGTCTGTGTCTTTCATTCAGTCGGGTGGGAATGGAAAGCAGTATCTACTTACTTAGGAAGCTTTTACTTTTGTGACGTGGTTGGCACGTTTGGATGCACATGCTGATGAAAAGTACAGGTATCATCACAATAGCCCAAGGCTTCGTCAAGACGTTCGATCAGATGATTGCCACGCGATTCTTCGTTGGTGTCTTTGACGCAGGTCTTATTCCTGGCTGCGTATTTCTCTGTTCACTGTACTACCCTCCGAGACATCTCCAATGGAGACTGGGCCTAATCACCGTCGCCAATATCTGCTCAAGCATCGCCGGGAACTTTCTCGCATACGCAATCGCCAACATTCAGACTGCTGAAAACTTCAAAGGATGGAGATGGTACGAGTTTAGCCACTGGTTGACGTTACCGAAATGGCTCTAACATTTACAGGATCTTTATCATTGAAGGTATATTTACGGTGGCAGCATCTCTCGCCTGCCTGCCTGCCAATATTGGACCTCCTGAGAAGGCCAAGTTCCTGACGGAAGAAGAGAAAAGAATCATCAAGAACTCGGTTGAAATTCGCAACACAGAGATTGGCATTGTCGCCGAGTGGAAAATGTTCTTCACAAACCCCCTGAACTACTGCTGGGCTGCCCTCTACTGCTTTACGACGACAACCGCTTACTCGGTCTCCATATTCTCTCCATCATTCGTCAAATCATTCCACCCGGAGCTCAGCGCTGCAGATGTACAGGCGCAAATTGTCCCCATCTTCGTAGTTGCTGCCGTGGCATGTTTGACGACTGCATACGCCGCCGACCGTCTCAACCACCGCGCAGCTTTCGGACTTGGCGGCTTTATTTTCACAATCATTGGCTACGCTATCTTGAGGCAGGACGAACACGAAAGCACGAATGTCACAATGATGGCGCTGTACTTCATCGCCTTCGGCACATTCATCACACTTCCTATGATATGGATCCTAACCATGCAAAACTTGCAGACGCCCTTCCAACGAGCCATCGGAAGCGGCTTTGTAGTCGGAGTTGGCAATACATCAGGCTACATCTCAGCCTGGATCTTCAAGACAAGTGACGGCCCATATTACAAGAATGGGATGACAATCAGCATGATCTTAGTTATCACCGCATTCGCCATTCTATCTGTTACTTGGATTTACATAGAGATGCATAATAGAAGGCTTGACAGGGAGGAGAGACTGCATCCGTCTGCGACAGCTGGAACCAAGAGACTTACTGGGCGGAGCTTTCGGTACAAGGCTTAGCTTATTGACGCTACATCACAATGATGAGGTTTCCCAGGCTTTCACGATTTGACCTTAAATCCTGAAGCTATTGAGCCTGTTTGATACTCAATATGTGAATCTTACCACCAGTATCTTCATGACACTTACTTCCCTCTATTTCGACCTTTAACAATTATCCCATTCCTGCGCGCGGGGACCCGTGGTGACCGCCTCGGTGTTACCTGCCACCGCTTGATGCAGCTAGATAACCTCATTTTCGTGATATCGATACGAGCCCATTGCGAATCAGCCACAGCCAACCACGTACAGCTTCTTCGCAGGCCTCAATATTGTGCGACATTCGGGTTACTAAGTCCACTTGACCTCGAAGCGGGAGCCCGGTTATAATAATAAGTGATATAGTCCATGTTTCCGTTCCCTCGTCTCATTGTACTACAGGTAATCGTACGATGTTCAAATTGCTTATTTTCCGGCTTCTGAATACCTAAGAAAGACATGGCAGTCACATCCACACTTTATATGCCATTGGTCGAAACCCATTTCTACTTCGCGGGTGGTCAACAGCTTTTCACCGTTTACACTTTGCAGCCACAAACGACACCCTTCACGCCAAAAGACGCTTCCTGTTCCATACTGCCTCGAGCCATACGGTGCGCAGAGGCCAAGAGTGAAGACATTACTTCGGGGTTCACTTGCTATGCACTGCAGTTCGTAGGGAAGACAACGACATCGGTTCCAACACAATGCTTTCCGGAGAGTTACATAAACATCTGGAGGCCATTTGCCGACAAATATTTCAGTAGGAGCCCCTTGAGCTTTGCCACATGAAATACCCTAGGCTGAAGATTAGCGTTGGAAAAGTGTACTGACGAATCTCGAACTAAGGTGATGTCCCAAGTTTGGCTTACCCAGGCACTGCATGCATCAGCGGCTGGACAACTGCGTGCTCCACGGATGTTACGGAGACGAGTGGAAACACGCATGCACAGACTTGGTGCTGTCCCTCTGGCTGGACTTGCCTTAGGGCTTTGAATGCCGGCATCCCTCACCGGGAATGCACAAGTCTCCTGAGTACTCCAACTGAAGTCTGGATCAACAACATTGTCACTACAAGAGAAAGTGAGAGCACCATCGCAACATCTTGGACAAAAGTTTTCCTTTCAAACCTCCCCAGCGGGAGCCCAATCATTGTCAATCATCCTGTATTTCCACTTTACGGCAAAATTCCGTCTCGTCAAGTTGAAGGCGCCGACAGAACAGAACTATCTGCAGGAGCAATCGCTGGTATTGTCGTTGGAGTTCTAGTATTGTTCTTGGCTCTTTTCGGTTGTAGTTGGTTCATGTGTTTTAAGAAGAGAAAGCAAAAAAGGGGGGCCCAGCTATGGCAGGGAGAGACTGCCCTTGGGAGGGAAGCTCCATCTCACGGAGGGGAAAGCTATGGCTCAAAAATGGAGCTTCCAGATCATGGCCGAGAGGCCCAAGAGATGCATACGATGAGGCCATCTCCAGTAGAGCTCTCGTCGCAGAGTAGAGCTGCTGAGATCGAGGCAGGGAGTCGCCCTGTTGAATTGGCATCCTAGGCATTGCCACCGGCCGACGAGCAACGAGGGAGAAATGAAGCGAAAGAAAAAGCTGGGTAACTGCTCCAAAGTCACAGTTCATTACCAACGCTACCTTCGTTTGATGGCCGGCGTAGACTCATCATGAAAAAAGGCGGACATATTTGACTCAGTATGTGCATTGTGCAATCTTGTCGGCTGGCCCTACAAGGTTGAAGCGGCTTTGTTGTGATATCACTACAGTTGGCATGCGTCGCTGCAAACCTGTACTTTAAATGAAGGGCGAGGACAAAATCTCAATGTTATCACGCCTATGGGATGTAAGTAGTTGAACAAAGGCATGGTCAAGGTCTTGTGAAACCATTGAAAGCTGGTCGACGGAGAGGACCTTTGTCCAAAGTTGAGCAAACATCACTGCGCTCCACTCCGCGCATTGAGGTATCAACATTGACGATGGGAAAGGGAGCTTCTGTGGCGTATTGCTGAGCTTGACCACATCAAAGGCAGAATTTGAGCCGACATGCCCGGTGACGATCCAAGCGATGTGCTAGTCTGGCTGAATTACTTGGCATATGACGAAAAGCAAAGTAGAGACTCAAAACACAAAGTGGATATTAAAGAAATAAAGCTGGCGAAAAAAAGGAGAAGCTGTTCAACATCAGCAAAAAGGAAACGAAGCTATTGCGACGCTGTTATCGAGAGCCTGTTTGTCACAACTTGCAGTACTTCAGTCCAGCTTCCAGCCATCACATTGAAGCCCTGTGCAGGTTTCCTAACGTGGTGTATTGAATGTTTTAGCCGAAAGTCGCAATCAACTTCCAACCTTGCTTCACAAGTTTGGAGTCAGCACGTCGTGAATATCTACCAGAAAAAGATATCGGTGCCCGAAGTTCGAGATAATTATAGTAGCGGAACGGTCTGGTGTAACATGGCATTTGTTTCGACTAAGGTAGGCGAACTTCAAGCCACCGTGCTTCGCAATATGACTGACAGCGTTTGCTAGCATCGGGAAATGAACAAACAAAACAGTTTGCTTGCCTCTTACGATATCCCGCAGATTCATTAGTGAAGTAGTGACACCTGAGAGGTCGAGATACTTGGGCACCTTCATAGCTTATGTTACATTGGTTGGTTGAGTTAGCCGCGCGGACTGGCACCAGTTGCATGACCTTGACTTTTCGGATCCTGCTTGTCAGTGCAACTTTCCACTTTTTCTCTCTACCCCTATCCTGACATCTTGGGCAACTTGACGCAAAGAAGCTTCACTATGGCTGTAGAGAGAGCAATTCTATTCCTCGAGGGACCATGAACCCTAAATACGTGTAGCGGAGCCCAAGAGGATCAGATTCATAATCTTCTTATGCTTGACAACGAGAACATGATTGATGATGCAGAAAATTTTGTGTAGATGCCAGTTATGAGATCAATTCTCAGTGCTGTACAGTCTGCTGATTGTTTTGTGGTTTGCTGAACTTCTCTTGGCTACAGAATACGAGACCATCTCGCCTTGGTGATCAACCGACTAGCTTTACCTTTTCGAGAAGCCTGGTCTCGATGAGGGAGGGATTGGATGCATGCGGTATGTTCGAGCTAATAGGCAATCATGCATGGGTGGGTGTGATTGCGTCTTTCAAGGGCGTCAATCGATACTTGATACGAGTTTTAACAGCCAAGACTTAATCCCCAGCTTCAATGTTTTGGAGAGCTATATCAAGTAGCAGGTATCCTTTCTGTCACATATGATTTTTTGACACCATCACAAGAGTTCACGCCACTAAATTCGACCAGCTTATGTGGATCAACTCCACACTGTATCCAAACCAAGCCATCACGACGACGTTCAACATGCGCGCCAGCCTTCTTTACTTGATTTCATTGACCACCATGGCTATTGCTGTAGGCTTGAACCAAACCCAGTCTTTTGAAGCAATATCTAAGTGATTCAGGCTGTTCTTCCCGGTGATGTCCCAAAGGGCTACGGGCTGTTCATCCCTGAATGGGAGTTTCAGACTCCAGAAGGAGAGAACATCACCATCAAGGGAACAATTCAAGAGGCCTATGCTGCTCTCGGAAGTCTCAATCCCCAGGCAGCCCGGATGAATGGATTCGACCTTGGAGCTACTTCGGATGATGTCCGTAGTGGCGTGGAGAAGCGTGCCACATTTCCCAGGGTTGATTGCCAGACTTTTGAGGAAGGCCAAACCGATGCATATGATGAGACTATCAAATATCTCAGAGGTGTGAAAGGAAAGCCAAAGAACTCTGCTGGTCCGAGAGAATCTGGCCGTGTTAGCTGCTCTTGGCGAAGCGCGACCTTTTGGTGCAATGACGTGAGTTCTGGATCTAGCTTACTCTCTTCTGTGTGATGAAGATAGCAGCATTTTGCTGACGGACTTTAGGATACGAAACCAAAGGAGCTTAGTTCATTTGGTGAAATTGCTGATGGTGTAGCAGCGATCTACAAAGATTGCACTGACACTGACCTATTCTTTTGGTTTTCTTCTGGTGAAGCTTATACCAGTGATGATTGGAGTGTCCAGTATCGGTGGGCCCAGTGCTAAGGTGGTCAACCAGACAATGAAGAGTCCATGGTTTTCCTGCATTGTAAGGAGGCTGGTAAACACATGAATCCGTTCGTTTTTTACTCAGTATGCTGGCCTTATGGACGTTACCGGGGGGGGGGGGGGGGTCGGTGACACGGTCGGAGAACATCTCCATGGGTAGGGGTCGTCAACTCTCACATTTCCTATTTGACCTATCACTTGAGGCCTGCCTGCGATCGCAAACTTTCACTCTTTGCTTTAAGTAGTGTACACGGAACCCTATCACAACTACCAAAGTGGGCATCCCTAAAGTCTACAACACTGAACATTGATCGAAATTTCGTGATGCTAGCACACTGTGAAGCACTCGGTTTGCGCATGTAGCGAAATAGGTGTACTTCGCTATTGGAGGAGCCATAGTCATCAGCGTCCATTTCCTCTGCTTTGGAGTTCCAAGTCAGATACCTTCGCCGAGAGCAATGACACTGTTCCCTTGACATCTGTATGGTCGAGAACCCTTGTAGCCAGACTCGGCCTCTACGTCTCCAACCAATTCAGCAAATACGCATCAATAATCGCACTGCTATGCTTCTTCATCATCATCGGAACTCCCGGCAGGAACGAACAAGTCATCGGAGGAATGCCGCCGTGAAAGGAAGGTTACGATAGTGCAATCTCTTACTGCATGAACATGGCTTGCCTCCTACCCTCGGCCGAATGTCTCGGCTGTTGACCCCTTTTAACTCAATGCTGCCATCTATAAAAGAAAGATGGACTGGTTCTACGCTACTACTACGCAATGGAATTCCATGATTTGGTTAGCGCTGCTGATCCCCTTATTCATGCGCCTGGTAAACGTACGGCTAGAGGCCCGACTGGCACCGCCCCGCGGACGTGGGGCTCATCCGAGCTTTACGGGCTACTCCGTCTCGCCTTCACGATATGGCTTCAATTAATATCTTTGTCGATTCGAGCCACAATTTACCCTGGCTCATCTGTACGCGAAAGCCCTGATTGATAATCAGCTCAAGAACAGCGCAGCGCGTCGTAAGCAGACAACAGGCCATGAAACAGGAGGGGAGGCTAAAGATACATACAAGCGTCATCTGCGAGTACACCTACTCATTGCGATGATTTCTATATAATGTTCTCTTAGGCGCCGTAGGATCTTCCTTAGCCAGGACCTTAGCATCTCTCCAATACTCCTCCCTTACCTACAGCTGGAAATCTCACCATGAAGGTCCATTCTCTCACTCTCGCCACGTTGGCGTCGACAGCATCGCTCGTTTCAGCACTTGCACCTGGTCTCGAAATCGCCTTGACCTTAGAACGCGCCACTCAAGGCATCAGCATCTCAACCGATGGACGCAAGTTCTTGACGCAGAGGTATTCCACGACGGATGCGCCTCAAGCTGTGGAGCTTCTCAGCAACGGCACGACTGTTCTTTACCCTGACGCGACGTGGAACTCCTGGACCTCGAACTCCACCTTGGATCCCAAGAAGGCCTTTGTCAGCATCGACGGTGCTCGGATCGGCCCTGATGGACGATTCTGGATTGTCGACGGCGGTACCACCGATAGTGATCGTAACCTTGTCAACGGATCTAGCAAGCTCGTTGGTGTCAACCTCGAGACCAACCTTGTCGACAAGGCGTACTACCTCGACAACCTTACGGAAACCGGTAGCGTCATCGACGATGTCCGATTCAATGGTAACTACGCCTACCTCAGCGACACAATCGGCGCTTTGGTGGTGATGGATCTTACTACTGGGGAAGGTCAGCGCGTTCTCGTGGGCCACAGCTCGGCTCTGGCGTGGTTCCCCATGGCCTACAACGGTAGTCTCGTCCCGGGTTACCAGGGTGGAACTAGCACCCTCTCCGTCGGCCTTGACCAAATCGAGGTGTCCCCTGATGGCGTCTACCTGTACTATCAGCCCTGTAACGGTGGCATGTACCGCGTCAAGACTGACTACGTCAACGGGGCCTTGACGAACAGCACTCTTGCCGCCAACCTGGGAGACTACGTCGAGCCTTTTGCGCTTACCCCTTCTACTGGAGGCACTACTATTGATGGAGATGGAAACATCTATGTTAGCGACACCAATCTTCTCGCTATATGGAAGGTCCAGCCGGATGGGTTTTCATCCATTCTTGTTCAAGATGATGCGCTTGTCTGGACCGATCTGATGTGGGTCGATGCGAACAAGACCCTTTGGCTTCCTGCCTCGCAGATGCGGCCCGGAGCGAACGGGCTGATGGCCGATGGACCTCACAACATCTTGACCTTCCCGATCGAAGCTGGCCCGTCTTTGATTGACCATGCCTAAATGGGACCTTGTATCACTATCAACTCTTGCGTTATTTGTATATATCTAGGCAGATCTTGCATATGTAAATAACTTAAGTTTTTAAGAAGACTTCTCGTCTTCCATGCCGCCTCAGCCGGAAAGCCCCTGCTCTTATGATATGCATAATCCTCTTCCGATAAAAGCTTTCCATATTGCCTGCAAGACAATGGCAAAACCCTCTTAGGCCTGAAAGTTCTCCCAACGTGAAATGCTCTGCATTTCAAAATTGCAAACCCACATCTTGTCCACACTGATAAGAATAACTTCGCTATCCCAACTCACGAAGTAAACTGGTGTTATGGATTCGTCCAAGTAGAAAATTTTGACTTGCTTGGCGGACGCCAAGTCGGAGAGATTCCGAGCAGCAACGTTCAAGTCGGAGTTCCACCCCCGTTGGAGGCCCCATCATCCTTAGCGGTTCAATACCCAAGGGCATCAAATTTATCCCTACTTATGAGTCCGCGAAGTTTAGCATGGAATATTCATGGCGGGGTTTGTGAAGAAGTGCATCGAAGCTAAGACCGCTGCACTGCAGTAATGCCTGCTTGACAGGTTGACACAAGCGCGAATAACTCTAAAGCCACTTCAAGCGCAGGATGGATCATGGCCGGGATCATCACTGGTCACCGGGTTTTGCAGCGCATCCATCAAATTTGTGTCAATGTAGCCATCTCTGGCTGAAAGCATGGCTCGCTTTGGGCTCCCAGTCATAAGCAAGTGACGCAGTCGAGCTGGGCCTAATCCGAGTACCTAGTCTCTGGACAGTAGTCACAGTTGAACGGCAGCTTTCAATGATTACCTTAGGCTATGAGTGAGTGAGTGAGACATCATTCTCCGCATCACGGCTTCTTTAAGCCTCTCATTTGTCTCTAGATTCGGTCGTCTATCATCCCACGTCAGGGTCTCACGACGCGGCCAGCCGTACCACAAACCAACAGCATGTTTTCCCTTGCCAATCTGTATGTCAGACTGGGACGCCGCATAGTGGAGGCAATTGTGTCATTCCGCTCCGTTGATTCGACGGAACGACGCCCTTGGCTCCGTCCTCGGTCTTGGCCGGACGGATACCGGTGCCTCTCGCACCCCCTAGGGCCTTGTCGCCAAGTCCGCCGAGCCTTGGGAGACTGGGATGAAGTCGCGTCTCCGCCCCCAGCTCCCACCCGCGATGCCACGACAAACGGCTGATGGAGGATTCGCTAAATCTCTTGTCCTATGTAATTCCAAGATCTTTTGACGATTATCCACTTACCACGGCGCGCAGCGCGTGTGAGTGGTCTCTTGTGAACTCCACGAGGCGTGGACAGAAAAGCAAGATTGCGTGCTTGTTCGGAACGCCTCTTGCGGCCGGCGCAAAAAGTAAAAGTTCTGCAGTCCAGCCGGGTCACGCCAAATATTTCTCGAACTCAATAAAAAGAAGAGCATCAACGAGAGGTATGGTACGTACCAAGGCAGCGAGAAACCTTTCTTCCAGTCCTCTCTCCTGCTTTCCACTTGCTCGCTTCTTCTCCACCTTAGACCACCCGAGGCGATCTCTCTCGTCTCTCAAGGTATCATCATCCAGAGCCATTCGCACCTCATACTTTACTTAAGGCTCACATGTGGAAGGCCCAATCTGCAGCCTCGATAATACCACATTCTCGCCGAGCGATCTCCGGCTCCTGTTGTCGGACCGGACCGGATCTGGGTCACTTTCGGGCTGCAAGCATCGACACATGGTGATGGACGTGCTCAAGAAAGTCGGGGGCTGGTTTGCTCCTCCGCCGAACAAAGCGGAAGACGGCCGTGATGCGTGGCCTTCAAGGGCCTCCTTTCTTCTAGCCTCTATGGGTGGCTGTGCCGGAATGGGCAACCTCCTACGGTACCCATCTCAGGTGTACAACAATCACGGCCTGCAGTGGTACATCCCATACCTAATGGCGGTGTTCATTGTGGCCATCCCGGTCCTCGTACTTGAGATTGCGATTGGACAGGCCTACCGCGGTGGTAGTGTTGTGGCATACGCAAATGTCAATCAGAGACTGAAAGGATTGGGACTGTCGTTGATCTACGTTGGATTCGTTGTCACGCCCTATTTTGTCGTCAATTTGGCGTGGATTATGAGCTACTTCCGCCACTCATTCACAAGTCCGCTACCATGGACTAACGAGCCCGATTACTTCTTCAACCGAAAGGTTGTTGCTAATGTTGACCCGATCGAGGGCAATCTCACAGCAGATGGTACCAGCGTCTTGAACTACACCGAGTACCCCGGTACCGCCCTGCTGGGAGAGACGACCGGGTGGGCAGCCTTCACCTTTTTTCTCATGTACATCTCCATTTTCCGCGGTGTTGGACTTACTGGTCGCGTCGTATATTTCACGATGGGCTTGCCTATCGTCGTCACCATTGTCTTGATTGGCAGGTCCGTGTCTCTGGAGAACGCTGGCGAAGGCGTGAAGCTTTACTTCGCAACATGGAGAGGTGATCAACTAGCGCGAGGCCAGGTCTGGCAAACAGCTTGCGGCCAGGTAGGATCTCCCTCCCATACTTTCTAGGAAATGATTAACTGACTAGAATATCTAAAGGTCTTCTTCAGTACTGGAGTGGGTTTCGGCTACTTCACGTCCTACGCCTCGTACAACCGCCAGTACTCAAACGCTGTCATGGATTCCATCTTGATTGTTTGCAGCAATGTGTTATTCGAAAACATCGCTGCTTTTGCTGTCTTCGGCGTCGTCGGGTATCTCGGCATGCGTCCCGACCCAGAGAACCCCATTGGAGGCTTCAGCGTCGGCTTCCTCACCTTGCCTCAAGCAGTGGCTGAAATGCCTGGTGCCAACTTCTGGGCTGTAGCACTGTTCTTCACACTCATGGTTCTCGGATACAGTTCAGCGTTCGCGATGTTGGACGCCATCGTCACACTGGTCATGGACACGGGCATCAAAGCCAGTCGGCCTATTGTGGTCACGTCTCTGACCATCATGTCTTTTCTTATGTGTCTTCCATACTGCACGGAGTTCGGCTACTACCTCCTGACTGGCATCGACCGGTGGACAAACGATGTCGCATTGGTTTTCGTCGTCTTCGCCGAATGCATTTCTTCGACGAGCGTTTACCGTTGCAAGGATGTCATCGGGCAAGTCGGCAAGCCAGCTTTCGTCATTTACAATACATGCTACATCCTCGCCATGGTTCTGGGAGTAGCTATTGCCCATGCTGTACACCCCGGTGCTGGAGCTGGCGTTGGATTTGGTATTTTCATCGGCGGAAGTATCGCCTCAGTTGTCTTCGGCAAGACCCCTGACTCTCTGCCGCCAAGGTTCTGGGGCAAAAATGCTCTCATCAGCAAGTTCTGGTATCTGGCCTTCTACTCTGTAAGTCCTTACTCACGCTTCTCAATGGGATGGGGCTCAGTCTAACAATGCCGCCCAGGGAAACCAACTTCGCAGAGACCTCAACGTGGTCATAGGAAGCGGAAAGAACTGGAATATTCCGATTTTCTGGCCTGTACTACTCCGTTACATCTCGGGGCCAATCTTGGCCATTGTCTACGGCTTCTCTTACCCGTCATTCTACGAACTACGATACGATCCCTTGCACATCCTTGGCTTTGCTGTCGGCCACGTCGCCCTAATCTTGATCTTGGCCGGCTTCATAGTGCCGCGCTGGTTCAACGTCTTCATACCAGCGCATCGTCAAAACGAAGGAAAGATGGCCTATGCACCAAATGTCACCATCGGTGCAGACGAGGCTCAGGCTATTGCGGCTGGGACCATGGAGCAAGGAAACTCGCAAACTCACTCGCATTCGGACGAAGGCGTTGGCCGAAAGGAGTCGCCTACCAACGAAGGCCTCATCACAGGAGATGAAAAGAAAACTGCCTTATGAGGCAGCCATGGTACTTAACTTGACAGGGCATACACTTTGGAGGAGCAGCCGTCATGTTCTCCGGAGAATAATATAGATCACGTAAAATTGCAATCATCTTAGTATTTAGAATAATAGCATCTCATCACTGTGTTGTTATTGGCAAACAGGTTAAATTCCTAAGTTGTTGTGCATTTCCTGGCAGGCCTATAGGCAACGTCAGCTGGTTGCAATCTCGTGTGAATCCAAGCACAGTACATGCATCATGTACCTCGATCAACCAGACCACCTCGAAGTCTGGCCTAATTGACTCAGGAATCTTGAATCGAAATTCATGGTAACAATAGTCGATCGGCGCTCGGGGCACATTAAAACATCTGAAAAGCCGGACAAGCCGAGGTTTGTCGCACTTCATGCGGAGGTGACACGGCTGGACGGTGCGGGGAGGACGGCTAAATGACTCCAGCTGGGACCGTGAGAGTCTCATAATCAATACTAGTATCATCTCTAATAACGGAAGTAACTGTGTGATCTACGAGTTGAAATCTCTTTGAATCATAATCTCACTTGTTTGTAATTCAACCAAAATTCATCATGCCTCTCAGGACTAACCTTCCGGGCCATCTCGCATCTCGCGCCAATGAAACAGCGCGCATAGCGTCGGCGTCCGGATCTGCAGCGGATAGACGCCATGGGCTTGCTGAACTCGCTCGAGATGAAGACATCCAGTACATTGTCGGCGACTGGATGTCAGAGTACAACATGACATCAAGGGGCGTCGCGAAAGCGACTGACCCAATAAACTCATCCGAATTTGAACCGTCGTTCCTCGAGGCGATCGAGCCTGCGCTGCAATACGTAGATGCCAAGCGGATCAAGCTTGCTGTCAATGCCGGCGCAAGCGACACGAAGAAGTTACACGACGTCCTGGTTCACATGATTAGCGAAAAGGGCTTGAAGCTCAAAGTTGCGTGGATTGAAGGCGACGAGGTGATTGATGTAGTTCGAAAGGGGCTTACGTCCGGAGAAGGATTTAAGAACCTGACGACAGGTAACAAAGCGGCCAATGCCGTGTCTTGCTAGATTAGTGCTGACCCGCCCAGGTGAAAATATCAAGGACTGGCCCTACGAACCCGTCTATGCTCAGGCGTACCTGGGCTGCTGGGGTATTGTTGAGGCCTTCAAGCAAGGGGCTCACATCGTCTTGTGCGGTCGTGTCGCTGATGCTTCGCCAACAATTGCTTGCGCAGCATACCACCATGGTTGGAAGCGCGATGACTATTCGCAGCTAGCCCACGCGCTCGTTGCAGGTCACTTCATCGAATGCACCACCTATGTGACGGGCGGAAACTTCTCTGGGTTCAAAGACTTGCCTGGTATATCTGTCGAAATTGGATTTCCAATTGCCAAAGTTGAGGCAACTGGAGAGTTTACCGTCTTCAAGCAAGCTCGAACGGGAGGCATGGTCACCTTGGAGACGTGCAAAGCTCAACTCCTGTATGAGATACAGGGCCCCTACTACTACAACTCGGATGTTGCGGCTATCCTAGACAACATCAAGATGACGCAGGTGGGAGAGAATCAAGTGTATGCCTACATCGCGTGACAGGTAGGGAGAGCATCTACTGACATCGGAGCAGACGAGTCTTTAACGTCGGCAGTATGAAACCTCCTCCGACTACAAAGGTTGGGATTACAGCCAAGGGCGGATACCAAGCCGAAGCACATTATTTCCTATGCGGCCTCGACATCAAAGAGAAGGCGGCGCTATTTGAGCGTCAGCTTCGCCATGTCCTTGACGAGAAGTCGTTCTCGTGTCTCAACTTTAGCACGAATGGCTCTTGTCCAGAGAACCCCACGAACCAGGATGCAGCAACAGTCGACCTTCGCATCTTTGCACAAGCGCGGGAACAAGCAACGTTATCGCCATTGAAGTTCCTGAAACCAATCGTGGATAACATCATGCAAAGTTACCCAGGTGCAACTTTCCACCTAGACACGCGACAGGCAATTCCAAAGGAATACCATGAGTACTGGGTTAGTATCGTACCCCAGAACGCAATAAAGCACGTGTGCCATTTGCCGTGGAAAAGTCAAGAGGTCGACATTGAACCCCCGCAAGATACGGTGGGCTTTTTGTACGACCAGCCGACGTATGAGACCAAAAGCCCGATCAATGTCACGACCTTGGGGCCAACGACAAGAGCCCCGCTTGGGTATGTCGTACATGCGCGGTCGGGTGACAAGGGATCAGACAGCAACGTTGGGTTCTTTGTGCGAAATGCCGACGAGTGGGATTGGCTGCGGTCGGTCTTGACGGTCGGCAAAGTTCGTGAATTGCTGGGAGAGGATGACAAGGGAAAGCCGGTTTTCCGATTTGAGCTTCCACATCTCCATGGTGAGTTCTCCTGTCCTGTGTAGAGGTTGGTCGCTGGTATTATGTTGGACTGACATGGCGATAGCTGTGCATTTCCTCTTGAAGGATCATCTCGACCGCGGGGTGTCTGCTAGCTCTTCTTACGATTTCTTGAGCAAGAACTTGGCAGAGTATCTAAGATGCAAGCAGATCGACATCCCGGACAGGTTCATGGCTCGCGGAAGGATTTGAGGGTAAAAGTTTCTGTACCCTTGAGAGGCAAATACGCCGGAAGAGATACTCGTAGGTACTTTTGTAATCCACGAATGGTTACACCGAGGATCTGCTGCGTCAGCGGTGGAAACGCGGGCCAATCTTTGACCGAAGTATGATTAGCCTCAGATGATGTGGCTGGGTGATGAGTTGGTACCCTACAGGAGCAAGAGTCGTGGTAAAGCGAATCATGCAAGGAGAGAAAACAGCCGTGCTCGTTGATTCTTTTGCCTTGGGTTCGAGTATTCTCAGGAATGGCCTACCCCGCGAAAAAGCCTAATAATTTGGCTTTGGTTGACGCGTGCCCTCTTCGCCGTTTGAATGCTGGGGTCGTGCTAGCCTGCAAAAGGTGCCTCTTGTCTAAGACATTTCCCCAGTAAAACGAAGCCCAGTCACTATGATCAAAGAGACTTTGGAAGTCCCTTCTCAAAGTCGGATAACTCGCACAGGACGCAGCTAAAGTCGCGTTCCTTGCATGATGGCTGGGTTAGATAAGGATGGCTGACGTATGCCCACGGCCACAACAATTGTCAGAAATACCGGCTTTACCTTGATCCGTTTGCTCATCCATTCTGAGTCCATTTTCTCTTTTCCTATTGACATGAACTTAAAGCTTAGGATGAAAGCCCACGTGGCACAGTCTGACGGCCGACGCGGCGCGCCAGGGATCTAAGTCTTAGCATTCGGAACCGGCTTGCGGTGACGCGATGATGATAGAGTGGCGGACCAGAAAAACAGGGCTGAGGCCCAAGGAACGCTGTCATGATTTCCAAACAAATCACCGTCCGGGGATTCACTACCGGATGCGTGGCCCACCATGCCGGAATAGGCAGTTCTGGATGCTGGTCAGCCATCCTTGGGGGCGGAATCCTGAACCCAACCCAACCGCCGGACAACTCACTCCATGAATCCACGTCTCCCGGAGCGGCTGCTCCACTTCGCGCCGGGAGCTCGGGGGCTCGATTCATGCGTCCCACTGATCCCCTTTGCTTCTCGGGATGCTGCAGTCTGCAAGCCTCAGTGCTAAGCCACCAAGATGCTTTGACAGGACCCCTCCCTTGCTGTGCCTGGAGTGACAGCTTATCGGAGACCGCTTGGCAAGCTTGGGCAGACATGGCGGTGTCTGTCAGGTATCACATTGGGATCAGCCCTGGTGAGACGCCACGGCCATGAGTCTCCAAAACGTCATAATGTGGGTTTGCTTACTTACTTAGGCATGGGACTGTCCGCTCGCCAGTCACCCTTATGATCCTATTCAAAACCATACCTATCAAAGATCGCGAGGAAACAACCGTACCTATCTCCAATTGCAGTCCATCAGCACATGAAATTGAACACCCGGTCCATATTCTTTCGACAAGTTCCCTTTCATGCTTCGAAGTAATCAGCTACAATACTCTTCATCTTTAACCTTCAGGCCCACCAAAAGCCAACAACATGACGAAACTCAGCGACGCGATCAAGGATGACCATCGGAAAATCGAGCAGGCCTATCGATACATCCTCACATCAACCACATTGGAAGATAAAATCCGATGGAGGAACGAGCTCAGTCTCGAGCTCGCACGACATTGCATCAGCGAGGAAAATGTCCTTCTTCCCATCCTCACAGAGCGATTGTTTGATGGCGAGTCCCGCAGCGCCCGGAATCACACAGACCGCGAATGCGTAAGTCTTCAATTCAAGTTACATCCACGCGGAGATTAAACAACACGCTGACCAGTTATCTTAGTTGAAGGAAAAGATTTGCCGCCTCCAAGCGATTCCAGTCGACCACGACAGCTTTGAAACCGAGTTGAAGGCACTCTGGGTCGACATGCAAGCCCACGTTCGCGATACCGATAACCAGGACGTAGCTCGACTAGAAGAGTGCCTCACCATGACCGAATCTGAGGAGCTAGCGAGACAGTTTCGGCTCACGATGTCCATGGCGCCGACGCGGAGTAACCCCTCGCCTGACCGTGGACCCCCTTCTCAGCAGATCACGGACTTCCTTGCCACCAAAATTGGGCCTTGAATGCGGATGACCTGAATTTGTGGGGTTCGTGAGGAGGGAATTCTGGGGAAGCATGGATGAGACGTCTGATGATATACGATTTTATGACGAAGGAAGACCCTAGTGTTTACGGTAGATATGGATCATTACGGTTCTCCCAGTATGAAAGTCGCACCCAATACAATGGTTTGCATTCTAATACTCTGAGTACGTGTTCTCTCTAGCACAAAAACACACGATGAGATGAGCCTAAAGCCGACCGGCCCGGGCCCGAGGATCTCCGGGTGGGGCCGATCAGTATCCACCACGGCGAGTTTGCCCCGACATTTTGCTGTCACTTTCACGTCATAAAGCCGAGACTTGCAGCAAAATACTCCAGGGTCGCAGCTATCCCTCTTTTACCTGAAAAGTCGCAGGCTATTTGCGTTCCCTTATTGAACAAGTATTTCTGCTTGTGTAGTCACAATGGGTTTTAGGCACCAGCAACCAGAAATTTGTGCTCACCCGGAGTCAACTCCGTTGGAATTACTGACCCAACCAAAACACGACGAGTGCCACAACCTGTTTGATCCATGATTGATCAGGAATCAGATTCTGGCAAGGCACACCTAATCCGAAGTCTCCGTTGCGCCTGCAACCCAAAGTAATCCAAAAACCTGATTCAGCTCTACGTCGCTGGCAGTAAACACATGCAAGTTCATCACATCGGGGAGGACTTGCTCCACTTAATCACCACACCATGATTGAACCTGAGTCAAAGAAACACCTTCTAGCAGGCTGATTGGGAGTGTTGTGCATCCAGCCAAGAACCTTACATCAGAGTCCCTTCATATGCAGCATTGAGGAGCGAGTCTCCTATTCCCCGCAAGATTTTCGGTGACCGGCAAGATAAACGGGTACGTAATGCCCTTGGCCTGCTGAGTTGTTGGATTGCGACGCGTTATTTAAGCTCGCTCCCTAATGAAAACCCCTTCAACGCCTATGGAGCTTTGATTTACAAACCCTGAAAGCCTGCGATATCACGTTTTCCTCGCCTAGTACCTCGGACACTCAGAATGTCATACAACAAATACGATCTTCGGGATGAATACCCATCACGCCGCCGGCACCACTCACCAACGTACTCCGACCTAAGCGTGGAGAGTCCAGAGTACAGCCCAACAAGAGACGCCGGTGCCGTTCGCGTCGCACAGAAACACTACGAATCTCCCGACCGCAGAGGTCGTGTCGAAGTGTACGAAGAAGACCGATACAGACCCAGGAATCGAGACTACTACTACGAAGAAAGGCGCCCGCGGTCGCGACCCAGATCCGAGGTCTACCACTCCGACCGCAGCCACCACAGTCACAGACATGGATCTGGACATGGAGACCATCGCCACCATAGCCACATACACAGCAGAAGCAAGCGGAGGCATTCCACCTCCGGGCCCAATTGGGGCCAGGCCGCCGTTGCAGCTGCTAGTGCCGGTATCATTGAGGCTGGACTAGCGCGGCATGATAGGGACCGGACTGCGAGAGTCATGACGGCGGCGGCGGGAGCAGGGGCGATTGATGCCGTCGCTGGAAAGCATGGAGAGAAGCCGCACAGGACTTGGGAGAATGTTGTTGGAAGCACAGTGGGTGGGTTGGTCGTTGATCGGATGGCTCATGGTTCGGGACGGCGGCATTGAGTCCACCGCGAGGTATGGGATAGCGATTATATCAAAGAGTGATAGATTTCCTTTGACAACGATTTCCATAACACTGTGTACATGCAACACTTGTTCAAGCATTACTAGACTGTATCAAGTTGAAAGTTCTTTCTGCGACACATATTCTTCACCCCGTCTTCGGAACGTGTCCCGAATTCCCAGCTCACGATCTTGATACTCCGCAACCAGCCAGCCTGCCATCCATGTCGGTAAGACCAACAAGAGGTCCTCCCATTTAATTCCTGCCGGTGGGTGGCTACATTATTGGCTAGAGCATCACTTATTCGGTACCAAGGGCGGCTCGATACAACACAATCGCCAAGCGATTCGCGGAGGATAAATGAGCTTAATCTAAATGCCGGATGAACTGGCCCCGCCAAGCTAGCATTGGCACCTTATTCCATTGTCAGTCTCACTTAGCGACGCAATCTGTACTTGCCACCACCTCCTGACCTTCCCCTCGTGGGATATCGGAAGGGCTTGCCCCGTGCTCGACGGCCTGGAACGTCGCTTTAGTTAAGGGCCGTAGTTGACAAGAGCACTGCGGTCACCGCAAATCCGACATAAAATGACTGGTGACCTCCTTTGCTCAGGATTCGTGTTGATATCGTTGGGGTAGTCGACGCTGTAATCAACGCAATATCAACTTCACAACATGAAGCTTCTCAGTCTCCTCGCTGCCGCCGGTCTCTGCCAGGCCCACACTATCTTCGTCTCTCTCGAGGCCGATGGCGTGAACAGCGGCGTCTCCCAAGGTATCCGTACTCCCGAGTACGATGGTCCTCAGACCGATGTCACATCCCAGTACATCGCTTGCAACGGTGACCCGAACCCGACAAAGTCAACCGACAAAGTTATCACCGTCACGGCCGGATCTACAGTGACGGCCGTCTGGCGCCACACCCTGACCAGCGGACCCGAGGATGTCATGGACGCCAGTCACAAAGGACCGACTCTTGCCTATATGAAGAAGGTGACCGATGCCAAGACTGATGCCGGCACTGGCGCGGGTTGGTTCAAGATCCAAGAGGATGGTCTGAGCAGCGGTGTCTGGGGAACGGAGCGCGTCATTGGCAATGCTGGGAAGCAGGCTATTACTATTCCCAAGTGCATTGCCAATGGACAGTACCTTCTCAGAGCTGAGATGATTGCCTTGCACGGCGCCAGCTCCTACCCGGGAGCGCAGTTGTACATGGAGTGTGCTCAGATCAATGTCGTTGGTGGGACTGCGGCCAAGAGCCCTTCGACTGTCAGCTTCCCTGGTGCCTACAAGGTATGTTTAATGATAAATCGAGATTTTTGGAGTGATATAAAAGTGTAAAAGACTTACTGACTATTGTTACAGGGATCTGATCCCGGCATCACCATCAACATCTACTACCCCGTAGTCACAAACTACACGATTCCAGGACCGGCCAAGTTTGCTTGCTAAGTCCAAAGATGTTCTCTTATTAGTGGATATGGTGCGTTAGCATTATCTGCGGTATAGATGAACTCTTCATCAAACCGTCGCGGGCCGGATGGGAATCATGTTCATGTACATATTATCTGAGGAAATCAAGCTCATTTGTACAAAGTGCGAAGCTTTTACGTTCCCCGCAAACATGTTGTTACTTGTACGAGTCGTGCCTTATTGTAGTCGTTTGGTGAAAAACACAGTCTTCACTCTGTCGGAGTTTGACGATGAAGACCGCGTAGTTAAAGGATAAATTTCGCTACTCTTCTAACACCAGGCATAGTGCTCATTGTTGGTCAGAACCAGAGCCTTCTCTAATCCCAGACCTTCGCCGTCCTCGAACCACAGTACACTCGCAATGCTATGAGTCTGCCTTTCAACAACGACAGGATTTAGGTCGCTTTGGTCAAGAAGGCTCTTGACCATGGGGGACGGATCCCATAGTTGCACTTGGTCCAGACGCCAATCCGCCGCTTCTACCTGAGCAGCTTGCATGACAGCCTTCAGCGCCGCTGCCTGCTCCGCGGACTGTTCCATGGGTGCTGTGAAGTTTCCCTCGCGTGTCTTGTTCGCAGTCTCATCGCCCTCTACCACAAGGCGGAGAATGTGAAGTACATTTGGGTCGTCTGTATCCTCGCCGCTATGGTAATCTGGGTGCGTATAGTAGCGACGAACCCAAATAGCCCAAACCTGTTTCCCAGGCACTCCAGCTATTGCTCCCTTTGTCGCTGCCTTTTTGCGGAAGATGTGTTTAGTGGCGAAGTCTTCTTTGCGGATGTGCCATAACATGTGATCCAAGTCTGGTAGAATGATCACTCGGTTCCGTGACACACTGGGCATGGCCATGTCGTCTCGTATCATTGTCTCGTCTCTGGAACATAGACCTTCTAGGTCTGACTCAAAGACCAATTGCGAAGTCGTAGGACTCTCCATCTTTGCAGACGGCAACACCAGATGCTTGTTGACTGAGTGCGGTGTCCAGCCTAACCTGGTATAGTACTCCTTCCCTATGTCCGAGTGTGGGACACTCCCAAAGATCTGGCCGTTCTCGGACTGCCAACCGCGTAGGACTTTCGCTAGCTCCCTCATGTGACGAGCTGCGTAGCCACGGCCACGAAACTCTTCTGGACAGAAGACACTAGCGATTCCATGAACGATACCCTCTGTTATGTTTCCCATATTATCGCTCAAGAGAGATCGTTTGCGGAAACTTTCGCATGAGCAAAGAATATCTCGCTCGTTTGGCAGCCGACTCTTGTCAACGAGAACCCATGTAGTCATGCCACCATTTCTTGCAAGTGGAACCGTCATAAGGTACGCAGACTCGAGGATATATAAAGGCGTGGTCAGAGAATCTTTCCATGAGTCTGCCGTGTTTACCCAAATCTGGAGGCATTCTTCGGGCGTAGGATAGTCGAGTTGAAGATCAGAGGAGGAGGAGCTAGGAGTTGCGACCTTTGAATCCATACATGCACCTGCTAAATGAGACATGATTTGTCCTAACAAACGCTGCGGCGGATTGACGTTCGATTTGAAGCAATTTGATTGATGTCGTTGGAAGCGTTATTTAGTGCTCTAAACTGGAGTGTCCCCAACGCTACAGCGCCTGAAAACCCTACACAACCTCGTCCCCCTGTATATTGTATTATTGTAGAGGTACTCTGGATCGTTAAGAGCTACTGTAGTGATTGTCAGCAACCCATTAGCTACACACCGCGCGGCATTTCAAGCGGCAAGCATGTCACATCAGCGCAAGCAGACATGTAAGGGTTTTTGGCGTATCACTTGATGTCGACAAGGCGGTCGGGAATTTGAAATGTTTTGAAATTTACCAGTCTATTTACAGGGACTGACTTCTAAACTAGTTCTACAGATGAATCGAATCGGGGTTTTCACACACAAACTCCCCGCCCTCAGTGGCGGTGGGGAGCTCTTCCAAGACGCATGGGCTTGCTGCGAGCGTGCCTTCTAGCATGCGCAGCAGCCGGGGCCGCAGTAGAGTTAGAGACAGGGCACGAGGTGTGCATGACACCGCGGCCGTTGGTACCAACATAGACAACGTTGGCCTCGTTGGCCGAACCAACAAGAGCAGCGCCGTCAAGAGCGCCGAAGCTGTAGGTACCCTGGAGGTCGACCCACGAAGCACCGAGATCGGCGCTGGCGTAGAGCTTCTTGCCGTCGGCGCCCTCGCCAAAGACGTACAGGTTCCAGGCGCTGCCTTCACCCTTGCCGACGGAGACTGCGTGGGCGTTGGTAGGGCCGGGGATGGAGGAGAAGGTCTTGCCGAAGTCAGTGCTGTGGAAGACGCCCGAGTCGGTGGAGACGAAGAGTTCGCCGGCCGTGGTGGGGTGGACGGCGATGGAGCGGATCTCGGTGACGTTGCCGAGAGGCGCCTCGGTGAAGGTGGCGGCGCCGTCGGTGGATACGTAAAAAGTCGACTTGGAGCCGGCGTAGAAGACGTCGTTGTTCTTCTTGTCGCTGGCGATGACGCTGCTCGTAGGGAGAGTGCTGTTCTCGGGCTTGCCTGCGTTGCGGATGACCTGGACACCGACACTCTTGGAAGACCAGAGAATGACGTCGGCATCGGCAGAGTAGGCGACGGAGCCGTCGGTGATGGTGTTGCCGGTGGAGTTCACGACGGACCACGTCTCACCGCCGTCGGTGCTGAGGGCTAGCTGGGGCGAGTCGGTAGCCTTGCCGATGCGAGCAACCTTGTTCGGGCTGTTTCCGGCAAAGTCAACATCGACACTGCTGGCCCACCAGGGGTTTGTCCAGGCGGATTGAGGGGCCTTGTCAACATCGGCGGCGGTCTTATAGGTGAAGCCGTTGTTGTCAAGAGTAGCGAAGAAGAGTTCGGGGCCATCAGCGGCACTGGCCAAGGCACCGACGGCCATCTCCTCAATACCGGAAGCAAGACTCTCGATAGTGATGGTCTTGTTCTTGTCCCAGTTGGTCAGGTCGTTGCTTCCGTACAGGGTGAGGCCGGTGCCGTAGAAGAACTTGTCGCTGTTGGTGGGGTCAATGGAGAGGGACTCGATCATCCAGCCAAGCTTCTTGGTATCGATATCAAGGAAGTTGGTCTCGATCCAGGGGGCGTTGGGCGCGGTGATGGTGTACTGCGGCGCGACCTTGCCATCGGCTCCCCAGTTCCAGATTCTCTTCCAGGTTGCGCCGGAGTCGGTGGAGCGGAAGAGGATCGCGTCGGGGTACCAGCTGTTCAGAGTAGCGACAACGATCGTTCCGGGCTTCTGCATATCGACGCCGAGTCCACCAAAGCCGTAGTAGAGATCGCTACCAGTGGTAGGGGTGATGTCGGTCCATTTGCTGGAGGTCAGGTCGTACTTCCAGACACCACCCTGGGTGCCATCGTAGGGGCCAGTTCCATCGGAGTAGGTGAAGTAAATGACCTTCTCGGCGGGCTGAACAATAGCCTTGTGGGGGAAGAACTTCTTGGGCTGGCCATCGACAGGGCCCCAGGTGGCACCGGCGTCAGTGCTGACGTAGACGGACGCAGTGGTGTTGTCGGCCGTTCCAACAAAGATTCTCGAGGTCGCGCCGTTAACAACATCGGAGGTCTCGTCAAAGGTGACGAACGTCAGACCTTGAAGGTCACCGTTGTATGCATCGCTCTCGGCGCCGGGGCGGAAGGTACCGACGGCCTCGAACGTAGAGACCTTGGAGAAAGTCGCACCTAATCAATTACACTCTGTCAGAAATCTGAATCGCGTGGGAGAAAGGGGCGGTGCTGCTCATGGTTGGAATTCTGCTCACCGGCGTCTGTGCTCTTCCACAAACCGTTGCCGCTGCGGGCACCAAAGAAGATAATCTCCGAGTTCTTGGGGTCGACGGCCAACCGCTCACCGGTTCCGCGGCCGGGCATGTTGCCGCCGACCTTGAAGGGAAGCGTGGTGGTCTCCCAAGTCTCGCCCTTGTCGGAGCTTCGCGCAAATGTTCCGTTCTTGGGATCCCTATCGTGATTTAGCTGCGTTGCCGGGTGCAAACTCATGCAACAGCAGTGCTTACCAGTCGTTGGTGTACATGCCAGTAGCAATGTAGACCTTGTTAGCATCCTGTGCGTCAACCGCGAGAGCGTCGATGCCCCATCTGTTCCAGTTGTCGTTATCGGCAAATCCGTTGGCATCGGTGATGGGAGTCCACGAGTCGTCGGCGTTCAGTCTATAGAGACCTCCAATGTCGGTGCGTGCGTATGCGACTCCCTTCTCGGTCGGGTGGAAAACGATAGACGGCACGAAGCCGCCGCCGCCTCCGGTGTGGACATTCTTCCACGAGCAAGCGGCGCGGACGGACGCCGCTGCCGCCAAAAGAAGGCCTGCGCTTCTCATAATTGGATGATGTGGGCTAGGTCACTCGAAACTTGAAAGAATGGTGAATCGTAGATGGACCAGCCAGGTGAAAAGAATGTTTGATTGGTAGGAAATGAGTGAATGTCGCGAAAAGCGAACGTGGTGAGAAAAAGAGAGTAACTGAATCAAAAGATAGACAGGCAGGCAAAAGGCACGAGAATGCTCCATTGAGGGGAGCTTCAACTATTTACATCACTACTAGTTTTCCCCCTTCGGCTCGGTCAAGACAGCCATACTTGGTTAGTAAACAGGATACACGAGCCGAACAGGCGCAAACTTCCTTCTTCGTGATGCACTACTAGGGGCAAAGCTTCTGGAATAGATTGAAGGCATCTCCACGAAAGTTTAAACGCAAGAAAGTTGTGGGCAGAATGCCGAAACCGAGGTGATTAACGCGGCCCGCCCGATTCACCCAGCAATCAGAAGTAGACGGTTACAGCAAGATGACATGGTTGTCGACCCCATCAGCAACCCAATAATCCACCAGTAACTGATCAGTTTGGCGCAGAATGAGGTAAAGTGAGGCAATTAGCCTATAACACGTGAGGACATGCCATCCCGGAGGTTGAAAAGGGTTGAAAATCTTAGCCAATTGTGCAATGTTTGCGCTGTGCTAGTGTGTCAAGTTGAGCTGGAGCTCCTTGGTACCTTTTATTAAGGGGTCAATGGGACGAACCCAGCTCGTCGGTTTTCAGATGTTAGCGAGCTGTATCCCTGTGCCCTTCGAGGCGAAGCTCGACACAATTACCTTAGGTAAGCGGATTTTTGAGTCTTTCCACTACGGAAAGAAGAGTCAGTTGCCTTTAGCGGCTCAAAGTGGTAGTTGTCTGATTAATTATCGGACACTTACTCGAAACTTGAGCAGATTTTCTACAAAAGCTCACTTTGCATCTCAACTCAAGAGTGAGGGGCCTTCGCGAAGGCAAAGACTTACGAGACTGAACTGGTCTAACTCATAGTCCCGTAGAACTTAGCCGAGCTGCCAAGATGGGACAGTAGCTCCTTACAGGCGTGAGGTTGAAAGACCTCAATAGCCAGACTACATCCGAACTCGGAGACTATTGAGCAGTCTTTCGATGATTCAGATCAAACATCGGATCAACTTGCAACATTTAGACTCTCGTGATCGTTGTGGCCGCGGATTCTAAGAGGTCTAGCCCGTACGTGATCGATCAGCAGCGAGAACCCACAGTTTGGTCAGCCCCAGCGCACCAGACCACGTACGGATGCTAGGATGCATCATTAGCTCAAATCGTAATCAACAGCTTACTACGTAGTGTACAGCGAAGACTTTTGTCTCCCAACTGCGGACCGACGACTTCACCAAACCGAGACTTTCAATGTACTTACTGACAGGTAGGTGACGATCTTTAGTGCTGGTCAGCTATTCCGAGAATTATCCAGGTAGGTACAGTAGGTCGCGACGTCTCTATACTTCAGGAGATCATTCCTAGACTCTGACTCTACTGGGGCATTTTAAAGAACCGAGGTCGGCATTGTCGTACGCCATTGCATGACGTTCCCATGGAACATCATTTTCGAACTGTTGCGTTCCATGACTTTCGCGACTCTACTGGCCCCAGAAGCACCGGAAAATAAAAAAGAATTGAAACAAGAGCAGCGCCAACGCTCAACTCAGTTTCCATTCATCCTCCATCAATGAAGCAACACCATGCTCATGTCGACCAATGTATGCGTGGGGCGTGATCCTGAGTAGGGCAGCATTGGTGACTCGATGCAACGAGACTATGTATTCATGAGTAAGTAATAGGCTAAGCTTTCTGTCACTAAGTACTTTCCCATGATAGTAGCTCACGCGCTTGGGTCTACCACTGGGCAGGTTCTAGCAACTGACTATTTGGGCATTCTTTCGACGTTGAGCGGAATCGACGCTAGACAAGATGATCACCGATTTGATATCTTGATCCACCTACACATCTAGCAACTGAACTTTACAGGTTGAGTAGATCATGAAACAAACCAGCTTGGTGCCTCTACTCGATTAAGTCCAGGGAGGCGGCTTTCTGTCTGCGGCCTCCTCACCAAAGTAAGCTAGGAACGAATCGTTGACATCATGAGGCCTCCTAAACTGGGCTAAATTCACAACGGCACGTCGGCAACAGACTCCCAAATGCCAAATTGGGCCTACAGGTCGTCGTCCTGAAGTCTGTCGTCGAGCTACCGCATGCGTCTAGGCCGTCAAGGTTCAGACGAGCGACCCTTTGAACTTGATCCAAGTCTCCCCTGAGCGGGCAGTCAAAAGTCAAATTCTGGCTAGCGTCACGTTTTTACCCCCGCAAGCTCCCGTTGCCCACGTTTCCGTGCCTGGAGATCATGGGAAAACAATTTTCTTGACCAATCCGACCAAACTTCCTTGTCCACGAAAAGGGTCCAAGCAGCAAGCCGCTGTCTGACCAGAACAACCTAAGAACGGTGGTCATCGGTGTAGGCCCGGATTTATGCGGTGGTGCGGTCTGTTCACGCGCTAATGCAAACAAACTTAGCCAGGAACGCAATAGACTATGTCTAGCGCGGGCAAAAACGAGCAGGAATAGTCGCGATCTTCTAGCGCCCGCCTCCAGCCTAGCTCAACATGGAGTTTAGCTCTCGTAAACACTCGCGACAGGATCTATTCCGGGCAAAGCTCATAGGATCCCGGTGTGATGGAGATCGGATGGAGGAATCATGTCATTCAGTTATAAGTCTCTTGTCAATCCTATTGACTTCCGATTGTTCTCTACCAACCTCCAAGTCTCAAGGGTCGATAGTTCACTCTCTTTCACATCTACTATTTCTTATACTCTCCTTCCAAAATGCGTGTCACTTACGCCGTTTCCACGTTCGTTACTATACTGGGTTTGACCCATGCCGCCCCGGCCGACGAGGAGGCTCGATTCCACGCCGAGCATAAGCGCCAGCTCGGCACCAGCGCAGGAAGTCTTGGAAAGGATGCGACCTTCGACTATGTCATTGTCGGCGGTGGTACTGCCGGCCTTGTGATGGCCAACAGACTGAGCGCCAATCCCGATGTTACGGTAGCCGTGATTGAGGCCGGCACGTTCTACGAGGTCACCAACCTTCTCATCGGCCAGACACCCGCTGGAGATACTCTTTTCGCCGGTGCCAGTCCTCTTGACACGAACCCTTTAGTGGACTGGAACTTCATCACGCAGCCGCAAAGCGGTGCCAACAACCGCAAGATCCACTACGCTCGTGGCAAGTGTCTTGGTGGAAGGTGAGTCTTAGAATCCTCTACCATTTCTTTCGTTGTGAGAACAAATGCTAATGTAACCATAGTTCCGCTCGCAACTTCATGATCTACCAGCGTGGTACCAAGCAGTCCTACCAGAAGTGGGCAGATGCTATTGGCGATGATAGCTACACCTGGGACTCTCTTCTTCCCTACTTCAAGAAGAGCGTCAAGTTCACCCCTCCCGGCCCTACTCGCTTCCCCAACGCCAGCGCAGAGTACAACCTTGATGCTTTCGATGCCGCCGGAGGACCTCTCGACGTGTCCTATGCCAACTATGCTCAGCCTTTCAGCACTTACCTCGAGCCCTCCCTGAACGAGATCGGCATTCCCCAGGCTCAGGACTTCAACAGCGGTGAGCTCATGGGCGCTCAGTACTGCTCCGATACCATCCAGCCCAGCAACCAGCAGCGCGAGTCCAGTCAGACCTCGTTCCTAAACGCAGCCATCGGCCGCAAGAATCTCAAGGTGTACCAGCTGTCTTTGGCTAAGAAGATTCTCTTTGACAGCAACAAGAAGGCGACCGGTGTTGTTCTGACCTCCAATGCCGGCATCACTACCTACACCCTCAAGGCCAACAAGGAGGTCATTCTGTCCGCCGGTGCCTTCCAGAGCCCCCAGCTTCTCATGGTTTCCGGTGTCGGCCCCAAGGACCAGCTCAACAAGTTCAAGATTCCAATCGTCGCTGAGCGCCCTGGTGTCGGCCAGAACATGGAGGATCACGTCTTCTTCGGTCCCACGTGGCGCGTCAAGGTCCAGACTTTGACCCGTCTGGCCAACGACCTCATCTACACCGCTGCCCAGTTCGTCTTCGACTACTCAATCCGCAAGATTGGCCCCCTCACCAACCCCGTCTGCGACTTTCTCGGCTGGGAAAAGACCCCTCGTGACCTCATCTCATCTGATGCTGCTGCCGTCCTTGACAGCAACTTCCCTGCTGACTGGCCCGAGATTGAGTACCTCACTGCACCCGGCTACGTCGGTGACTTCGCCAACCTCCTCCTCACCCAGCCCAAGGACGGTTACCAGTATGCCACAATTCTCGGAGGTCTCGTTGCGCCCATGTCCAGGGGCACCGTCACCCTCGCCTCCGCCGATACAAAGGACCTGCCTCTCATCGACCCCAAGTGGCTCACCGATCCCACCGACGTTGCTGTTGCCGTCGCCACCTTCAAGCGTCTCCGCCAGGCCTTTGCTAGCAATGCCATGAAGCCCGTCTTGGCTGATAATAAGGAGTACTTCCCCGGTGCCAAGGTCGAGACCGATGCCCAGATTCTCCAGAACATTCGCAACACCGTCATGACCATCTGGCACGCCAGCTGCACGTGCCGCATGGGCAAGTCTGACGACCCCATGGCTGTCGTTGACAAGGATGCCAAGGTCATTGGCGTCAGTGGCCTGAGAGTTGTTGATGCTAGCAGTTTCGCTCTTCTGCCTCCTGGTCACCCTCAGAGCACTGTCTACGTCTTGGCCGAGAAGATCTCTGCCCAAATTCTGGCCGGTTACTAAATATTGAGTCAAGTTGCGTTCAGGAATAGGAGTTGAGGGGCTTGCATATAGATGAGATGATGTTTTATTTTTGAAACATACCACCATGTGTCACTGAACACTTTAATGTAATAGACGTTCTTCTTTGATTGAAGGCGAAGACCTTTCAAGTCTTATAATCAATTCCTTCAAACGTTACCATTTCACTGAGCACGTGGGTCGGCTACTTGAAGCCCTCAATCTCTTCAAACTCACCTCGTTGAAATTTGCCGCACAGAGGCTTTCTATGTCTGCAATGCCCCATGATCTGTAGGAACGCAACAGAACGGCAAGCTCAAGTCGTGGGGACCCCCTCCCTTGCCTCAATGAGTGGATGTATCTTGGCCAGTTTTGCCGAATCGTAGAAACATGCCCACTGGCGTGATCGCATCGTCCGACCAACAGACATATGTGGACTCTTGTTGCCGTTCATGTGGGTTGATGTTGGAGTCTTGCGCAATGGCTCTGTCATGTCAAAAATTGCACCATTCCGGTGATCTTGATTACCAATGATTGATTGATAGACGCCTGACATCTATCTTCACAGCCCGGAAGCTCGCCGCGTAGTAGGAGCACCCCTCTCTGCACCGCCTTTGCTTATCCTTCTTTGTTCTCTTTTCTGCAATGCCTGTCAGATCAAATTTCATGCTGCAACAAGCTCTTGCCCACGTCCACAACCTGGGGTGTCCCTAACTAAGCCATTATGCCTGTCAGCAATATTGAAGCAGGCTATGAGGGGCTGAGGCTTGGGTTTCCCGCAACGGATGCAGTGTCTCTGTTGGAGAGCACCACTTTCCAACTGAACCCTGTTATCTTGTTGGGCAACGGATATTCAGTCTCCCCATTTGAGATACCCAGCGAATAGTTCGCGGTGAACTTCCTGCACGTGGAATTAATCTACTACACTAAGCCGGGATCACCTCCGTGTTCTGCATCTCGAGTATCCAGATTTCGTGCTCGCAACGGCAGCACTTCCGAACGTCTGATGCGATAATGCGGCACAGTAAAATGGCACTTACTCATAAGAACTAAATAGTAACCTACGGGCACCGGTCTCCTGAGAACTTCCGTCGTAATTATCTACTCACCTCACATTGTCAATTTATCTTACCATCGGCAAAGGCGTTACATTTCGGTTGCTCTACATGACCGTCAATACTGCTGATATTAAAGGTCAAAATGCCATCTCTCATTGCAGCCTTTCTTGGCACTCTATCACTGGCGTCAGCAGGAATCTTACCGACTGGGAATAAGACAACCATCATCGAGAGAGATGTTGTAATTCTAGGTGGAGGTGCTTCCGGTGCTCATGCAGCCGTGAGGCTCCGTGAAGACTACAACAAGACAATTGTCATCGTAGAGAAACAGAACCGCATAGTAAGTCCATATCCACCGGACCTGTTGAGAAATATGGAGCTCACTGTCACTCAGGGTGGCCATGTCGCAACCTTCACGGATCCCGAGACAGGGAACTCATATGACTTTGGTGTCAATTCATACACAGATTACGACGGAGCCCGTGACTTCTTCGCCCGCTTCGACGTTCCCGTACAAACTCCAGCGAGACAGACATTGACGACCACATACGCCGACTTCAGCACGGGAAAAACCACCAACTACTCTTTGCCGGCTTCTGCGGACGCTACAGCTACCCTCAAAGCCTGGCTCGAGCAGTGTGAGAAGTACGAATCGTACATTATTCCCTCCTACGCAGACTTCCCAAACACGACCGTTGGGGTTCCTGAAGACCTGACTCTCAAATTCTCCGACTTTGTCGACAAGTACAATTTGCAGGCTGCTGTCCCTCGCATCTTTCAGACCACCGGCCTTGGACTGGGCAATATCGCCGACCAGATAACCCTTGATGTGATGCAGGCTTTCGGCGCACCCATCACCCGGTCGTTCTTGGGGACAGTCGGCTCCTTCGTGCCTGTATCCAGGCGAAATCAAGAGATCTACGATGCTATTGCAGACCTTCTCGGGGACGATGTCCTGTACTCATCTACAGCTATCAATACTTCCCGTACCGAAGACGGCGTCGAGGTTCTTGTCCGTGGTTCAGATAACAAGCAAACGCTGATTCGAGCTAAGAAGCTTCTCATCTCCTTCGAGCCTACGATTGCCAACTTCAACGGCATCGATATCAGCGACGAGGAGACAGCCGTCTTCTCAAGATGGGATTGGACTACCGTTTATGTCGGCGTCGTCTCTCACCCTTCTCTGCCCATCAGCTACTCACTCACGAACAACGTCCCCACCAACTGGATCTCCCTTCCCGAGACCTCCTTCGTCGGCCGCTTTGACTACCTCGGTGACGACAACTTTCGCGTGCTCATCACTGGCTCCTCCGACTACGATAGTACTCAGGCGCAAGCGCTGGTCAGGAAGTCGCTCAAGTTGCTAGCTGATGCGGGCACGATCCCGAGCCTCGGCACTGAGGAGCTCAATTTGAAGGCCTGGTCCGATCATGGCGCCATACATCTGCGTGTATCTGGCGCTGAGCTGGCAGCTGGTCACATCACCGAGCAGTACGCTCTTCAGGGCCAGAGGAGTACATACTACACGGGAGGTGCGTGGTCTGCGCAGTTCACCACCATTTTGTGGGAGTATAACAACCAATATCTCCTGCCAAAGCTGCTGGCGGAGTTCTAGGAGAGTAAATTGCTGCAGCAAGAGGGTAAGACATGAGGTAAAGGCACCCATCGTCTACAACTACCTTACCGATAATGGATGATAATGAATCAGACTAAAATTTAGAAGGCAAGGAGGCAAACCCATAGCCAACAAGTCTTTCCCGTGCTGAATGTCAAGAACTTCGAGGGTTGGTAGAGTTTATCTGATGCTGGTGGTTTCCACAATATGGTGAACCGAATCACTATCCTCTTTTATAAACTGCTTGTGAACCTTTTCCTTCCAAGCTGCACTCCTTAGTACGTCCATATACAAGGTCCGCAACACCCGCAAGCTCGCCTCTCACGACCCACCTGTCATCCGATGTGGACTCTCAATCAATTTCCAGGGTCGGAGACGAAGCTCCAACAGGATCGCATGCCGGGACTCTTCAATGTTGCTGCAAGGAACGAGCCCCAGATGCATCGCATCGGGCCAGAGCCTCACCCCACCGGCTCACCAGGGCCCTTGATCCAGGACCTTGTAAAGAAAAGCGCAAATTTCGGCCCAAGAGCAAGGGTGTTAGAGTATCATCCCATCGGAAGCCAATTGTAAGAGTGACTAAATGGCGCGGGCTTTTGTCCTACCCGTCGGACCGCACTCGGAGATCATCAGGTAATATGCGTGTCTCGTGGGCCTCACATTTGGAGTAATCCAAACCGGTCTCTGCAGGCCCTAAGAAAGAGACGTGGACTGAGGAAATGCATCATCGTGAGTGCTCGGCGAAGTTTTCAAAGACCATGCGATGAGGTTCCATCCAGTCTAAGATGTTCGTATATGTTGATATGTTATCCCGCTGCGAAAGAAGTATCTGCCTTGCCCGCATGCTGTTTTGCAATGACCTTGAAAACGCTACGCAATGTGTTCCGATCTTCTAGCAAACTCCGTAGTCTTGATGATCCCTTGCAAGTTGCTTGACCGGACTTGGATCGCGGTCTCTTTCTCTATTCGCATAGCTTCACTTCGACCATCGTCGGTGAGCATGATGCCTGTCCCTGCTGGAGTTTGCCCTGTGTGTAGTCTGCTCCCGCCCTGTTGAGAGCCGCACCGTGGATCCAGAGCCCATTCGTCGAGCTCGTACTGGTCGCTTCTCGTCGTTCTGTCACTACGGCTGCGAAAAGTGTTATACTCGAGCGTCCTTGGTCCAGAGCCAGTTTGTTTTGACTGCTTGCCGTATAGGTCAGGTATTTGCTGGTTGTATGCTGATAGGTTGAGTAACTTGTTGACGAGAGGTTTTAAGGCTGGTGCACACGCTGTTATGATACCGACCTGCAGCTGTAGGCTAAGTATGAGAAAGTCTGATTAGCCGTGAGAAACGGAGCATTCATACGTTGTACCCACAAGCCCCAGAACTGAATGCTTCTGTTGAACGTTTTGTCAGGCTCGCTATCATTAGCCAGCTGGTAGACTGCCTTGACTATTCCCATTGCGACAGCACTTGTGGCTTCATTAGTATCTGCAGCCAACGAACTATGATTCTGAAGAGTCTGCCACTTACAAGTAACCTAAGCTTAAGATTCCAATTGCGTAGAAACGCAGTCTGCGCTTCATCTGCAAATTCCATATGATTGGCACAGGCAAGGTGGCTAGAACTACGTCGGTGAAGATGTTGAAGCCTACATGTAGAAGCAGTTTAGCGGCGGCGTCGAATATGATATTACAGTGATTAATGTAGACACTGAAGCGAGGCCTGGGCATACCTGTGTTGATAATACCAAAGAGGTTAATGTTGTTGCCATCCTTACACTTTGGAGGCGGCGTCGTGTTCCTGTCCCAAAATCCCGACATGGGTTTGCAATGAAGGAAAAACGGAAACATGCCGCCAATGGAGTAGAAGAAGACAAAAGCTTAGTTGGACTGTTAACAATCGATGGAAGAGGTCCGCGACTGTGGTGAGCCTACCAATTGTTGACCACAATGCCCACTTGTACCACCTAGTCTTACTCAAACGCAAGAGACCGAGAGCGATGGAAACCTTGAGAAACATGAGGGCACCGGTGGCGGAGATGAGGGACTGCCAAAAAGCAATGTGACTGAACACGACATAGTCATACTTCTTGTCGATGGTCAAGAAATGTTTGCCAAGACCGTAATACGCCTGAATCACGAATGAGACCCATCCTCCCCAGGCACAGAGCTACAAACTCGACTAAGTCAGTCTCCGCGGGCAGCAAAAAGGGGATCTGAAGTTGGGTATGTACTTGCCGCCGACAAGACCATGACCGCATCGTCCCACCCAGGTGCTTTAATGACCCATATTCTGGCGTATATTCGTAGCGCAAGGCTCATCTGCGCCAGAAAATGAAAGACAGTCACGACGGCGATGATACGCGCGGTGTTGCTCTCAGCGGCCCATGCCGGATCTAGAGGCGCGGGGGCCGTTCCGTTCGTGTTGTTCATATCTGCCCATCGTAGGTCATTACGAGGAGTGTTCAAAGAAGATTGCCAAGATCGAGACGACCAGTAGAAAAGGTCCTGGAGAATCAAACATGGTCTGTGTGCGTTGAACTACCGACGGCAACTATCGTGGTCATTCAATCAGGGAAGCGAACGCGAGTTGGTGAAAGAAAGTTTGAAGGTGAGGAAACCTTGAACTATATGCGGCAATGTTCAACATACAACAGTAGCAGGAGCTTGCTAGTAACCTTTTAGAGTTGGCCATAATAGCCTATTCAAACTCCAAACCGGAAAACATTCTGATTCATTGAAAGGACTGCATAGCACGGGCTGGAGGTAGACGTTGAGTCAGACGCATCGCGTATTTGGTGCCTCCCTATCGATGGCCTGGGTTGACGCAGGCATTTTGACATTATCGCATAATTAGTCGCGACTCATTCAATTATTTTTGGGTTCTATTCATGATAATTCCTGTACGTTCTTTGTTTGACAAGAACTTGGGCAGAGTAATTGAACTGGCTTGCATAAGGGGGAGGGCAGGGAGTTGACGTTGATGCCTCTATTATAGAGTCAGGAGTGCGGTCTTCTTATCAAGAAGAACCGTCCGTTGTAGTCGATGGCCGCGCAGTACGATCCTAGCTATGAATGGTGGGAGCGTATGTTGGCTCACGGTCCTATGTAATACCATGGACAGCTTCTTTTTTCGACATTTTCTGTTATGCCCTACTTCTGTAACTCAGGTGGCGATCGGTGCAATCACGTGAGTCGGCGTATTCACTTGAGTACCTCTTGTGACGGAACACGAAGACGGATTCAGAAGTTCGTGAGTTCGAGTCGGTATTTTCTTTCCTTACTATTTCCGTCTGTTGGGGAAGAACCTATGTGACTCTCGTGAAATTCAGTCTAACAAAAGCGTCGGCAACGGCACTGGAATATTCATGTTCATGTCTATGGCTGTTACTTCGAGATGCTGTATGCTGAGATAATCCTGATACGTTCCTCATTTAGTACTGAAAACAGGTGTCATGAGATGGTATACACGTAATCTTGTCATTCATATTATGGTAATGTGCAGTGAGCAATATATACATCGGAAGCAGACTAAACCCAAGAATGAGACATTAAACACAAGTCCAGCTGTCAGGAGAGTTGGGGTCTCCAGTCTTGTATACATTACGCGTGGGGTACTTGCAGTGCTTCCTCGTGAAAGCAACCTGGCCACCCTGCGTACCATTGACGAACGCAGTGCCGAGAATCGAGTCCGGCGCGACGCCCTCCTCAACCCACTTCACAATGGCCGACAGAACATTGCGCTCAGGCTCGAAACCGGCAACGGCAGACTCCTTGTTGCCGATGAAGCTGGCGCCGGGACCACCGCTGCAGTGATTCATGCCCGAGATGCGGAAGTACCGGTAGAACTCGTCGAGCTGTGCGGACGTCAGGCCCATGGTGCGCGAGACGTGGTTGTAGTAGCGCGCACTGTTGTCGCTGCTGATGATAGGGTCCTGGAGACCGTGGTAGTGCAGGACCTTGGTGCCGCGGTCCTTGACGCCGGAGAGATCGCCCTTCCAGGTCTCGATGCCGCCGGGGTTCTGGGCGGCGGCGGCGGCGAAGTCCTTGGGACCGATGGTGGCCGGGTCCCAGGTAGTGTCGTTGTAGATGACGTTTTGGAACCAATCCGTCGTGTAGGGGAACGCACGGCCGGCGAGAAGGATCTGGGTGGGCTGGGCGCCGGGCTGGAGGCGGGGGTAGACGAGGGTTCCGTCCTGGCCGTAGAGGTCGGAGAACACGGTGCGGACCGTCTGGGCTTGGACGCCGGTCAAGCAGTTTGCCGTCTGGCCGGCGCCGCAGATGAGAGATTCGGGGCGGTACTGGCACAGATCCGGGTCCTCGATGATGCCGTCGACGTGGCCGTCGAGACCGTCGCACTGGTTGAGGAGGTCCTTGTAGACAACAGTCCAGAGGTCTGCCGACAGGAAAGTCGGCTTGTCAGAGGTGCCGGTGGCGGTGAAGAAGTGACCGCTCCAGGATGTCAGGTTGTTGAAGGCAAAGGCGGGCGCGCCAGCCACGATACCGTCAAAGTCATCAGGGAAGTCCTGGGCTTCCTTGAAGCCTTGCCTGCCGCCAGTCGAGCATCCAAGGTAGTATGACTTGGTGTGCTCCTTGCCGTAAAGGGCCTTTGTCGTCTCCTTGCCAATGACGACGCCGGTGTGGAGGGATCGGTAGGCAAAGTCCTCGATGGTGCCGGGGTTGTTGAGGAAGGGCGAGCCAATGGTGCCGTTGTGTCCGTTGTTGGCGCCGACTGCAGCGAAGCCCCGGGAGACGGCGTAGGCGATATCCTCATATTGGATGCAACCGCCAGTACCTCCGTTACCGGTGCTCAGGAACCGGCCAGTCCAGTTGGAAGGGAGCCATGCCTCGATACTAACGTTGCTGATGGGGCCGGTTGTGGTCAACATGGACACACGGCAAATGTCGACTTCGACAACCTGTCCAGGGCGGGTGCAAGTCGGGTGGTTCTCAGGGAAAGTAATGTTGGTGCCGGCAGAGACAGGCGTAGAGAACCAGACGGTGGTGTTTGGCAGCTTCAAGTTGTTCGCGAGAGCGCTGCAGTCGTCGGCGAAAGCGCTCATGACGTATTGGGCCGCGGGCACCAGCAGCATCGCAGAAAGGTTGAGGGACTTCATGTCGGCGAATGGGCGTTGAATAGGACAAATTCCCAAGTCCATTCGAGGCTGACCTTTCTCTTGATCGAGGTGTCGGGGTTCAATGGCTTCTTTTATATTAACAATGGAGTACTGTAGTTGACCTGGTGTCCAAAAGCAGTTTTCAATGTGACGATGCCAGGCCGTTCATCTCAACACAACCCTGGAAAGAAGACTAGCAGCAAATCGATGCCCACCCTCGGCGATCCCATCGGGTGGCGTGCCGGCCGGCGTGGAGTGACGGCAGTTAGCCACGGCATGACTGGACAAGGCGACCTTCCAGACAAAAGCAAACACTGGGTGGTCTATGCCTGATTCAAGGCGAGCATCTGAAAAGCTCTGACAGCAATAGAATGAGGCATAGTGACCTGCCTGTTTCTCCCCACACTGGTAGACTACACGTGTTAGCTTGAGGGGATAACCATGCATCGGCAATGGCGAGTGCGGAGAAGGCGACCAGGTTGGGGTATGCTCTCCGGGGGTTCATCGTTGCGGAAGAGTCTTCTACCGGCCGGCAGGCATACGGGAACATGTTCACTTTGTGGCTTTTGCTCATGTGAGCAAGAGTCGTGTCACCTTTCTCTCAAGTGGAAATTGGGCCGCGCGCAAGGCAGAGCAAGGAAGAGAACACGAATCTCGAGCCAGTTCAACTCTAAAACTGTGATGAAGCTTGTTTGGATAGTGGAGGCGTTTGCTGGCCAGAAGAGCGGAGATTGGAATTAGGGTAGTCTGCGCGATGGGGAAGAAATGGAGAAGTGCATTTCCCCAGTGTCACTAGATGCAAAGGAGACGCTTCTCCACGTGCGGGGATACGCCGGTTTACCCGGGGGCTGGGTAGTCTGGGCCTCAGAAACCCAACGTTGGTAGCGTTGGAAGCGTTAGTGTGAGATGAGCTGGAAATCGTTCTCCCAAGAGGATGGATGGCTCTTGTCGAGTAGCTACTTGTACGGATACCTACACAACTCGAGAAAAGTCTGATAGGTGTCGAGAGCTTCAAAGATCACTGTACGGGTGTTTCCTCGTTGTTTCTCCAGCGGGCCCATTCACATTGCCTCTTTGAAAAAGTTTGACGTTTCAAAGAGTCAGAACATTGAACAAAACACGCAGAAAGCCGCTGACAGAGGCCCTCAGATCGTTCGAGTCGCGGCGGCCCGACAGGCAACACCCATGAACCTGACGGCGCCTCTTTCGTAGCAACCATCCGCGGGAGTCCCTGTAGATCTGCCCTCTCGAACTTCCTTGACAGTTCTCTACGGAATCAATTTGTTTCCTTTTGCTGATTTCTTGCTTATGGATCCTACCCGCATACGCGTACAGACGGTCTCTACTCCCCTTAATATCGAAAAACGAATGACGCTCAATGGCCTGTCAAAACGAGATGTGTGTGAGGGCTATACCTGCGGCATTATCCTCGGCGTCATCTAATCTTTTTCTATCTACGACGTTGCACACATGACACCTTGGCATTCCCCAAATGGACACTTTTGAATTTCTTTCAACCACGGAACACGAGGTTTTAGACATAACCCGCGCTGGCTTACCGAAGATTTAGTGCAGAGGGGTATTGGGGTTTCGATGCGCTGCGTGACTTAGCTGCATGATGTTTTGCGCCCCCAAGAGGGGGGGTTTGAGCCTTGACGAACGCAAAGTCCGACTGACTCGGGAAATCCGGTTTCCTTGTCATGGCCCTTCAAAAATCTCTCCCGTCTGGGGACCCGCCGGCCGAAGCCAAGTCGGCGCAGCCGTCGATCATCACTTCAAAGACATATTGAGGCACTTTGTCTCTTTCGGTCCGTTAGTACAAGGGCTATCGCTGTCTTTTGCCCGCGGAGGATTCCGCCTGCTTGTCAGTCGTCCGATCGAGGAAAAGATATTGACGCTTTGGTCACCGCGGTCACCGCCTCGGGCACCACCGTAACGCTCCGTATGGAGACACGACTGGAGTAGAGTAGTCGTTGATATCCAGTGCGCTACAACAACATCCAAGAGATAATCCGTAATAAAGCCGCCTACAAATCCGCTGTGTTATGTCCGGACGGATAACCTCCGACAAGATCTCGGACCCGACGACACGGAGCTAAAGCTCAGGTTAGTACCAATCGTAGCCCCGGCTGGCGGCCATGGTGCCGGGTTTCCGTCATCCAATGCTACACGCAGAGAAGCATTTGATTCGGGCAATCGACTGTGGCTGTCGTAGTGGCTGTTCCTCCCAGTAAACCGAGCTTACGCAGGATCTTGAATCGATCATAGCAAGTGCTTCAAATTGCTCGCAAAGTCCATTTGAAGATGATTTCTGCAAGTCAATTTAGCGGTCCGAAAGACGATCCCCGCGAAGGTTTCGGACCGAGCCACCTCTCGGCACTAGCCCTCTTCATCAACTAAATCAGTGCCATGTTAGCGAGATGTACTCCCTAACACCTTGTATGCCTCGCCGCGAGAAGCATAGCGAAGACAGCGGATCTACAGGTTTAGCAGGTACATTGCAACGACTCACTTTGGAAGCTTGAAGCAACCAAGGGTTTGTTCAATCTAATAATTAGTGAACGTATCGAATTTAAGGCATTTCTTCAACTCGACTTCAAAGCCTGAGCCTTGATTCGGGAACAATCACCAGTACTAGGAATAGCTTCCGACAAGCCACCCTCGAAACATCATCACTTTTACCCCCAATGACCGCATCATGGATATGAATGCCTCAACCACGTCGCCCAGCTGGGCCGATTTTGCAACCCGGAAGCTGTCCTCATCGTTCCCAGCGTCAAATTCTGGCCTTTATTGGCTAGCCTTGCTCGTGATAGCTTCAGTTATCGCGGCACCACTCCGGCACAAGTTCCAAGACGCCGAGATCTATCCAGTCATCAACAAAACTAAAGAGGAATACTTGACTGGCGGCAGGGCCCTCCTCGCCAAAGGAGCCAAGGTATACGGGGGCAAGCCGTTCAGGGTTTTTACAGGGCAGGGCAGCACTCTCACGGTCCTGGCGCCCGAATTCTGTCATGATGTGAAGAACGATAATCGTTTAAGCTCGACGGAGTTCCTCCTGGCTTACTGGCAGGCCGGAACACCGGGGTTTGAACCGTACTTCAGCTCAGGAAGTGAGCTCATCCGTGAGATGATCCGGACTCATCTCACTCAGAGTGATGTCGGTAAGTCTGCAGAGCCCGAAAAGCCTCTCACACTTTGCTCACCTTGACCGTGCAGCCAAGTTATCGCAACCACTCGCAGACGAGGCAGCCAACGCTCTGAAAGACGTATTCACCGACAACGAAGGTACATCTCACTCCCCTAGTCCACTCAAGTTCTCTTTAACACCGCTCCAGAATGGCACGAAATCACCCTCGCCCCAATGGTCGCCCAAATCGTCGCTCGCGTCTCCGCCCTAGTCTTCCTCGGCCCCGAACTCTGCCGCGACCCAACCTGGCTCAACATCACAATAAACTACCCCCAGAAAGCCATGGCCGCCGCCAAAGTACTCCGATCCTACCCGGCTCCCACACGCCGCTTCGTACACTGGTTCCTCCCCTGCTGCCGCGAGCTGCGCCAGATGCTCCGCACCGCGCGGCAGGCCATCGAGCCGATCCAGCAGAAGCGGCGGGAGCAGGAGGCCGAAAAAGGGGGTGTGTCATTTGATAACGCGTTGGCGTGGATTGAAAAGCTGGCGAGGAAGCAGCAAGACCGGACGGCGCAGAATGCGGCGTTTCAGCAGCTTGGGTTGTCGATTCTTGCGAATGCGTCGAGTACGGATATGGTGTCGCAGAATTTGCTGGATTTATGCGTAAATCCGGAAGTGACGGAGGCGTTGAGAGAGGAGATTGTAAGGGAGACGAGGGGTGGGTGGAAGAGCTCTACGTTGTATAACTTGAGGCTCTTGGATAGCGTGTTGAAGGAGACGTTGCGTCTCAAGCCCATTGCTTCGGGTATGCCTTATCTCCTGCGCCATTGGTCTGTTGCTAATATCTTGACAGTGGCTCTTGGGAGGCGCGTGATGGAAGATGACGTGAAATTGAGCGACGGCGCTGTACTCCCAAAGACAACCGGCGTCGCCGTATCATCGGCGAACATGTGGGATCCCGTAAGACATTCCATCTCTTGCCGGCCATTCATCAAAATCCGATGGCTGACTTTCTCGAAACGCAGGAGATCTACCCAAACCCAGAAACCTTTGACGGTGGACGCTTCCTTCGAATGCGCGAGGGCGGCAACAACGAGCATTGTGCACAGCTCGCAAGTGTATCGCCGGAGCACATGGGCTTCGGGCTTGGTTCGCACGCGTGCCCTGGCCGATTCTTTGGCGCGAGCTCTGCGAAACTGGTCATGTCGCACATCTTGCTCGGGTATGAGTTCAAGCTGGCTGATGATGTTGACATGAGTACCGTTGAGCCTATGCGTTTTGGATTCTCGACTCTAGCAAATCCCAGAGCCAAGGTTATGATCAGACGTAGGAAGGATGTTGTCTAAGATTCGGAAGACGAAGAATATCTGATGCTTGCGTGGTATATCCGGTGAGAAAAGTATGAAGCTAGATGGCGAGTCTCTTGAAGTTGCTTTCTGATAGAGGCATAGAGAGAAGCTGGGTCTAGCAAGATGCTACAAAGTCGCTAAGTAACTTGGATGAAGGGGACAGACAAGGAAAATGTGTCACTGAAATATCAAGACCAATCTCACTGTTGCTCTGCATGAAAACTGCGTGCGATGTCGAGAATTCCGGGACTTCGGCTCGACGAGCAGTGAAGCGAAACCGAGAAACTTCTCGTCAATAAGATTCATTTTTGTGTAGCACCAATACCACGCAGCTAAGCTAGATATATTGATTCCCAAATTGATCGCGGAGCCTCTGAGCAGTCAGATTCTCAAGAACGGGAACCTCCGCCCAAGCGATTGGCGGAATATGTTTCCGCGCTTCGGGGTGCCAAGCGGGGTTGCCTCATGGTGCATAGCTCTCATCAGAGGTGGTCATCTTTGCTTGCCTTCCTTGCACTCCATCGCTTCTATCACGGTTACAAGATGAAGGCCTTGGCCGTGAATCCGAAAAAGACTCCGACCGATACGATGGTATGTGGTTGATTGCATCTGGGAACAAGGCCCGTACCCCGGGATGGAGGAGCAGCCGCATCTCAGCCCGCCAACACCAGCAAATACAGCATGCGTGGATAATCAACGGGGAATAGGCCAGGGACAGAGACAAGAGCTTGATAGCGGTGACCGTACATCAACCAATCCCTCGAGATGAGAAGAGCGGTACGGATGCGGCCGAGAAGCAGCAAGGGAGGGGCAAACCCGATCGACACGATGTCACTTGGCTCATGAATACGGAAGCTTACGATCCGGAGCGCCCATTGAAGCAGGCCATGTGTGCAGGAAACCTGCAGGACAAAACTTGGCGATGAATAGATAAATCACCAAAAGAAGTCTCACCACGTACACTTGCAAAGGTGCTGTTTGCTCGTCCCTCAATCGCTCACTTCACACCAAAGTCGTCGCCAAGATGAAGTCCATCCTAGGCATGGCCCTCTGGGCACTAACCCTCATCACCTCAGCTCTCGGCGCCGAAGTCGTCCCCCGCGCAACCTTCACCGAGGTAACAGACTACGGCTCGAACCCGACGGGCACGCGCATGTGGCTCTACGTGCCGCAGAACCTCGTCGCCAAGCCCGCCGTCGTTGTGGGCATCCACTGGTGTAGCGGCAGCGCGTCGGCATACTACCAGGGCAGCCAGTGGGCGCGGTACGCCGAGACGTACGGGTATATCGTCATCTACCCGCAGACGCCGTACACGCGCGACAACTGCTGGGACGTGGCGAGCAAGATGACGCTGACGCATGGCGGGGGCGGCGCGAGTAATTCGATTGCGAACATGGTGAGCTTTGTGATTGCGCAGTATGGGGCGGATAAGAGTAAGGTGTATGCGACTGGTATCTCGTCGGGTGCCATGATGACGGTATGTTCTGACATTTCCTGATCGCGCCATGCCCTTTCCCCGTGAAGGATGCTGAGAGTTGATCCTCATGGCATCAGAATGTCCTGGCGGCGACATACCCAGACGTCTTCGCAGCCGGCATTGCCTACGCGGGTGTTCCAGCCGGCTGCTTCATGTCCGCAGACGACATTCCCGACTTTTGGAACTCGACGTGCTCGACGGGCCAATCCATCTGGACGCAGCAGCAGTGGGCCAACGTCGTGTACAACATGTATCCGGGGTACACGGGCGCGCGGCCCAAGATGCAAATCTACCACGGCACGGCGGACGAGGCGCTCAACGTGCAGAACTACTACGAGACAATCAAGCAGTGGACGGGTGTGTTTGGGTACTCTGCGACGCCGCTGTCGACGACGGCGGACTACCCTAGGAGCCCGTATACCAAGTATGTGTTTGGGGAGAAGTTGCAGGTGAGATTTTGATGCTCTGATAAAACGGGTTGAGGTAGATTATTGATGCTTTGAGTGTAGACTTTCCTGGGTACGGGTGTGACCCATTCGATTGACGTGTTCCCGGAGGAAGACCTCAAATGGTTCGGATTCGTGGTAAGATTTGATGGGAACAAAGTTTTGGTGTAGCAAGGGACCATTGGGATCTGACTGCTGCTCTAGACACCAGTGAGCTCTTCGGCTGCGGCGACAGTTCCTGCGACGACGAGCCGCGCTTCCACGACGCTGCGAACCTCCACGGCGGCAGCAACGACGACCACGGCGGCCGGGGGATCCGGGACGGCACCTCAGTGGGGCCAGTGCGGCGGGATCAACTGGACGGGACCAACTGCGGTGAGTTGCCAGCATGAGAAGTCTTGGGCAGAACTGAGTGCTGACATTTGGGTAGTGTGCGAGTTCGTTCACGTGTGTCAAAGTCAATGACTGTAAGTGTTGATGATGCTTTTGGGTTTGTGTGAGTGTGCTGACGATGTGGTGAAGGGTATTCTCAGTGCCAGTGAGCATGGCCGTCGACAATGATTGTGTCGAGCATCGTCAGGCAGGGTGATGAAAGTCGGAGTCGAGATTCAGATTGATAAGGAGGAATGCTGTGAATAACAAAGAACCCCCTGTTTTCAGTCTCGAGGTCTAGATCTAGACTTCTAGAACACAGGCGAGATGAGGAAAAAAGAAGGATTCAGCTGGCCTTGGCCTTTCCTCATGATACTGCTCGCAGGTGCGTGGTAAAGGTGTTTGCTTGGATTGATGGTGAGGCAGCGCAGATGGAATGCGATGAGGTCTGCAAGCGGCCGTGCAGCAGCGAGGTCGGCCATCTTATGATGGTCTTTCTCTGAAAGGGGGGCGATTGAGGGTCCAGTCTAGGTCTTGGATTTGAGAGAGAAACCCTTTCCGAGAAACATGAACATTCCAGCGGCAAAAAGCAAGTATGTCTCGGCAGAGGGGACCGCGACGAGGTCTTGGTCTCACTTGAGACATACGCAGATTGAGACATTGGCCGATGAGTGAAGAAGTGTTGTGAATGACACCACCTGAGCCCCATTTCTGAGTGAAAGCGTGTTTGAGAGAGAGAGAGAGAGAGAGAGAGAGAGAGAGAGTGGGAGTGTGTGTGTGTATGTGTGTCTGAGGTTATTCTCGTCGGACCGCGATGCCCCATCAAAACAAACACACGTGGGTCATTGAGAGGCAACGGTTTGGTCATCACCTGGATGGCATGGACCACGTGATACTGACCGCTGGTTAGCATCGGACAAGACCCGATCGTTGCTCGGGCATTGGGTTGGCACGTTGGGTTGGGATCTTTTTTTGAATTTCGCTTCTGCAAGCCTGCAAGGCCTCGACTTTTCTCATTTTTTTAGTCTCTTTTTCAAGGGTCCGTCGGGGTGGCGTCATGAGCGGCCCCGCTGTGAGATTTCGTGTGAGAACCTGGAAGTGAGAGTGAGTGTGTTAAGTAAGCCCATGGGTGAGTGAGTGAGTGGGTCTCATCGTGAAGAATAAGAGTGACATTGACAGACACCATTGGAACCAAAAGCAGAGGTATGCGATCCCAACGTCCAGATTCGCAAGTGTCATGTAAAAGACATGTCTAGGACAGATCCATGATGACGAGCAATCTACTACACACCGAGATAGATCTGTGGAGGGTAACGTGATCTCGTGTCTCTCCCCTGTCTGAGCTTGGTGTCTCACCCCACAAGGTCAAGGGCCGTGAGACTCGAGAGAAGTCCAAGTGTCGAATTGTCGGTCCTGTCATCACTCACTTGCACCTTTCTCACCGCCACAAATCTGGCGGCAATGCAGCATTTCCTCTTGTCCGGGGGTCATCATTGAACATCCCCACAGCGAGGCAAAAGTGTGTGGTGCGTGGCCGGGTGAACAGTTGGTCAAGCTAGGCGCCCCCCTTCTGGTGGCCATTGGTGCTGTTCTCGCGGCCCCAGAAGTCGCGCTTGTTCCTGCGGACTGACGTATCGTCTTCTCACGATCCTTGGTCTATGGGTGAGAGGCTGTGGAGAGCAAGATCAGAGAAAGTCTGAAGGAGAGACGCCCTTAGACTCCATGCGGCATAGCTTCCTCCTCTCTGCAGACTGGGGTGTCTTTCTTGTGATCCCGCTCTTCTCCCGTTGGTTCCTTTTCATTTCGTCCTTGTCTCTTCCTCTTCCCCCTTCCCCACCCCCGCGATAGACGACGACTTCTCACATCATCCTCTCTTCACCGCACCATTGTCTCTTTTGCCCATCCATCCCATCCATCACAAGTATTCCTCTATCATTCTTTCGCTCTGTGCATTGTACTCGGCTACCCACCCATGCATGAATCCGCAGTGGGGTCCGCAAGCGGCTCGAGCTTCAACCAAGTCATTGCCCACCAAACATTGACCGACCTTGAAAAACAACGTTGAAGCTTTTCACACTTTCTCCCACACCACACCCAACCCAACCTCATCTCTCCAATTCCACTCCCCACGATCCCATGACTACACCTGCGACCGCATCCTCGTAGTCCGCGAGTCCCAAACCCCCAAACTTGAACCGAGGCAATTCCCTTCCTCTGTGTCTGGCTCTCCTCTCCACCCGACCTCTTCTACATCCTTCTCCATCGTTTCAATTACATCTTTGCATAGCCCGGGGATGCTCACAAGCATAGACTTCAGCCCCAATTTCTTCTAGCCCCCCAGCATCCGTCGTTGTTGTTTTACCCCAAATTCTTCCACACAACAGCATCATCACCACATCATCACAATCACCACCAGACTTGATCAGCAGCCCGCAAAACATCGCCATGTCCGACACACCCTCGTCCACGGAGGAGCGGTTGCGCACCGCCGTAATCGCAAACCACCTCCCTTCAGGTTACGGCACCAGCTTCGACGGCACACGAAACCTCTCCAACGGTGACCTTGCCCACGTAACCTCCAACTCGGCTCCGAACCTCCCCGCTACCGAGAATGACGACCTCAACGGAAACGACGTCGAAGAGGCATCCTCCCTCCTCCTCCCCGGTGGCGATATGCATCGCGATCTTTTCAAGATTTCGGCTAGAGAACAAACCTTGAAGCGCGCCCAGACCTTCTCCCACCCGCGCCGCACCGAGTCTGGTCACGAATCCGACCTTCCCGCGGCCGAGATGCTTCTGCCCCAGGGCTTCCGTCGCCAGTTTGTCATGCAAAAACACAACTACACTGCCGCCACACTGCCCATTACCCGCAACTTTGTCGAGTTTCTTGACTTCTACGGTTCCTTTGCCGGTGAGGATCTCGCCGATTCAGACGAGGAAGCCATTGTCTCGGACGATGAGGATGAAGAGGAGGCACATGATAGACCCCGCGGTGCACCCACCGAGACGCGTCCGCTGCTGGGAAGACGGCGGTCCTCGCGCTTCGCCAAAAAGGCCGGCGACGCCAGCACCACAAAGACCTTCTTCACCACCCTCAAGGCCTTCATTGGCACGGGTATCATGTTCTTACCCAAGGCCTTCAAGAACGGCGGTATCCTCTTCTCCTCCCTGACTATGCTCGTCGTCGCTGCCATCTCCATGGCCGCCTTCCATCTTCTCCTCCAGTGCCGCACCCGCTACGGCGGTGGTTATGGTGACCTCGGCAAGGAGATTTCTGGCCCGCGCATGCGCTCCCTCATCTTGGCCTCCATCACCCTCTCCCAGATTGGCTTCGTCTGCACCGGTCTCGTGTTTGTTGCCGACAATTGGTTCTCCTTCTTAAAGGCAGTCACAGGCGGCGCGAACCCCCTCGACTCAACCGCCCTTATCGCCTTGCAGGCCGCCGTCATCGTGCCCCTTGCCTTTATCCGCAACATCTCCAAGCTTGGCCCCGCCGCCCTCCTCGCCGACGTCTTCATCATCATCGGCGTAGGCTACATCTGGTGGTATGATATTTCGGCCCTCGCCACCCGTGGCATGGATCCCTCGGTCAAGCTCTTCAACCCGAGCTCCTACACCCTCACCATTGGCGCCTCAATCTTCACGTTTGAGGGCATCGGCCTCATCATCCCCATCCAGGCCAGCATGAAGAAGCCGGAGCACTTTGAGCCCCTATTGGCGGGCGTCATGCTCCTCATCACCTGTGTCTTCACTTCTGTTGGCGCCCTCTGCTACGCGACTTTCGGAGACAGCACAAAGATTGAGATTATCGACAACTACCCGCAAGACAGCCGCCTCGTCAACGCCGTGCAGTTCATGTACGCACTCGCTGTCCTCGTCGGCAACCCCGTCCAGCTCTTCCCCGCCATGCGTATCATCGAGACTAAGATCTTTGGCTACCGCTCCGGGAAGAAGGATCTCTTGACAAAGTGGAAGAAGAACGCCTTCCGCACCTCCCTCGTCGGCCTTTGCATCGCAATTTCCATTGCCGGCTCCGCCAACCTCGACCGTTTTGTCGCGCTCATTGGATCATTTGCGTGCGTGCCCTTGGTCTACATTTACCCGCCCTACCTGCATCTCAAGGGCATCGCCGAGACGAGAAACCAAAAGATCTGCGATTACGCCCTCATGACCCTCGGTCTTGTCGGTATGGTGTATACCACCGCCATTACCTTGGCCACCAGCTTCCTGTAGAAGCGTATAAAGACGTAGAGTCCAGAGTCACCCGAGACAGACTTGAAAGACTTCAAAAGACTTGTTAGAGTAAAAGGCGGATGGTGCCGGAGCGTTTGAGCTTGTACATGTGTATGTTTACGACCGGAAAACAAAATTAATACAGCGTAGAATTTATGTTCATTCACCTTTGTCTACCTTACCAGATGCAATATGTGTTTACTCCCATGCAGATGCTCTAATCCTCCCGCCATCGAATAGACCATTCCCCCTTTGCAAAGCTTGGCTCAACCACCTTGCCTTGTCTCACAGCCTCACACTTTCTCCTCTCCTCGCCATCACCTACGAGAAACCCAAACACAACACCCCTCCTGGCAGCACACCGCACCATCTCCCTCTCATGCGCCCTCCTCTGCCCCTCAGCCCTCTTCTCCCTCATCTCCTCCGTCTCCTCAACTCTCTCCGCCCGCCCCTTCTCTCCGCCAACGCTCCCATTCACCTGGCTCTGCGTCTGCGGCGGCCTCACCCTCGTCCCGCTGCGCACGGAAAGACTCGCCTGTACGCTGGGATCTAGCTCTGCGGATTTACTCCGGTCAAGACCGAGCATCTCGTCGATTATATCCTCGCCTGCGTCCTCGTCGTAGGAGCGTCGGTCCTGGATGGAGATGTCTTCGTCGTCGGAGGATCCTTCTTTTCCAGGAATGACGCGCGAGGCGCGGTTTTTGCCGCGGCCGTAGACTCTGTCTGGTGCTTTTCTCTCGCCAAAGAAGGATTCTTCGACAACGTCGCAGGGGACGAGGATGCGGGTGTCGCCCTTTGTCTTTTTCGTTTTCGCTTTTGCGTCATTCTGGACTTCCTCATCGCCTTGGAGGAAGCGGACAAATACTTGTTCGATTTCCTTATCTAGGCGGCTTGGTTTCTTTGCGCGGCAGCGGGAGGAGCAGTATTTTGCTTCGCCGGCTGACTTTGACGTCTCGGATTTGACCTTGTTGGAGGACGACTTGGAAGATGCGGCTGCTGACGTGGTTTTACGGCTGGAGATGACGCGGCCGCAGGTGCGGCAGTAGGATGTTTGGTCGCCGTTGGGGAGGAGGTAGAAGGGCGCGGGCGTGGCTTGAGATTTGCCTGGCCGGGACCAGGAGTCCATCCAGCTCATTGTTGTGGTGTGGAGGACGGTGCGATGTGTGAGTGTATGAGGGATGAGGGTGAGGGGGGTCGTGGAGATGGCGGGAGCTCGGCTGGATAGTCGGAGGGCTTGGTCGAGCAGCCGAGGTCGAGGTGGCATCTAAAAGAGAGTATTGAGGGCGGTGATGGTGTTTTGGGGGTTAAAGAGACAAAGAGAAGGGAGTCAAATTGGGGCTCGGAGGTGATTGACCAGTGAGCTACGTCATCGATGTCAGTCCCCAATTGACCAATCATCGTCTCTTATTACAGCGTCAGCCATGAAGCACAACGTGAGACCTTAGCTCTGCTATAAGCAGCTCAATTTTGTTCAAATGATAGCATGCTTCACTTAGCCACATCACTTCGTAATAGAGGCCTGGCCCACTGGTCTCGGTGAACACGCTTGTTGTTTCAACATTTGTTGTTTGCAAGTTTCCATGCGTTTTGGTTAGAAGAATGGAACGGTGGAAAGAAGCCATATGACCAACTTCAGTCCCTTTGAACAGTGGCCTTAGAAAAGCATATATTTCTAATTTGAGGCCGTTACATTGTAGAATCTTGAGAGCATCATGTGAATACCTTCATCCTCGAGTCAGTGAATGAGTGGGTGGTGCATGTCCACTGCACTGATGTGAACTTCAACAGATAATCCTCATAGCCTCACAGCATCACTTCCCTGGTTGATTTCTGCAAGGGCTTTTATGCTTAATTTACTCTATGCTTTTTATGATGCTGTAATTTCATGTGTATCACCTCAGATATTTCGAAAAGGTAGCTGAATCGTTCCTTCGTCTCAACCATTAGGCCACCCTTCCTCTTACGCACCACCTCACCCCCTTCCTAGGACGAAATTCCGTCGCACTTCGCTATCGTCCCTTCCCTCAATTTGGCGTTACCGAGGGAATCATTAGGGTTTCTTGGTCACGGAACATGGAGCAGGGCAAGTAAGCTGTGGCGATGGGCTTTGGTGTCTGTGGTTGAGAACTAACTGGAGGCTAGCGAGGTTGAGTTGAAAATTTTAGATCAAAGCTCCACAATGCTGCTATAGCATCGTGGATCACACGAAAGAATTTTGTGTCCTCCGCTTAGTCTCCCCTGAAGCAGATGCCCCCAACACCTGCTCAACCATATAATCCACCTTCCTGCGAATACCCCTCACTGGCTGCAACTCCGTCTCGCTATTCAGCGCCAACCCGTAGCTCTCGCGGCCGGCCAGGCGTTCCCCGCTCCGCTGCCATCACTTGGACCGCAACAACTTGCACGACCCTCCAATAGTCTGCAAAGCGTACTTAGACGGCGCCTGCCGCCCCGTTCGCTGCGACTTTTGCTCAGCAGGAACCGGAACGCGGACAGCGTGGTGACGATCATGCTGACGATGGACTCGACGTAGCTCTATATTCTCAACAGCATCGGACCTTAGCGACGGTTGTCAGGTCATTTGCTGTGTCACTAATGGCTTTAGTCACTTGCGGGAGGCGGACGAGGGCGAAAATGATGATGATTGCGCCGAGGGAGACTGTTACGATTAGCTGTCCGACCGTAAGGCCTGCTGACAGAATTTAGGGATTGACGCTATAGATCAGATGTCGTATCGTAGTTCTAGGTCGCAGGTTGTAGGTCGTGGTAGATCAAGTCCTTGGAGGCTAAGGTGATTGATCTTAAACTCAACAAAATATGGTATACACTGGAACGCTTGCCTCTTGTGAAATTTATTTCTAACTCTAACCCTCATGTTCAGAGGTTGAGATCTAGAGCTTACATGTAGGCGAGAAGCTGCTACTATTTCGTTCTTTTAGGCCGTTTTAGTAATTAGGATAAGACCCTCCCTATTATTATGGCTGGCTAGTCTTAGTGAGGTATGTTTACAGAAGTTAAGGCTAAGGTACTAATGATAGTATCGCAGTTATAAATAGCCTTAAAGGAGTTATATCTTTAAATTATAGAATGAAGTCGAGCTTAAGTAACTAATTTTATATTACGACCTAATATATACAATCCCGATTTAGTAAATGATGTTGTTACTGTCAACCTCACAGGAGCAGCTCGCTATTAAGAACTAAACATAAACTTTGTTGACTCAAATTGTTCCTTCGCGTTAATCCCTCGATGACTGAATTTCTGGTACTCGGTGAACCGTTACTCCCAGTCTGGTTCGACCTTCCAGGCATCACTGGGCTTGAGTCCAGCTGCCCCAAAATCACATCCCTTGTGCCCCCATTTTCTGCGAAAAACTTCTTTTCCGGCTTCTGTGATCACGTTTATCCCATCCTGAAACCCAAGAGCATCGTAGGCATACGGCTCACGGGGGTCCCCTCCCCTCTGCCCCAGCTGCCATGTGTTCCGACCACGATCTCCTTTCTTATGAATCAACATCTCGTGGCTGATCTGGTAAAGCCTTCTGAAAGACTCGAGAGCCATGGTGTCAGCCGTGGAGGCAGTTCCACCCCGGCTAGGCGGAGGGACATCGCGTATTTTGGTCTCCTCGTGGTAATCTTCGGGGATGTCCGGCGGCGGTGGATTCGGATCCGTGAAGCCAAGTCCTTCAGGTATTATGTCGCCTTCCCGGTATAATACGCGCAAGTCGTCCAAAACGGACGCGACATCTTCGACGATGCCTGCCTTTTCCTCTTTGATATTCCAACCTGCCTCCTCGAGCCTCCAGTACATATCGCAGTCCGTCATATAATACGGGATAAAAGTATCGAACCCACCAACACTATCAAGAGCATGAGGATTTACTAAAGTAAGGTGATCATACGCAAAAAATGTTACCCCCCATGTTTGGTTAGAGTTGACCGTATGGTTAAGCGCTTTTACAGCGAGTTCGTAGATTGTTTGATAGTCAGGCGTATTAACCGGGCCCGAGACTCCCTCCATTCCTTCTTCGTACGACAGCACGAACGAATCCATATGGCTCCAAAAGTAGTATGGCCACAACTTTTCTCTTGCTAAGAAACCAAAGTAGTTTTGTAGTTGGGCGAAGCTGAGTAGTACAGGCGTCCGTACTACGTTAACGTTAAGTATACTCAGTTGTGTATAGTTTAGAAACAAAGGGTTTTGTAACGATAACAGTCCTTTTGCGTTTGAGTCATGTACGCCGGTGTTTTCCAGTACAAAGATCTGATCCGCCGGCCAGCCAGCTGTAATATATCCTACGACTGTCTGTAGTAGTAGTGGCCAGCTACGCGTGAAGCTGATCAGCAACGGTGGGGCGACGGGCAAGCCGTATGCAAGGTAAACATTAGGCTCCTTCGGCCGATTCCAAGACGGGACTGGCGGTGGATTCGTTGTCAGCGAAAGGAGTGGGAACGGATCTTTGACGGGCGGCGGGCTCCATGTCGGCTGAGGCTTGTACTTTGGCTTCGATTTCTGTAGCGCCGGTGTCGATTGTGCCGGTGTCGGATCCGTGGTTGTGATAGCTGGTAGTGTGCCGTTGTCGGTGTTGGTATTGTTGATGGAAATGATGTCCTCGGCGACGCTGGGAACAACGGTGTAGCCGAACTCGCGTTGGTAAACCAAGAAGACGAAAGAGACTGCAAGCAGAATGTAGAGAGCAGGCAGTAATAGCTGTCTCGAGCGGAGCGCTGTCAATGAGAGCGTCCGAGTTACTGCCATCCACGCCATTGCTGGATACGTCGTGGTGAGATGGCTATGGTGGCATTGGATGTTTTTGATGCTGGGACGAGTACGGCCAGATATGACATGTGTTCTCCTGAAATTTGAAGCGACATATGCAGGTTGAAATTCTCAGCCCTGCCGGAGGCATCCTTTTCATTGCGCCACAGGAAAATTTCAGACGAGGTCAGATCAAGCTGAGGATAACTATTGGCCGAGATGAAGTATGAGGAACGGGCGCGTTTCTATGTCTAGCAGCCCAGTCACAAATGACATAAGTTATTCCTCCAATCATCGAAAGCCTCCCGCCGTTTAGGCAATCTGCTGCCCTGCGGCTCCAAGCATCCCGTGCTGACGTGAGAGACAGCCTGCTCAACCGTCGGGGGCTGTATGCACAGAGGTGGGGGCTGATTTACAGCCTCTGATAAGGTTGGAACCAACAGACCAAGGCATCCCGACCCGTTTGACAAAAGGCATTGGTTATGTTTCATTTTCTCCTTGAATGAAAGTCGACTTGCCTCTGCTCAACTCGGCAAGTACTTATAAAGTGAAGCTCGCCCTGGATCTCATCTCTCTGAACTACAGAGACCGAACGCTTCGTTGGTCTACCAGGAGCGATGTCGTCATGTACAGGGTTCTCGACCCCACAGGGAAGCGAAACACTCCACAAAGGCGATAACTTTACCATCTCATAGTCAGGTGGTTTTGTACCTGATGTACCGAATGTGAGCGATGTGTGCACCTTTCGCCTCCAAATCAACATCCCACGAGCTCAGAGAGTAGAAACAATTCTCAGTAAGTTCGGTAACATGAGGAGTGAGTTATGTAATGACGGCTTATTATACTCAAGATTCCCACAACTTTACCTATGAGACTCAGGCCTGGTATCCGATTGCAGGCTGCTCCGGTGGTGCCTATACCCAGATGTCGTATGACTGGACGATTCCGCAAGACCTTAACCTTACAAATTCCGAATTTACGCAATGTTCGATAACATTTACCAACCTGACGTACGACGAGTATAGTAATCAAGCTCAATCGTTCGACAGCAACCTGTTCTACATCAAAGCGGCAACAGCTACGACCTCGAGCGCTGGGCCCACTACCACGATAAGCACAACAACTCCCACGCCAAGCCCTGAGCCCTCTCTTTCGACCGGTGCAAAAGCTGGCATTGGTGTTGGTGTTGCTTGCGTGGTATTATGTTGTGTTCTGGGTGCATGGTTTTCCATAAAGAGAAGGAGGAGGAAGACAACTGTTGGTTCCGAGAGGCCAGTTGAAGAACAAATCTCTGGTTACGTAAAGGCAGAAATGGACGCCAATGAAACTCGGCAACGGGCGGAGTTGGATGCAGGGGAAAGCGGGACGCATGTGGCCCAAAAATGTGACACGCTGCACAAGGCATCGGAAAGAGAACCAGTGGAGCTAATGGGATGAACGAGGTGCATATTAATGTTTTCACAACGGTCGAGCTAGGTGCTAGCCTGAGATCTCGCGTCCTATCAATCCAGTTTGGATGTTTGATGGTCTGATTGTGAGTCCGGCTATTTTGACTATATGCCACCGTCAGTAGCCGGTAGACGCTTAAATAACTGGCTATTTATACGGTTATATTATCTTATAATCGTAGACATCCGGTAATAGCTAATTTACAGGCGCTACTTTTGTACAGGCGCCGCCGTCTAGTTCTTTCATTATCTAAAATTTAGAGTATTTCTTTCATAAAGGCGATTAATTAGAGAATGTACATTAATAGCCTTTGTGTATTGCTCCGAACATCATCATCGAAATCTACAACAACATTAATATTTAGACCAATAGCGCTCCTTAACCGCTAGTTCCAAAACTCGGCTAGTCTTAGGACACAATTAGCTTCTCTTATGAAAAGGGGTGTTCGAAGACGGGCGGCAGAGACTCTACTAGCCAAATGACCAATGTATGTCAATCCCTCGGCCACAGGCCTCCCTCTCTCTAAATGGCACCGAAGGCTAACTTGTCTCTCTCTTACAGGACTCCCACCTTACTTCTTAGTTATATAAGTACAGCCAAGCTACAATTTAGGAACTTCTAGTTACGTATCTCTTACGGACAGCATAATGGAGGACACTCGCACCAAAAATACCAAGGACTGCGTCCGCTATAGCAAGGCGTGCAACAAGGCCAGCCGTCGCGATTTCCCCTGCAATTGTGCTCCCTACTACACCACCAGCGCAGCGCGCGGCTGGTCTTTCGCACGTCTGTCCGTAGACGACGCGGCCTTCTTTCTCACTCACGTCGATTGTATACACATCAGTCCACGTACCGACGAGATCTCTTTGGGATACAAGACCTCGTGTTTAACAAAGCCAGTTGGATGATTCCGAAAAAGGCTTCGATGTCCAGACAGACCTTAAGTTCAAGGGCGTCGTGCTTTTGCGGGATGGGGCGAGGCCGCTTCGAATCAGACCAACTACGGTCCCTAATGTGACTCGCTCGCAAGCACCGTAATCGCCCTGCTATTTAAATACATTGTCAAGACTGAAAGAAAGCAATTTGAGCTAAGGAGAGAATTAGCTGGATCTATTCACAGCTTTGGCATGAGGGTTTGAGGATCACATCTCGACGATGGCTTTTCGGAAGCGATTAAGCATAATCAGTAACCGAATCTGGTTTCAAAAGGCTAAATCAGCAATCTTAGATTGGAAGCAGCATCAGCAGACATCTACAAAATCATTTTCATTGCAAGCTCCTACCTGCCGCGATTGAGTGACTATCTACAAATTAAAGGTGCTCGCGTAGATTTCGGGACGTAAAATGTCCGACATCATATATGTGCAAATTGCAGGGTTGATCATTGAAGATTTTGGTATTTTTACAGTCGCAACTTGGTATCTTGGCTAGCAGGGTATGTACAGCGATGCGGTGCAAGGTATGTCCAGACACAGTATAAAATACAAGAAAAAGCTTTTCCCTTCCAGAGGCATATGGAGCTCAGCTCTCGAGGCGGCAGCAGCACATTTACTGACCGAAAGTGAACTCGGGGATATCAATGGTGGTGACGGTCCAGGTCTTGCCGCCGTCGCTGGTAGACATGTCGCCGGTGACGCCGTTGCCCTTGCCCATGGTGTTGATGTAGTTGGCGTCGGCCTTGTCGAGGATGATCTTGGTGTTGATCCAGGCTGTGGGAAGAAGTTGTCAGGAAACTGTTGTGGTGATGGGAGCCGGGAGATAGGTAGAGGGTGGAACTTACAGTGAGCACCGACAGTGCCGCAGTCCTCGGCGGCGCACTCAACGGCGCTGCCCCAGCCTTGGGCCTCACCGTCCTTGGTTGAGAGGGTCGCGACGACCTTGTCGTTGATGGAGACGGTCTGAGTGTAGTTCTGAGAAGCATCATCGAACTTGTCTACAGGTTCTCCGTTAGCAACACGCCACAAGTTTTTTCAAGTTCAGAGGGGCAACTTACAGTGCATGGTGATCTTGTCACCCTCGGAAGCATCCGTGCCCTCAGTCTGAACAGGCATCTGGGAGTTGGCACCGGTGCTTAGAAGAGTGTACGCGAAGATGGACCACTTCCCGGTACCGGTGTTGTCGTAGTTGGAGCTGTCGGCAATGGACTGGATCAGGTCGCCGTTGGAGGTGCCCATGCCGACCCAGAGGGAGGCGTCGCCCTTGTTGTTGGAGGGGGCGGCGGGGAGGACGAGGGTGGAGGTGGCTTCGCGGATGAAAGAGTCGGAGGCGACGGGACCGGTGCTGAAGGCCGGGCCCATGGCGGCCTGGACGCCGGCGACGGCGGTAACCGCCAGGGCGGAGAGCATTTGGGTGGTGGAAGGCATCTTGGCGGTAAGAGAGGGTTTGGTTAGAAGTGAACGTTGGTAGTTGGGGAGTGAAAAAGAATGACTGGTTGTGAATGGTAAATGGGCTGCGAATGTCTGAATGAGGACATCGAATGCCGAGGAGGTTGATCTTCTTTCTTTATATACAAGCTTGATTGATGATGTACCCATGCTGCCTTATTGGTGGAATCATCCAGACAGGCGGTTGCCATGACCGTTCATATCATCTCGAAATGGATTCTCTCGCCTCTGGATCCAGCAATGTTTCAACGATACAGCTTTTTAGTGGGTTGATGGTACGGATGGATGGGCTGGACAGGCGCGGGTAACGCAGGGCAAGGCAGGGTAACAGCAGCTCATGTTGGCTCGCCCTCGCTCCTCTTTGAGAGATCACTAAACTCGTGGGCCAGGAGTCAAGTGCCTAATTATTTCCCTTTGTGGCGAGATCTACAGAATACGGTCAATGGACCCGGAGGACGTTGCCGGCGCCTGGTGTAACACGTCTGGGCCCTTTTGTTGTTTAGATCAGGGATTCCCTGTATTTGGGTGCAACGGAGTAATCCAGATTGTCTCCACAGTACAGTATCCGAATGCACCTTACGGGACGGAGAGTAGTTACTATGAGATGACACTGGATCGTTGCAATGATTCAGTAAAAGTCGGCGCAGGTTATTAATCGGTGGTCGTCTGAATTGAAGGTGTCGCGTGTCTACCCTATAGAAGCCGCGTATAGGTTTTGTTTTCGTATGCTTTACGATATTTTTGACTTTCTTGGCTGCCATCGAAAGACCACATGCAGCAGATTTACTGCCTTGTCACTGCTGGACAATGCAAAAACCTTCTACTCTCTACAAATGATACTTCTCGGAAACAGGCACGCGCTGGCCATGTCGGGGGCCGTGTTGCCGTGTAAGAGGCCGACAGCAACCCAACGCCAATTTAAGTGACGCGCGAGTTTAATCAACTTGCCGCGGAAACTAACAGAAATAGGCGCCATCTGTGCTCATCACTACGGCGAAAAGTTGCCCCCTTTGTCTCCACTGGGCACCACCACACGGGGTGACGGCACACACACACACACAAGTTACAACACCCCAACTCCATGTCCCGTTGCAAGCGAAATTGATCTTAGCTGACAAAGTGGATGGGCGATGATGACACAGGACGACCTGGCAGCATGTCAGGAGTCGTCCGAAACGACGAAAAACCAGTCAATGATGGGGCAATACGAGAATCCCTACATGTCCCAGTCTGATCGGTACTGGTTCCTGTATCCGTATGGGTATGCGGTAATACTGTACAGTACTCGGTACTCGGAATGATTATTACATGGTTGTCTCCTGGAAGAAATCCCCACGATTCACGGAGAATGGGCGTTGGCCAAGCGGCCAAGCGGCCAAGGTCGATCTACGCTACTCTCCCCCTGAACTCCCGTCTTGGGGGTTCTCGCCTTTTTCTTGCCGCATTCGGATGACGGCAAGCATCCGGTACCCCCTTTCAGCCTCAGAGTCGCTTCTCGAAGATCTTGTTCTTGGCTCATTGTTGCGACGAACTGCTTGACTCACACGCTGTTGTGGTGCTTGAACTCAATTGCACCACCATCGTCATGGACCGAACTCCAACTGTAGCGTTTTGAGTTAAGGTAAAGTCCGCTAACTACGATTACCCGAAACTCTGATGCGCAACGGCTGACACCAACAACGAGAGGAGAGCATCATTTCTGCTCGGCTTCCGGAAGTGTGGGGGACCCAGTAAATTGGTGGATTTGGACAATCACCAAAATGAAGCCTGTGGGAAACTTTGTTTAATTCTGGCTCGAAAGACATGTACCCATCGCAAGTAACATCAAATCGTAGACCCATGACGATGCCTTTGTCAATCTAACCCAACTTCTTCTCGAAGACAAGAGTACAATCCTCGCTCATTGAGCACGGATGCTGGCCGGTACACCGAGGTCACTGAGAATGTTTTCCTTGCGCTGCTTGAGAAGGTAGTAGTACTGTCCCAAGTCAATCGGGTTGTTGACTGCAGCGTCGCCCTTGTAGGTGCCCTTTCCGTGGCCGTCAAAGTGAACCTTCCAGGCTGTTCGGGTTGTTAGCATTACTCATGGGATTAAGAATGACTCGAGGATTGCACTTACTGCTCGCATCAAAGCCAAGGTACGACCAACTATCGTTCAGGTAGGCCTTCTCGCTGCCTACCTGGATGGTCTTGACAACGCCCATCTGGCCCGGTGCCGGGCGCAGCTGCTTGAGGTCAGCGGCGAGCTTGACGAGTCCAACGACAAACGTCGTGGCAATGTCCTTGGCCAAGCACTCGTGCTGGCCGTAGCTGAAGGCAGAGACCTCCTCGGCCTTGCGGTTGGCGTCGAATTTGTCGGGGTTGGAAATCTCCTGAGGGTTGCGTCCAGCGCCGCCCTAAGAAGGATACTAGTCAGCAACGACTCGAACATCAACAGTAAACAGCAGAGGCTCACAAGAAGCATCACGACTGCAGTACCCGGCTGGATCTGCTTGCCGTCAATCTCAGCTGGAGCTGTGGCAACGCGCACGTTGCGCTGTCCGCTGGTGAGACGCTGCGCCTCACGAACGTAGGCGTGAAGTCCTGCATCGTCCTTGTTCTGTGCAAGGTTCTGAACCTCGGCCCAGATGGAGGCGTTCTCGGGGCGCAAGAAGAAGGACAATACTTCGTAGAACTATTGCAAGTGTCAGTCCGCAATAACTTCATCAATGCTGGAAAGGAGGAAAGCTTACAGTCGTTACAGGAACACCGATACCGCCAAAGGCAGTCAGCCACATGTTGTCGACAACCTGATCAACCGAGTTTCCTTGCGCCAAGAGCTCCTCGACAAACTTGTAGCCACACGACCGCAGCGAATCCTTCTTGAAGTTGGCCCGGCGACCGACCGCGCTGGAGATGGCGTTGGCGATGCCAAAGCCCAGGCCACGACCGGCGTGGACCTCCTTGACGGGACCGGCTGTCGATTCGATGATAACGTTGACGCTCTCGATTGCGCGGCGGCGACGGTTCCAGGACTGGGCTGGGTCGTTGTCATTGACTCCCCAGATTCGGACGTTGAGCAAGTGATTGTAGAGCTCAGCGGCGCCGAGGGTACCGCCGGGGTTCTCATCAGTGCGCAGGTCGAAGTAGAAGAGATCAGCAAGAAGCTGAGCATTCAGTGGGATAGCAACATCGCGGATGATGTCCATCTGGTGGAGGCCCTCCTTCATCTTGAATGTCTCCTTCTTGACGAGCTCTGCGCCGACGCGGTCAATGAACTCATGGATCGCGTTGTGCAGAGTCGGGATCTTGCTCAGCGCCTTCTTGATGTTGATGCGGTGCTGGTAGTTCTTCTGCTCGTCACCCGCGAGCATGAACCAGCTGATGTCTCTCTTAGAATTCGTGAACATGGCTTGCAGAGGTCTGAGCCATGGCAGGACGAACTGCTTGGGGTTGCTCAAGACATATTTGATGGCTCCGCTTGTCTGGGTGACGATGGCCTTGCGTGGAGGTGTCGGGTCGTCCTGGGTGTACAAATGCAACGTGCCAATCTCATCGGCAATGGTCGTGTTCATCTTCTTGGTGTACATGGGCTGCATGACGGCGATGGAGTTGTAGGGGAACCAGTTGGGCAGACCTCGCTGAATGAGCTTGTACAGCATCGAACCACCGAGGGTCTTGTAATCCTGCTGGACCTCGTTGAAACCCCATGCTGTCAGGTTGCTGACGGTGTAGTCGATGGTGTTGAAGCGATCTGAGCGGACAAGAGTGACGGCGTCGGAGAGCACAGCTCGGCCGACAGAGTATGTCGGGCAGATACCGCTGCCAGTGTTTCGAACCGGCTTGATGTCCTCGATCATGAGTCCTGTGGAGTGTTAGTCATCTCAAAAGGTAAAATTCGGCTAGAGATGTATTCTTACCAGGGTAAAGCTCGACCATGTCGGGGTCGGTGTAAAGCTTCTCAAGAAGGCTGGCGATGTCGGGGTTGGAGTTGATATCACTGAACTTGTCGTACTTCTTCAAGCCAAAGAACTCTCGGAACTCGTTCAGCGACGCAACCTGCCACTTGCGCGCCTGGTTGATACCGAGAACCTCGACGATCTTGAGGGCCTTGGGAACCATGCGAGCACCGAAGCATCCGGCCGGGTCATTCATGGCCTCCTTGAGAATCCTAGCCAGATCCTCGTCCTTGAAGGTGCCATCCTCTTGTCTCTGCAAATCGTCAAAGGTGCGGACGCTTGGGTCCTTGGGAATATTCGCCTCGTAATCAACGAAAGCCTCGCCCAGCTCTTTTATGCTGACGTTTTGCAGGTCTTCGGGCTTCTTGTCCTTGAAAATCTTGCCAAAGAAGCCGTCAATCCATTTCTCATCCTTCTTTGAGATGCAAGAGTGGAAGCGATACAGCAAGTTGAACTCGACACTAACTTGGTTGCCGACGCCACGGGGCACGCCATCGCTATCGAATTGCTTGTTGATCTCGACGCGAGGGTCCAGAGTCCAGTCACTCTTGGAGTGGTGCGTGTTGGTGATGGCTCTCAAGTAGTCGTGCAGTGAGATATTGATGTAAAGACCGCCCACAATCAGACGCGCCACGTTGAAGAGGTCGTGGTCCTGCTTGGCCACAGCCTTGGCCTTCTCGATGTCGGTGGCGTCGGCCTTGGTTTGCAGTGTGAAGCGTCCGTTCTCGTTGATCTTGAGCAAAATGTCGGCGACGTAGTTGTGGAAACGAGAGTACATGACCAGCATCACATTGACACCAGCGGGTTGTCCCAGAAGGCGCTTTTCGTGGAATGTGTCGGGCTTGAGCTTTCCCTCCTTCATAGTTCTGACCTCAAGCTGGTCCTTGAGTGATGAGCCGTACAGGGGTGCTAGATCGAGATACGACGATGTGTCGCTCTTGTTCATGTCGGTGCGGTTGGTTCTGAAGATGTCATGGATGATGATGGACGCATGATAGAACAGCATCGATGAGATGCCAGCTGGATTCTCCTTGAAGGATCCTTCGTCACGAGCCATCAGCAGGTCAAACAGGAGACCCGGGTCAGGCTTGACGCCGTGAAGTCTCTTGGCGGTTCTGACCGACTTGGCATAAGGCGTTCCGGCCTTGCCCAAGTTGGGCTCGAGGATGTTGTTGAAGCTGCCATCGGGAGAACGGTAGTGGTGCAAGCCGTCCGGCGCCTGCGGTACTTGCTCGCGGAGACGGATGTTGGTGCCAGGGGCGGTGAACTCAATTGAGTCTGTGGCTTGAGGCTCCTTTGTCTGTGGCTCTCCCTTGCTGTTGAGGACTTCGCCGGCTTCATTGAGGGCATCGTATTTGATGTCGCCACCAACATAGCTCAGTGGGGGATGCTGAAGATTTCCCCATAATGTGTCAATGAGTTTGTTGGTGAGCATGGTCCTGGCCTTTGAGGTGGCAGGCAGGGATGTAAGGATTCCAATGAGGATCTCGGTGGTTCTGGTCGGTATTAGCACAGCGTCATACTAAACTCATGGGTCGTCATTCTTACCCTTTCTTGTCATCGAGAGGCTCGCCCTTCGAGAGTAGCTCTTTGATGAGGCCCACGAGCTCCGCCGGGGATGTTTGCCCTCGTACGGAGACATAGTCCTTCAAGATGTCGGCTGCGATCTTCGCCGGATCATTGAAGAAGTTGGCCGAGTCTTGGCGCGCATCTCCATAAGACTCTCCGGCCTGGAATTTCTGGGTAAAGTTGGTAGCCATGATTCACCTGCTACCTTGAAGTATGGTGAAAGAATGAGGAGTGAAGATCGTGTATGCGCGGCCTACACCAAGAGGCTCTGCTATGGTACTCATATACAAATCCCAGCATTCAATCAAAGGGCACTCATATATGCTGACCGCTTGGCCAAGAGATACGATATGCCACCCCAACCTGGAGGTTTCCAAATCCCCTCACTTCATGATGGATGCTTGGGTGGCGTCCAGTAGGGCGGGTGCTTGTTGCGGATCTGCATGAGCACGAAGGTTATCCCGGTGCACCGAGGCATTTCAGTTCGCCCTCGAAACAAGATGGAATGTCATACCATACTGAGTGATAACTCCCAATGCAGCAGAGTGACTGAGACACATCGCCGATATGTCTGGAGTTAAACTGCCAGCATTGCCTGTCTTCTATGCTAGCCGGAGACATGCAGATTGTGGCGCCTTGAGGTGAGGGGAGGATAGTGCCTTGGGACCAGTCATTATCGAAGTAAATGTCGCAAACCGTGAACTTGACAGACTGCTTGTGCCTGGAGGAGGTTGAGATGGTGGAGTTTGAGTACTGATGATGAGTCTCGGTTGCTACCATGGGTTGTGAGACACATCTAGCGCTGTGTCATGTCGGTCAGCAGACGGGAGGGGATTCCGGAGGTGAGGGGGAAGGGAGCGTTTCCCAGCCGCACAAGAAAAGCAAAGAGATCGGCCGAAAGATATTTGATGCCCGAAGTCGCACGGTGGTGCAAACGGCTCGAAACGTCCTCCGAACGGGCCGCACCGTCTGCAAGATTTCGGACAGGATGAGTATTCCAAGCTCATTCATTGGCAGACGGGGATCGCCGACAGGGTACATGCCATGTCGATCGCCTGTTGCTGGCATGTCGTACAGGGCGGTACGAGGCAAGACATTTCATGTGAGTTGAGGCCCTGTCTCTTCGATTGGTCTGAGACACCAAGCTATCTGGTGCTTTCCCCGCAAAGCAGAGCTTTTTGAGCTTTCACCGCAGATGAATTCAGATTCTTTCCCCAGGACGCCATTGGCCAATATTCGCTGCCACGGCAGATCATTCTTGGCCCTGCCGCAGGAGCAAATTAGGGTCTAGGTGGCTTAGCTTCATGTCTGAGCTGTCCTGGCTCGATATGAACAAAGTTGGCTCTCACCGCAACATAGCGTTGACCGGTGGCATCTCATCGCATATCAGTCTCAGCCATCGTGAGAAATATCTCCGTATTGGGCGGCTCGCTGAGGTCTTAGGGGAACACGACAGATCGAAAGTGGACAGACATTCCACCCCGGATGCTAGCTATCCGTCCTCCCGTTGCGTGACACCATCAGCTCGTAGATGAATCACTACATGCCACTTCCGACTGGTCGACTGTCCTTTGCCGCGATTATTTCACTGACCACTTTTGGGGTGGTTCAGAATTCTGACTACCTTAGTCACAAACCTTCTACTACAGCTAAACAAAATTTCTCACCTGCGGAACGCTGGACTTGATCATGTCCCATACCTAGCTTCTATTCTATCATCACTAATCAGTCTGAATACGGTAGGCCATCCAAGCCTGGAAGGGCAAGAGCTATACCTATGTGGTAGTGCGTGGAAAGCAAGTGCAGAGATAAGAGATCTGTCAGAAACAGAGTTTCCGTGACTTTGTGCTACAACTGGTATCAGTTCAAGTGTCTCAGTATCGCCTCAAAGTCATGACCAAGTCCCTTCGAACTGAACGAGAAAATGCCGTGTCCCATGTCGTGAGACGTGGTGACGTACTCTCCCCTCCCTACGAAAGCTAGATGAACAAGATCGCCGCTCATCGGCCGCCTTGAGACAAGATCCTTTCTGGTAGTGTACCTAGCGAGAAATGCCGCGCTTTAGGCTTGATGGGCATCCGGATAGCTATTGTGGTAACCAAGGAGTTGTTGAAGGTACAGCTGATCGAACGCATCCTCAAGTGTTGATATATCGAGACCTGGGACCTTTGTCAGTACGACTCAAGCAGCTCATCTTTTCAACTTCAACTCAACGCTATTGATATATGCATATAAGAGTTCATCACAGAAATCCTACACTCGTTGAGATTCTTTTGCACCCTGACCCCTACATCGTCAGTATGGCCGACTTTTCTACACTCAATGGCAATGCCAATCACGAGTCAGAGAAGAAAAGAACTCCTAGAAAGCTAGTTCTTTGCTTTGACGGAACCGGCAACACCTTCACCGGCTCCAACTCTGACACAAACGTGGTCAAGATCCTGAGCAAACTCGATCGCAATGATCCTGATCAGTACCATTACTACCAGAGTGAGCTAGTCTACGTGCTCAAGTGTTACTACTTCATGTGCTGACACGCGTTATCGTCTAGCTGGCATTGGCACGTACGACATCAATGATGAGTCTGTCAACAAGGGCGTATTTGGTGAATTCAAATCTTTCATCTCGCAGACCATTGATCAAGGAATTGGTACGACTTTCGACGCTCATGTCATGGCCGGATACCGTTTCCTCATGCGTTACTACGATTCCGTTAGTCTCCCTACCTGATATGGCGAGGTGCTTGACGACTGACAAAGGTTTGATGTAGGGTGATAAGATCTACATGTTTGGTTTCAGCCGAGGAGCCTTCACTGCCAAGTTCCTTGCCCGCATGGTTCACACCGTTGGTTTGCTTTGCAAGGGAAACGAGGAGATGGTCCCCTTTGCATACCGTCTCTACCAGCGCTACTTGGCTGGCGAGGTCGAGGACTTCATTGTCTCACACCCTAAGAAGTCCAAGAAGGAGAAGAAGCACAAGAAGAACAAGAAAGCCCCTGCCAATGGAGACGTACCGACACCACCACCTGAACTAGAAGATGAAGCGCCCCTGCACGAGGGCCATCGCGAGGATGAGAACCCGGCAGTCCACGGGGCCAAGTACGCAGTTGCTAGAGACGAGATTGCTGCCTTCAGCGACACCTTCTGCCGCAAGGAGAAGGCGATGCACTGCGGAAAGATGGAGGAGTCCAACATCAAGGTCTTCTTTCTCGGCATCTGGGACTGTGTCAACTCCGTCGCCGTCTTGGAGCGGACTGCACCCGTACCTGTACCTGTAGTCGGCACTGCTCACCATGTACGCCATGCTGTAGCAGTCGATGAGCGACGCGTCAAGTTCAAGGCAGCTCTCCTCGCCCAAGACATGAAGGAGTCAGACCACAATCACGAAGACATCAAGGAGGTCTGGTTCCCGGGCTGCCATGGTGACGTCGGCGGCGGCTGGCCTGCTTCTGCCGAGAGTAAGCTTGACAATGGCATCGAGATGACCTTCTGGGAGCGCGTCAAGAACTTTTGGACCACACGGAAGGAGAAAGCAGCCAGCAGGGCTCTGGGTTGCGACCGGCTTCAATTGAGTGATGTTCCACTCGCTTGGATGATCCGTGAGGTTAAGCTTGTTGGTAACAAGGAAGAAGTTGCAGCCCTCAAGTGGCGCGACAATCTTGAGATCTTTGAGAAGCGCTTCGCGAAGAAGAAGGACAAGGCCACAATGGGTGTCATTCATGATTCACTAGCATATGGCCGTGGTACAAGCTTCTTCCGCGTTCTTCTGTGGAAGCTCATGGGTAAGAGAAACCCCCTCTTCAGTGTCTTTTTGGTACTAACTCGGTACAACAGAATGGTTACCCTTCATTACTCGTTGGGAGCTCGAAGACAATGGATGGGAGAATGTCCGTTTCCCGCTCAACAAAGGAAGCACGCGAGACATACCCAAAGACGCTGTGCTTCATGAGTCCGTTCTCTGGCGGTTGAAGCACGACCTGAAGTATTGCCCAGAGAACAATCATGGTGGCCGACTACTTCCTTGCCTGAAACACAAACACAACATTGCGGAATGCCATCCTGTGGAAGAGCACATCCATGATGAGAATTGTGACCATCAGATCTACAAGATTACAAGGTCCGCCTCTGATCTTGCTACTCGGACTTAGCGAAGAGGCGGTGAATGCTATGCGCTTGCGCAGCCATTCAGACTAGACCGGTCTGTGAAGTCGAAAATGGGGTGACGGATCATGGGGAGGAAGGCAATGTGGCACTATAAATTCATCAGGAGTGTAAGGCAAATTGCTAATGCTTTGGAGTTATTTATGAAATCGTACGCTATCTGATCGTCTCCATCACGGCCCAGCAAGCATCCCGCACTTTCGGGTTAGCCCCAGTGATCAGTTATCTCAAGAACATGTTCAGTCTGCCCGACTCCAATTATGGTAGTACATGAAAGCCTCGGTCCAATGTCTCGATCCGAATACCGGTCTCGCTTCCCTCTTATCTTGACCAATTCCTCAAGACATCGTATGGGTTGAAAAGCATATTGGAGGTTGGGGTTTACCCCGATACTTGTACGACCAATTGCACAACATGGATGACAGTGGCGGAGATGCGCCAATGTGGTTTGCTGACAGTCGGCAAAATGTCGTCCTTAGCCGACGGCAAGAACGTCACTCTGCGTGGAAATAAAGACCACTACCTCCGTCCAAAGTCAGGGATTCAGACCCGATTATGTGGAGAGGTTGGGGCCGCTTTCGGCACTAGAAGACGTTATTCTCCAAAGCCGATTTCTCCAAGTTTTGATAAGAAAATTCGAACCATCATGCCTGCGTCTTATCGATGCCGGGTTATCGTTTCCATGTTCTTGATAATCATCATGTTGGTGACACACAGAAAACAAGAGATTGAATCCTTCGAGAGTCTAACTGACTCTGCTCGCATATAAGACTGTACTTAAGTAGGCAGCGATGTATCCAGCAGAAGAGTCAGTGCCGGAGCTACAGCACCAAAGTCCCCGGGCAATCGTCACCAGCTAATAGCTGTGCCTCTCATGAAATGCGGTCTTTGGCCTTTATTTTGGCTTCTTCCCGCCTAGTCGGTGCCAACTTCGTCAACCAGGGCCAAGTTCTTAGTCTCAATAGTGTTTCTTACTACGCCGGCGGGATCGCTGTGGGCCAAGTGGGAACCAACAGCTCTGGTTCCTCGGTGCTCGCAGCTGCCCAAACTCCTGGCCAAGACCTGGTTCCACTCACCATTATCGAGACCTCGCGCAGCATCCTTTCAGGAGACGAACTTCTGAACATCACGGCCACCTACGATAGCACGGACGATGTCTTCCAACCTGCCTTTCTACAAACGATCTATCTCCGCCCAAGCACCACATCTAATGCTACTGTTGTCTACAACAGTACTACATCTCTAGAATCTCAAATATCACGACAGGGCACCTCTTTGGTTCTGTCATCGCAGAAAATCCATGGCCTTGCAAGCAGCATCGCGAGTGGTGTAACTGACTTGAGTCTCCCTCGAGGCCCCTACTTCGTCTCGGTTCACACCGGAAACGTCTACAAAGCCTATCGGTTGTACGACGATGATCACCTCGCTTTTGTACAAGGCGTAATTAGCGATGAAAATGGTGCTTTCACTACCCTCCCTGCCGTTACTGAGAATGTTATGGCGAAGAGCATCGCAGTTCCGTCACGACTCTACTTCGCCGAGACGGAAGAGCAACCTCTCGCCGGTCTCCGTTTCGGGGTTAAGGACATTTTCCACGTCGAGGGAGTAGGTACGAGCGGCGGAAACCGGGCCTATTTCTACTTGTATGGGCGCCAGAACCACACTGCACCGGCTGTACAACGACTTATCGACCTTGGCGCTGTCCTCGTTGGTAAGATGGGTACTGTGCAGTTTGCCAACGGCGATCGTCCTACCGCCGACTGGGTTGATCTCCACGCCCCTTTCAACCCCCGAGGCGATGGATACCAGGACCCCAGTGGCTCGTCTACTGGTCCTGGTGCTGGAGTCGGGGCGTACGACTGGCTTGACCTTGCTGTCGGCAGCGACACCGGTGGTTCCATGCGTGGTCCGGCAGGATCCCAAGGTCTCTTCGGAAACCGGCCTTCTACGGGCGCCATCTCCCTCGAACATGTTATTCCACTGAGTCCCGTCTCAGATACCGCCGGAATGTTCGCTCGCAGTGGTAGTCTCTGGGCCAAGGTCACACAGGCTTGGTATCCTGACTTTGCTTCCAACTATACTTCCTACCCGACGACACTCTACCAATCAACGGCTAGAGGCGGCGCCTGGTCTGGGGCAAACGTTAGCGAGGAAGCCACCAGTGTTATCGCGAACTTCGTAGGAAACCTGGAAGGCTACCTGCAAGCTAACTCAACTCCTGCAAACTACACGCAGCTCTGGAGCGAGACTCACGGAGACAGACCAGCCGATGTTAACGAGATGTTGTACCTCACCTATGGCGTCTACGTCTCCCATGATCAGTGGAACGAACTCGGCAAGCCATTCTTCGAGGACTATGCAGCCAAGTTTGACGGACGGCAACCATACATCAATCCAGGGCCCCTCGCTAGATGGCAATGGGGTCAGATTCACTCGACGGAAGAAGTGTACGCCGAAGGCCTCCGCAACATTTCCCTCTTTAGATCTTGGTATGAGACTGAGGGTTACGGACGACATGATCCCGAGTCTTGCTCCGAGGGCCTCTACATCTACCCTTGGTCTGTAGGCCAGCCCTCTTATCGCGATATCTACCTCCAGGTCCGGACCACACCGCCGCTGGGCTTTGACGACTCTTCCGTCCCGGTCATGGCCGGTGCTCCGGAAGTAGTGGTTCCCATCGGAGAAGTCCCTTACGCTAGCACCAAGTCGTTGCATACAGAATATCTCCCTGTGACTATGGCTCTGAGAATGGCAAGGGGATGCGATCATCATCTCGCAAATCTAGTGAGTGATCTGGAGAAAGACGGTATTCTTCGCCCAGTAGCTGCGGGTCGCCGGCTGTACCCTTGAGTATCGGTCTCATGCTAGCCCCCCACCAGCCGGCATGGTCGGGATCGGACCGGCGGGATTTACATGGAGCTGTAGAGCGACCTAGGCCGTTTTACCCCGCAAAGTACATGGTTGTGACGTCGATATGTGCCCTTCAACGCCTAAGACCCCTCATCAGGTGTAATCAGATTACTGATCTAGTTCGAGCCAAAAACAATTACTTGTAGTCTAGCATCATAATAGTAACGAAAGATAAATACCTGTCAATCCCTCCATCCAATGCATCGCTATCTTGGAAAACCCTTGTAAAGAAGCTCTGACATCCCCGGATTTGATCTGGTGCTAAGTTTTCTTTGGCACTTCTCAGCATCGTAGCACCAACACATCACAACATATCCCGGCCGGCTTCCTGTGACTACTTTACACAATGCCTTTCTATCAGATTTACCATACATATGCTCTCACCCAGACGCAACGGGAATCCATTGCCTTGTCAATCACCAATCTTCACTGCAGCACGTTCAGCACACCGGCCTTTTTCGTTCATGTCAATTTTATCAAACAAGAGCCAAAGTCCGATGATGGAACCTACTTCATGGCGGGAAAGTCGCACACCAGCAACTCGAATCGCATTGTTGCACTAGTTCGAACCTCGGCCTCTCGCAAGAAGGATGACTTTGATGCACTGGCCGCCAAGATAGAAGACGCCTGGAACGGGGCTGTCAAAGAGCCGGGCAAAGAGGCCGGGTTTGATGAGGCAAAGCGGCTTTTAATGGTTGTGTTTACGCCGATGTTGGCAATCAGAGAGGGCGGGATGGCAATTCCCGATGCTGGCCATGAGGAAGCGTGGCTCAAGCAGCAATTGCCGTATTTCAAGAAGATGAGCGAAAAGCATGGAGTTAAAGACTTCACCGACCTTTTGGAAGAGTTGAAACAGATGGAATCGCTCAAAGGTCTTCTGAATTAGGTTCTGGGATTGATTTTTCTGATCATGGTGCGACCCAAATGTTCAATGTGGATTACTGAGTTTGGCTTCTTGATACTCTATTGAACAAGCTCCTTACTCTTAGACGCGGTTGGCCCCGACCGTATCTTTGATAAGTCATTGCTTAACTCTCTTACGTTTTCCTAGATGAGCCTGACGAAGGCTTGAGAGGTACTCATTGCCACACAGAAGTTCTGTGACAGAGCTGGCCTTCTAGCGGAGCTATGTGCGGGAGAGCTGTTGCTACGCGGACCTCTATCAGACGGTTCAAGGATGAAATAAGGTTATTTGTTGTACGGATGTGGATGGCTCACCTCTACAACATTGAGTGGTCGTTTGAAGACCACAAATCAATATGGCAAGGCGAATTGCGAAATGGAGAACTCTGCAGCTACCTCTCCACTAGCGAAAGCTTCCCTACATCTCAGTAGAAGGATAGGGTCGAGCGTCGTTGAAACTGGTCCCCGAGGAAGTTGAAGGTGCTATGTCAGTGCCTCGTGCCGTGATTGCCTCGGCCATTCTTCCCAAAACCTAGAATCATGGAAGAGGCACAGTGCTCAGACGATCTAGAACCAGAGAAAGATGGCCGTTGACGAGAAAAGAGCCCCGTTATCCACGTTTTGCGTCAACGGCTAGACGCTCATCGTCCACCGAGGCGACACGATCATCCAAAGTGTGCGGCAATACAATTGCAGTGACAAAATTACCATTCAGAGCTTCAGACGAAGATCCAAAGCTAGTAAATTATGTTGAATTTCGGAGTATTTGAGTGGCCCAACTTACGGAACAGGAAATCCGTCGGCGCAACGTGGCGAAAGATTTACCCACGGGCCGTAGACAGGACGAATCCTTGCGTGAATCCGAGAAGCAAGCCGGAGGTGAGATGATGTTTCCACAAGGAATCAGACAATACCACGTTGCAAGTTGATTCGATCGTGTTTCCTAGGTGGTTGCTCAATGTTGAAACTTGAGTATGAACAGTTATGTATGAAGTCGTTGAGAAGGCGGTGAATTTTCATAAATGAAGTCGACAAGTGTATCAACCATGTTGCGAAGAAAAATTTACAAAGTATGATATGCTGGCTCAAAACAATGCATTCAGCGCCTAGCTAATCCAATCTGTTTGGCTCATTGCTATGACCATCGTCCGACCTCGATTACATGAGCCCAGTGAAACCCAATAAATGCATGCCCAACCAGTAATAAATCGCACCTCAAGTTTGCCCGAAGATGTTGATGTACCCTACCGCCGCGCACGGAACTCCTTCATGCCTTGAGGCCCAAGTCGCCGGTCCTCCGCCGGATCTCGAGTTTGGCCTTGGGGTCAACTTCCATCGTGAATCCAAAGTTGATCGTATTGGGCTGCTGCTCCGCTGCCAGTCTCCAGTCGTACTTGAGAAGGAGATGGCAGAGAATGATCTTGACCTCGTTGGCGGCAAAGAAACGTCCAGGGCAGGCGTGCTGGCCGTGTCCGAAGCCAAGGTGCTCGGGCGAGGTGCTAACAAAGTGCGCGGCTCCATCGTTTCCGGCGCCAAGGGACTCGCGCATGCGCAGGTAACGGTATCCGTCAAAGCGGCTGGGGTCCAAGTAGACGGAGCCATCGGTCATTCTTTGACAGCTGACAGCGATGCGGCTGCCCTCGGGGAGTTCCAGTCCGTTGGAGAGGGTCACGGGCTTGGTGGCTTCGCGGTGCATGGCAACTAGTGAAGGTTGATGTTAGTGATAGTTAACAAAGAACTTGGACAGGGACTTACCAATGCCAATAGGGTGAAGGCGTTGAGTCTCTTTGCAGAAGGAGTCGAGAAGGCGCATCTTGTAGAGACCCATGCGAGCCCATCCATCGGTGCGAATAACCTCGGTGATCTCCTTGCGAAGGGGCTCGAAGTAGTCGGGGTACTTGGCAAGGTCAAGCATCACCTGCGTGATCAGATCGGACGTGGTGTGCAGAGCGGCGAAAGAAAGTCCAAGCTGCATCATCGCAGGGTCCGACTTCGCATCATCGGAGGCTTCCTCACACCAATCGAGACAGTCGTTCCACTCAGGCTCCTCCTCACCGCGATCCAAAGCTGCCTTCTTCTCCTTGCGGCGCTCCTCCATGATGGGGTTGATGATCTCTCTGGCCTCCTTGACCTGCGCTTGAAGTTGACGGCTGATTGGGAGGACTTGGTCGGCAAAGTTACGCAGAGACTTGGGGAACATTCGGAGGAACTCTGAGGCGAGGAAGCTGGTTCGGGCGTATTCGGAGGTGATCTTAATCCAGTCCTGATTACGGCAAAGTTCCTCACCACCAAAGACGCGCGTGGATACTCGGGCTACGACCTTGAGCATGTTCTCCTTGATTACCACGGTTGACCATTCTGTGTTCTGTTAGCAGGTTCTCCTGGTGGTACTGGACTAGAGACTTTACCTTTCTCCTCTCCCAAAACATCAGTAAGTGACAGCGTCGCCTCGTCGGAAACGGGGGATGTCAGCTTTGCTACAAGATTGTTAGCTTAGGTCGCTGTGGCAGAGTATTATCCGGACGTACAAAGGAACTGGGTCAATCTTGTTCGGATAACGTATTTGAGAACGGCCTTTTGCGCGTTGTTCTCCTTTAGAGGCTCGAAGCCGGGCATCTGGGCGTGGAAGTTCTGCACCACAATCAGTATGAAGCCTCAAAGGTTGTCGGGGGCGAGTGCTTGCCTTGTCAAGAACGCGGTCGAAGCTGAGGTCCTCGTGGTTACGGATCTCGTTGGCGAAGGGTACCGCAGGAAGGATCGTCATGTCTCCCATGTCCGTCAAGACCTGGTAAGGCTCATCCGGGTTCGTCCTCGTCCTCTCCAGCACGATATTCCGAACCTTGGTAATGAAGTCATACTTGACTTTCAATCCAGTAAAGTCCCACTTGTGCCGGGGGTTGACGATAGGCAGATCTATGTGTGGCGTCTGCTCTGCTTGTTGTATGGAGAAGTAGAAGACGAAAAGCAGGAAAGCCGTGATGAAGTATGGTACTGGCTTTTCCAATGGGCTTGGGAATGCCTGCAGTGTCTCGAGGGGCCCCCAGGAGGACTGGTTGGAAGACGAATCGTTGGCGGTGGCCATGTTGGATCAGGATACACTCGTCACTGTAGAGACAAGCTTCCTGCTAACAATGCGGTATATTCTAGTTGGATTAAAGTCTGGAGAAATCCCAATGTCTAAATGAACTAACGACGGGGAAGCCCAAAGAAAAGGGAAGCCGGCAAGCGGCCCAGCACATGGTGTCGCAGTCCAGGCATACTGGACGGACGTATCTTGGCTATGCCCGCGAAACGCCTATCGAGACACCAAAAGATGAGCTCAAGAGCTTGGGGCGCTGTGCTCACACCCACTGGCGTGACAGCTGATGGGCGGTGTTTGGTTTCAAGGAACATGCAGCCGCACAGTCCCGCAAGGTTCTGTCGCTGCTGTCTCGGCGCATGGACCGCATTCTCGGACGATCTCAGCGCCGATCTGGGAGCTTAAGGGTTGGGAGAGCACGGGAGAAGCAAAAGTCTTGGAAGCTTTGAGTTGGAGTGATCTCGGGTCCTTTTGTTGCTGGGAGCAGCTTGAGAGCACGTATAGGGCATTCGGGACCACGAAATGGCCGGGCTTTGTTGCTTATCTCAAGTTTGGGGACATCGGTGCTCTGCCACAGAAGAGCTGCAAGGGGGAAACTCTCGGTGGGGGTCGAGCTTCATCTGCGACCAGACCTGACTTGGAATCGCGTCACGGAGAATTAAGAAGGATCCCGGAGTGGGTTCCGGAGCACGCGGAGGAGCTTCCGTGCGGAGGACTGTAGATCCTCGGTGCCGGGGGGTATGGACTAGTATCCGGTCATATCTATGTTTAAGCAGTTTGTCTGGTGCTAGTGCCAGCACTAATGTGTCTTTAATCCTAGATAATTGCTATTAGCTGTGCATTAGGTAAACAGGGCTCTGTTAACATGTACGTATAATGATCTCAACGCATGTTCTTGGCTCCACTGTCATCGCGGGACCCGGATTTCTAGCCTGGTGCGATGATCAATAACCATCGCTCAATTTAATTCCTGCTTTTGATCTTCTCGGCTATTCCCTGCCGTGTCATACCGGAGAGAAAAGCAAGAAGAGGGCATTTCTATGGCAAAACGGCCGAGCAGGCCTCCATGCCAGAGACATGGGAGACCGTTAAGCTGAATGGACAGTTATCTGTAATTATCCAACTCTCAAATAGATTCGTTGCCTCTTTTCTTCTGATGCCGGCACTGCAAAGCCGCTCAACGTCTACGCGAAACGGGCTCCGTTTGGTTGCGCGAGAAACAAGAAGAAACTTGTCCGTGGCTGAAACATGCAGGTGTTGGCTTCTAGAACACAGAGAAGAAGGCTCAGCCACCAATCACTCACCACGAATTCTTTTGTCTGATTTCTAGTCTGGAGCCGTTGGTTTGTGCGTATGCCGATTGGATGTCAACGACTGCAAATTTCACTTGTCCTTTATTTGCCTGCACGGTTGAAGTAGGCGTATCATGGATGGTAAGACCATTGGGACTTTTGCAAGTTGTTCAGATTTAGCAAATGTGCTTAGTCCAGAGAGCGATCCGGGCTTCCAAGACCGAAAGTAGCCCCTCATAACAGCATTACACCCAGCGACGCTCTTCCAGAGTGTCGTTGTTAATTGCCATTCCGACAATGAGACACACCCAGTTGGTGTGGCTCAGTTCTTTCAACTTGGGGCAACAACGACTCTAAGTTGGAGATCTTGTCAGAGGACTCGCTTCGATGTTGATGTTCGCAATAGCTCCGTCTAGTCGGGATAGAATTGTCGTCGAAGATTCTAACTGACTACATAAACTGAGCCGTAGCGGGCGGTGCCAGTCATGGCCGTGGTGGCTTAAATCACATGAGGGGAAAAGGCTTCTTATATAGAAGTACTAGGTGTCTTTCATCAAGTATAAAACTCATTGTTGATATTTTCGTGATCGAATCACATGAACAAGATAAATAGTCGTGGAAGACAATGAGTATAGCATATAAATGCCCGTAGGAACGCACATACTTTTATGAGGTATCGCGCAGAGTTGGAGATTCTGCCATCATCTCAGACACTTTGTGGCTTCTTCTTTCTTCTTACTTTGATTGAGAGTGAAGAAGAAGGTTCCGCAACGCACCTGATCAGTCTCGTGCATATCAAAGGCGTTTGTATGCGCAGTACCTGAGTAGCTAAATGGCACCATAACTTTGACTAGTCATTTACATCCGACTCCAGAATCTGCATCATCGTCATTGCCAAAGCAAGCGAAATAGCATAATTGAATTCGAGTTGACACAACTTGAACTATAGGGGATTGCGAGGCCTTTCGCTATTTTTGGGAACCTTCTAGCTTCAGCTGCATCAATGAGAAACGAAGTAGCCAGAAGCATAAGACGTTCCCCCCTGAGCGGTGGTGGAGACAGCAAAGTAGCTGCATGGTTACAAGCATACTAGGAATAGCTTCCCAAAGATGCAAAGATTCTAATGGCAGAAGACGCGATGAACTAATTCCTGTGAAGTCCGATAGATCAATCGTTCCCTGAATATGTTGGTTTCGGGTTGTAAGCACCAGCCGACTCGGAGCGACAATTCAACAGGCCCAATCCTGCCACAGCATCGAGCTTTTGGGCGTCGCCTAGTAATGGAAACTGTTTTTGCTGTTTTTGAGGTGGTTTCCTATTACTGAAGCGGGGGAGATATTCTCCGTCACACTGGGGAACACAGACTCCAAGCATTCGACCTCATCTCGGGAGCTTCTTTGTGCCTTTTCGCCGTAAAGGTTCTCGTGGATATCCATGTGTGCGGAACCATTCGACGCCTTGGCGTTGCCGTTCCAAAGAGTCTATTATATTGACTCACTACCCCTTCAGGGAGGTAGATATCGCATTTATGGTGGCTGGGCAAATTGAGTTCTGTGAACCTGCAGAGCATAACATTTCGGATGAACCGGATATAGCGCCAAGGTCACGATTTCCATGCTTCTTGATATTGCTTCAGGGGCTTTGTCGATCGTGGCTCCCTGGAAAAAACATCACGGGAACAGCGAGACCATTCTGGCAAAACGGAACAATTGGGTTTGTTGATGCAACTTCAGGAGATGGGGCCGGGCCAATTGACGGTCTGAACTGATTTCATCAACGTTTCTCTCGCCCTGTATCGAGTGGACACTATTTCGCTTCCGATAATGACTCGCACATGGGCGACCCTCGTAACCAAGTGGTGAACCTTAACCGGCGTGGTTTCCTTTGAGCGGGGTGGACACTTGGCAGACGGGCTTTTCGAAAACAATAGTAAATGAAATGAAAAGCCCCGGGATTTGTTTAAACAGACGGCTTTCTCCTCCGCTTTCCCTCTTTATCGTTCTTGCGTCACCTTGAACTTCGATTGCTTCAGTCACGATATCACGAGTACATAAATACCCGGCGTTCGTTATAAACACGCAGCATGCAGCTCATATCACTCACGTCCGTTGTGCTGGCATCCTGGGCTATCCAGCAAGCCACCGCTGTGCCCGAGATCCAAGAGAACACCAACATCATTACCGTTGCCCAGAGTGTCCAAGAGAAGCACCCCGAAGCATTCGCTGCTTTCCAGAAGTCGAACCTCATCAATCTCGTGGCGACTACCGAGAAGCGACAGGAGGTTCCCGGGGATGGAAACCCCGACCCCAACAGACCGCCGGTGATTCCCGACAACATCTTCCTGCTTCAATGCTCCGAGGCCGGTTTCCTTGGTGAATGCCTTTCCTGGGGCGCTCCTCCCGGACGATGCGGTAAGCCTCATCACATAACGATGTCACTTATCAAGGTCAAGTTGCTGATGTAGTATCCTATCTAGTCAACTACTCTAGCTTCAACAAGACTCAGGCTTTCCTGGACAAGTACGAGAATCAGACTACTTCTTTGAGCTCAAACACAGGCGGACTTTGCCAGTTCTACAAGTTCATGTTAGTGTTCTCGTATGATCGTTCTCTAGGTTCCTCAAACTGACATTGAAATAGCAACTGCAACAACAAGGGTGACGACCGCGGTGTTTCGCTCGGCTACAACTACAATCTCGCCGTGGCAGATGATCAGGGCTACTCGGGAGACTATGACAACCAGATCAGCTCTTGTAAGTGTTGTGTTGACGTGCATGGAACAGGTTATTGAGAGAGTTGCTAACAATTTCACAGGGAGATGCTGAATCTATAAATGGAGTGGAATGACAGTGCAGTAAAGATAATGACAGCGGTACTCGAGATCTACAGCTGTATCTGCACTACCTGCTTACTGATTTATGAGTCGAACGTCAATAAAAAACATCCATGAACTGATGAATTCCATTGGATGACTACCGGTGCCGGCACAGTCCGAGAAACAAGCGGGGCCTTTGATTCGGAACTCCGAGCCAGCCAACGCAAGTAACCTTCGCGGGAAAGGACAGTTTCTAGACCTTAAAGATCTACTTAGCAGATATGTAACTTGAGAGAGTCGCCGAACGAAGAGCACTAGGGCTTGATACAATCACAACAGGTCACGTAAAGCCTTGCACTCAGCATGCAGCACAGGTAAACTTGGGATATAAAGGTGTGCGCTAAGCTGGTGAATGTGCCTGCTAGCAAGTATTCTTCAGCGGGGGAATGGTATTGGCTAAATATGACAGGATCATAGGGGGCTTCTAGTAGTATCTGGAGAATTGTCTAACGTGTCTCTTCCTGAACTTGGTGTCCTCAGTAGTGCTGTTGATGCTAGCCGCCAGGGTAGCATCCAGCTCAGTGACAACGCCCTTGTCGACCGGCTTGCCCAAGTTCTCCGACGCAGGTCGAACAACATCGCAACGCAAGTTCTGAGCAGTGCTCATTCTCTCCATGTGGGTGTTGTTCGTCTGCACGAACAGACGCTCGCGGCCTTCAGGGCCGGTGAAAGGTCTCCACTCGGCAGCGCCCTTCTCGCGGTCGGTGTTGGGGTCCAGGTTGCGGATGAATGAGACCCAGTACTTGCGGAACTGCGAGATGATGGGCTTGTTAATGGTGAAGTAGGACTCGGGCGCTTGACCATCGGTCCTGTTGTTACCCCAGAAGGCGTAGGTGTTCACAGTGTGGTACGCGCCGAAGCCCTCGGCCTCGTTCTTGGGATCCTGGACTGCGAACTTGTAGTTGTAGGTGATGGCTTCGTCGCGGGCCAGGTAGTTCTGGATGTTGCGGATGATGCAGTGGTTGCCAATGTCGCCAATGGCATCGGCGGCCTGTCTCCACTTGATTCCGGAGTCAGGATAGACAGTGCGGGGAGTGTTGATGTAAAGATCATCGAGGATGGCGAGGGAGGCGTTGGAGAGGGAGGGGTCTTGTCCGAGGAGCCAAGTGTTGGCTTCCTCCGTAGAGTTGGTAGACTGAGGAGCAGAGTACATGGTTCCCTCCTGGGCGCATGAACCCCAGATGGTGGGGACCTTGTTGTACTTGCCTTGCTTGAAGAGGTTGACCATACTGTCGGTGAAGAGCTCGCCATCGATACCAGGGTTGAACCAACAGCTAGAAGAGCGGACCTCAGACTGGTTCAAGGCGCGAAGGCATGTCAGAGAGTCAGTTGCATCGGTGCAGTTCTTCTCTTTCACGAGGCAGTCGTACTGGCCCTGTCCCTGCTCCATGGTGCGCATCGTGACCCAGCCGCCAGACTCCGCGATACCTCCGGCATAGAGCTGCTTGCTGCCGAGATCAGCAGTCATGAGAAGACCAACAGCTGAACCGCCGGCACTAACACCGTCGAGAACAACCTGCTCGGGGTTTCCGCCAAAGTGGCCGATGTTGGTCTGAACCCACTCAAGAGCCTTCACCATATCCTTGACACCGGCGTTGAGACCACCGCTAGCCCGGACCTCCTCACCTTGCAGGAATCCATACATGCCAACTCTGTAGTTCATCTGAACAACAATAACGTTTCCATCCGAAGCGATCTCGCTGGCATCCCAGTTTGCATTCGAGTTGGACCCGAATCCACCACCCTGAAGGAAGAAGACAACGGGCAGTCTGGAGTCGATCTGGGCATTCGACGGGGCTGTAACGCTAAGGTAGAGGCAGTCCTCGTCGACGGTGAAGCGCGAGTTGGGGCTGGAAACGGTCCAGTCAGTGGGCTGCTGGGGAGGGCAGATGGGGCCGTGGGCGGTGGCGTTGACAAGTCCGGACTGGACCGGGTCGGCCGGCGCGGCAAAGCGGAGGTCGCCCACCGGGGGAGCAGCAAACTGGATTCCCTTCCAGGTTGTCACGCCGAGCTCCGCGTCGGTCACGGCGCCCTGGAACTGGGCGTATCCAACATCGACGAGAGTGTCGACGGCCTGAGCTCCCGGGGCGAAGAAGCCCGCGGCGGCGAGGATGAAAGCCAAGTGTGATTTTTGCCACATCTTGATTGTAAGTCTGGGTTTTGCGTGCGTGGTGAAATGAATGTAGTCGAGGAAATCTCGATGAAAGAATGGAACGGTCTGCGAAGCGACCTTGGAGAAAAGAATGGAAACAGTGCTAGCACTTTGGAACAAGAAGACGAAGATAGTTGCGAAGACAGTCAGATTTCCTTCCTCTAAGAACGACGATCCTCCGTTGGTTATATACATCTCGTATTATGCAGGCTCTTCAGCCCGTTCGAGCATCTCCTATCCTTAGACTTAGAGGCCCGAAAGCGCCGAAGATTCCTGTCTACACTGCTACGGTACGCTTTCGAGTCAGTTGTTCCCTCTCTAAATGAAACGCTGCGGACGATAGCGCTCCTTGGAGCTAGCACGCCACGGAGCAATCCGTAATGCTACCCCACTACAGCGGAAGTTTAATAGATGGGACGAACCTTGGATCTTCGCCTGATGGAAGGAGAGCCATCGCCCCTGAATGGCTGCAGAGTTGAGATCTTGGTCAGACGTGCCAAAATCAATAGATCGCGGTTCCAAGAGCCATTGGCAGATCATGGCCTCAGTGACTGGTGATCGCGGCGAGCTCACCATCAATATCGCCATGAAGAAGACAACGAGTACTGCGCTTGGTTTACAAAGTCCGAGATCTGGAGACTTCCAGCCATAGTTTCACTTTAACACCTACAGATACCTGCATTCAAATTACGTACGATTGCGAACCCGAGTGCTCGGAACAGCGTATGGGTGCGAATCCCCAGCAGCGGAGGGTGGGAGGTGGGCTCAAATGGGAAGTGGAATGCCAAGATAGCCTAGATGAAACGTAGCCGCATCTGCCAACACTTTTATATAGCGGTCCTCGCACATCTGATAAAGTCCGGTAGCCAAAAGCAATGGATTGCGGACTAGTCCGCTACTGGGCTTAACAAATTGAAGAATACAATACCTGGAGCGCCCGCGTACAGCAGACCAAGCGATGGTTTGATGCCAAGCATCGTTACGCTGGAACAGTGGTACAAACTCCGGCGGAGGTATTGCTCAAATTGACGGAGGCTAGATTGTCGGACCCGACAAAAACCCAGACTTACGCCTCCGTTTAAGCGTCTACCTGAACTCTACGGCCCTGAGCGTAACTTGAACTAGTGGGCTTTGTGCAATCAAGAAAGGAGCGGTGTCCTCATAGTTCGTTCGGGCTTTGAGAACTTCGTTCTCGATTCCCGGCTTACCCCTGAGACCAGACCCCTATTAAGCTTAATCACTTCTCAGCGGCATTATCGACTGGCCTATGAAATAAAGTTTAGACTCGGTGACCCAGTGGAGGCATTCGTACTTGCTTGCACCTGATTGGCATTCAAGCATAAATCGCAGACTGGCAATCTCCCGTTACACGTACTAATTAATGGAAGCTCGTAGCTCAACCTCATTCCACGCTCAGAGCGGCAGAGAAAGGATTGGAAACTTATACGGAGACAACGTACGCTTGATTGAACCAGCCAGAGAACTGGTATCACATGGTCGCTGAGCGGTGAGTACTGTCTTTGACTGCAAGTTTGCGGAACTTCTTTGATACTAATGTTGCTGTTCGTGACACAGCCAAGCCAGGGAGACCAGAATATTGCGCACATGCTACACATGACAGGCTAACCACAGTTCTGGTGACGCGTGGAACGTGGAGTTGGGTGAAGTCGAATGCAACGAGATTAAACTTGATCTTGAACGCGGCTTTTAACCGCTTTGTAGCCTTGGTTTTCGATGGGCGGCGATGATTGATGAATGGGTCTCAATCTGCTGTGCTGTGGTGTTTGCTGATCTGTTGCTCTTCCGCGCTGGGACCCCCATGCGTCTGATCTGCTGAATGCGGTTGTTCGCCATCTCTTGGACATGGTCTAGAGCCCTCAATCGCTAGGATACAGATTCTAGAGAGATGATCAGAACCACTCGAAAGAAGCAAGAGACTAACAGGACTTTCAACACGTGTGGTTTAATCCATCAAGATGTTTCAGCCTCTAGGGAGGTAGCCCTTCCAATGAGCCCCATGACGTAGGCAAACTTCAATGGCATACGCGGCAAGTCTCCCATGTTGTACGGCAGTACCCAATTGATTCTCCCCCTTGGCATGATTCCTTGCGTATTGCGTTGGCAAACCTTCCGTTTGTCCTAATTTAGACCGAATTCTTGACTGTTATGTGGAATGGACATCAAGGATTGCTGTTCGTGATGTCAGCTACGGCACGATCCTACTTGGAAGTACAAATCTAGAAAACCCTGCCGCTCGTCAAGCCCTCTGCTTCAAGGTCATCACCTCAACTCACCGAACCTACAGTCCTCGAACCAAGGTTTAATACTCAATGGCTACTCGCCACCTCTTGACTCTTGGTCTCGCAGCGGCTGCGATAGCATCTCCAGCTCCATCCAGCGACGCAACACCCACCGACCCAAAAGACGCTCTCGTCAAGAAAGATGACTGGGACAAATACCTCCAATACAAAGCCAGCCTAGGTGGCCCCCGGACTTCCGAATAAGAAGCTGTGCACCGCCTATGCAACCTGGTTCTCTGTCTAGGTCCACACCACACCGGAGAATGCAGCCTTTGGTGCTACTACAAAAGTCAAGCTCAGAGCTTTATAGAAGCAAAACACCGGCAGGCGACGATGTCGACATGGTTCAGAAAGTCGAATCGTTGTAATCGCGTACGTTGTCTTGTGGCCCTCAAAAGATAAATAATAAACCTGAAAGCTGACTTGAGATTGCATTTCGAGTAGTTCTGGTGCGATGAAGTGCGACCTTGACACCCTAATGAGTTGGGATACCTTCCACCAGATAATCACGAATTCAGGAGCTCTTCCTGGGGGTAATTTTCGTGATAAACTGAAGGGGAAAATGGGATGCGTGGTCTGCTCCGACTTTCCGGAAGAGTAGCTCAGGTCAGATGTGCCATGCCATTTTTGGCATGAATAGAGGCGAAAGCCTATCACACTTCTAAACCTACCTGTGCAATCACTGCGGTTTGAACGCACTAGAGAAAGGTGCGATAGAATTAAGCCAGCTTTGACACTGGACAAACCGATGGCGGGACCATGGCGAAGTATTCCAAGTAGAAATGTTACGCCAAACGTCATCTGAGGACTTTCTAGCGTTCAAGAGTTTTCAAGCTTACCAGCTCGACACGATATTGATGCACTGAGCCCACGAAAGTGATCTGGTCGTTGCCATGTAACGACGACCTCTCATGCACGTGGCTGTGTTCTAATTGCCTCATGACTCCAAGAATCTGATGCTCTGTGACAGGATGTAGCCGGCTGTGATGCTACTGATTAATTTGAAATCATAATTTCGGTGGCAGTCTAAACATTTTGTATTATGTCGTTAAACTCTTGAACTTGCAAAGCTTGAGAAGTAGAATTTGCAGGTTTGTTTGGATAATCGCGTCAATTGCAGCATGCCCGTTAGAGAAGACAGTCTTTGCTCGACAATGATGTAAGAGCGGCTCACCCGAAACTGTGTGGTTCGATGGACTCAGCCCCACAAGTTGCAAGAGCAATCTGGATCCCGGGGTTTGGGAGATGGGAGGGACTGTCTCGGGGCATTCGGGCGGGTAGCATGAAAAGTCACTCTTGCAACAGGTGCTAGTGACCTGTTTTTCGCGAGACTCTGTTCAAGTCGGCTACTTCGAAGAGCCCGAGTAAGTGTTTCTCGGCCTCGGGAACCCCAGGCCGATCCGGAGCTTCAAGGCGGCGGGATCTGGCTGCCATGCCGCTGCCATGCCGAAGTCAACGCCCCGCCGCACTCCACCGTTGCGGGGATCGTCTGAGGATGATTTCTAATACATGCGTCATTCTTCAAATCTCCTAGAGCTGAATTTTGCCCGCGTCGAGATCTCAGAGGCAAAAGGCAGATTTCAAATCAAGCGTGAGACGTCGCAGTGACACCCGCAGACAGAGAAAGGAAAAGACAAGAAACAACCATGAGCACCAACACTCAAGTCCAGCGCTGGCAGACCCGCCAAGACGGGCTCGACAAGCTCTTCCTCGCCACGGCGTCCCTGCTACAGCCAGGCCCCGGCGAGGTGCTCGTGAAGATCAGCGCCGTGTCTCTCAACTACCGAGACACCGAGGTGGCCATGGGCCTCTATAACCACCACAAGACAATCAACCCGGCCGAGACGGAGCCCATCGTCCCGGCTTCGGACATGTGCGGCGCCGTCGTGTCTGTTGGCGACGGCGTCGGCAGGTGGAAGGTGGGCGATCGCGTCGTTTCGATTTTCAATCAGACGCATCTTAAGGGCCAGATCAAGCCGGTGGATATGAAGAGTGGTCTTGGGTTCCCGTTGGAAGGTGTCTTGCAGACGTACCGCGTCTTCTCTGCTGAGGGACTGGTCAGGGCGCCCAAGCACCTTAGTGATGAAGAGGCTGCGACCCTTCCCATTGCTGCTGTGACGGCTTGGATGTCGATTAACCAGTTCCGATCTTTGGGCCAGCCTGGTGGAGAGGGCGAGGTTGTGGTTTGTCAAGGAACCGGCGGTGTGGCTATTTCGGGATTGCAAATTGCAAAAGCTTCGGGAGCCACTGGTAAGTCATGTTCACACTCATAAGGGTGCTTAACTGACTGAGCTAACACCCATCGCGACAGTCATCATCACATCCTCCTCAGACGAAAAGTTGGAAAAAGCAAAGGCCCTCGGAGCGGATTACACCGTCAATTACCGCACCACGCCCAACTGGGACGACAAAGTCAACGAGGTCACCAACGGCGAAGGCGCCAACCTCATCCTCGAGACGGGCGGGGCCAAGACGCTGCGACAGTCTTTTGAGGCGATTGGCTTCGGCGGGCAGATTGCATGCATCGGGTATCTTTCTGGCAAGGTGGACGACGTGGAGGACCGGACGAACGTCAACTTGCTCGCGTTAAAGAAGACGGTGACGCTCAAGGGTCTTATTAACGGACCGAGGGAGCGGTTCGAGGAAATGATTGACTTTTACGAGGACAAGGGGATCAAGCCCGTTGTTGACCGGGTGTTCGAGTTCAAGGAAGCGGATGAGGCATATAGATACCTCTACAGTGGAGGACACTTTGGCAAGGTTGTCGTCAAGGTCCAGGAATGAGTCGCAGTGAAGCTAAAGCCAAATCCTACTATACTATTGAGATGAACTGAGGAGAGATGAGAAAAGACTGACGAGAGTGGCATAGTGTGATGAGAAGATGGGGTGACAAGCTCAGTGAGCCGAGGCATGTCCTGCAAGGCGATGGACTCGGACAATGATACCCCGCACCGGGGAAAGCAAATGAAGCATGGAGCAAGGAATTGGAGCATGGGGAAGCCAGGGACCCTGAGCTGTTTAGCTGACTCGGGGCTGTCAAAATCCCCTGCAACCCGCCCGTTGCAGCTGCGTGTCGCCGGATGCGATGATGCTGCAGCTCACCTCACATGTCAGCGCTGCGTCTCGTCAGCTTAGTGAGCTTCGCTGGCTTCACTGTGAATCTCATCTCATGCTTCATTCATCTCACTCAGTCTCTCACTCACTTGTCCATTCACTAAACATATCACTCATCTTCCCATCTCGTGATCCGCACCACAAAACATCTCCGTCTCTCACATAGCCGCAATCAAACAATCTTTCCGATCCTCCAGCACCATTCCCTGAGCTCCCGCGCGCCGGAACAGACGGCGTCGCAGATCGGCCTTCCGCGGACTTTGCCCCCCCTGCGCCTCACTTCACGCCGTCGGACCAGAACAGTGAGAGCACCCAAGCTCCAAAAGCAGATAGGACCCGCCCGTCCCCCGCAGTCGAGACAGCCATCCCGCCATATACAATCACGTTCGTGCCTCTTTCAAGCAGGTCGTAACGCCCATAAGCCAATCTGCGTGCTCTGCGAGCTCAGTAAAGACAGCTCCAATCGGCCGGGACACCTCCTTTTAGTCTCCAGTGACCCGATAATCAGGCAATTCGTCCGCCCAGCCCGCCAAGATACTACCTTGACATCCCCGACCAACCACCTCGGACCTCCATCTCACCCACCTCAGTTTATTCATTCATTCATAAAGCTGACAGACAGCCCTCTCTTCCTCTCCAGCAACACTCAACCCAAAGGGCCATGGCGCCTCAACTGCAAAACGTGCGCGACATCTTCCCCCTCCCCCAAACGCCAACCCAAACCCTCGCCACCCTCGCAGCCCTAGGCGCCTCCGCCTGGCTCCTCAAGCTCATCGTCCGCCACATCCTCCTCCGCAGCCCCGCGAAACCCTCCCACGGCTCCCCCTCCACAGCAGGTCCGACGTTCGCCGCAATGAGCGCAGATAAGAAGAAGGCGCTCCTCGAGCGGCCCGCCATCATCGTCGGCGGCGGGTTAGCCGGCCTCGTCGCCGCCTTTGAGCTCTCGGAGCGCGGCGTGCCGACAATCATCATCGACCAGGAAAACGAGGCGAATCTAGGCGGCCAGGCGTTCTGGTCGCTCGGCGGTATCTTTTGCGTCGACTCGGTGGAGCAGAGAAGGATGGGCATCAAGGATTCGAGGGAGCTTGCGATGCGGGACTGGTTTGGCTCCGCGCAGTTTGATCGCGAGAAGGAGGATACCTGGCCGAGGAGATGGGCCGAGGCCTTTGTCAACTTTGCCTCGGACGAGATGGAGCAGTACGTGAAAGCCAGGGGCATGGGCTTCCTCTTCAACGTCGGCTGGGCCGAGAGGGGAGCGGGTATGGCAGAGGGACACGGCAACTCGGTGCCGCGGTTCCATGTTACCTGGGGTACGGGACCCGAGGTCGTGAGAGTCTTTGAGGAGCCCGTGAGGCGCGCGGCCAAGAATGGTGTTATACAGTTCCGGTTCCGACACCGTGTTGACGAGATCATCACCGACGAGACGGGTCGCGCCATCGGCGTTCGCGGAAAGGTCCTCGCTCCCGACAACTCTGAGCGCGGCGTCAAGTCCAACCGCGATATCGCAGGTGATTTCGAAATCTTGGGATCCGCCGTGGCAGTAACATCCGGCGGCATCGGCGGAAACGTCGAAGCCGTCAAAGCAGCATGGCCCATCGATCGTCTCGGCCCCAAAGTCCCCGAAAACTTCGTCGTCGGCGTCCCAGCCCACGTCGACGGCCGCATGATCGGCATCGCGGAAACCGTCGGCGCAAACGTCATCAACCGCGACCGTATGTGGCACTACACCGAAGGCCTCCAAAACTGGAACCCGATCTGGCCTGACCACGGCATCCGCGTCCTCCCGGCGCCGAGCTCGCTATGGCTCGACGCGACGGGCAAGCGTCTCCCGCCTTTCCTCTTCCCCGGCACCGACACCCTCGGTACGCTCAAGCACATCTGCAGCACGGGATACGACTACACGTGGTTCATCCTCGACCAGAGCATCATCGCGCGCGAGTTTGCGCTCTCCGGTTCGGAGCAGAACCCGGACGTCACAGGCAAGAGCATGTGGCAGCTTCTCACGCGCGTCTTTGGCAAAAAGGGCACCGTCCCCGTGCAGAACTTCCAAAAGTACGGCAAGGATTTTGTGGTGAAAGATAACCTCGCCGATCTGGTTCAGGGCATGAACGAGCTGCAGCGAGAGCGCGGCGGACCGGTGCTGAGCCTGGAGGACATCAAGGAGACGATTGAGATCCGCGACGGGCAGTTTGATAACGCCTACTCCAAGGACGCGCAGGCTATGCTCATCAATAACGGAAGGACGTATTGGGCGGATAAGAGGAGTCGTATCGCGCCGCCGCACAAGTTGTTGGATCCCAAGCATGGCCCGCTGATCGCCGTGCGGATGAATCTGTTGACGCGCAAGACGTTGGGCGGCATCGAGACGAACTTGGAGAGCAACGTCATGAAGGCAGATGGAGAGAAGTTCCCTGGTCTGTATGCGGCTGGTGAGGCAGCTGGCTTCGGCGGCGGTGGTGTTCATGGGTACAATAGCTTGGAGGGCACGTTCTTGGGAGGTTGCATCTTCTCTGGCAGGGCAGCGGGACGCGGGATGGCGGATGAGCTCTTGGGGCCAGCAGAGGTCAAGGGGCCAAAGTCGTACTTGTAAAGGTCGCAGTGTGAGGTGTAGTCGATACTTGTAATGAAATAGGATCGGGCGCGATGAACGTCTTGAGTTGTCAACATTCAAATGGAGTGGATATCATTACTATCAAACATTTGGTATGGTACTTAAGCTTCATGAGTCCGGTCCCTTCAGAAAAGCCGACGTTCGCACTCTCTCCATCTTGACTTCTGTCGTCACTCGGATCTGGCCCTGCCTAGCCCACTCTCCGCTGACCAAGTCGTCCGACTTGCGCACCTCGACAGTCATGCCTGATGCTGGCGATCGTATCCCTCCGGCGTATCCACGCTCCTCGTCTCCGCCCATATCGCTCTCTGTATCCACTGTCTGTTTCTTCGATCGCGCAGTGAGCTCCACCTCATCGTCGCCTCGTCGCGGTTGTGTGTGGTTCTTGGAGTTGGTCACTTTGGACATGGAGTTGCTGGCTTGAGATATCGTCTTGCGGACCATGGACTTGAGCCATGGCGGCGTGTAGTGTGAGATCATGGGTCGGAGGTGAGGGAGGCAGGCAGCGATGATGTATGTTCCTGTTTCGATGATACTCCAGCCGACGAGACCGACGGATGCCCCTAGTTAGAGGGTTAATATACCGGCACGTCATTGAGGACATTAATATTGAGAATCACTTACATGTACGGTCCGAAAAGGCAGAGTTACTGAAGAAAATGACGGCTCTGATAATACTGGCAACGATGCCACTGTGAACATGTTAGTCTCAGGGCCACCTTCCTCTTCTGACCAAAACGGGACAACTCACAAACTGCCGATCATGAAGATGCCGATGAGGGCAATGCGCTTGTGCGTCGGCAGCTTCAGGTCCCAGATAGTTTTCAGCGGCAAAGTCATGATGAAAAAGTCCAGCACGAAGCCCGGAATGCTCTGTGCATGGAAAAAGGCCTGAACGTCGACACACTTTCCGCCGGGAATCGTCCGGTCCCACCAGAATTCGATAGGTTGGCACTGGAAGCACGCCGTGATGATGAATGAGAAGCTCGTCGCGGCCAGAGTCGCGAGAAGCAAGTAGGCGGTGGTACGCATGGCCCCCTTCCAGTTGAATACGCGCAGGTATAGGCACACGATACCCATCTTGGGCAGCGCCACGGACGTGAAGTAGATGATCTCGAACGCGAGGATGCACTTCGCCCACCCGGTCAGGAGGGCTGGATGAAACTCCTCGACGAATTCAACGTGACGCCCAACACCGCCGACCTTAACCATGACTGATGATACAGAGTTAGTCGAGAGTTCGGACCTCGAAAACCACGCCATTTCCACGCTGGGCAGAAAACCTACCGATGCCGACGGCGCACATCCCTAGGTCCACCACGTAGGCGGCCGCCAGGAAATAGTCGTCCAAGCCATACCCGCCAGCAGTAAACCGTTTGGCGTATAGTCGCAGGCCGAGAAAAAAGGTCGTCAAGATGGCAAAGGCAATGGAGATGCCTGTGAGTGTGCCGCTAGAATCTTCCGCCAGATATTCGGCCGTCACGTTGTGTGTTGTTTCGCCTTCGGCGGCCAAGACGAGGCCGGACATTGTGAGTCGTCGAGGGCAAGTTGAGCCGATCCACGGCCAAGACACGACAGGATCATGAATCCCTTCTCGCGCTCGCTGTGAGAAGGAAACGAACCCAAAGGCCAAAAGAATATTATTATCGCAGAACCCGCCGCGGCCCTATCTTGGCAGTTTGCGGGACCCCTCTTTCTTTAATAAATCCCGACTTGGCACGTCCCCAGGTGCCCCATTGTGTGATGGCGAAAAGGGGGGAGGGTCCGGAGGAAGGCAGAAAAGAAGAATTTGATAATAGCCGGGGGGTTGAACATTAAGATCTCCAGCGGCATGATCAGGCCATGGCCAAGAATCAAATGCCATCTGCCGTGAGTGGTCGGGAACGAGCATAACAGGGCTATATTTGCGCCTCTTTTTTTGCCATTTGCGTTACTTCTGTGGTAATGGTTTCCACCATGCCGCATCCTAAACATGCGGAGAACGTTCTCTCGGGGCTCACACTTGCCGGTGCGTCCCATTGTCGGACGCTAAAGTTGGCTAAAGTTGGCTTGGTTGACTAGCACGAGGGGGACCTGGACCAGTGGGACGATGAGATGGTGGTAAGACGGCCCCTTCAAGCGTCCATCAAGCCCCCCTCAACGGCGTTGAACAGCCACACGAAGGGGGCCTCTTAATTCAGCTTGGATGAAACGTCGTGTTCTAGAATGATCGTGGAAAGAGAGTTTGAGATGAACATGGGGTAGCCTTGTCGTCATGCTTCGGTCCTCTGGGAGATCGGGCACTGGCTTCCCTTCCCATTCGTCGCAGCAGGGTACGGCTCGCAACAGTTGTAACTTTGAGCTTCTCCACCATCCTGGAAGCCGTCCTGTCCTAGGCCCGAATCGGACCCGTGCCGCAGCTTGCTGGCCACATATTCCTGGCGTTGCCTTGGATGCTTCGATGAGTGCTTCCTTGGAATCCCTTTCCTCTCCGCCGACAACGACGGGGGTAGGAAAGGCAAGTTTCTGATTCACGCTGATGAGACGCTGGAGTATGACGGAGGCGGCACAGCATCAGAAGCCAATTTCTGCCTTTCATTGGTCTAGACCCCGCGTGGTCGATGGGGCTATAAGGTTACCGCAGCCATCTGATCACTTTGTTGAAGAGAGACTGGTCATGTCCTGGAAATAAGCAAATACACCAAGCCTTGGGTGTTTCCTCTCCCACCTTGTTGCCCTCAATCTTCAGCGAATTCTGCCCGAGCGCGGAAGTTTCTTTGCCTCCTCCTCCTTCGTTCTCGCTGCGCGGCCGAGGTTGGAGACGGCAAATAGTGGTAACTCCCGGTTGCGTTCGTTGGTGAACGGTAAAAGGCGACGGCACAGATGACTCGTCTCACTCTCGTCCACGCGTGAACGCTCCCGTCAGCCTGCCTTTCAGCGCCGTGCTGCAGCGAACAACTGACCCATGCGCTTGTCTGGCGTCATGGGGTTCCTTGGTGGACACGAAGTCGATTTTGCAGGATTCATGCTCGACCTGTCGTTGCCAAAAGGCAGGGAAATGCTGAGGAAAGTGAGCTCCAGCATACGGACTATTGTTCAGGGCCCCACGGCGATCCGTCGGCTTATGGATACGGCGAGTGGATATTGCCTCCATCGCGGCCGATCCCCGATCTTGCTTCGCCTCGGTCTTATTTCCTATTTATGCCAGCTGCGACCCGGTTGGAAATGGGTAGTCATCATGCTGCAGACGCGTTAACCCTCGAGGTATTTCAAATGCGCTGTGTGATGCTGCAGGTGAGATATCCAGCAGATGAATCACTTATTTCACGCCGCTATCATGTTCGTCCCGTGGTCCCTAGTCTCCCAGGCCCCTACATACTCACATGCCATCCAGAAAGGGCTCAAGGTGCTGGAGAGGCACAGAGGCTGGCACGCTGGCTCTCATATCTTTCTGCCCCATTCGATTTGCTCCTCGACGATCGTGATCGGCAGCGGGATTCTGGAGACGACTCCGTTATTCCAAAGGCGGAGTGACTGCTCAATTCGGCCCAACCTCAATTTTCCTGCGTTGGGATCAGAATCCAGCGTATTGGTAAAGGCTGCAACCTGTATGCAATGATTCTAGCGCTGATTGCTGAGCCTCGGTCGTGAAGATCACAAATGTAACGGTACGGTCCTGGGGGGCGTTTCAGATCCTCATGGAGATGCATCCCTAATTCTCTCAAGTGCCCGACCAGGTCTTCCCGTACCACGATCTCGACAGCCTGGTCACTCGGACTACTGCAACCAAAAGATCATTGGCATGAGTGGTATCGAGCAAAAGTCCCTTCCAAGGGAGAAATTTTCCATCAGCTCATGAAAATGACACCATCGTGTTGAAAGACAGCTAGCCTATTGCTGAGCATCTAGCAGTGCCCATGCTATAGGTAGACTAGGATTCGTTCCATGTACATGACTAGAACGGCGTGCCGGCGGGAGTAGAACTCTCCACGACGTTTGCGCCATGCGGTCGAAAGACAAATATTCAGTCAAATGTACGTGGAGTATCCATCTCCTCTTTTCCACTCGGGGTTCCAGACGTCGATCCCCTGCGCATCGCAGAAGGTGGACTGGTGATATGCGGTGCTAGAAACGCGTCCATGCCTGGCAGCACGGCAACTACCCTTTGCGACCGTGGTGATACTACACACCTAATGCTCGGGGTGTGACATATTGCAGGCTCGACCTCAAGCCGTCGATTCCAAGCTTGCTCTTGGTGATGTGTGATGCATTAGTAGTCGTTGCTTGCCGTTGATGTTGTTGGAAAGATGCCTTGACGCCTGGCGGCGGGGGTAGGGTGCAGAGACTTCCTCCTACGAGAGATGACAGGAGGGGTTACCATGCCGGCGAAGAGATATTCCATCTGACTGTCGTCTTCAGGGATGACCTTGATAGCTTCGGGGGGACCGTATCTCAAATCGCAAGGGATCTGACCGGATGCTCGCAGAAATCGACCAGTGTAGGAGAGGCCATCCACATCTCCAGGTTTACGACTGCAGTGTACGGCGACCACAAGACGAGGTGCCCTTGAGCAACGTATGCAACGGAAGTTTTTCGCGTTAAGCCGACGAATGCAGTAACTTGTCACTCTTACGAAGGACTGGTTACGTAGGAACGGCGAAGTCGATATCCAGGATCGAGGGAGCTCCTCTGGCCCATGCTTATGTCGACGTCGAGTCGCTAGGATTTTGGCTGCATCCTCCCCTAGAGTTGCAGTTACATCGTGGACAGCATACTTTGGGACCACGCCGGCACCTTTCCACAGGCCACAGGCTGGTCGCATTCCGTGATGGATGAGAAAATGAAGGATCATCGAGATCGAGTTTTTCTCAATCCGTGTAGTGGTATGAGAGCATGCCAGCCTGCCCAATTGATCTATCACAGCTTTGCTTTCGTCTGTAGCGGCGCCTTCGAAGGCTGCAGAGCTGCTGATTCGGGTGTAGTATCGCGTCTCAGTCCATCGTTGTTGCAAGCTGCAGAGGTACCCTCCATGCGAGTAGATGGCACCTTGACCAGAGGAAATTGACGAAGCGGAATCACTTGTTACCTTTGTATTTGGAAGAACATGGTGAAAGATGATGCTGGCTGTAGAGATGGTGGATGGGAGATTGATGCCTCAATTGACCTCAGAAATGAAGTGGTGGCCTGGAGGTTTTGGGAAGTCACTGTCCGATTTCCCGAGATGCGTTATCGATACGACTTTGCGTTATCTTTATCGATTAGATAAGCGTAGACATCTCCTCGGGAAAGTTGCAAGTTCACCGCGGAAAACGACCATTAACACGACGAACCCCTCGAGATAAGCATAAGTCACAATAACAGCCAAGGCCAAGTCGGAATGTCACTCGTCTTACTTTGCCTCGACTCCGTAAGAGAGACAAGTCAAACACCAAAATCATGACGTCCGAGGCTGACAGCGGCTCTTTGCCCTCGGAGCGCCCCTACCGCTCTCACCTTCGCCCGGCTTGCCTGGCCTGCCGGAAACGCAAGTCCCGGTGTAACGTCGACAAGAATGGAGGAACCTGTCTGACTTGCCGAGCTCACGGAACACAATGCGAGTTCCCGCCGGCCCCCGGTGGAGCCTCGCCGCGGCCGAAGTCTGCTTGGAGGAGCGCGCAAACCAGCAGGTCAAAGGACCTAGGCCACCGCCCGTCCCCGCCGCAGCAGCCTCCGTCTCAGACGTTCTCTTCGGAGCTGCAGTACAACGACGAGACGAACCAACTGTCGTTAGCCGAGGCAGGCCGGCGTGTTTCAAATTCCTTAGATGGCCATCCTCCCATATTCTCCCCCCATGAAAAACGGTATCCGGAACCCATCGGCGATGGAGGAGAGGATGAGGCTCATATTGTGGGACCAGCTGACATTGAGGATACCCAAGTTTTGTCAACTTACCTATCTAATGATTCTTCTGTTTTGAATCGAAGTAGGATCTCGGTGACGAGTCCACGGCAAGACCATGGAGGTGGCACACGGAAACCGGTTGTCTTTACCACGGTGAGGAAGCAGCCCATTGGTCTTCCTGACGACCGGAACCCAGCATTCTTGAAGTGCCAGATGATTGAGAAGCTGCTCGAGCCCATGCTGCCCGATGTAGTTGAGCTGTAGGACAATCCCAAAATCCTATGTTGCGCATCGTCACCTGACTTGTGCCCGTAGGTTCTTTGAAAAGCCAAATCGATGTTTCCCCTTGTTGGATAGACAGTCCTTTGAGAAGCGGTTCGTCGAAGACAGAAGGCACATCTCCCCAGCCTTGTTGTCCTCGCTTTACGCGCATACAATGACCTACTGGGCTCAGTCCCCCAACCTCGTCACCCAACACCGCCCCGACACAAGGTTCATCTGGAACCAGGCCAATGATGCTCTGTATTCGGAGATCCACCTATCACCGGGCATCTCGACCTTGCTCGCCATCCTTCTGAACATCTCTGGCCGGCCATTGACTTCAATCATCGGGAACGGCCTTCAGCTTGGTTCCGCTATTTCTCTAGCTCACTCGCTCGGCCTAAACCGAGACTCTTCCGATTGGGATATCCCAGAAGCCGAGAAATTATTGAGAACAAAGATTTGGTGGGCCATCTTTGTGTATGATAAGTGGTATGTGCAAACACAACAAGTGAGCGCAATGCTCTTGAGCTAATGAATGGCCCAGGTCGAGTCTGGCGTATGGCACGCCCCCGCAGCTAAGGAGCGGCCAGCACGACGTTTCCCTTCCCACAGTAGATCAGCTCTGCGGCTCGGCACCGAACCCAATCGACTGCGAGGCAACGTCTGTGTACTTGGCATTCGTCGCTTTGGCCCGCTTCCTCGACAGATACCTAGAGCGCATCTACGATCTTGAAAAGAATTCAACCACCGGGCCATGGGATCTGGAGGTCTTGCTGACGCAATGGGAGGACTCACTCGACAACAACTTACGGCGAAGGATTATCCGTGGCGGCGAGAGTCTCGATATACCAGGCTCAGCGAACCTACGTCTTGCGTATCTCTACATCAGACTATTGCTTCGGAAGTGGGAATTAGACGCTGAGAAAGCAGCTAACGCCGATCACACGTCCTCGATCCCCATGCGCTGCTATCTTGAAGTTCGACGCGCTGCCGAGGAGATTGTCCTTCTGGTTCAAGAGCTCAAGGACCCTCAACTTGGCGACTACTGGCTTCCCCTTCTAACCTTCGCATTCGCGTCCACCACCAAATTCCTTCTTCGCTGCGCTCTAGAGACAGAGAATACCGTCAGCGGTCTGGCGCAGAGCATGTCGTTGAAGCTAGCACGCGACCTCATCAATGCGCTTCAGGTCCATCGCCAAAAAGCCTGGGACGTGGGAGACTTGTGTATCGCACAGTACTCCGAGGTCATTGAGAAGCTTGCCACGTCCAGCTCGAGCGCCGAATTTTCCGAGCAGCCCGTAGACATGCCCGAGCTTCAGGAGTACGTGTCGACGAGCGTGCCCGACATCGATGAGCTTTTCCCTAGTCTATGGGACATGTTCGGCACTACATGAGGTGATGTTCACAGGTGCTTGGTGCGTTGCCGGTTCCCGGCCGGGTTTAAGACGGACGGACTGCTCCGACGGACTACTCCGTCTACAACTTCGCACCATCAACACCTTAATACTGGCAAGAAGTCCAATCTCATTTGACGTGAACATCAGCATATCAACTTCAGCATTGGCAGGAGCGACCTCATATTTTGAATGATGAACGCCCTTGGCAAGCCCCTCGGAATCAAGTATCCCCCACGAATTGCAATTCAATTACCCCGCATCGTGGACATCCATTTTCGTAGATTGTGTCCCGTTATCTCACACAGGAATTCGTCGAGAAACGCACATACAATGGGGACGAAAAGAGTCGCTGTGCTTTACCAAGCCATAGATCCTCCTGTCATCAATGGTGTACGCAAGCCGATGAAACCTGGCGGTTAGTACCTTGGCCACCCATGTAATAATCTCTGCTCTAGCACCGGCTAACAGGTTCAAGGATACCGCGACTCGGGAGCCGATATCGCCTTCAATCTCCAAGCCAGCAAGTCTGGCGACGCAATCACTCCAGTCTCAGCACCATCACCAGATGAAGATACCGAGTGGTGCTTTCCGGATACCGAGGAGGGGATCCTGGACGCCGTCAGGAAGGGAGCCACCCATCTTTGGGCCAACACAATCTTATTTGCGTCTCATCCAATCCAGACTTCCGGGTCCCTCGAAAGCGTCCAAGATACACTCAAAGTTATCGGGCATGGGCCTCTCGTAGTTGAAAAGTACGATGACAAGGAATTCGTAAACAACTTATTCCGCAGCATCGGCGGCTTTACAATGCCTCGCTCCTGGACAACACACTTTGATCCAGCAGCGGGGAAAAGGCTTGAGCAGTTCAGCCTGCCATTTCCGATCGTCGCAAAGCCCATTCGCGGACGGGGAAGTCACGGCGTTCGAGTCTGCCAAAATCTAGAGGATCTCACCGCTCACACCAAATTTCTCTTTCAAGAGTCGCCGAGCATCATGTTGGAAGAGTACCTCTCTGGCGAAGAAGCCACAATCACAGTGATGCCTCCGAATGGAGAGAAGGAAGACTACTGGTCCTTACCTATCGTCACACGCTTCAATCATCAAGATGGAATTGCGCCTTACAATGGTGTGGTAGCGGTCACTGCCAACTCGAGGGTGACAACAAAGAAGGAGGAGGAGGATCCTGCATATGGACGGATAGCGAGGGAGTGCGAGGCAGCAGCAAGGGTATTGGGTGTCGCGGCTCCCATCCGAATCGATGTACGACGTTTTTCAGAGGCTCCTGGATCTGACTTTGCCTTGTTTGACGTAAACATGAAACCGGTAAGTTTGCTTGGTGAAAACTTCGATGGAAATGGGAAGACTTCTGACAAATGTTTCCCACAGAACATGACCGGTCCTGGACGACCTGGGCGAGATGACCAAGCGAGTCTAACGCTTTTGGCTGCTGAGGCGCTAGGGTGGGACTACCCAGAGCTGTTGAGGCAGGTTCTGGGCACTTCGTCGACGTTGAAGGTGCTGAGGAAATTAAAGCCTAGAGAAGAATAGAACGATAGGGTCCTCTGGTACTAGGTAATCATACGTGATCAAGGGGTTAGATGATGGAATACAAATAAGAAAACTCTATTGAGGAAATTCAAAACATCAAAAGAATCATCGTGATTTCCCCCAATGGTTTCATTGTCGTAGGGCCTTGTGGGCGGTGTGTGTGGGGGGGGGGGGGGGGGGGGGGGCGTGAATAAGATAGGCCGGGCTGGAAGAGATCACAGGTCACACAAAGTCACAAAGAGAAAGAGCAATATGATAGTTTGCAATGCCAGTGTATTCTTTGTCACACCATATAAGCAGCCTATAGCTGCCAACGACGAACAACAACCTGATACTCGTCGAAGCTTAACCACAATGAAGAATGAATGACCCATTGACCTGAATCCTCTTTGACGCCTGTTACCAAACCCAAACCTTCCCGAATCCGAAGCCTCCTATGAATGAAATGAATCCTCCACCAGTGTGCCCCAAATCCACCGATCTAGTTCCGTTTCCAAACTTCAAAAGGTGTTGAGATCACATGAGTGTAAAGTATTGTGAGACCTAGACGCCGGCGGTAACGACGACAGTCTGAGTCTCAGTCTCGACGGGTTCAGCGGGCCAAACACGAGTGATGACAGGGAGACCAATCTCGACGTCCTCAGTGGATGAGGTAGCAGAAGGAGCGACCTTCTTAGGGTTCTCGCTCAAGGTGGTGAGGAAGAAGCTGGGCTCCGAGCTAGTAGCGTTGGCGAAGGGAGTGTAGACGGGAGCGCTCAAGGGCATGGCCGGGTCCTCGCTCAGGGTGGTGAGGAAGAAGGTAGGTTCAGTGGGGGTAGGACCGGAGAAGGGAGTGTAGACGAAGGTTCGGGTGGGATCAGGGTGCTCGTAGTCCACAGAGACGGTGCAGAGGTGTGGCTTGGAGCCATCGCTGCGAGTCGCAGTGACGCACCAGCTGGATATGCGCTCGTTCATCCCCTGAGTAGTAGTCTGCTCGACAGGAGCAGAGGTGGCGATCTCCATAGAGAGAGCGGAGGTGATGTAAGGGGCGGTAACGATGGGAGCGTCGACCTGCTCAAGAGTGGTCTTGGTGCCAATGTCCATGCTCACAGTGCTCTTGATGCCAGCGCACATCTCCATGATGCCAGTGAGGCCAAGGCTAGCCTCGTTGACCGAGAAAGTGGTGCACTTGCTCATGGTAGTGACGATGGGCTGCTTGTGACCATCGGCGGCAGTCTTGGTGCAGGAAGTGCTGGTAGTCTGGTGAACGACCGGGCCCTTGGAGCCGAAGCTCACGATGCGCTGAGAGCCACCGAAGCCACCATCCTGGCGGATGTTGTGCTTGAAGCCAGCGACACCAGCCTGAGCGGGAATCTGAGCGTTCAAGACGCTGGCAGAGGCCTGGTTGTCCAGAACGGGCATACCGTTGACGGCAGCGCCAATGATGGCACCGACGGCAGTGATGGCAATGTAAGACTAGATAAAAATATTTATGAGCTTCCGGAACGACGCGTCTGACTTTTTGGGATTTGATACATGGGAAGAAAATTCATAGACATACCTTCATCTTGACTGTGGTGAGTGAAGAATTGGAATTCTTGGTTGGTGATGGGTTGCTTTGTTGTTTGCTTGTAATTGCGATTGTGAGAGTTGTTTGTGAGTGGAAAAAAGTGCGTGGCGTGTGTGTGGAAAAGAGAAGAAAGTGGGAGTGTGAAGGTGAGTGAGAAAGGAATCAGAAGGATTAGGTGGAAGAGCTGGGCGGTCGAAAGGCAGTAGGCAGGCAGGGCAAGAGACTTTCCGTGGTTAGGGCTAACTGTTGCGCTCCTTTCTATTCAGGCAGGAAGCTGGAATGAAGGACAAGGCAGCAGTGGTCTGAATAAAGTGAGGCTGAGTGGTGAGATGGAATACGCATCTTGTGATCGAGGAGGTGAGGTTATTCAGGGGCACACGTGGCTGGGTGGAATATCAGAAGTGAGGTGGACAACCACCTCTGAATGGCCTCACAAAGAACGCTAGCCTTGCACTTGTATTAGTCACCAAATCGATAGGCACCTCTGGTTGGTCTATTATTTAAGATATCACGTGCTCCCCTGACCTGGAGGATGCCCATCTACCTTACCTCATGTGAAGCCTCGCTGCTGACCCTCCACCTACCCCAACTTGATCTCTCACTTATCTGGCTTCTGTGGATCTCTCCTGACGCATCTGGGGACTGCTTGGAATGTTTATTTTCTTTGTCCGGAGACAGGTGCCGTTGCCCTGGTGGCTGTCTCTGTCAGTCTGACATGAGCCCAAGTCGAACTAGGCAAAGCTGCCTCAACAGGTCGATCAGGTAATAAGGCGAGGGTGAATGAATCATCACGAAGTAGTTATGCAGTCAATTGACCTGGGAAATTGGACTTTCTCCAGTCCTTCTGGTCTTGTTCTCACAAGCCAACGTGTGACTGATGTCCAAGATACACGTAGTTGAGCGAATGGTGGTCGAAGGTTAATCATCCTCCTGAGCCATGTGAACGTAGTTGGCAGTTGCTGGGCAACACGAACAACCATCCTGACTAAACACTACAAACATCGATTACAGCTGTCGGAAGAACATCAACTTCAACTGTGTGTTCTTTACTCTTAATTGAGATGTAGGAGTAAGATTATCCGCATCTCCTAAAATTGTTCCGAGTCCGTGGCCTTCGGCCCGAGGCCGATGCCGTCGACAACCTCACAACTTTGTAGGCCCGGGATGGCCTTGATTGCATTCATGTACGACTGGCTTTGATCCTACTTTTGGGATGGGAAGGATAAGCATCGGCGTATTCAGGCTGCTCTTGCCCAATCTTTGATGTTCATGCATAGCACCATCGGCAATCTTCAGGTGTGGTAGCGTTGCGGCACAAACGGTTGCCGTGCGTTCCGATGCGGAAGTAGTAAAGACCCTCTCTTGTTAATGATATGCCAAACTCCCACGTGACCGCTGTTGTTTGTGAACGATGCTTGGAGCCGGGTTGGCCAATAGCTCATGAAGCCGTCTTCACGTGGCGAGGTTACAATGCCTCAAACCCGGGAAGCCGGCTCAAACATACTGACAGAATCGATCCAATCGTCAAGGAACAATCCTGCCGAAGATCATCTTGGCGTGCATCAAGCCATTGCCGAGACGGGTAGACCTAAGACAACCGATTGCCGACTGAATCTTGGCTGATAGAGCCGCACCTCACGATATTGTTGTACTCCGTCGGCGAAGAAGCCGCAATTATGCCAGGACCATATCAGTCATTGCCTTTTCGACGTTTTCTTCAGCGCAATTACATGTATCGTGAACTTATCCGCTTGCCCTTATCTTGTTGGCCTGTTCTCGGCCGATCAGAAATTTCCTCCTCGTCCATCAACACCTCCCTCAAAATCGCCGTCGGAGATCGAGTCAACAACTCGGCTGGGCAAAATTGGCACGCCAAGCCAAGCACAGGCCGTTGAAACGGTCCACCGTCGTCAGCAGAGTCATGTAACATAGGTAGGTGGTCTCCCTCCGGCACTCTTTGCTCGGCCCTTTTTCGTCCCAAAAAAGACCTCATACACTCTCTGCTACTATGCGAATCCTCACCAGACAGCCCAAATTTCGTACCACCCGACTATCTACGGATGGTGCCTACCGCATTGTCGGGCCCGTCCACGCCCAATCTCTCGCTGCCTTGCATCCCATGTGGGTGCCCATCAACATCCGGAGTTGCGATGGCGTGGCCCAGCGTACATCTATCGTGTGTCAAGTTGAACAGAGTTTGCTCTAGTCAGGGGGACTTGGGATGAACGAAACAAAATCTTTTGCAGCCAAGACTATGCGCCAGTACTCTGTAGACCATACCTACAAAGTACCTCATCCACTTCTAGAAAACCACCAGTCCAATGCCGTACGATGCTATACGGGCGAAGGGTGGCTGTCAATAAGCTTGTTTGTGGGGTTTAGAGTTACATCATCTCCGCAACCATCCAAGATCGGCCCTACCAGCCCCTAAAGACGATCGCCGTTCCTGTCTTAGTCTTCTATGCGTTCTCTGGCGTCTCCGCACCGTCATCAACCTCTGACTCTCGTACGGCTCTATTCTAGGAGCACCGGAGTTAAACAACACCAAAAGGGTTCTCGAAGCAAAAGTAGCGCAACCCAGAGCCCTGGTTGACAGGTCTCCAGACTCCAGAGCCAAGAGGCAGAAGGGAAAACTTCCGGTAATTGTCCGCAGTACATACACAGTCGTAGTGCTTCATCGTGAACCAGAGAAACGACTCGCGGAGATCCACCGAGGCCACGACGTCCGAAGCCGGACTTCATCCCGTTGGTGTTTTGGGCTCGCAAGTCAGGGATAGTTGCCAGGGATGCGCCCATCTCTGCGGGGGAATGGTCCCATAGTGCCAAGCCAAAGAGCAGACATTTTTGGCTTCATCAAATTTTACTGCCTTCTCTACTGCCCAGTACCCACGACTCGCTCGGCTCTACTATCATCTCGGCTGCCCGCATAGTCCGCTGCCCGTACGAATACCAGCTAATACCATCCGCCCGGTGTCAGCTCAACTACCGGCCGACGCTACTTATTACCAGTAACGGTTACACGGGCAGCTCCGACAGAGACCATGGCCCCTAACTAACGTGTGATCCAAAACGTCATAGCTTTAAGGTCCCTGTTCCAGTAGAGTGGGATATTATTATGAACTAATAGACGCCAAGCCTGATGGCTTGTCGCGGACGAACCGATGCAAGATGGGCACAGAGTTGCAGTTACCATTAAAAAGCTTCCCATCCCGCTGCCACTGCCAAAGCTTCCTCTAGCGTTGTGACTTCACTCACTTCTTTGATGATATAAGTCTTAGCGGCGGCAACTCATCCCCGGACCTGCTCCTCTTCCCAGCAAGTCGCTCTCTGGTTCCAAGTCGCAAACATGTCTCTCATCAACGTCGACCTCCACGCCCTGGCAACAGGAGGCGCAGGCTACCTCGCTTCCATCAACGCCGGCGCCAAATTGGCCACACCGGCAATCTCACTCCTGGCATACCAACCCGCCTTTGCAGACGTCCTCGGCCCCAACGCTACAGCCCGCAAGATCGTAGAAGTAGACTGGGAAGCATTCCACGAGGGTGGCATCTACAATAAGAAGGACAACTCCCTGTACATCTCCTCCAACTACAACCCCACCGACAACATCAACATCACCGTCCTCAACTTGAACGACTTCTCCGTCAGAAGTACCCAATTCGACGGCCTCACCGAAGCCAACGGCGGAAGCTCATACTACCCGCCCGGCGCAGACCAGGCCGCCACGCCGCCCATGCAGGTCTGGTGCGACCAGGGCGACCTGACGAGAAACTCCCAGCTCCTCGCCGTCGACCCCAACACCAACAAGTCGGAGCCTCTCATCATCGGTTTCAACGGCCGCAACTTCACCTCGCTCAATGACGTTCGTCAGCACCCCGTCACAGGAGACCTCTGGTTCACCGATCCCCAGTACGGCTTCTTCCAGAAATTCAGACCTGAATCCGTGCTTCCCACACACGTCTACCGCTTCGAGCCATCAACTGGCACAGTCCAAGTTGTGGCGGACGGCTTCCAGCAGCCCAACGGCGTCGAGTTCTCACCTGACGGCAAGACGCTGTACGTCTCCGACACCGGCGCCATCACCACCGCCCCTAACCTATCCGGCCCGGCCACCATCTACGCCTTTGACATTATCGACAACAAGAAGCTCGCCAACAAGCGCGTGTTTGCGTATGCGGACAATGGCTTCCCTGACGGCGTCCACGCCGATATCGACGGTAACGTCTGGGGCGGCTGCGGCGACGGAATCCATGTCTGGAACCCCGAGGGTGTGTTGCTTGGAAAGATTCACTTGGGCGAGACGTCAAACAACTTTGCGTTCGCCCCGGGCAAGGTCTTTGTTTTCTCGAACCAGCGTTTGTGGGTTGTTGAGAACCTCAAGGCGCTTGGAAGAGAGGTTTGCAAGGACTTCGGAGCGGATTCGGATCCCAGATGCGCCAAGTAATGCGTCGGGTACCATAGAGCATTGTGTTTTAAAAGTTTTGATACCATATTCCCAATTTAGAGTTCAATTAGACCTAGGAACAAGCATGTTCATTTGATAAGTGACAATTATGTGGCATGGACTTGACTTGACTCCGGATGTGGTGGGCTGCAGTCATCAAAGCATGGATGAGATACAAGATTCACTGTTGCGTCACCATTCCCAGACTTTGTTCCTTTACTTGAAGCGAGGGTTCTGTTCTCAAATTGCATTGTCTTGAATCTGCTTTTCCAAGATTCTATTACAAAAGACTCGATGCTGCGAGTCCCGATACCTAACCACTCTGCACCAATCTTGGCAATCCAAGAAACGTTCCCTATCCCAATCCATCCATACCCCAAGTTCAGGTCCAGAACTTCAGGGCTCACTGAAAGTTCGGGAACCTTATTGATCGAAGGGAATATAGCTTCCTTGATGTTGTGGTCTGGTAGCAAAAGGCGTCCTCCTGAACCCCCCACCCACAGCTGTGGAGGACTGAGGAATGGAGGGGTTTATATGTAAGTCCGAGTCCAGAATCTTCAAACCCCATTGAATATCCCTCACCAGGACCAGACTCGACAACGGGAAGCGGCTCCGGAATATTGTAGCCCCTTGATGACCTTGAGCACCGGGGAGGTCCATGATTGCTGACGTGTATACCAACAGATTGTGATTGGGGAAATGAAGTTTTCGAGGTAAAGGGGTAGAGGGACAGCAGAGAAATAGTAAATAATCTATCTTCTTACCTCGAAAACTCCATTTCTTTCATCGAGATAGGTGGGAGTCGAGGAGGCCTTTGCAATGGTTGAGAAGGTCGTTACGTTGTATCCTCTTATACCATTCATCAGACCGACGTGATGATGAAAATGAGCCGAGAAACCCTGAGTGTAAGACAAGGCCGCGACCCTCGGTATGTCGAAGGGCTTGAAAATTGCCCCTCGAGTCTTTCACTCGAGAGGTTGGAAGGCGGAAAGGAAAATCGCCCCGAGGCCAGGCCAGGCCTCGAGGTGGAAATCGGCTGGTGGACTCAGCCCAGGTACGTAGGCTATAGCGAGGGGCAGCAAAATGTTTTCGACTTCTTCGAGCTGAGCTTTCTGGATATTCAAAATTGGAAGAACATATTTCCTTCATCTGCGTTCCAGTCGGTTTGTGAATGACCTGACAACCGGCAGGTGCGGACAGTTGGAACCTAATGGTTCCAAGTGGATAAGATGCCCGACACCCATGGTCAGCATGGGAAGATGCGGTTGACGTGTCCCAGAGCTGTTGCAATAGTACAAGGCTAAAGCCATTGTTTTTCGTCTGAACTTTGAACAAGTCTTTGTAGCATTTGTGTGTTCGAACAACAAGACCAATGTGATCTCCGACAATGCTTTGGACCTTGTGGCTGTTGTTGGCTAGTCGGAGAGGCTTCTCGACATTAGTTAGTACCGCAGACATTGAAAGGAGATGTTGGAGTTCAGTAATGGATGCTTACGGGATTGTCGTGATGGCTTCAACCATCCGTGACCTCACCATACGTCACGTGACCTCGGTTACATAATCACCGAGGACCACACTCGCTCTCACTCTCTATTTCAGAGCGAACCTAGTGCTCATTTCCTACTTTCAATAGATAACCGTTCTCTTTTACCTACGTCGATGCCCCTATTGTGACTATACGACAGGGATAATGCCGGGCTGGGGCCGGTAGCCGTGCTGAAGCTGCTGAGAAACATGAGCCTGTTGGCCGAGAAAGGGCTGCTGGCCGTGATGGCCATGATCATCTTGAGCGTTCATGGTGTTGCTGCGGAGATCCCAATATCATCCAAGCGGATAGGCTTGGAAACAATTTTGATTTAGGCTCGGCGGAACAACGCAAATTTGCGCTTGGAAAATGTGAGTGGTGATTGGAGCAGATTTGAACATCATTTCCGTAATTTTCGATTTTCAAGCCTTCCATGTTCGACCCAGAAGCCCCGCCAGGAGGACCTGAGTGAGGTTAGGTTCACAACTGAGACTCTGAGGTGGTTATGGGATAGCCCCAAGAATCCAGAAAGAGGAATACCCTCGAGGTCTCAGTCGCGGTTTAGCCTCACCCAAATCTTTCGGGCAAATGATTGAATTGGAAGAGGGTGCCTTTCTGTACCCTGATTAGCGATAGATACAGACGAGGCGCATTGGGTGAAGACGAATAGTCTGAAATCTTGGGGTAGGAAATAGGGTGTTTGAAACGTTCTCTTTGCCGATATCTGAAAAGCCTTCTCCCCCGACCTCCACATGTCATGGCAGCGAGCAGTTGATAGCAGTGGGGAGCAGGAGTAAAAGGTTGAGTATTCGAGCTTTTGTGTCCTTAAATCGAGGACAGCGTCTTCGGGGGTGAGCACGCAGACGGAAATGGAGGGGACATCGTACCAGTCTTCGACGTTTGTTCTCAATAACGGTCCGATGTCCCCTGATGTTCCAAACTCACCCCCAAGCTTCTCTTTGAATTGGCTCTTGTGGCGAGAAGACGCAATCGTGGCCAAAAGTGCCATTTGAAGCAGCATTCGATATCAAAACATAGATCAGACTCAAAGTTACAGGCCCTGGTGTTGGGGGTCGGAGCAACCCCAATATGATGGAAGGCTCAAAGGCCCAAGCCAGAGCCAGTAGCTTTGAGTCCAGAACCATCCTACAGTCCAAAAAAAAGAGTCCTGATGATCGAGAGGAGTATTATTCGAACAACTGTCTTTGTGTGGTTGGAGTGCATGGCGGAGAGTCCCGTCGCGTGGGACCTTTCTTGTTTGCTGAGGCAGTTTGAGGATAGAATTTGTAAGATATATTAGAAAAGATATCATGACGCAAGATGCTTTGTTCGTGATGAAGGCGACTGTGGTATAGGACTGGGAACAAACGATGACATGGTAGACCGGCTGAAGGCAGGAATATCACCAAGCCTTCCATTGGACAGAACACATAACAAATTAGAGACTTGGAGGAGTGAACCTACTGGACCTGTACTTCCAAAACTTTGCAGCGCCAGTGGTAGAAGGAAACGGAAACCCACCGACTGTGAATTCGTGTCTCGTGATTCATTTCCATACCATTCTTGATGTAACCGTAAGAAGAAAATCCATGCAGTCGAACATCGTAGTCGGGATTAGTAGCCGTCGTTAATCTTGGCATAGTCTGCCTAATCGCTGGAGGCCGCAAGGCACTCCAGTTGTGCAAGGCAAGCTAACTTGCTTTTCTGCTTCCACAACGTTATTAATTTTCACAGGACAAGACGCAAGAGGTAGCTCAACTGACCTTTGAAACAGGTCTCTTTGGAAGGAAAATAATAGGCCGTGCCTATGTGTCAAGGGAGGCCTGCACTTGCAATGAAAGAAGCAGTTCCGACCCTTTCGGTGCTGAAGATGGCATCCATGTTGGACAATTCCAGCCGAGACTGGTGACAAAGGGTGTGGAAACTTTAAATGGAAGCTGGGAGAGTGGAAAAAAGAATTGTGACGCATGGGAGTTTGACTGGGAAAAGATGTAGGGGTGGGAAAATTCTGATATTGACTGCAAAGAGAATGGGAAAATGTGAATGACCACAAACATTGGCATCACGTGCCGAGGGTTTATCTTAATTTTGGTGGCATGGAAGGAGAAAGGACCGGAGGGAATGGTGAAGGAAGGTGCAAAGGGAAATGACGAGCCTGGTTCATAAATGGGAGAACAGAATACACTCCTCAAGGAAGCATTCCGTAGACCCTAAACAACATGGAGCTACTGATCAAGTGTTTCAAATAAAATCATCGATGTCTACTTCCGTCCAGTCTAGATGATTGTGAAATGCTGTATGTCAGTACTCTTCTCCAGCATGTTACTGAGCTTCCCATCTGACCAGCCAGACACTATACACGCCCCTACAAGCTTGTGTGCCGACCCTTGAACATTGCGAACCACAAAGGGAGTAAAGCCGTCTGCAAAACCGGCAATCTTGTCCCCTGGTCGCATAATATCTGGCCCTCAACACTCAAGCCCACACTCCGTGAATTAAGCTAGCCTCCGCGCCCTGTATTCAAACGCACAACGTCCGCCCCATACGGGAAGTCGGTTTTACTCTCTTGGATCAGCCCTTCCGTCCATATAGTACTCGTCTAGACAGTGGCGACCACTGCTCCTACAATAGAGAGCTCTCGATGGCCTACTCTCACATGGGTTGGTGCGAGTACCCAATCTTTGTGCCATGTTGCATTGGTATAACTCCGATCGCGGAGAAATGTTCTCCAGCGCCGTCCCAAAGGGACACCCAGAGGTTGAATCGTAAGGAGTCTTCAGTATGAAATACAGCCCCAAGCGGCCGAAGGTCTTCGTGTCGCTGTAGTAGTTTTTGAGGTACCTCGAGGAAAACTTCGTCGACTGGCTTGGTATAATCTGCCACCAATATTGGAGGATCGCTTGTATCCTCGCAGTAGTTGACCATGTAATCCTCATTTCCAGAGTCTCCATAAGCATGCCGCTTTCTGGATGAAGGGTGTCCAAGAAACCCATAGATATGGTCACGAGGATCGGTTGCCTAGCAACAGATGCCATTCGTCAACAGCAGGAGCAACGGCGTGTTTCTGATGTGGCTCTTGAGATCTTCACCTTGAAGCCAACCTGAGCGTGTCGCTGGTCCGTAATCTAGCCAAAGCTTACGCGTGTTCTTGACAGCGGTAGCGTCTTTGATGAAGAGATCTTTGATGCGGTCGCCAGCGTCATTGTTGCGATCCATCCATATATCAAAACCAAACACGTCCAATATACGGATTGGGCCAGTTGTTCCCCAGTAGAAAAGGGCTTTCGAGAGAGGCCGAGATCTCGTTGTACCCAGACATGTCGAAACCACGAATTCGCATACAATTCGGCAACAGCGTTCCATGATGCGGTGTCAAAAGTGTCAACATCCGTGCGAGTGAGATTTTTCCTTGCCTTCTTATTCCAATGTCCTTCCGAGATCGGCTTGATGGCGTCAAAGGCCATCTTGGCATGACCTCTCGGATCATCTCCCAGCCAGATCGCGAGACGAGCTGCATTCCAGTAGATGGGGCCCATGTAAGCAACGTGGTTACTTCTCTCAATGTCATCTGTCCCGTTGATACAGACAGCGTCTGCCCAAACTGTGTTTTGTTCCGCCGGGTGGCGGAGGGCAAGCAGGGCATGATACAAGCTCTTTTCGATGCTCAGGTTGCGAGGTTCTGTGCCGTGTCCTTCGTTTGGAAGAACTCTGAATTCACGCTTCTCGGTCGTATTTCCCCAGCAGTATGAGAGACACTCGTATTCTGGGTTGTCATCAAGACGTACGGTACGCAGGCGGGCTTCAAGATCATCACTTTGGCTAGGACTTGGGAGAAGATCAAGGACTCGAATGAAATGGTTGTCAAGCTTTGTTGTAGGCAACGGCGTTTATATGTATGGCACTATGATGAGACTTTCTCAAGAGATAGGATTTCCTGCGTCAATATCTCAATTCGAGAATAAAGGCTAACAGAAGAAGTCCTGAAGTCGGGGAGGGAAGACAGTTGGACATTTCGAGGGGATTTCGAGCGGAAAACTAGAGGACTGTCCAGCTTTCAGGAGTTGTCCCTTCGACTTGGCATAGATGCGGAGCTGGTGATACCCCTATTATTCCTGTTGATGATATAACATGGGTTCCAACACTGGTTGATCAGAGGGAGACCACCAACACCCCAATCAGTCAAGTCAGAGCATTTCAGGCCCTGCGGACTAACAGCTCCAACCGACGCAAACATAAGGCGTACATTCTAAAAGGCAACTACACCTCCACCTTGAGGTGCATGGGTACTTCTGAGCGAGCGAATCGGATCTAGAACTGTGAGGCTGTGACACTGAGGTCTCGTATCTTGATGAAAGACGAAGGTTGGGCCTGGAGAGAACATGAAAATGGTATCAGGCCACAGCGGGGCCGATGCCGGTGCCGGAGTTCTCCACCAAGGACGACATGCCGCGGCGCCACGGCATCGTGTCCACCGGGGTATCGCCAAGGCGGGGGATGGTCGAGAGACTAAGTAGATGTTTCTGAATGCGCGCCCATTCATGGATGTGACGTAATATTGATCGCGACTCAGAGAGGCGTACGGCTTCGGTCACACCTCCTAGTTGGCCCACGAACATCGTCTTTACTCCACGGCGTTGGGGCTCACCAAGGCCTCGCTGATGCTACTGATAGTACCACCAAGACGGATCGACTCACAGAGCTGCTTGGTAATGCGTGAAATGTTTTCCGGCTACTCCGTACTTCAAAAAACGATCGGTCACAGCGCAGGGAGTGGGACCAGAAGATCGCGGGAAAGAAATGCCACTTCTGGTCGACGAGGAAAGCCACGCCGAGTCATCGACGTAGTACATAAACCTAGTCCCAAACCCCAACCAAGATGAAGCAGACACATAAAAGCACCGCTGACATATCGTCGCCCTATAAAGATTCCCCAGGCATCATCAGACTGAACCATACATCATGTCCTACACCTCAATCACAATCATCGTCTCCCCCTACCACGTCGGCATCTCCAACCACCGCGTCGGCACCGGCCCCAACCGCATCCTCTCCCACAACCTAGCCGACAAACTAGAGTCCCTCACCCCAATCCGCTTCATCAACATCGGCCCCGTAGACGACTTCGAAGGCGAAATCGGCCGCACATTCGAACTCCTCCGCCGCACATCCACCGCCGTCTCCCAAGCCGTCGCCGCAAACTCCTTCCCGCTCGTCCTCTCAGGAAACTGCTACGCTAGCACGGCCGTGGCAGCCGGTCTCAATGCTACCGTCCCTGACTTGAATGTCCTGTGGATAGACGCGCACGACGATCTGGATACACCCTCGACAAACGAAAATGGGTACCTTGATGCGATGGCGCTGTCTATGGCGGCCGGGTTGAGCTGGCAAAAGTTGATGGGCTCTGTGCCGGGTCATAAGCCGTTGAGCCTTGAGAGGGTGGCGTATTGTGGGCTGAGGGACGTGTCTGAGCTGCAGAGGAAGACGGTGACCGAGGCCGGGGTGGATGTTATTTGGGGTGACGCGGAGAGGAAAGTTGATTTTGCAAAGGAGCTTGGGGTGTTGTTGGATCGGAGGAGATTTGAGAGGACGCATGTTCATCTCGATTTGGATGTGCTGGATGAGTCGTTGGGGAGGGTGAACGAGTTTCCTTCTCCGGGGGGTTTGGATGAGGAGGATTTGATGGAGTGCTTGGAGACGATTCCGAGGAAGACGAGGCCGACGTCTTTGGTTGTGTGTTCTTTCAATGCGGAGTTGGAGGGGGGTGATACGGTGGCTAGGCTTGCGGTGAAGGGCATTGTGCGCTTCGTTGAGTGGCTTATTCAGACTGAAGTCCTGAGAGGGGCTCGATGATGTGTCTTTGCCTGGACTACGCTACACAAGCTACTCGTCTCTGATGGGCGTAATTCTGTGTTATTCTAAAGTCCACCTGCGGTATTTGGTAGTGATGGGCAGTAAGGACGGCCCTGGCGATGGGAGTACGTGTATGGGTTGGCCAAGGTAATTGAAAACGATCTCGCTGATGAGAAAAATGGCAGTAGAGTTGAAGCTCGACTTGGCAGGCTTTTCGATACAATGTTACTAGCAAACCGTGTATCTTCAAGGAAGACGGTCTTAACATTGATGTCAACTACACTAAGCGTTTTCGCTACAGTTTAATATTGACAATTTGCCGATGCCCCCAAACTCAGCCAAAGTCAAGGGAAGGGAAAGCTTGTCCATCTGCCGAATCCCATCTCGGGTTTCAAAAAGACTTGAAGTTAACTCTGGCGAGACTTTCAAACCTACGAATGCACTCACGGACAGGGAGAAATTCTTCTGACAGATCACAGCACAAAGAGTTATCGAACTTGGCCCAGAACAGGAACCAGCTCACGGCCGTGCCAAATCCGGGTAAAGATGCACGAGCCTTGGGGTTTGATGAGCTTTTGAGTCAGCGACCTCTACCAGCCAGCGGAGACCCATCGATTCGTGTGATCACGACGAGCCGAGTATGAGGCCTGTTACCCGCACGGCGAACATGAACGGACGAGATAATACCTAGTTGATCCGAACACAGCCACGGGAGTAAGCACGCATGAGACATCACGCGGTGAAAGTGGCAGTTGAGGTCAAGTATACTCTAGACTTGGTCACCATTCGGCGAACTCCGAAGGATGTCAAGGTCGGCGACCACACTGAGCAGCACCTCCATGCCTTAGATCATAGCAACTATCATTTTGAAGGGTTCGGACCAAGGTGCCACCAAGGATGGTCGTGCGTATCCGAGAGCATGCAGGCAGCCCCGGATCCAAACCTCGTGGCGGTCTGACAAGCTGCAGCTACTAGCGCCGCCAAACGCTCAAAATAGACTGGGCCGTTGGTGGATATCTTAGTGAGGACTCTCACAGTCTCACTGGATGGGTGAAAGCTCCCAATCGCACCAGACTCCCAGTCCTGATAGAGGGCCATGCCTCACGACACTGTCATGACGAGACGCGAGGACAGCCTGGACGAGCCGATATACGCGCAATACCGATTCTCACAAACAGTGCCCTCAGGACAGGGCATTGCGCCGCATATCAGGCTTCTGAGCGTATTAGAAGATATTCTCGCAACAGTCCACGGTGACCGCGATGTACTCATCTGGAACGTCAAGCGCAACTTGCCTCCTCAGCGCATCGAGATTGCAATCGTCCTCGACTTCATTACGGGCATTGCTATCTCGCCAGCAAGCAGCAACATCGTCGCGCTGTCTTTTAGATTGGGGCCCAAATGCGAGGTATGGACATTCAACTGGGCAGACCAAGTCGTCGAGGCAATGTTCACGACGGGATTGGACCTCCACTCACCACAGTTCTCGCCTGACGGTCGATTGCTCGCCTGGATATCGGCCGGATGCGTCGATATTTGGGAGACGATCATCAACACACATGTCCAGACAATCAGCAAAAGCAAAAAAGCCACCAGCGGGCGGTCGGTTTCCAGGTTCGCATTTTCGTCGGATTCGAGTCGAATCGCAACAGTAGATCAGTCGGGAAGGCTGGCTAGCTGGGATGTCGCAACGTGGTCGTATATCGGCGAATCCAAGGTTCAGCCGGCGATAGACGACGATGGGTGGGAACGGGTGCAGCTCGTCACGGACAACAGGCGTGTTATGATGGTCTCTCGTGAGGTGAACGAAGTTGCGCGAAGGTGGAGGCTGACAACATGGTGGCCGAGTAGCGATAACAGGTCGGAGCTCGAGATGGACGCATGTGTGTATGGATGCGTTCCTGGAAATTGCGCCTTCGTTGCGACGGTGCAGTCGGACGGGGGAAAGCTGCGAATCCGCGACACGAACAACGGCATGTGCTTCGATCAATCGACTCAGGGCATAGCGAAACGCGGCAAGACACCCTTGGTGGTGATGGGTGGCATGGTGATGAGTGGAAAGATTATGGTGACACAACTTGCCAACGGAAGGACGACGATATGGCAATTGGTGGCCACGGAATAGGGCTCGAAGCACACGACGGCGCGAACGCGATTCACGGTAGGGCACGATGTCTTGGCTGAGGTAGAAGGGTTTGCACTACCCGAGTATGCACCAAACCGAGAAGAAAACAAATACGGTGATGACGGGGCAGATATCGTGGACTCACGACTTGCTGGGCGATAAGGTAGCGTAGCGAAATCCAGGGTCAGATAGTCTTGATATGGTCTAGTCGCCGGGACAAAGTCGCGATAACCCAGTTGAGGTTGTCCATGTATCCGTAGCTCAGGGCGGACCCTCAAGCTTGGAATATGAGACCCAACCCGAGGGCGCCTGACATCTTCCTGAGTTGCTCTGAGCAATGGAAGGGTGGCCGAGTTGGTTATGGCGCCAGGTTAAGGTCAGCTTAACATCTGTTTCCTGGTGGGGCAACCCGCGCGAGTTCGAGTCTCGTCCCTTTCAAACGCATCTTTTTGCATGTCGTGGAGATATCGATATCCATTTTCCAATGATTTTTGGTGCGAATTTGACGAATTCGGTGATTCCCGCCGATGCATCTGCTTTGGGTACGTACCTACATCGAAGAATTGAGTTCCGTCTGCAGAAATTGTTAGTGCAGCGGAACGGACCAGTAAACGGGGCAGAAACGGCTCAGAGCGGGGCATTCGAATACGAGGGACCTGCGAGAACTCTGCACCGGTGGGGCCGTCACCGACGACGTGCCGTGGACCAACCAGGGACGGCGAATCCTCGTGCACAGGCTACTTTCTCGCCCGATTCATTCCCGATTGTGGGCCCGGGCCTGGAACTGATGTTTGCCCCATTCCGGACGTCCTCCGACCGGTCTTCCCAGCTGCTGTCTCCACGCAGATGCTACGCTCGCTGAAATTGTTGGAACGCGCCATCATTTCATGAAGATTACGCTGCTGCAGCCTTAGCTTCGGGGGCAACGGGGGACCCAAGCGACCCAAAATACAGGGGCGATGGATGCTGCAGGCATGAGCGCCCTCAGGTAATTCGTACGCAGCGCTGCCTAGCGCCTAGTCACCAGATTGTAGTCCACTGTTCAGAGGTGCAGTGTACCGAGGTGAAACGCGGCAATTTTGCACTGAATACTCCGTATTGGGACTGAAGACCTAAAGTCGAAGCGACATGTCGGAATGGCATAGCAGTTGTTGAGACTGGCGAGTTGTTGGTTGTTTGTGGTCCTGTTCTTGGCTAATCGTTGCCGACCGTTGCAAACAGTAAACACGCAACTTTGTGGATTCGAGCCTCTTGGACAACAACGCTTTCTTCTCGCGCGGACTTGCTCTGCTCCGCAATGCCATGCATCGTATCCTCTTCCCAAGTTCCTGCACGTCCGAGTCTCCAATTCTCTTTCGTAATCATCGACCAGACCGCATCCCATCCTGGATGCTGTAGTCAACAGTTGGCATTGCGGCGCATCGGTGCGTATGTTGTCTCGTAAGACTACAGCTGTGCCGCTTGCTGCTTGCATCCTCATCGTGATCGGCGCAGGAATCGGATGTCGGATGCTTTTCGCAGGCACCGACCACGTGAGCGGTCAATATAGGTTCACCTCCGATCAATGGGCTCGACGGATGCGCCATGCCGCCCAGATAAGAGTACGGGTTGCGACTGTCGTCCTCCAAGTGATGCCGTATCTCTGGGTTGTTTCCGAACATCTGGCCCGGGGCAGTAGACTTGTTTCGTAAAGCTAACAGCGTCTTATCTTGGGCGATAGGCGATTGCTGATTTCGAATGGCGGCTAGGCAACCAGGAGCGACAAGGGGTTCAAGGGGATTACTCGGCGTCCACATTTCCATCCTTGAGCCTCGAGATAAGCAACCTCAGCAGTCTGGGGTTCGGTCGGTCCCCCACGCAGTAATGGAGGAGGCCCCTTTCCGCGCTCACACCGAGTGGGCTTATTGATGGCCACGGTCAGCAGAGTCCCCGTAACGTATCCGTTCGGATAATCGTAGACTGCGCGGAAGAGCAGGATGGCTTTCCCCGAGTCCCTGGTCTGAATGATACGGAGTATGCCACGCCATATGCTTTATTACCGAGACGGGTGTTTTGCGGCGACAGTCCTATCTTTCGAGGGAGTGCTGGCGCGGTCTGCGGCAAGTTGGCATCTACGGAGTAAGTCAGGAGACACTTGTGGCGTTATCAAATCGGGTTCCCGGCGTGGAGGTCCCGTGTTTGTAAATGTCAGGATAGCCATTGGTCTCGTCCAAGCTATGCCGGATGACTTTGCTGGATTTGGGAAGACGTCGCGTAATCTGCGTAGGATCGATACTCCCGAGGGCTAGAAGTCGGTAGTTGGCGATGTGTTCAGGGCCCAACGTCGCCGTCACTCCTGCCAGGGCGGCCTACTTATCGGCCGCCTATTGTTCTTGCAAGTACCTCGCTAACAGAGTCGGTAGAGCCGGAACTGATGCTTCTTTCCCTATCAGCAATCCGGGGTGTATCGATGCCCTTGTGTAGTCCAGCATGATGTATCAAGGATCTGTTCCGATACGACACGTTGGTTGCTTCGTCCACAGTGTTGTGGGAGCCTTCCCTGACTGTCAGCGTTTCCCATATCTCTAGAATCTGGGTGCAATTATTGGCACGGCTGGTGTAGCTGGTACAGAGGAGGAGAGCCTACACAATAGATATGTATCAAGGGGGACTTGTTCCTGGTCGACGGCAAGGGTTCAAGGATTGGTGCAGCTGTAGCTCGCAATTCGCCTTCGAGCTGACATGGACATATGCAGAACAGTAAGGGGCAAGGATCTTCATGAATGGAGGATGAGAAAATGGCGATTGTCCAGGCGAAGATGGAGGCATCAGCGACATGAGGTTGACGCAAGGCTGGAGAGGATCCAAGGCGTCGGTGGAGGAAGGCACCGGTGGGTCTGGTGACTGTCAGCCTCAAGGAAGTCACGATGCGAGGCAGGCACGACGGCGGAACCTGCGCACCTTCCGTTGCTCTTGGATATTGAAGATTGAAGGAACGGAAAGTGCGATGTCCACCTCACTTTCTTGAGATGCACCTTCCATTCCCATTTCGTCTGCACATAAGCACGTGATTCCGGTCCGACGACATCTTGCCGCGTTTCTCAGGCCCGCGGTGGATGTTCCTTGAGGTATCCATCCGTACGGAGGTTGCCTCACTCCACTTTCATCTTCATGTTGAAAGACGCCGACGAACATCTTTCTCTTGGTCTTCAACTCCACGTCGCATTCCGCCCTCAACGACAGCTGTCGCAGTCTTGGCGCCTCTAAACAACCTTCCTTACTCGAGGAGCGACAGCGGGGTTCCCTATTAGACACCCCTCCGTCCTGGACTCCCGAGTCCCCCATGTACCTTGCCTTGCCCTCTCGCATGGCCATCTGCTGCACTGCACTGCAACGGAGAATCTAGACGCAGATCTCTCTCCAGGGCAGAGAAGGGTTCTTGGATGCTGTTGGTCACCGCCATGTGATGTCCTCGCTAATTTGTTTCCAGCTGCGGCTCAGCGGCACCTAAATGTTTTGACGTACGGGAGCGAAGGATGAGGAACCGTTCTCGAGACCCTGCGCGCGTGTTTGCGGGCGTTCGGCCAGCCTTACCAAAGCCACTGACCAGGTACACATATCTGGACGCTGGTATCCTTACTCTGCATACGAGGTCTCAAATTCAACGTCGCTTCGTCCAAATGACCCTTGGTGGTGGTTATGTCGGGCTCTCCGGAAAGGCACTCGAAGCGTTTACTCCGTCCGAATCATACACTCTCTTTTAGGACTCCGCCAAGCAATCTGTCGGTCTGCACTCGGTGTGTTAGAATCTCGCTCTCGCCATCCCCACTTCATCAGCGACTGTCATCGCGACGCCACTCCCGCTTCCATCAAATACAAGGCGTCGCGCGGTTTTCCCGCACTTGCCGGACCTCGCTGGAATGCCATTGAGCTGATCATAATGCAAGGCTATCGATTTGTTCCATCATGCCATTTCAGCCTTTCCCCGGATTCGATACGTATATACGTATCGTGAGGGTGCCCCTCCTGTTCAGCCTGGCAATGGACAGGGTCTCCAGGGTCTAAGGGTACCAATTGCGCCATCAACGAGCCTTCAGGCTTCAGCGCAAGTGGACGACCCAGCATGGCGGGACAAACGCCGACGTCCTTGTCGCGTGTGCTGCGATCGGGTGTCATCCCCCCCCGGACTGGCCTGCTTTCCCTCCACCAAATAGCCGGGTTTGGCGCTGAGCCGGCTCAACTGTTGCATCTTAGAGGAGCTGAGGGAGAACTTTTAGGCTTGACGACTCGTCTGTCTTTCCCATCAAGGAAACGACCGCTTTCCTCGCATCCCGACGACGAACATGAATGGCAGGCAGACAGCCACCGACGAGTGTCACCGACAAGTATCTCACCCGCGTTAAGCCGGCGCAGCGATACTCTTACGTACGACTGGGCTTGGCTCTAACTTGGTGCGGCAGGTGGGCGGAGCATCACTGGAGTCCCCTCTGTGACATCAGCACCTATTCAGGGCCTCTTCAGAGCCACTTCAGAGCCTCTTCAGAGCCACTTCCCACGGGAGCTTGCAGGCCTCACGATCCTAGCGGGCTTGGTTGTATCAGGGAATTGTTCAAGGTGTGCCCCCGACCCTGTGTTGGCGCGCAGAAACAGCCTTGGGATTCCCTGTGCAGGACGGGGGGAGCCCTTGTCTCTCCCCCCATCTGCTCCAGTCTCCTCCATTTTCCTCCATTTCTCTCCATTCTCTCTCCATCCAAACGCGTCCACTTGGCTCCCACTTGGCTCAATTTTCAAACGCTCACTCGCTCGCTTTGCGACCGCCAACCGTGACGTCCTCCACCGCCGTCGGGATCAAGACGGCAAGACGGAAGATTGAAAGACTCCACGACTCGCACCGGGCGAACCAACGGTCTGCATTTGCGTGGAGAGCATGCGGCGCTAGTCGGGCAACTTGGACCACATCACTACGTCATTACGCATTATGTGCATTGAGCAGGTCGAGGATGAGGACTGATGGAGAAATGGATCATTTCTTTGCTGTCTCAGAGGTTGATGATTTTTTTTCGCTGCCGCCTCTAGGCACTCGGTCCCTGATTGTTTCCCCATCGACAGGACGAGGATTAGGAGAGACGTGGAGCGCAAGCTGCAACCACAAAGTGCCATAACGTGGAGCGTTGGAGCCTCATCCGACGCCTTGCGGCTTCACGGCTCCTCGGGGTCCTCCCTTTCGGCGCCGACGGGAGAGGGGAAAAGAGGAGAGACTCTGAGGAGAAACATGGAAGTGAGCGCCGACGAGGACCTAGACGATTTCCAATTCTCAAAGTACCCATTGCCAACAAGTAGCTTGGTTTTGGTTATTCGTACATCGCCCCCAACCCACAGGTGCGGGACAGCACACATGCGCAAGAAGGTGCGAAGAACACACGAAGAATAATGCCTCCATGGGTTCCTAGCGCCAGCTAGCGGGCAGCCAAACCTTGACCACTTGTCGAACCGCGGCATTGTAGTGCGGAAAAAGGATTTCCATGTTTGCAGTGTCTCGCCATCCCGCCGCCACGCTCTCTCAGGCCTGATCCAAGTCGTGCGACACACAGGCGCCGAGCAAAGTCCTAAGGCGCGCGGACCAATGTCCAGAGGGCCACAACCCAATCGGCTGATGACTACGGATACAAGGCAGATGAAATGCAAATGCAAATGCAAGACAGGCTGACGGGCTAGTAGAGCCCAAAGTACCGCCGATAAATCCCATTTACCTTGGGTCGGTTGTTCCAACGATGGGCTCAATATGCTTTACGTAGTAGACCTGCGGTCGATAGCGCGGGACAAATTACCGCAACCAGGCCCAGAGCCGACACCGTCTGGCTCTACACGCGCTCTTACAGGCTCAGTTCTTTCGGCCTGGGTCTTGGCACCACACCAGATACGGCTGTTGCGAGCGATGGGTTTGCTTGAATGTTTCGATACGGCTACCGCTGGCCACATGCCAGGCACCTCAGCTCTTTTCTCGGCCTTGCCTTGCACACAGGCGTTGCGTTGCCCTTCACTGTGCCGCAGGACGTCGTCGGTAAGCGAGAGAGAGCGCCCATGCTACCCGCGCTGACTGCTCGGCAAGTCTTGGGAGGTCAGAGTGTGTGGGCAACAAGATTACTGTGGCACCGGTCGAATCCACCGGGGACCCCGAGTCAGACCAAGAGGCCGCGAGAGATAAACAGACGCAAGTTGAGGGAACCTACGCTAAGGAACCCTTCATCGACATTGTGCGAGCCCGCCCACGCCCAGCAGTGCACACGGCGCCTGTATCCTGGACGGAGTATGGACAGATAGGTACAGGGACTGGCGCTGATAGGACGAGACATGCGACTACATACGGACGGACAAGGGGCTGAGAGAGAGAGGGGGGCAAAGGACATGGGCATGGGCATGGGGGGTGTCGAAGATACACTACAACTCTTTGGGGGTTTGGTCCCGCAGCCCACGTCCACGTCCAATGAGATGGACGTCATTCTTCCATCCCGGCGAACGCGACACCTGGGAGTGAGTGAGAGGAACCGACTGATAGCCCAGTACGGGACGGCACTGACTGGAGGTTGTACCTACATTGAGGAGGAGAGGTGTGAGGAGGAAGAGGAGGACTGAGGACTGCCTCAACTCAATCGAGACCTTCCCTGCCGGCTGTCAGTCAATCTGTCTCCGGCAGCCTGTCTGTCTGGTTTGTCTCGTTTGTCTATTTTTTCGACCCTTGCCGATTTTTGCCTCTTTTTCTTTCCTCCTTCCTTTTAAACTCTTCGTCTTCCCATCTCCTCGGCTCTGGAATACTTCAGTTCCAGTTACACACGGCCGATCCTCCCCCAAAATAAACTTCCTTTCCTCTTGGCTTTCCAAAACACATAAGGCCTTCACTGTCCCTCATGTCAATTGGAAGAGTCGTCTCACCTTTTTAACCTTTTCTCTTTTCCGGTTCTCCCTCTCTCATCGCCTCTGAGCCCCCTTTTTGGCTTGCTACTCGACAGATAGTACAGTCAAACAAACATCAAGGGCACTCATCATGGCGCATGTGCTCTCGCAAGACCCCGGTGCTCGCGAGCACGATCTCGGCTTCGCCAAGGGAGATATCAAAGATGGCTACACCACCCGACCCTCCCGTTCCGACGATGGCGGTGCCGACAACATGCTCGAGTCTCTGGGCTACAAGCCCGAGCTCGAGCGTAATCGCTCAACGCTGCAGGTCGCCTTCATGTCCTTCGTCCTCGCTGCTATCCCATACGGTCTTGCCACTACCATGATCTACCCCTTGGCTGGCGGTGGCCCGGTGAACATTATCTGGGGATGGCTCGCCGTGTCTTTGATCATTATCTGTGTCGCTGCCTCGCTCGGTGAAATCACCAGTGTCTACCCTACTGCCGGAGGTACTTGCCAACTCATTTCTTTTCCGTCATGTTCGCCGTTGCGACGGCCGACCGGCTCCGAAATTCGCCAAATCCGGACTTGATGCTGACGACTTCTCTCTCGATAGGTGTCTACTACCAGGCTTTCATGCTGTCCTCTCCCAAGTATCGCCGCGTGGCCAGCTGGATTTGCGGCTGGTTGTACGTCGTGGGAAACATCACCATCACTCTGGCCGTGAACTTTGGAACTGCCCTGTTCATCGTCGCATGCGTCAACGTTTTCGAGTCGGAACCTGGTGTCGGCGTCCTTGCCGGCGAGCCGTATCAGGTGTTCCTCATCTTCTTGGGTTTGACCTTTATCTGCAATCTTGTGTCCTCGCTCGGCAACAAGTATCTGCCCATCATTGATGTAAGAATGATCCTGTTCCCGTATGCTCCGTGTTGTATATGGTTGTGAAATGAAAGTGTACTAAACTTTTCGTGACTTAGTCCGCCGCCATTTTCTGGACATTCGCTGGTGTCTTCGCCCTCATCATCGCCGTTCTCGTCGTTGCCAAGAACGGCCGTCACGATGCCAAATACGTCTTCACCCACTTCGAGGCCAACTCTGGATGGCCCGATGGATGGTCTTTCTGTGTCGGTCTTGTTCACGCCGGATACGCCACTTCATCCACTGGCATGGTTATCTCCATGTGCGAGGAGGTCAAGAAGCCTGCCACCCAGGTCCCCAAGGCTCTCGTTCTCACCGTTTGCCTCAACACCCTGGCCGGTCTTCTGTTCCTCATCCCCCTCGTTTTCGTGCTTCCCGACATCACCTACTTGATCAACTTGGCTTCCGGTCAGCCCGTCCCCGCCATTGTTAAAGACGCCATGGGATCGTCCGGCGGCGCCTTTGGGCTTCTCTTCCCCCTCATGGTTCTGGCCGTCATTTGCGGTATTGGTTGCACCACCGCCGCCTCTCGTTGCACCTGGGCTTTCGCCCGTGACGGTGCCATCCCTGGTTCCCGCTGGTGGAAGGAGGTTAACCCCAAGCTGGACGTCCCCTTGAACGCCATGATGCTCAGCATGGTTGTTCAGATCATCCTCGGTATCATTTACTTTGGTTCCAGCGCTGCCTTCAACGCCTTCTCCGGCGTCGGTGTCATTTGCTTGACTGCCTCGTACGCCATTCCCATTGGCATCAGTCTCTTCAACGGTCGAACCCACCTGGTCGGTAGCCCCTTCAACCTCGGCAAGTTTGGTGTTGCCGCCAACGTCATCTCTCTCGGTAAGTGCACATTACAAAACAGATCTCATTATTCAGTACAAGACTAACTTCTCGATAGCCTGGTCTGCTCTTGCCATGCCCTTGTTCTGCATGCCCACCTTCGTTCCCGTCACCCCCACGACCATCAACTACGCTCCTGCCGTCTTCGTCGCCGCCTGCCTCATCTCTGGTGGTTGGTACTTTGCCTGGGGCAAGAAGAACTACGCTGGTCCCCCTACCAACGAGGAGCCTGCCTTCTAAGCTCTACATACAACTGAGCTCGAGGGAGCTTGCGGCTGCGATGATCAAAGGCCGAAATGTTTTTGAGCTGTTCAGCTCCCTCGGTCGAAAATGCGATTAAAAACAAGTATCGACAACATATACTTGGCATCGGTGTGCATCCACATGGGTCTTCTGTCACACTTGGAAACAGTGAACTGGAAGCAACCCATTGGCAACATTTTGTCAAGAGGCGCCTACGAATTACGGCGCATCAGGCAAGGATACCAACAAAAAAAGAGAGAGTCTAAGGCGGTCATGTACATAGGAATGATACCCCCCAGTGCTTAAATTCAATTTTTCAGTTACAATTCCTCGTTTCTCACTGCTATCGTGATATGCGCTACGATTGGGGAGGCAAACGTCCAATGGGCAAGGCTACTTCTGATGCTCAGATACCGACATGGATTTTGAAGCCATTCGCACTTTGCCAGCTTGATATCCGTGACATAATCCGGAGCCGGCCGTCCAAGCGCAGAATTGCTGAAACACCACATCACCGAGGTAATTCCGCTCGCAAAGTCAATTCCTCAGCTTTCGTCTGATCATCAAAGCCTTTGTGAACCCCATCTCCAGGAAAACAATCAACACTGTCCTAGACTGTACAAAGCGGACAAGGACTACGCTTATAATCCACGTTCCCTCTTCTTTCCCCCCTTTTCGGGAGGAGATTTTCACTGCAGTATTTTTTCTCTTTTCAATGGAGTCTTTTTTCTGGGTCCCCGTTAGAGAAACGTTGAACTTGTCAATTGCCAAGAACCTCCATTCCGGCCGCGGCGCATGCCTTGCACACCCGCCCCCATGGGGGTAACAAGCTTGCAGGCACCAGGATATTGGGCAAGTGATGGGGATGAGAGAGATGATCCTCCCTTTGTCATGCCAAATTTGGATATAATAAAGATGAGGGTGGGAGGAGTTCCGGGAAATTTTGATATGGAGGGAGGGTATCGGCATTGGGTTAAGGCAGAGTTGGTGAAACAGTGCCTGCGGTGTGGACTCGCGCGGTCCCTCAGATACATCACAGTCCTTAGGTAAGGGAGGAGCAGGACCAACGGCGGTGATGTTGGAACTCAACGAACGAACGTCCCTTTGGATAACCCGGCCCCGCCCCATAGTTACCCATCAAACGCCGACCGCTCCTTCAAAACGGGGTGGAGAACGCGGTCAGCGGAACTTGTCCGGTGGGTTTGCCGTGTTTGATTTTTCTTCGTTGGTGGTTGTTGTTGGCTCAGCCTGATTCTGCTGTGAGGAGCTCGGGACACTCGGTGACTTGGTCACACCTACGTACGCGGACCGTCGACTCGAGGGAGGGGAGTGGGATGGTGAAGAGCTTGTTCATTCTTACGGCATGAAAGTCCACTCACACGTAAAACGGCCATCTCTTGGTCTACAGCCTTGTTTTTTGCTTGCAATTTTCTTTACTGTCACGGCTGTGTAGATCCAGGGTCTCGGGGCTTGTCCCTGGACATACGTACTGGGTACGAAGTACACAATGCCGGCAACATGACCTGAATATTCTTCAACGGGTCGATCTAGTGTGGCAATCTCGAAGCTTTTCCATCGTCTGGCGAATCAGGGCCGTGGGAGTCGGCGGAACAGGGGGGATGGGGGAATGGGGGATGCGATGACGTTTTGTGTTCAGGTTTTCTAGAAGGTTTCCGTTTCGGGACGTCATAGAGTTGATCATGTTGTCTCCGCTTTTCTCTGGATGGCAGGACGTTGCGCACACCTGAGTCGGTGAGGTTGCCGAAGGTTCCGGGGTTCGGTGTGATGGTCATTGGTGCGTCGGAGGCTACATCTGGATGAGCCGTTGGTTTGGCGGACAAACAAAAGAGGCTTCTTTTCTTGGTCGTCTTAGTCCGCTTGGCTTTGATTTGAAGTTACCATACTAGGGGTTCCGATATTCGTCAGCGGCCTTGCTGATATACATCACTTGGAATCTTGACGGATATAACAGCGTTCAATGTTGAGGCCCAAGTACCCAAGAACTATTCTTCTGCAACGGCCTATGTACTGGCATAAATTTTTACCCAGATCAAGGTCACTGTCATAAGAGCACTTATAGAACATTAAATCAAGCCGCAGCGAACGAGTTCACCTTGACCGACCCTCCTAACTGCGTTGTGGCAAAGTTGAAAATACCAAAACGGTACGCAATGAAGAACGCCCATCCAGAGTACAACTCATAGGTATCACCGAGCTTAGTAAATTCGATGCCATCAAAACTGTAGAAAAAGTCGGCATCCCTAGTGCCCGTCGGCCGCGCATCCAGTTCAGCACGGAACCACACCTTGGTAGCACCGCTCGGCACAGGCGCTGAAGCTACTTCCCTACCTGGGTCAACCGGATCGCCAGACCATTCGTCGATGATGATACCTTGGATCGCTTTGAGGGTATACTCGCTGCCGTTGCGGTGGATGCCGATGTAAGCAGTCTGGTCTCGGAAAGTTGCGAGCCCGAATTTGTCGCCATCCGCCATGTTGCTGAAGTCGATTTCGACTGTTCCCTTGGGAAACTCTCCTTGGATTCGGTGAGTGAGGGTGTTTCTCGCAGAGTATATGTCTTCAGTGACGCTCGCGGTGTGGAGGGTAACGCCGTTGTTGACCTCGAAGCTCGCGATATCAGGGTTGTGATTCCATTCCCAAGTTGGACCGAGTTCGCTCTCAAAAGTATATGTTCGCGTCCAGTTATAGAAAGGTTGCGATGGCAGTGGCAAGGGGTATGAAGAGCCCCATCCACCGTTGCTTCCTTTGACGATCTCAGGGAAGCCATCCGCGCCCCAGACAATGGGCGCCAACACGGGCATGCGGCCCGCGGGGTAAGCCCAGGTGAAGGACATAAAATACCAGTCCCCCTGCGCAGTCTTTATAAGACTTCCCTGATGAGGCGAGTTCCCCCCTTCAAGCGGCGGCGCAATGTTCTGCCCGAGAATCTTAGCTTCGTATGGACCCCACGGACTGTTCGACTTCCAAATATAGGTCGTGGATCCGGGCTGGTCGTTGAGGATATAATACGTCCCGTTGATCTTGTACATCCTGTTACCCTCCACCGTCTCGGTGTTGACATCAGATGCTTGGAGAACCTGCTGGGTCTTCACGACACTAAGCCCGTCGGCAGCGAGCTGCGACACGCTGACCTGGCCGTTGCCGTAGACGACGTACATTGTATCATCGTCGTCAATTAGCAACCCGTTGTCGTACATGCAATTCCCACCCCCAAAGTTGGCGCGGTTATACCACGGTCCCTCGACGGACGAGGCGGTGAAGACCCAAGTGATCCAGAAATTCGTACACCCGATCCAGTACCAGAGCCCATTACTCTCGCGGTACCGCAGCGTCGAGGCCCAGGTGCCCCCGCGGTAGGCGCGGGGTCCTCCGGGCGGGAGGTCGTAGGCGTCGCCGAAGTTGAGACGGGGGATGGAGTGCCCGACGGGCTCCCAGTTGACGAGGTCGAGGGAGCGAAGGATCGGGGCGCCAGGGCTGTAGTGGAAGTTTGAGGCGGAGAAGTAGAAGGCACCGTCTGGGCCGACGGAGATGTCGTTATCTGGGTAGTCTTCGTAGAGGACTGGGTTTTGAAAGGTTTCGTCGCGGCATTTCTTGGTGCTTGCGGCGGAAGTGAAGAGGAGAAGGGCTGCTGAAAGCAGGAGGAGACGGGTTGACACCATCGTGGAGGCACTGCCAGAGATAGCCAGGGGAATTAAGACTCAAGTTCAGATTTTGGGAATTCACTCGATCATCGCCGGAACGTTCGGGCTACTAATACTGAACTTTTCCCCAAACCTTTGATCTCTCCAACCTCTTTTTACTACTCCGGAATCATTGGCGCGGTAGGAGGGTGTCAGCCAACTGCAGGAACTTCTCGGCGGATTAACGTCCGTTTCCTCAAATCGTCGAATACGACGCTGTCACTTTGCGGGGTGAGAAATGCCAAGAGGAGGAACCATCCCAATTTGGCCATCTCGTTTTCCCGATCTCCAGAGATTGACGGGAAAGACTGACTCTTTTGGGAAAACATAGAGATCTTAACCGATTTCCAAGCCAATAATCTCGTCACAAGGATGGTGTAAGGCAAAGCAGGGTGACGTCCTGGCTTGAGCGACCACTTCGCCTCGTTTTGCAACCCCCATTCCTTGTCTTTCGCAACCATGCTTTTGCCAGCTGACCAGAGTTTTATTCTTTTGATCAAAGACGAACCTAAAGAACCATCACACTCTATGACCAACCGGCCAGTGACATCCCAAAGACCTCCTGTGTTGCCCGTTACGACGCCCTTACTCGGGTTTCTGCCCATAGACAACGTGGCTGCGATATTTGTTAGTAACTGGCTGTGCTTGTTTCAGGTGAGAGAGCGAAGAGAAGGATTGGTCAAACTCACAAATGCAAGTAAACGTGAGACTTGCAAGCCTTCATTTCCTGACGGACCTCTGACAACAACACAAGTGCCTCTTCTCTGGTCCAATCCAGCGTGGTGCAGAATAGCTTCGGAGTGAATGCGTCGAGTCCCTCCAGCATCTGGATAAGATTACACATCCCGATATCTTTCAGCGATGGATCCTTTGCCCAAGGCCCAATGGGAATCTTGTAGTGCCGATGCTCAACATCTTGAAATCCGTGGTCTTTCACCCAGGTGTCTAACTGCGGTCCCGGTGCTCCATCTCGGCCGAGATTCGCGCAAGCTTCCATGAACAGCGTGGCCCATCGGTGTGTCTGAGTCCCGTACAGAGACCCATCATCTGAGTCGAGCATCAAGCTCCAGTCTTGGAATTCCGCCCATCCGCCAGGAGTCAGGTTCCTAGGTTCGTTATTACTATTCATCATCCGAGCGCAGGTAAGTCCACGGTCTCTTACTCAAAGATTCGGGTCATGTTCAGTTGCCAGTCCGCGATGGAGCCAGCCATATAGCGACTGAAAATGAAGTTGTACTTCTTGTTCCCTACCCAACGGCTTTCGACGTCGTCGACCTCGAACTTGACATTTGGAGGCACCCATGATGGCTGGATGGGACTCAAGTCAATCCCGGTTATCTGCGGTCCTGTAAGTGTGAGAAGAGAGAGGGCAAGTGTATGAGAGGAGAACCTCAGCGCTGGGGAAAAGGTCCCCCATCTCAATCGCCCCTGTATCATCGTCGTCAGTTCCGTTTATGAAGATCATGGTCATGTGGAGTCATACAGATACCGGTTCCAGTGCCTATATCCAGTATACAATGCGTCTTAGCTTCGTCAACGGGTGCTAGGAAGAGGTTATTGCCGATGGTCTTCACCATCACAGTGTGTGTCAAATCAAGCCTATCCGATTCTCTCTAGACAGAAAGAATGTCATGAGCGAGTTAACATCAAGGATGGAATCCTAGAGTAAAAGCCTACTTCATCGTTGGGAAAGTTGTAAGCTATGCGTGTTGTTAGATATGTCTCTCACTCTAATGATGACTTGAGTTTGCTTTATGCAACGCTACTTACAACCAGCTCGAAACGCGTGATATGTCCGGCCGTATTCTGTCGGATAGTCCACTACTGAGGATGACAGAGAAGCAGTGTATGAAGACCTGGTATAAGGCCCCATCAGCCCCGGACTGTACTTGAAATTAAAGGTCCCAGGCTGGGAGCGGGACTCACATGCGATCATCCATAGTCGAGGTATCGTTCTATGTGAGGAAAAGGCATCAGTCACAGGACATTGTTATAGAGATTCAGAAGAAGAATATTCACTTACGCTGGCTGCACTGTCAACCTCGATGGGGGCTGATGCCGACGGGGTATCAGCGGTTGGCTGAATGGCCTGAGCCTCTTCGGTCCGGACTGGTTCGGGCATAATGATGTCCGTGGATGCTATGATGTTATTGTCAACTTCAGAAACGAGAGAGAAGAGGTAAGACTCGTCTTCAAATAGTGCCATCTAAGGACGCGGGGTTTTGTAGAACTATCGTATGTCGGCAGCCAAGTAGCTTGGCGGCGCTTACTTGCAGTAAATATTTGGATGTTCTGCAGCGCGCATGCGGCACATACAGGAAGACCGCACATCTCACCAATTGAGATTTAAAAATCGACTGGGATACCGCCTTTTTGATCTTGTGAACCAACATGGTGAATTTGAGTTATTCTGCTTTGTTGAAGAACATGCATCGGAATAAAGTAGCTCACCTTTCAAACTCTCCAGATCTAAAATGGGCCGGTCCTAGATCCGCAGGCCACTCAAGTGAATCATTGGGAGCACTAATGACCCCAATGTGCGGGTTGCCTCGGTCCTGGGTATCTAGGAGAAAGGGGACGGCTTGGCGGAATAGGGCGGATTGCTGAATGATAGATTCATGCCTCTTGCTCATATCCTCAATCTTGAAGAAAATGACCCCAATGGCGGCGTAAGAGACAAGCACAGACCAAATCAGGCGACTTTCGGTCTCCAATTGACTGTGGGCCTGGATAAGGAGAGGTTGGTCGCTACCCGAGCCCCAGGTCTCACAAGTCTCGTTGTAATTGTTGTGAAGCATTCGTGGTGCATAAAGATCGATACGTGGCGCAAAGAGCTTCCAGAGGTGTAAGGTCTCGAGAAGAGGGCCGCTGTGCTTCCTTCCTTCAGCTCGTTCGAGAGCAGCATTGACAATGATCGGGACAGGGTAAGCCTCTTTGGCAATTTTGGCCAGGGCGTAGATGTGGTTGGCAACATGATATGTGGTGAAAAGCTCGACCTTGCCTAGGGAAGTACTGGCGAAGTCCTCCCAGGCGTGAATCTCGGCAGCACAAAGCACTGAGCCAGACTGGACGAGGAAGTCCAAGTAGTCCAACGTAGCCAAGGCTGCGTCACAGACGTCGCTGGACCAATCTAAATTGCCAATTTCGCTGCCAGTTTGCAACATGAGGATGGTGTCGTAGTCAGGATCGGCGGCTTTGACTTGCTGTACGAACTCTGCAAAGGCCGTTTTCTCTGCTATGACGAGCCGTGGTCCAAAGAGCAAGACAGTAGGCGTGGGCATTGTCAACCATGCGTCGATGTGGTACTTGGAAATCTCATCATCCTCGTCACCCTCGTCATCCTTATCAGCCTCTCGACATTCGTAGACCCTCATTTTGGGAAAGCGCACAGGGTCCATCTTAATCCACTGGGGCGTGTAGCTTGACACATCTACCACAAATCAATTAGTAGGGTGAGAGTGAAGAGGCAGGAATGATGTGAGTACTAATTGAACGCTCTGGGAAGAAAAACGATTGGATCGAAATGAAATGATAGGGGAATACGAAAAAACTTACCATTTCCAATGCCACCCTTCAGGAGCCAAACCACGAGATGATGACTTGAATACCTACCCCGCGAGCTTGAGCAATCAGGTTTGCAACCAAGGCTCTGTTGGACTGGCCTTCTCTCGGCTCAAATGCATCCCATGTGACAGCGAGCAAGACAGTGTTAAGACCGAGACTTCTTATGTCTTGCCACTGGCGAGCCATTTAGGCGGCTGACAAGGAAGCAGAGGGGGTAACCTTTCTTCCAAGAATGAGAAAGGCTTTAAGTAAGACGGAGATTTCGCGGTATTAAGATCCGACATTATGGCGTCTCGGACTCTTTCCTCTTCTCTCGTTCTCTTGTATGCTACGAGGAATCAGTGGACGTCGATAGGGAGATAGGCAGGTTATAAAGACCTTAGAACTTACAATCAGATCTTATGATTTGGGAATGAAGTCAGGGTATGGGACCGAAGACGAGGCTCGGATCGATGTACCCAGGAAGCGAAGTTCGGAAGGTAAGGCTTTGGCGATCCTGTGAAATAGGTGACAAAGGAAAGACGGCTGTTGATAGATGAAGGTGGAAAGCCTAAGGCAAAGGTGAGTCGGAATTCCTCTGGGTCATTGAGGCCGCAATGGAGGTAATAAAGATCTGAACAGCGATCCAACTTTCCCGCAATAGAAAAATCGAGCTGAGAGACCAAAGCAAGAGGTGAAGTACAAAAGATTAGAAAAACAGCAGAGCAGATCCTTTGAGCAAGTAATTTGGGCGGTCAAGTGAGGGTCATATATTCCATTGTGAGAGCAGAATACTCACTTTCAATCCAACGCTCCACATCTCCTGCTTTCCATGGCTGCAGTCTTGTTCTTATTCTTTCTATTCAGTTCAAAGAAGGAAGTGAAACAGGAAGAAAACACTGCGTTAGACAAATCCTTCTTTGCACAGCCATCCATTTCTACACTGGACCAAAGCACTAAACAACAAAGGTCTGCTTTCCCCTGTGAACGTATCTCGGCCTGACTGAATGCCAACTAACATTTCTAAATTCAGTTGCCCAACGCCACTCAAAAGCCTGCAGGTAAGACGGCCAAGCTCCGTCCGGCTTGATCCCTTCCTGCTAAAGCCAAGGCCTCACGCCCGAAGAAGCCACAGAGCGAGAAAAACTACGGCAGCACTCTTGTGTGCCCTTACTGCCAGTATAGACAGAGCCGCTGTGACGAGATTCGCCGTCACATCCGGTAGAAACACTATCCCGCCCTGTTCCCGCACCTCAATCTCCAACAGACCCGCTCTCGCATCCGTTCTGTCGACGTACCCTAGATTCTCTCTACTACCTTCCTTCAACCACCAGTACAGCCTCCAAGGGGCTACTGGAATGAATATACAGGACAGAAGAGAAGAGGGCAATGTTGCTGTGGTTATCTGTACCTGGGCTGAAAGTCCCATGAGCTAGAAGCAATAACGAATACAAGGGATGAAGGCATCAAACGAATGAGACCAATCTCGCCTAGTGGAAGACCTGATTAAATGTGATTCAAGTCAGGAAGTGTGTGCCTGAAGCAAGTATAAATACTATGATATCTTGCCATGCTTAATAAGCCTCTGTCGCGGTTTGGGCAGTAGAAGCAGGAAGAGGATCATCCTCATGACTCTCTACTCTCTCCAATCTGTTGCACCTTGTCTTCCCGAATAGGCCCCAGCAGCGAAGGTTGGGGGCGCAGCCGTATCTTAATGGGAAACACATTGAATCCATCGTTCCATTTTGCACCCTCTTGGCTCCTTTTATTACAATTGACAGCCTAGGCGGCGTACCTTTGACAGTCTATTTTCCAGACGCAACACGTGGAGGCTGCGTTGCGAGTCCAGGCAGCAGAGTGAGCGGATGGACATAATGTGCGCGGTCTGATAAACGCAATAAAGCCGATGTTGCGGCAACATTTAGTGGACAAAAAACTTCCACAATTTGTTGGCCGGGAGCTCACGCGTCGTGTCTTTGCGTCGTCATCCGCGCAGTGCTGCCACACTTTAGTCTTGCTCTAACCACGGCAACGATCTTTACCAAGTGAGTCCCGAACACAAAATACTGATCGATTTGAGAATAATATGCTTCACAATTTTTGGTTTACTGCTGACCTCTCCTCAGAAGCTTTCGAGAGAAAGCCCTTCAGGTGCTTTTCGGCCATGGCATACGGAGCCGCGCGAACCTGTGTTGCCGCTAGACAGACATAGCCCTTCAAATCATCTTCAAAGTCTCTATTACTGAGGAAGCCAGTGCTCAGATTGAACAGCAACCAAAGGATTGTCAACTTGATGACGGAAGCGCTCTGGTGACTAAAAGATGGTGGTAATTGCAAATTGATAACGATACCATGAGCCTGCTAGGCCATATCGGCGCGAGGGACAGCGATAAAATACTGGCACACTCGATCAGACGTCCTGCGGGAAGGCGTTGGCTGTATAATTCTGGCGTAATTAGTGGTGAGCAAGATACTGACTTTGGACGGCAGGGTCTGCCATGCGAACTTGAGCGAACATGCGACATCAAAATGAACGGAAGGCTCGGGAGTCTTGACCGATCGACTGCGTCTGTATTTGATGTCATCGATGTCTCCCGCACTTTTGCCAGGCAAGCTTAGATGCAGCAACGTCACACCAGATCCGTCTGAAAAGGCCTCAGGGAATAAGGCAATCCGCGAAACGTCTTTCCGTCATAGAATTCGGACCCTTTCATCATTTCAAGTCTACCTTTGCTAATGGCACGGACAATTGGCGCCACTTCGTCTCAACATGTGCCGAATCTTCCTTGCCAGCACGGTGCACTGCACCTCTATAACGGACAATTAAGGCGACCTACTTGTCCGCAGTACACCGCTGACTATGAATGACGAGTGGTACATGTGTAGAAAGAGAGGACTCAAAAAGATGGCAAGGCATCGAATCCCAACACCGCGTGTCTCTGTCACGAGAAACCAGGTTCACTGATTATGGAGCTACTGCGAGATACAGCATTCGGACACGTTGTCCGTTTTGTGACGAGAGGTAAACTCAGACAATTCCAATACTACGAAGAAAGAAACCCCGAATTATGGCGCGATTACGTCGACGCGGATAAGACTGCCAACGTCGCCCGTTACGGCCAAGTAGAGCCACCCGAGCATGACTTCGATAAGACCAAGAATGAAGACGACGATGTCTGGAGAAGAGGGCCCAGCGTCGACTCTGCGCGAACAAGAGTGCCTGGTGACGAGGAGTATAACGATTTGAGTGGCACAAGGATAGACCCCGAGAAGGGCAAGAATATCCATCTCGTCGCTTTCTTACCCAACGACCCGGAGGTGAGCACTTGCACCCGAAGCGTGGCGAGCGGAATTGAACATAGGCTGACATGACTTAAGAATCCTCAAAACTGGTCTTTGAAGAAGAAGATCTTTGTGACTTTCCAGATTTGCCTGCTTACGGTTGGCGTCTATGTTGGCTCGGCCATCTACAGTGCTGGTGTGCTGGACGTGATGCAGGTGTTCGGCGTTAGCCAGGTCGCTGCTCTACTTGGCCTCACGCTTTTCGTTGCAGGTTATGGCCTGGGTCCGGTATGAATGCCTATTGTCCAATTGCCCTATTCACACATGCTGACGAACACCGTAGATGATCTGGAGCCCCTTGTCCGAGATCCCACAGATCGGTCGCAACCCAATATACATCAGCACCCTCTTTCTCTTCGTATTACTACAAATTCCCACTGCATTGGCAGTCAACTTTGGCATGCTGCTAGCCTTCCGATTTATCACGGGATTCGTCGGATCGCCTGTCCTCGCAACAGGAGGCGCAACCTTGGCAGATATCTGGTCACCCAAGAAGAGAGCCTACGCCATCGGAATCTGGGGCGTGGCAGCAGTCTGCTCTCCAACTTTAGCTCCCGCAATCGGAGGATTCGCAGCCATGGCAAAGGGTTGGACCTGGCCTATCTGGGAGCTGATGTGGCTGAGCGGGTTCGCATTCGTTCTTCTCTTCTTCTGCCTCCCCGAGACGAGTGCCAACAACATTCTGTACCGACGAGCAAAGCGGCTTCGGAAGCTCACGGGGAACCAGAAGCTCATGAGCGAGTCTGAGTTGATGGCAGAGGAGATGACCCCGAGGAATGTCATGATGATCTCTTTGGTTCGGCCGTTTACTTTGAACTTCACGGAGCCCATGGTGTTCCTGCTCAATCTCTACATCGCACTTATATATGGTTTGCTCTACATCTGGTTTGAGTCATTCCCTATCGTATTCACCGGCATCTACGGATTCAGCCTTGGGCTCCAAGGAGTCGCATTCATGGGCATTCTGGTTGGTGCCTTGATCGTCATTCCGCCGTTCTTTTGGTACTTGCACAAGTATCTCGAACCACAATTCGACCAAAACGGGGACATTCAGCCCGAGAAACGTCTACCTCCTGCATTCATCGGCGGTTTCGCCATCCCGATCTGTCTCTTCTGGTTCGGTTGGTCATCGAGACCGGATGTTCACTGGATCATGCCAATCATCGGCTCCGCTTGGTTTAGCATCGGGTCCTTCTTGCTGTTCAACTCAGTTCTCAACTACTTACCTGATGCATATCCGAATGTTGCAGCTTCAGTGCTTGCTGGAAACGATCTCTTTAGAAGTGCCTTCGGCGCGGGGTTCCCATTGTTCGCGAACGCCATGTACACCAAATTAGGGGTTCCCTGGGCGAGTTCCCTCCTTGGGTTCCTGTCGATTCTATTTATTCCCATTCCTATCATATTGTACAAGGTGAGTGACCATTCTTTTGCTAGACGGCTTGCAACATTGCTGATTTCGGGCATAGGTCGGTCCAAAGTTGCGTCGAGAATATAGCAGACATGCGCGGAAGGACATCTAGACTACTTCGCATATCACACCAGTCACACGTCCTGCAATAGAGGAATTCAAGTCAAACGGAATCGGGTGATCAATTCAAGACTCATGTGTTATCATATGCATGCTGAGTTCCCAATTTCCTCGTTAATCCCATTGCCTCAAGCTCATGTTATTGAGATGTCTGACTGAAGGTGCCTGCCGCAAGTGGGTGCTTATGGAGCGTCATGACCTTCAGAAAGTAAATTAAACATTGAATAGAGATTAAATACCTGCTTCACTACAAGGCTGTAATGATTCCGGTGCCATATTCTCAAAGATCATATTGCTCAGGCACCTCAGCCTTACTCTCACAACATCGTGCACTTAAATACTGTATCTGAAGAGCTTGTCCTGTTTGTCTGTCAAGTCGCTCTCAGGGGCACCGCCTGCATCCAGGATGACCTCATCCTGGCTCTGGATTTCCTGACCATCGGATTGGGCAGCGTCTCTCTTTTTGTTGTCCTTTGCACAAAGGTATCTGTACACGATGATTTCGACAAACAGCAAGCACCATGTGACAATTGCTGTGACAACACCATTGAAGTATCGTGGCTTCTTAGTCCAGAGCTGAGGTGCGCCAATGCAGCCTGCACAGTACCCGACGAAGAACATTGCGTTGACGATGGCGCGTTTCGTGTTTCCCTTAACGTTTGAGGCCGTGAGTGAGAGAAGGATGGACCAAACAGCTGTGATGCATGATGCCTGTGCCAGGTCAGTAAGCTAGTAAGAGACCGCGTTAAGTATGGTTGACTTACAATCCAGGATGCAGCAATCATACCCCATCCGGCATTGGTTGACAGCTTCATAAGGAGGACGTTGCCAATAAGGGGCGGCAGGATGAGAACGAGAGCTACCAAACTCCGCTGTTTGGGGAAGAGCAGGCAACCGCAGACACCAATCCACAACATTGCAATTTGAACCGCGCCTGTAAACGTATTAGACAAGACAGCATTAAAGGTAATCTACAAGAAAGACGTACCAGATGGAGCAGTGTAAAGCATGGTCTCATACTTGTCGTAGCCAATGCTGTTGATGACGAGTGAAGCAAACTAAAGTCAATGCGGTCAGTTGATATCACAATGTCAAGACTCGGGCGAGACGAACCGTAAGGACTGGAGACTGCATGGTCACCAAAACACCGAACCAGAAAACAAACCAGGTCCTGATGTCAAAGACAGCCTCTTTGAGCTGCGTCATAGAAAAGGAGGTCTTGTCGCCACCTTCGCGGTCCTTGGCCATGCGCATGGACAGAACTTGCTTCTGACGCTCGTTCAAGAACCACGCATCCTTGGGGCCATTGGGCATGAATAGGTAAAAGAGAACGCCCGCGGCAGAAGTGATTGCGCCACAGACGAGGAACAGAACTCTCCACGGGGCGATGGCGTGGGTGTTCTTGGCGATGCCGTACATCAGGAGCGAACCGCAGATTTGAGCGAGGCCGTTCATGGTGATCCAGAGGCTGTCCATTGTCAACGACATGTTACGTACATCGGTGTTGGGAAAGCTTACGCTGTTCGAAGAGCGTGCTCGTTGCTCCGGTACCAGATACTTGTAATCGTGATAAAGGCTGGAGACACAGCTCCTTCGGCGAAACCTAGGAGGAATCGAACGGCGGCGAATCCGGCATAATTGTGCGGGGCTGCAAGACACATACAGATGATGCCCCATATTACGCTGCGAAAGGCTGGTATTAGCAGCTGTATCTAAGAGGGAACAAAAGATGACAGGAAGGGATACACTTACACAGTGACTCCGACGAACTTGGTGAGGTGGAATCTGCTCATCAAGTAGATGAAGGGATATTCCGATACCAACTGGCCTGTCACGCGATAGTTAGACACTAGATAGCCCTGAGGTTATTGCAGATGTACTTGCCGACGTAGAAGATGGAGGAACACCACGAGTATTGCGTGCTAGTAAGATTCAGGTCGGTGATGAGACCGAAAACCTGTGCCGGTCAGCAATTTGGAACCGAAACTGTGACCGGTGTTCCTGGGAGTCGGGCAGCTTACACTGGCGTAACTAAGACTTTGCTTATCCAAGTATTGCAAGAAGAAGACAAAGCACATCTTGAGAGCAGATTAGTCGAGTTGTCCAACAGTTATGGTTACTGAACTTGATTGCTCACCATTGGCAGGATGGCCAGGTCGATCTTGCGGAGAACTTCCTTTTCCTCTTCAGGGGTATAACCATCCGCAAGATCAACAATCTGCCCAGTCTTCTCCTCCATTCCTTCCGAAGGGACGTCTCCGGCCTGTTGCTTGTTCATCGCATCGATCTTGGTGTCGCCGGACGAAGCCATCGTTTCCAGTGCTCGTTTGGGGAATCTTCTGAAGTCAAAGTCAAAACAGCCTTTCTCAACTGCCTTTGCCCGAAAAAACACGTCGAAATCCCACCCTCTCGGAAAACGGCAGAAGTGCCGGTTTTAAGATCCACGAGTTCGTCGTCTCCACATGTCGCATGGCATGTCATCTGTCGACCCGGGGTTATGTTTCCATCCCCCGCACTAAGAGATGCATATCAGGACATTCTCCAGAAATCCCTTCGATTGGATGTGACTAGTGAAGATAGCGGTGATACGGAGGTGGGGCGAGCCATGTTGCCGACGACAAAGGAGGTTCGTGACAGATACCCGACGCGGATATCGGCAACATGGCTTCGTGCTACCAGGTTTCCTATGACAGACTGCCACACTACCGATAAGTCTAGCAACGTCAAATGTAAGTGGTTGATAATGGCAGTATGACGAAGTGCCATGAAATGAAGCCAATCGGCTAAATAAACAACTTGAGAAAAGAGGGAGCAGACATCCGAATTGCAGAGTGGCATTCAACATTTGTAACCTCCTCGCTCCTTTTTGACTTTCCCCTCACCTCCACCTCCATTCCAATCTTGGCGTAGACAACCTAACTCCTCAGAAGTCATCCCACTCTCACAATGGTTACCGAAGCCGACTTGAAGCCCTGGCTCCGTAGCCCCGTCCGACGATACATCCTCACCAACGCCACCATCGTCGACGTGACAGACGGCAGCCTGCGCCCCAATGCAGCAATTCAACTCAAAGATGGCTACATAGACACCATCACCGACTCGACAGACTCAGCTGTCAAGACTGCGGTAGAACAAGGCTTCGAGGTGATTGACTGCGCCGGCAAGTTCATCTGCCCAGGTCTTATCGACTCACACGTCCACTTCGTCGCGGTCCCTGGATTCGGCGATCTCTCGAAAGCATTCGGCAACGCCAACGATGTCTCGCTCCTTCGCCAACCATATGTCGCCGTACAGATGCTGCACCGAGGGTTCACGAGTGTGCGAGACTGCGGTGGCGCGCAGCAGGCACTAAAAGAAGCCATCAACGACGGTGTCTTCCCCGGCCCAAGGCTCTTCATCGCGGGACATGCTCTGTCGCAAGCTGGCGGCCATGGAGACATTCGCGGTGTGCACGATCACTCCGAATGCTGCGGCGGCTCAACAAACGGGCTCGGCAGACTATGCAATGGCGTCCCGGAGTGCATGACTGCCGTCCGAGAGGAGATCCGCGGCGGAGCAGACTTCATCAAGATCATGGGCTCCGGCGGCGTCTCAACACCAACCGATAGAATCGACCACCTCCAATTCACCGGCGCCGAGATCCGAGCTATGGTCGAATGCGCCTCGAACGCGGGCACCTACGTCACAGCCCACGCATACACAACGAAGGCCATCAGGCACTGCATCGATAATGGTGTACGGGGGATCGAGCACGGCAACTTTGTCGATGCTCCCACGGCGAAGCTCATGGCGGAGAAGGGTGTCTATCTTACCCCCACCCTCATCACATACGCTCAGATGGCTTCGCCGAAATGGAAGGGTTATCTGCCGCCCGAATCCATGTCGAAGAACGAGGAGGTGCTCAACGCCGGTTTGGTGGCCCTCAAGACTGCGTACGATGCCGGTGTGACCATCTGCTTCGGCACTGATCTTCTTGGGCCGCTGGGAGCAGCGCAATCGTTCGAGTTCTCGTTGCGAAGCAGAGCTGTCCCGTCACTGGCGGTGCTGCAGAGTGCGACGCTCAATGCCGCAAAGATGGCCGGCAGAGAGGACTCGCTGGGTCAGATCAAAGAGGGCTTCGAGGCAGATCTCGTCATCACAGACGCGAACCCTGTCGAGAATGTGTCCATATTTGATGACCCCGAGGCCCACGTCTTTGGTGTGTTGAAGGGAGGCAGGATATACAAGAGCAGATGGAGCGGTCTGGTGGAGGATGCTGCAGTGCCAGTCAGAATCAAGCCGGCGTTGTGAGATCTGTTTGAAGCTTAGAACATTCGAGGATGTTTATGAGAACAGCAGTAGCTCATAGAGCCGCAAGAACCAAGCTAAATGTTAATGAGGTAAAAGCCGGTGCCAATCATCACCGGCAACCAAATGAGTATTACCTATGCCAAACTGAGCAACGCGTCAGAGTGACCCCGTAGAGTACACGCTTCCTATACCCCAACGCGTGACATATAGGCATCCTTGTGATAAGAGCCAATGAGATAAGAAGTCGGAATTCTTCTCCGCCGGGCTGGAAGGGGACCTGAAGACAAAGATACCTGTTCTGAACAATGTGAGGTAAAGTGAATACTCTCTTTCTTTCACCTCGCTGAACAGCTTCACCTCGACGCGTGATCCCTGCCGCCACAGTGGGGCTTGTTCTTATCGGCAAAGCGTCCGAAATGCGGAGATACCCCAAGAAACGTCCTCCTCCAGATACCTTTCTCTCTTCTACACCAACTTCCTCTCAGCCTTGGATATTCATCCCAGACCTGCGCAAGTCTTGGAGATCAACAAAACCTTCACCCATCATGACGATTCCATGCTCGTCATATGAACGCGACACTTCCGCCAATGGAGTCTCCCGCAGAGCGCCGCCGCCGCCGCCGTAGAGTCCCGGATGCAGTTCGGAAGCGGGCACCCCGGGCGTGTGACCGATGCAAGGCCCGCAAGAATAAGTGCATCGAGACTCCTTCTGGGGTATGTGTGCGATGTACTGAGGGATCTCATCCGTGTCGATTTGAAAGGGAGCGGAGCCCCGCTGGTGAAGAGATTGATGCCTCAGCTGCGACGACAGCTTCGAGAATCACTGGGATAAGGCCTATCAGCATTACAGAGCGAGAGTTGAATCGGACGAACAATGAGGGCTTTTTTACTCTCAACACACCAATGGGTCAAAGGATGAACGACGACTTTTCTCCGGCAGATAGTGCACCCTCAGAAGCCTTCATGTGGCCGCGCTTTTTGTCTCGTCTCCGGGATGCCTTTTGCCTCGACTCCCAGCCTCCATCTGGGGAGCAAGGCATCGCAAGACTGCAATCTCGAATCTCAGATACTCCTCCAGCAGATCCTGCCGAGCTTCGACGCATAAAGAGGGCCGTGAAGAGCTTTCCTCCACGCGGCGTTGCCGACTTTCTGGTGTCGGTCTGCATCGCCTACGGGACCGACATCTTCTTCTACCTGGATCAGAGTCACTTCATGGCGGAGCTTGATCAACTTTACAATGAAGAGCAGTCGTCTTTGAGAGAAGACACCGGATTTGTTTGTCTTGTCTTGGCAGTGTTCGCACTGGGAAGTCAGTGGACAGCGCTAGCTAGGCCAGAGGACTTGAGCAACGCAACATCGACGGAAGATCGGAACTTTGACCCTGGTCGGATCTTCTACAACCAGGCCCGTATTCTGATCTCTGACTTGATAGATCGGCCTTGCATCAAATCAGTCCAGGCGACGTTCATACTGGGCGTCTACCTGATGCCGGCCAGCGCCATCAGTGCTTCCTATGTGTACATGGGATTAGCACTGCGAAAGGCCCTGGCTATCGGACTTCACCAGGAACCTGACGACCCCTCTCTCAGTGATGATGAGAAGGAGACCCGACGGAGGCTTTGGTGGTCGATTTACTCTCTTGAAAGGTAAGTAAGCCTTCTTCTGCTGTACCGTAGCTCGAGACGGGTACTAACAGCGACAGAACGGTTACCATTAAGCTCAACCGACCTCGGTCCGTGGACCAGGAGATCATCACAGCGTGTCTGCCGAAGCCAGTCCCACGAGATACGTCTCAGAAGTTTGACAATGTACAGCACCAGATAGCAAATGCAGCTTTTGTCAGAATCATTGACAAGCTTTCAGAGCCTGGGTTCGTTCACTTGAATCATCCCAAAGTGTCCCATGGCTAATCCACCAAACAGAGCATGGTCGAATACCAATCATTCGCATACAGGAGCTTCAAGACGCTCAATGGACGCCCAGATATCCCTCAAGACCTGGAAAAAGAGTCTCCCGTCATCACTCAAACTACAGAATGTCGACCCAAAGTCATCCAGCTATCGCGCCGTCTTCCACTTACACCTAAACTACTACTTCGCCTGGATCGACATGGGCAAAGTCTCCGTGGTGACCGTCGTCCGAGCTCGTCTACAAGCAATCTTCCACGCAAGCGCCGGCCCCTACGACGTGCCTAGAGACGTTGAGAAATCTTCAGAGGCATGTATCAAAGCAGCCAAAAAGATGCTCGAGCTCTTCGAGGGTCTTTGCCGCGGTGGCAATATGGCGCGATTTTCATTCACAGACTTCCAAGGCTGCAGTATCGCCACCATCATCGTGCTACTTGCTGGAATCCTGGAACGTGATTCGGGGTACGAGGGTCGAGTAGCTTTTGGGCTGGATTGCCTCCGCAAGATGTCCAGCGCAGGGAACACGACGGCAAAGATGGGAGTTCGTTTTGTTGAGGCCCTGCAGTCCATTACAAATGAAGCAAGGTCCAAGCTGGCAATGGCTCGAAGAAGAGAGATGAGCCAGGCTCAAGAGTCTTCCTCAGGACAAGCAGAGGGCTATGGGCGGTGGGCAGAATGGTTAATAAACGCCGAGGTTGTCGGCAGCCCTTCGGGCGATGAGTCTGATCTTGAGCTGGAGCAGTCGGGGCAGCCACCGGCTTCTGCCCACGGTCCGTTAATATCGCCGGACATCATGCTCTCATCGCCGTGGGAAGAAGCAGCAGCCCTTCAGCTGCAAGAGATGTCTGCCTCGGGGTTCGGTATGCCTGCAGGGGAGGGAGTAGTAGCTGACGAAAGCACATTGATGTCTCTGCCTACAGGCGAAGAGGCCTGGCTGCCGTCATTTGCGTGGAATGATGACCAGATGTACTTGATGGGCTTAACCGGCATGGACGGACTAGATTTCATGGGAGGGATTTCATAGCGCTGTCAGTTCATCTGCGTGAGACTTCCGGGGCAGTGGTACATCCAATCTGAACCTTGGAATGATCGCAAATACTCGCAGAGCCGGCTTCTTGTCAACTAAGTTCCCCCTGATTTTCCTCGACTCTTCGGGGTCTGGTCACTCTTCCATCGCCTTCAAGACCTGCTTTCGGCACTCGTCCGAGTGCTTCGAGGTATCGACGACAATCACATCATCCTTGGGCCTATACGGGTTCTCGACCCACCTTCGAAACAAAGTCTCCTGTTCCTCGCGTCCTTGGGATACATCGCCGTCAACCGGAGGATTGCGTACTCCCGTACGCTGACTTCTCATCGCTACTCTCGCCCGCAGCCTCTCATCGAGCACTTCAATATCAACTTCGGGTCTGCACTCGATGTACCAGTACTCAAAACCCGCTCCTTTTGCCAGGGCTGTTCCCCTGGTGATGATTTCTTCGAAGTTACAGGTGCAGTCTACAATGAGGTTGTGACCCTGCTTGAGTATGTTGCCGGCCAGCGCCCAGAGCATCGAGTAAGCTAGCTTCGCAGACTGTTCGAACGGCAATCTACTATCGAGTAGAGAGGATTTGATAACGTCGAGATCGAGGATGGTTGCATTGAGGGGCTTGGCTAAAACGGTCGCAGTGGTGCTTTTGCCCGCGCCTGGCGCTCCCGACATCTGGAGGAACAGCCGCCGTGAAGAAATCGAGGGGTTCAAAGACATCGTTATAGCTGAGCTGATGTAAAGATATTGTGGCCAGTTGGGTGTTCAGGTAACGGAGCACAGAAAGAAACAATTCAGGTTGGAGTTATGCTTTGAATACATCTGTGAAGTAGCTTACTTTATGTATCAGCAAACCCCGTTGAACTACTCGGGAAAACTGTTGTCAGAGCCTGATTTGACACATTCTGCGTCTGCACTGCCACAGTGACGTGTCTTGATCCGCAGCGTACTCCAAGCTTCAAGCCACCAAGGAGGAATGCCGCATTGTGATTTAAGCCTGCCCCATTCATGTCCACAGCAGTTTGAACGTCGACGCCTGAAGTCCTTGCTCTCAGACTTAAACCCTCTCTATTTGGCTTCCTCCTTTTCACTTCTCCATCTAATGACTCCATCGCCATTTCATGGCTTCGGGCTCCTCCGAGTAAGCTCTTGTTCCTCCGGATCCTGTCCAAGGGGAATCCTCCTGTTTCTCCTAGAGAACCCACCCTTCATGATCGCAAAGAGCCCCGGCATGTCCGACCCTGGACCGTTCATGACCATGGACGGGTGCACAACATTGAAGACCGCTATAGCCAGAAGCATCGGCAGGGCTTCCAGGACGTAAAAGTAAGCCTCGTGTGTAATCAAGACATTGTCGATCCCGTGGCCCGAAGAGAACTCGATCAGGCGGTAGACGATCCGCACTGAGATCATGCCAAGGGAAAAGTAGAGTGCCCATAAGAGCGGCTTCCAGGATCGAGACTCCTGCCCTGAAAGCTTGTCCATTCTTTTCAATTCAACCTGGGACTTCAATGCCAGGGCGACAAAGATCAGGATGAAGAACTCTTGCAGTCCGATGCCACCCATATAGATGTGGATTGCCTTCATTTGTTCCGCAGGAGGCGCCGTCGGGCCTGCCATGCTGCCTCCGGTGAGTTGGACGGCAAATGATACGATGTCAAGGGCAACAAAGATCGCCGCAAATGTTGCTGCTGGAATGCGGAGGAGAGAGCGCGAGGGGTGGAAGAAATAGATCATACGGCCCAAGGTCATGTATGCAAAGGCGTTAACCCCTGGAACCATGTTAATACTCTCTTCGACAAATTCGGGAAGAGAGACTTACAGATAGGCGCAAGCAAGATGAAGATCTGAAATACGAGATAGATGCCATTACTTTGCTGGTTTTTGCTGCTTGCCGCTCGAAATACAAAGGCCAGAGTCTCCCATATGCTCGCCATAATGATAACCCAACACCATCTCTGCTCGCCGGTCAGACACTGAATCAATCACGGCGTTTTAGTAGTTGTAGTTAAAAACGTACGGACCTTCTTGTGCTTGGCGGCCTGCCAGATGTGGACGACGGTCAGAACGCCGAAGAGAGCCGCAAACACCGCCGCTGCTGTGAAGCTGGGATAGTAATTCCAGATGGCACCACATTCGCCGGAAGGGATGTAGCCATTAGCGTCGGGCTCAATCGTCTGGACGCATGTTGGGATGGCGATGTCAATGGTTTTTGCTGGGACCGTGACATAGCTATTTGTCACACCGGGAATTGTGATATGCTGTGTCGCAATGAAATCTCCTGTCGGAGAAGATGATGTTGCAGAGGAAGTTGCTGTATCTTGACGTTCTGGCAAAGATCCTGGCAAGGTCGGTGTGGGCGAAGGGCCTGATGGCAGGGCGACGGCAGTAATGGCCGCTGCCAGCATGATCCAAGACAAGTGCATTGTAACGAGTGGTCGAATGATTTGAGACGGTAAGGAGATTTTTGGTTGATAATGTCCGATATCTTCAATCTCATATCCCAGTCCGATGTTCTCGTCGTTCGTCTTTATAACTGAGAGTCTCATGTCTCCCTCACTCGTGTAAGTCGACCATCGTAGTGCCTGGCGATGCACAGCCCCCACGATCGCAACTGTTATGTAAAGAAGCGAGCCGACCAATCATAGCCTCTCGAGAGGCGCAGCATCGTTGATAGCAATGTTAAGTACTCCGTAAGACCCCCCTGCAATGTCAGCACGTAGCTTGGGTGCCACGGATGCGCGTGAGGCGTAGTATTCCCTCGAGAGGTTAGCGTCAGTGGGAGAGACACGCAGCGGGTAGCCCTGAGCGAAAATATTAACTTGAATCATGGCTTGCGCTTCAATTGTACCCGAAACCACTCTTCCTGAACCGTGATAGGTCCGCCGTGCTCCCTCATCAAGAGAGCGACCTTCTTCCACATGGCGATGGCGCCGTTCTTCTCGTGGACGAAGCGGACCCCGTCTTGCATAGCCGAGTCTTTAATTCGTCGTCCTTCCGGTGGCAATGTTCCGTCATCGACGACACTTGCAATATCTTCGTCTGGTCCCAAATCTAGCTCGTGCTCGAACTCAACAATCTTGCGCCCAAAAGCCTGAACAGTGTTAAAGTCCCAGAGGTTCTCCCTCTCGTGCGCAATGGTCTTCATGAGACCCAGAGCAGCGACCCGTAAGCTCAAGGACCGGCACTTGATAAAGACGAATCCCAGCAAGGGGCTGAAGCCCATCTCAAAGGTGAACTTGGCCCGGTCAAACTTCTGCCACATTTCTTGGAAGATGGATTCGACTTCGCGTCCAAGATCTATGATGCGCTGGAACTTGTCTAGGTGTAAATCGTAAACTCCTTCTCCACGAGAGAAACAAGTGCTGAGCCAAATTTTGCCCACGTGCCATTTCATCTCGAGCAACCTTTCGACGAGGCCTTCTCGCATGGCCGCGCGCTGACAGTTATTCGGGGACTTCTGCACCATGTACGCTTTGAATGCCGCAGCCCAGTCATCCAACATCTCGTCCATCTTATCTCTGTCCTGCATTATTGACAGAATTGGCTTGGGATGCGCCTCATCTCCCAGGCGATACTCGTCAGCGGCCCGTACGAAGCGAATCGCCCGCACGAGCAACGGGTCCAGCGCCCCTTGAACCTGCTTTAAGTTGTAGAACGGAGGCACTGGAACTGGGCACGAGTCCGGTATGGTCGGAAACGTTTCTGGTCGAGCACCGAAGAAGAAGGGAAACACTCCAAGGCGACAGAAAGCCGGCTCTAGGTGATCTCGAACGAACCGCGATGTGGACCTCGACCCATTGAGGATGTTGATGCCATGCCTACAGTGGTCGATGGCACTCTTGCATTCGCCGCGGAGCATATCGATACACACAAAGAGGATGCACACGAACAGGACCGTTTCCTGGTTGTTCGTTGTTCGGAGGTGTTTGATCGCCTCGTTGTAGTGCGCGACCGCAAAGGCGTTCTTCTCCGAGTGCCGATCTAGGGGATCCTCGTTGAACTTCTCGTACAGTGAACTGATGGCCAATGCGGCATGTTTCGCAGCAAGCTCCTGGTGAGAGACCTGGGAGACAAGATGGGTCCAGAAGTAACTATCCAAGGGCCCGGACAAGACGGGGGCGACAACCTTGCGGAAGAAACTCAAGGCCCGGAGTTCTGCGTCCGACGCGACCTGGGTCGGAGGCGGATGGACGCGGAGCAGCTGAGCCCATGAATATGTTCCCGTTGGCGGTGTCACATAGCCGTCGCACCTTCGGCCCGTGCTTACGCACCTATTGCATGCCGGGCGTGCTTCATCACATTTGACTCTTCGAATTCTGGGTTGGTTAGCTCTGACATACGTGGAGGAGTGATACCTTGGGTATGCGCGGCCGGTGGACTCACTTGCAGGTTACACAGCCCGTCTTAACCTTTGCTACCCCGAGTCGAGCCATTTGGTTGGGTGGTCAAGTGCAAGTAAACTGGTAGGGCTGGTTGTTGTGTGGTGGAGGTGGAGATGCGCCCTGAGAGACGCGTTTCTCACCTATCTCGTAAAGATGCGAGGTGGCCTATGAAGAGACAGGGAGTCGATAGTAAGTTGTGTTTGGTGCCAGGGAACGAGCCTCCTCAACTAATATAAGCTTGCGTAGTCTCCGCGCCCTCGTGTCGACGCGGAGTAGGTGATGTGCCATGGAACTGAATCCCGAGCCACATAGCGTGACGTTGTCGTTCGACGGTGTTCGTTTCAGAAGCGAACAAGAGAGCCTGAGACCAGAGACGCAGCAGCATACACAGTTTCCCGACGTGTCTTAGTGTCCAGTCCAGGTTCGCAGTGACCACCTCCTCCCTTGCACTCCCGCTCATGTCACCATCAGCCACCCAACCCTACCAGTCACCACACTGCCTACCACAACATGAGAAGATCGGGCGGCCGCTTGTGAAATTAAGCCCCGAATCCCTCGAGCAGAGTCCACTTTCTGCGGGGCAAATGCGACCCGGCCAATCGGGCGCCGTGTACTCTAAATAAAGTGTGCTTATCTAAGTTGTTCTCTCCCTCTTCTTCCTGCGCTTCAGTGTCATCTCAACTTCAACAATGACATGACAAGACACCTTCATTCCTATCTACATACATGATTCCGACAAGCCAGAGTCCAGACGCATTCTCGCGTTACCGAGCGAGAGGAACCTTCAGATACTCACGTCCAAACTCTCGATACCGAGTATAGTCAAGCTCAAGAGCCTCTAGAGTCTAACGAATCACCTCCTGATGAATACGAAACTCTGCTGAAGTGCCATGTCGGTGCTCATCATCAGCGTCCCGCTGGGTCGATGTGGTAGAACGGGAAAATGGGACCGCGAGGATGCGGGAAGCTCCGTGGGCTCCCGAGGTCGGGCCCGGAAAGCAATAGGCACACCGGCCCATTTTGAAGCCACCGGAGATGGAGCGGCGGGATAACAAGTGGACACGATGCTGCCGGACTTGACTGAAGGCAGCTTTTAATTATAAATCATCAAGTCGTATCTTTGAGCTGACCTCCGGCCGGTGATGGTCTCATGCAGCCTTGCTCGACACCCCGCTCTCTTCCAAAGACGCTCGCAGCTCAGCAACGAGCTTCAAGCTTCTGCACCAACGTCACAACTCCGACCTATCCGGCGACTGCTATATAAGGCTCTCCATCCGATCTCTTCCCTCGCTCCGTCTCTCACTAACCTTTGAAGCCCCGCTGGAGCCGGGCAAACGTTAGGTCCTCGACCTGGCCGAGACCCTCCCTCGCGCGCGCGTTCATCATGGCGGACAAGGCGGGATTGCGACGACACCGATGTCCGACCTCCCTGAACCGTCCCCCGCACGCCACGCTTGTCAAGTTATCAACACGGCTCGAAACGCTCAGTCAGACTTTTGCCGCAGCTTGACATGAACAGGCATATCGTCAGCAATCTGCGGTGTACCCTGATCAAGTTGGTAGCAGCGGTCTCCTTCTACAAGGACCTTGGGTCCTGTGGTATTCCCTCTGCGCACAGTGTCAGTGCCTCGGTCATCATTCAATAAGCTGTGGAGGCGTTTTCGAAACTTACTTGAGAGCATCCCATTCATCCCAGGCGCAGTCGATGTCAAAGTTGCGCGCAAGGAACACCAGGACAAGCTTCATTTCAATGACGGCTAGCTCTTGGCCAATACAGGCGCGGCTTCCGAGTCCAAAGATCCTCCAGCCGTGCTTCTTTGGGTACAATGGATCCTCCGGGTCCGTCGTCATCCATCGCTCTGGCACGACCTCATTGCCTCTCGGCCACAGGTTCTCGTTGCGAGACTGCGAACGCAGCCCGTCCCAAATGAGGAACCCGCCGGTGGGATACTGCTCTCCGGTGATGCTATCAGTGATGCGATAGTGCGGTTGTCCGTCTCGAATAACAGGAGGTCCGGGAAACAAGCGCAGTGCTTCTTTGATGACTCCATTGGTGTACAGCAGGGAATTGAGTAAGTGCGGTGACTCTCGTATCTTCTCAATCGCGTCTGCGGGGTCCTTGCCGAAGACTTCGTCATGTTCGGCCCGTAGCTTTTGGCCTACTTCGGGGTTCTTAGCGATGCAGTGAATCGCCCAGCAAAGAGCCGTGGCCGTAGTGTCATGACCGGCAAACATGAAGATCTTGAGTTGGGAGACAACCGTCTCTAAGAACAACTTATCAACGTCGACTACCCCGGCCATTGGCTTCAGAGCCAATTCGATGATGGTCTTAAGACCGTCCTTCTTCTTTGTTCCTTGGAGAGATTGCTCGATCGATGGGAGTAGTTCGCTGTACATTGTTTCCCTGTTCTCTTTGATAGCAGCCAGTCGCCATGGACTGTACCACTTCCAGACGGTGATGATGTTAAAGTGAAGGATACAACGCGCAATCTGGTCCATGAGGGCGCTCCTGAATCTGCTGGGACCGTTCGTCTGTTCATGCAACTCGATGTCAAGCACTGCTCGACCGATGATATCCATCGTCAAGTTGGTCGTGGTCTCCACGAGCGGGAACACACCACCCCAAGAGCCGTCAGCACCAGCTTTGTTTCGTACAATATCGGCGAAGATCTGAACGTCCTCGAGCATTCCGGGCACAAGACTGAGGACATTCTTGTTGCTGAAACTTGGGTTGAACCGCGCGCGCCATGTCTTCCACGGCTCGCCTACCAGACAGGCGAGGTCCCTTGCTTCCGTGATAGGAGCTAAAGCCTTTTTAGTCCAGTCGCTCCGCGGAACGCTGTTGTCGAACATGAAGTGGCTCGCTGCCTCTGTGTGGACAGTGAAAACCAGTGGGGGGCCCATGGGCCACATGTCTGCGTAGATTGCAGAGGGACACGATGTCCGGCCGGGGAAGAGTGTTTCCCAATTGTCAACGATGGCTTGAGGATAGTAGAGGAAGGATCCGTCTTTGGGTAAATGCGAGGTGAGCTTCATGAGTAGGCGCAAGTGGCCGAACAGAAGCGAGTGGGGCATCATTGGCTACTCTCTGGTTAGAACCTCAGCTTCTCAGGTGTGCTTGGAGACTTACAACTCCCTGTCTCTGAAGCTTTCGGAACTTCATTCTCTCTTGTATCATTCGGGCGAAGACGTAACCGACACCAAGCGCTGCTGCTAGGCCAAAGAGGCGCAACATCATTGCCCTAGGACCCTCGGCCTCGGAGATCGCGAAGAAGCCCATTTGAGCGATCTTCCTTCAAATATGCCAGTAGAATCTGCGGATTATTTTCCCAGTCGCTCCCGCGGCTCATGCCATAGACCAATGCGAACCACCGCCTCTCTTATACATGTACATACGGGAGGACCCGTCAAGGATGGGCATATGCCGCAATCGTGAAATGACAAAAGGCAGGGCCACCATTGGTTCCGCGATCGACTACCCCTCTCATACCAACAGTAGTATCGCAGGCCGAGGAACAAGACCATGAGAGAGAGTCGGCCGCCTTCTTCATATGTGCATGGCCCCGCGGCACTCTGCATCGGGATTCTCCATTCTTCAGACTTGGCTTTGCAGAAACGGGTCGAGAAAGCCGTTACTTGCGGGTGCCTTGTGGGAATTTTGGGCGGGGATCTGGCGGCTTCTGGATCTCCGAGCAAGGGTTGTGCAGGGCCTCCAAGCGTGAACTGACTTATCGTATTCGTGCCGTTGGTCGGTTGGTTCGTTTGGTTCTTTTGTATATGTAGTGTAACCATGGAACGATCGACGGCGGATACGTGATGTGTGCTCGTGTGCAGATATTACTGCCACACAATTCTGGATTATTACCAAGCTTGTGATCTTGATAAACTTCGGGTGTTGCTCTCTGAACTTTTTCCTTCGAACTAAGCATTGAAGAGGTTGTTCTAAGAGTCGTTTTCTGTACTCAGTACTTATTGAGAGTTCTGGACTCAAACGGCCAATTGACGGACTGTCATCCTCTACTCTTGAATCGGGTCTCCCACAGCCATGCGAATCACCATTTGAAAAGCCGGCATCTCTATCATCCAAGGCGGTACATGTTAACGTCAATCATTGGATGAGGGATATCAACTTCGCCGCATGGTGACTGGTGACATGAATTCCACATCAATAGACTCTAGGCACATTGCAACTTCGGCGTCTGGGAGCTTTCACGAAGAAAATAAATGCTCATCTTAAGCCCAAAATATCAGTCTGTGGCTAAATATGATCTCGGAGGGGGTTCATGATGTTGCGGGGTGAGTCATCCGGCCAGCTAACTAAGGTACCTAGTACGGAGAGACGTTATGAGGCACAGCCCGATCACAGAAACGCCTGCGAATCATTTCTGTTGAAGACACGTTAAGAACCCGCCGTGTTCTGTCAACATCGCATTCTTTTCATTTTAGTGCAGACTGGATTTACAGCAGATCTACCGTTGACTCACATCGCAAAATCTTCTCCAGCCACATCCGGAAAAGCCTAGAATTCAGAAACTAATTTCTGAGCTGTTGCCAACAGTTGAAAATCCGACATCAATGTCAGAAGTCGATCCGTCAAGTCCACACATTATTGCCTGTATGGCCAGAGCTTCTGCAGAGCTCAACACCACCCTGTCACCGCCCAAGGATGTAACCGCTTTCGGCGACAACCCAGCGTTGAAGAACGAGCTCCTGGGTCTACTTCTCCAGGGGAAGAAGACGTCTACGACAAACTGGCCAATCCCAGAAACGCTTCATTGGTCAGTCGGTGACCTGTCCGTCATACTTGATGGCAAAGCCGAACCAAGGGCGATCATCAGAACCACGTCGTTCGAGAGGTGCAAATTTCGGGATGTAAGGGAAGACTTTGCACTCGCTGAGGGAGAGAGCACTTATCAAGAATGGAGAGATGGACACATGCGGTACTTTAAGCGTAGCGAGGATTCAAAGGACTTTAGTGAAGACGCTGAGGTGCTGTGCGAGTGGTTTGAAGTCGTATATCCTCAAATTACGAGGAAGTAGAGTTGAGGAAGCCACCAGACCAGTCGGAAGAGAAAGAATTAGCAAAGTATGAAGTCAACGTTCAGAAACCGTTAGAAGTCCATCGAAATAGTCCTCCAGCAATGGAGGTCCCTCTAAGAGTGTTGCACAGCAAAAGTTCTCTTCGCCCATAGCTTATTGTCATAAAATGCAAAAGGGTTGGGCCCTAACCAGGATTCGAACCTGGGACCTCTCCCAGACGTGTCTTGTAGACCCTAAGGGAGAATCATACCGCTAGACCATCAGGGCAGATGAGCTCGAAATGAGCTGCTTGTTGTTGACGGCAGCGTCGAGATTGAAAATTATGTTGGATTTGTGGATGCAATAGGGCTTTTGACGCCGGTGGGATGGTTTGGGGGCCGAAATGAGGATCCGCGGGCCGGGCCCGGACGCCCACAACCCGGAGGGTCCGGCTTTGGTGTGCCGGAATCCCGTGGTGTAGTGGTCCTTTAATCTGGCCAGCGGGCGCGGGTTGAGCTTGAAAACTGGCGCAAACTATGCTGCATATGAGGCAATTTGTGATGGAAACGCAGCAGCGAGGCCGCCTGTCTTTTTACACCAATGAACATCGAAGACTCAAGGGTGAATGATGAGTCCGTACTTCCTTCATGTTGGCTGCATTCAACAATCTGGACGCGTCGAAGGCCTGCTCCTAGACGTGCTCAGATTCCGACCCCAGGATATCATCTCCAGATACTTGGTCTTATTTCCAAAATCCCCGATTATGGGCTCCTAGTCCAGTTCCACGCGGGATTTGAGGTCCCGCTGTTTGCACCCCACGTTGGTGTGGGCATCTTGCATGGCAAGTTTTTCTCGCGTGTTACTGCACCTCTTAGGGGTTGATAGTGATACGGCATTCCGGCGCGAAGATTTTGGAAAAAGTGTTGAGACTATGAGTCCTTGTACAGTTGAATTGAGAGTACCGTATTGTGTGATTTCCCTTGAAACCTGATCCCGTTGAGGTTGATCTTCTGCGCCTGTTAAGCTGGAAATAAAACCACATGAGTACTCCGTATTATTAGAGTCCTACCAAATCCTGCCAGCCGCCAAGCGAAATCAAGTTATTTTTGTTCTATCATGCCAGGTGTGGAGGTGAGCCGAGCCTGCGGTATGTTCTGCGGGACTCGTGAGACGGGGGACGGGGAATGCGGAGTGGCCCTCCGGATGCAAGATTTTGAGAACGGAGCAAATCGAATTCGGACCTCAGGAGCACAGATGTGGTTTGAGACTTGAAAATTGAAGGCTCTTTCGGGGCGAAAGGGTGCCGTTCTGCTGCACGCGTGCAGAGCTGCGAGAGTCTCAAAGATGTCTTGGGCGCTTGCATTCCAGTCAGGTCCGGTTTTGGATCTTCAAGCAAAACTGCCATTAGCTCTCTCAAGGCGGAAGCAAATTACGTCGAGTATTTACTAATGAGCCGGGAACACAGCTGCATTTGTGCAGAGCCATTCTCAAAGGCTGGACTGATGCAGTTGAGGTGTTAGAGCTCATTCTCGCTCGAACCCGTGCCGTTACCGACCATGTTCGCATATCATGATGAATGCGCACATCCAATGCTTGAATTGATCAGGCAATGGGAGGAGAAACTTTGAGATCGATATTTCTCGCAGACAACCTTGATGTCGCATGGCTTCTTATAGGATTTCGCAAAGTCATTTTGCACCTCCTAAGAAGGGTTGCTCCAAAAACTCGTGACTGAAGAAAACACTCAATCAACAGTCATCCTACGAACTACACTTGTGAAGCGGCCTGTATGATGACGCTCAGCTATGGATTGTCGATTGCGTTCCTCGCAACGGCGTACGCTGCAGTTTTGCCGTTGCCACGCCAGGCCGACAGTCCCTCAATTTCTAGCATTGTAATATTCGGTGACTCGTTCAGCGACAACGGTAGGTGATTGATGGTATTTGGAACTTCGAAGGGCTTGTGTCGAGGAATTAAAATGGCTGATGGAATGCAACTTCTAGGAAACGGTGCTGCTCGAGTATCGAATAATGCCTGGCCTACAGACAAATAGTCAGTGAACTCCTTTGCCCAACATGATCTCCAGACCAGTTGATGTAACAGTCAACCCAGTTACAAGGGTCGCTTTTCGAACGGCATGGTCTGGGCGGAATACGTAGCAGCTAACCTCTCACTACCCCTCTACGACTATGCGGTCGGAGGTGCAACGACTTCGAATGATCTTGTCCAGGGTTACACAGGCGCAAAGGGAGATATTGCAGTACCCTCTTTGGTTGACCAAGTCGTCTCGTTCTTGGAGAAGATGGTGCCTCAAGGAGGAGCATTTGAGGTGTCCGATTCGAAGGCTATGCAAAATCCCCTACTGGTCCTATTTGCTGGTGTCAATGACGTTTTGTTCAACGCCAATATCAGTGCTTCGCAGTCGTATCAAATTCTTCGCCAAGCAGAAGCACAGCTACGTGATGCGTACCCTAGTGCGAAGGTCTTAACTCTATCGCCACCAGATATCTCCCGACTTCCGTATGGCTTCTATTTGGAAGGTGATTTGGCAAGAAGCCAGTTGCGAGCTTTCGCCGACCAGCTAGGAGAACTACTCGACGGCTCAAAGACAGGAGCCGTCAACGTTGATCTTCGGCCGCTCTTTGACGACTTTGAGTACTATGCCTCGCCTCGAGCGTACGGATTTGATCCGCTGGGAAAGTACGGCAGTTGCCTCGAAGGTGCATATGGCGAGACGCCAAACGTGACGATCTGCGGAGACCCAGAGAGGCGGGTATACTGGGACGAATACCAGTGAGTTTTCGCTAGCTTTTCTCTTTGTTTCTTGTTCCGAGCCGAGTTGCCGTTTACCCAGTCTTCAGCTCTCATTCTGACGTCGTGCAGTCCTACAACTCATACACACTCGTGGATTGCCAAGGAGGTTCTAGACGTTCTGAGAGGACCGTTCTGATTACCTCTTGTGGTTGAGGGAGCGGGAGTTGGAGTTCCGAGGTTGTCGGTTTCGGCATGAATGAGAGAATGCAAGTGTACGGGGGCAGTGTAGAAGTTTTCTTGGAAGCGGTTTTACAGAAAGAGAGATGAACAAAAGCGAGACATTGGATCAGACGAAAGAAGCAAACTCGCTGGCCCAATACCAAGTTCCAGTTCCAACTTCGGCCCATGACAAGGGCACCCTCGCAGGTCTGTCCTGAAGAGGCGACGGCATCCCTACCCTGCCAGCTCCACTTGACCCAGCTATTGTTGACACCAATGCTCTGTGTCAAACAAGCACAGACGAATTGTTTGCGAGCTGAGGATAGTGCCTCCCGCCGGTTGCCGCTGACAAAGATGCTTCCTTCAGGGGCGGAGTTCTTGGATTATCGTCAAGCTGCTCCGAACACAAATGTGCTGACCATGGTGACATGAAAGTCAGACAGGCTGAACTGGATCTGCTATGATATGTCATGGAATAGAAACAAGCTCAGAGTGCTGAACTAATTTTGGCTGTATTCTCTCTGGAGGTTCATGCTTCGCACTTGCACGATTGATCTCCATTCATCCATATTGGATGGCGAATCTCGAGTACAGTATCTTCACATGGTCCACAAGTCTTGGCAAGGCTCGCTGTCACTGGAAGCACGGCACGAAATTCAGGCCCGGCGGCCGCGTCTTATTCTCTGCCCATGATAAGCGGAAAATTGAAGCAATGACGTGGAAACAATTTGGCTTTAAGCGCTCCTGCGTTCCCGAAGCCGGACTTCCGGGCTAAGTGGATGAAGTTATGGTTAATTGGTTATTTGGTGATGTAGCTCAACGACAGACGAAAAGAGAAGCAATCTCGGAGGCGTCTCACCGATCAATGTCACAAGCCGTTGAAGCAGGGCGAGGCAATTCGCCAATATCGCGGACATGACTTCCCGAAACTGTTCTTTGCAGTTAGTTGATCGTTCCCTAACGCCGCGACTCTCCTGAGGCCTAGGAGTTTCCATCTCACGTTGCCGCCCAGAATTGTTTTGTTAAGGCTGGTCCCTGTGCAAGCATGTCCCCTGGCCTCATTTAAGCGCGACGTGCTGCCATCTGATGACGCGTAACTAAGACATGGTCCGCCCCCGGTAGACAGGCAGACTAAGCAGCGTCCCAGGGACTTTGCATCCCCGTTAAAAGAAAAACAAGTGAAAACCCCCGAACTAGGAACAACGGCACCGTTCCCCTCGCCCCAAAATGTAAAGGTGAAACGAAGACGACGACGTCTCTAATTTACAGCAAACGCCCCATGGTCGGGAAATAAGGGAGCGGTGGAGACCCTAGACCCGTCTTCCTTGAAACACACGGCCGTGATGGGCTGAACATCGAAGCCCAACCACTCATAGTCTCCCACACGCACTCCAGTCATGTCCCAATCCTGGAGAAGATCTGTTGTTCCTTGGTCTGGTCTAGAACCCTCGAGGCTCGAGCAGTTGCTAACTTGCTGCAGTGAGCGAGCACTGTTAACTCGCTGAGCTGCGCGCATCCACCATCCACACCATCCACCCACGCAGCATCCATCAAATCCTGATCCCGCGGCGGAAAGCTAGGCCAATAGTTGCCAAACTCCTGTTACCCCTGAGAACCCACCCGTTGGAAATTGACAGCAATATGGCGCCCATGCTTTTCACCACTGTTCTGTCTTGATCGAAAGCGGGAAAGTCGGGCCACCCTCTTATCCAAGCTGGAGCTTGAGCCGCAGACAACTACCGAATAGTGGCAACTCGTCCGGGGCCAAACATGGTTCTTGCTCTGCTAAACGCCCACATCCCGCCGGGCTGGGTCGACTCCCCTTGTCGATCTGTGTCGTCCGATTGCGCAACGGTTCACCATGTTGCTCCAACTTGCTCGACTAAGTTGACGCCATCCTAGCAAACCATGAGCCAAATCAGTGGCGGATGGTAACCGGGATCCCAGACGTCGAGATCGATATAAGTTGCAGCTTTTCTCCTTCCAAGGCCAGTTTCCTTTGTGCTCTCCATCCCACTCCATCTTCATCACTTTCATTCCAAACACATTGAAGCTAGTCTTCTGTTCCGTTCTTGATACCAAGCCTTTCATTCGTTCCTTCGAACCACATTCCTTACCAACCTTTCCCACCTCACAAAACAACCTCTCAGTCATTCTCATAACTCAGACAAAATGAAGGCCAACGTTATCGCCGCTACCATCCTTGCCGCCTTCTCGGCTGGCGCTTTCGCTCAGGACCAGGAGGCCGAGTTCCCCACTGGCTTCCCCACCGACCTCCCCTCCGGCTTCCCTACCCAGGTCCCCGGTGCTGCTAAGCCCTCCGGCGGCTTCGGCGGTGGCTTCCCCGGCTTCCCCTCCGGTGGCTTCCCCACTGGCTTCGGCGGTGCCCGCCCTACCCAGGTTCCCGGCGCTGCTGCCCCCTCCGGTGGCTTCGGCGGCAACTTCCCCCACTTCGGTGGTCACTCCGGCTTCCAGACCCGCACCCGCGGCTCCTCCGAGGAGGCTGCTGGCTTCGGCGCCCAGGCTGTCGAGACTCCTTTCCCCACCGGCACCCAGTCCGGCGGCGCCCGCCCTACCGGCAAGGGTAAGGGCAAGGGCAAGGGCAAGAACCACGGCACCGGTGCTCTCCCCTCCGGTGTTCGCCCTACCCAGGTCCCCGGTGCTGCCCAGCCCTCCGGCGGCTTCGGCGGCAACTTCCCCGGCTTCGGTGGTGATGCTCCCTCCGGCGCTCCCTCCGCTGAGCCCACCTCCGCTTAAGCGACAACAACTTCTTCGACGATAACAAATTCGGCTTATGGGTTTGACTTGGACCACTTGGTTCAGCAAACGGCTTTATCTGGAGCGTGTTTGGACGATTTCTAGTGATGGAGGATGTGTTTCATTTCTTACTACTCCACGTGGAGCTTTCACTGTATAAATACAAAAGCCACTTGGAGTAGCTGGCTGGTACATTGCATAGGCGTTTGCTTTTTGTAGACTTATCAAATAAGAGCATCCGTCTTTTTCAAAACATTTCATCATGAACCTGACCGTGACTGCAAACCAAGAAACCAGCGAGTAATTCTGAGCTGATTCGGCTCGCTAAAGTACTTTTATCATCCTAGCATAGGTAACGTAAGTTGAGGAAAATACTTGACCGATACGATGATTGTTGTTCCAATTTGAGAAATTGAATCTTTTGGAGAGTTTTGAAACTCGACTAAGCCTTTGCGAAGAATTAGTGTATTACAAGCCTTCAGTATCATATGGTCTCAGCAACCTTCATCAATTGACTCCGCCGTTTGCGGTCCTGGAATATGCTAAACAAAGGCTGGGAGGATTGTGAGGTATCTGTGACATCTGCGCAGTGGCAGCGAATCGGTGGCCTCGGCAGAGCTTTGCATTGAGATGATACCAGGAGTTGTGTTGATGAATCGTTACGCGCTACGATGATATCAAGGGAGAAAGTGGCGTGGTAGTCCTTATGCATAAGTAGTAGTCTATCATACTTAGATACCTCTCGTTAATTGATGACATACTCGTAACACAATTCAACTACGTTCCCGCTAGTATCCACGACTCATCCCTCGTGATACGAATACCTCATATCGAGTCTCCCAAGAACCTTATTCACAGGACCTTCCATCTCTCTCTCGAAGCGTGTGCATGCTTATGACTAGTCATCACGAATTCTGTCGCCTCATCTCATCATCTCATGATATCATACATTATCCAGTCCCCTCACAAGAGCTGAGTTGCAGCCATAACAGCAGCAAATGCGAAAACAATTGTAGCAGGCTGGTTGTTATTTGCAGCACTGGCATCGGTGCTCGAAGTGGCAGACTAAATTTCCGTTAGAAGTCTTAACTGTAATCCGAGTTTATCCCCGAACAAAGACGTACCGAGCTCGAGCCGGTTGCAGATGCAGTAGACGAGGCACCAGCTGTGCCAGACGTTCCGGCTGTTGTAGTTGCGTTCGTCGTGCTGTTCGATGCAGTGACAGGTGTCGCGTCAAGGTTACATCCGTCCGCGGCTTCTGTGACGCCGTCTCCGTAGTATTGCCAGATGTCAAATGTGTTGGCGCACTGCAGACATCCCTCAAAGTAGTCCGTCCAAGTTGAGTTGGTACAGTAGTTGTCTTCAGCTGCTCCGAGAATGGCATAGCCTAGATACTGTCATGAGTCTGTCCGGTGCGGCGTTGGGAGCATAGTGAGTAACATACCGCAGTTCTCGTGGCACTCGTACTTGGCTCCGCTGGTGACCTGACGGGCGTGAAGGGGCACAACGGGGAGCCAATCCAGAGCCGTAGCAGTGGAAGCCAAAAACGTGACAGCTGTGATAAACTTCATCTTGATAACAGTGGCGACGGGCTTCGAAAAGACAGTATGACTGACGGCTGGGCGGAAAACAGACAGAGGTCTTTGCCGAGGGCGCGTGTTGCACCTCAGCTATATACTATGGGAATGTCCCGAATGAGCAAATTGTTGCATACGCAACCTCTTCCGAGGATCCTCTCGGTGGATCGATAACTCGCAGCTAGATGCTCTTGGCTGAATGCCTTCAGCCGATGGGCGAATCATGTTTTGGCGGCCGAGAGTGCCGAGGTGTACAGGTCGCATCGGCGCGGGTTGAAGTGGGGGATTAAGGATAGTTACGTTGCGACGGGCAAACTTTCGAACAGAGTTGTGCAGAGTCGTCATTGTAGATCGAACTGCCGCACGAAACACCAGTTTTCCGTAAATAACACAGTATGCATAGAGTATACATCTTAGGTTAAGTTTACTTTCCCAGAATTCGAGACTATGCGAGACAACTCGACGATCCAAAGCTATCCTAGAATAAGGATTCACTGTTCCCATGTTTCTTTCTAAAGGAAAGCTCGTCAGTCTGACCCATGTTCCAACACAGGGCTCCCATGCCGACGCGGTAGGACAAGATCTGGGCGCACGTTATGATTGGTAGATGACATCTTATCAGATCATCTGATATCCGCTTCGCAATCTCGGTCTCCCTCCACAATACGACACACCTGAGGCCAGTATCTCGGCGCTCCTTTCTTTCGCCTCAGGCCGCTAGGCCGAAGCTGTTCAAGTCTCCTCCGACTCGGCCGGGACCTTCTCCGGCCAACGGATCACAACCGCCGAAAGACACCGGCCGGATCGCCTCATTGTTTGCAAAGAAGAAGGGTTGGGCACGAACAGGCCCGGCCGCTGACACCCTGGTGACAATCCTGGTCCAATAATTCACCATCCTGTGGAGTTTCTTCCTTCGCAGTCTTGCGGTGTGGTCTTGCTCCCCGGTCAAAATCGCACCCAACCCCGTTCACGACCGCTCGATCCAATCACTCCCCCGGCATGCGAGTCAAGGATTCGTCGCCTTTTGGAAGTTCCGGTTCGTCGCAACGTGCTTGCAGCGGATCCTCAACAAACGAACCATGGCGCAAAACTCCCGATTCAGTCTTTGAACGAACTACGCGAGGCTTTACCGCCAAACTTCAAGCCCACAGATGCATGGCCAGCTCAGTTGTACTAAACCCATTGCGCTCGTTCTTCAACGAAAGAGTCTTGTGCGCCGATGATATTCTTGCGAATCGCAGGGGACCGTGAAAAGACGACAGGAAACCGAGTGGCTGGCCAACTGAACGCCCACCGCCTCTTACGCGCCCCGACTCGGCGTCCGTTGGCCGGGTGCTCAGTTGCTCACTCAAGCACTCGCGCACTTGCGATGGCGGTCTATTAAAGACTGTTCAGTGGCCGCATCTCTTGTCTGAGTCTTTCTCTTGGAAGATATCCTCTTTCGAGGCCCCCCTCGAAACACCACCCAAACAATCATCCAACATGGCCCAGGCCTCGCCTTCGTGGCAGAGGCTGTTGGGGCTGCTGTCAGTGCTCCTGGCACTGATCCTCGGCGTCTCGGCCGGGGAGCACGGTGCTGCTGCCACCGGCTGCCCCGCCGATCTCGCATCGGCCCCGGACAACACCTTTTCTGCCGGTTTCGACAACAGCACCGACGTTGCTGAGACTCAAGCAGAGCGCTCGCACGTCGAGAAGCTCGCAGCGACCAGCTTGCACGGCTTGGGTATGTTTTGCCTTGTCGACCTCTTTTGTCTGAGTCCACACACTAACAGTCTTTTTCCCAGGCGCCCGATCCAGCTTCGAGGCTTTCCGAGTCGAGATCCCTGCCTCGTGCAACACCCCCAGCATGAAGAGCTCCCTCATTGAGCTCCCCATCAGCTTCGCCAGTCTGCACATGCACCTGCAGAACATCCGAACCAAATAACCTCGATGGCGGTTTGCCCAACACCCAAACCGCCGACACGAGATGAACTACTTCACCCGTGTTGGATTCGAATCTACGATCTCCGACACACTTACACCCTAACGTCGGGGTGTGCTTGGTGTACCATGATATACACACTGAGCAAGTCCCGAGCACGACTGCCCACAACAGATGAGCAGTCACACAACAATCTCTCTACGACAGAAACGACATGACTACAACGAAACGAAATTCACGATAAAAAAAACAATGCAACGAAATACGATGTCACGGACAATATCCCCCCGACCACATGACTGGTTGGGAAGTACGACAAACGAACTTTTCTTTACCTCTCAGATACCAAAACCTTCTCCCTCTCCACCGAGGTCTCAGCTCTTTGGCTCTTTAAATACATCTTCTTTGTCTTGAACAAGACTTTCCATCCCAATGCCAGTGAATGACACCAAAGCCTCGTGAGATTACTAAGCTTGAAGTATATCCATCGTAAGGATATCGAGGTGAAAGTGATGCCGTGACGTTTACAAACGTCCAATCGAGCAGTTACCAATGTCTAGGTATATGCCTCTCATTGCCGAGAATTTTGATCGTTAATAGCAACGGATCTGCCATCAATATTACTGGATTCGGCGTGACAACCGTTGAATCGATGATCCAATGGTAGATCCACAACTTAAGTCACGGTGGCACCCCTAAATGCTCATCTCAACCACTCGAGTCATTGCTATTTACGCGAATCGCCAGAGAATAACATCCCCTTCGATATCAAGTCATCTGAAATCACATCCTAGGCCTCAGCGATGGTGACCGAGCTTCTGAAGTGCTGAGCGCGTCTAGGCCATAGTGCTGGAAACACATGTCTCTCTCGAGGCATTATTCCTCCATTCTTTCAGATAAATTTGCTCCATCTATTCATCGGGAGTTGGCTTTAGGCATGAGAAGCTGGCTAGTGTGGACACGGACAAAACCACTCTCCTTCCGAAGGCACGTGCTGCTGTTCTTCGACCAGAGAGTCGGCCTTTCCTCGCTGCTGTTTCTCACTTATGTTCAGGTAAGCGACAGAGATGATGACCATTTTTTCGAGCCATCAGTGCTATTGCAACTCTGTGGGATTCTCTCCAGCTGTCAACGTTCACGATGGAGTTTGAGGGCAAGATGGATTTGGGAGGCTGTCTGATTCCGGCCGAAAACATGACTAAGTATGGGGATAAAGGGAGAGCCGTCATGCTGCAATGTACAAGACACAATGCCATTTAGAGGACGGAAGCGCCAACCGGAGGAAAGGATATGAGAGAACCCGCAAGAGATATTGAAGGTGATTGGACTTCAAGAAAAACTCTAGGAAGGAAGTTGGAGAATTGACTCCGGGAGTGCCGATAAAAATAAATAACTTCACTCTGGAGACCCTTTGAGAAACTGAGGAACGCCCGTCGTAGATATTCGCCAGGAGCACAGAAAATCGTCCTCTGTTTTCAAGGAACCGGCCACTCTATTCAAGATGAGCACCTATCAAAAATAATCGATAGACTTTCAAAGAGCAAATTCCAACGCCTCGCGTCTACGTTCCTACCTAAGGCAGGTAGGTACACGGCATATATATATACGCGAACCAACCCCACTCAGGTGCATCACCACTCGGCTCGAGGAACTCGCGTATTCATGTTTAAACCAACCTTTTCCAGATTCCATGCGTTCAGCGCCCATACCTTCTTCTTTCTTGATCACATGACCCGTTCTCTCCTTCCTTCCGAATAGAGAGAGAGGACTTCGAGGCCCATGACCAACGAGTGATCAATTTCTCCCCGACAACCAAATACTTATCTTGCTAGCGCTTCAATCACGGCTTCAATCGAGGAACCGTCGCATCGGAATCTCGCGATGCTCAAAATTCCACGCCTTTTCTCACCTTCCCTCGAGGCAAGTACCCATTTCCTGTTTTTCTCTACACAAAGTCACGTCCTCTTCGTCCCTACAATCTTCGCCCTTTCACACTTCGTCTTTGCTTTCTCCATGCTTTCATACTTATTTTCTACCTCGTCCCTCGACACCCCATCTCTTCAGACCTCGTCTCTTCACACTTCATCTCTTCACACTCCGCCTCTTCGCATCTCGTCTCTTCACACTTCGTCACTTCGTACTTTATCGCTTCCCTTCTTCATCGCCTCCTTCTCTTTTGTCCAGCTCTTACTTCATCGCTTTCACAATTTCGATTCATCGAGTCTCTTTACTCATCGTTTTTCACTTTCGTGACCAAGTCTTCACAAGCTTGTTTCCATTATTCACACTACAAAGGTATCTTGACTTGTGGCCCTAGCATGAGCCCCCAGCTCTTTCCCATACACCATTCTGGCCCTTATCAAGGGAATTCACATGCCTACAAGAATTCTTGGCTAACTCATCGTGTTCCAGCTACCGAAATCGGATGACGTTCACCGTCTGAGAAAATGCGACGAGAGATGCGACGATGCCCCTCGTCGAGTCTTCAGACTTTTCGTCACAGCTCCGAAATTATCTCAGTCCCGTCCCAATGCGACTTCCGACGGACGTCGTCATCTCGACATGTCGTCTGGTCACTACTCAGAGTTGCGACGCCATTGAGATTACAGTCGCTCTTCTGCATTTGCAGCCCCTACTGGCTAGCTTGAATGAAGACCAACAAGAAAGGCTTGGAATATATTTGTTCAAAAATTGGTAAGTTGACCACAATTCCAAATTCAACTTGATGTGCTTCACTTGGTGTCGTACATCACTGCTAACACCAGCCTTTTCCAGACTTCTCAGCAGAAGATAATAGAGCCTCTGCCATCTCCATTGGTATGCCCTCCCTAGGCATAGCCTGTTCCAACCTAAAAGAGGCCAAGTTGAATTCGAGAGCTCGAACAAGCCAAAGTTTCCACCATTGGCTCCAGCCTTGGGCAGCCTTCTTGCTTTTCTCCGCATCTCAGGCATGCCCGAAGCCATCAAGAGTTCGCCGTGGCTGATTAACGAGGTCGGGGCACACTGCCCTGGCCTCGCGGTTGGGGTGACGTGGGAGACCAAGGTGCCTCTGTGAGCTTTACCGTCTCTTATACCGCGTTGGATTCTCCGTCGTCGCCGTAGAGCCCCGGCCAGCTCAACGCGATGTATCTCGGGGGACATGGCGAATCCAACGCGGGTATTTCGTATATCAAAGACAAGAACGGCAACATCGGACCAGCCGCTTCAATCACCATAGCCGAGAAGTACGGCGCGATGGACGTTGATCAAGGCGAGACGATCACCTACTGCGGTATCAACTCGATGGATACGACTCGCGACACCCCGGCCGACGGCGCGCAGCTCGTCCGCGGAAACAAAGCACTTTTCAAGCATATCGAAAAGAAGTTCAGATCTGTTCAAAAACCTCCAAGAACCCTAAAAGGGCGATTCAAACTCCTGTTACAAGAACACACTGAACGGGAGTAGTCGTTCCCCTACAGGCGTCGATGGCATGAATCACGGACTCGCCTTGGTATGTCCAGTTTGGGCCACGCAACTGGGTTCGGTCGGCGCTCTCAAGCCGTCTGAGAACCCTCCCGCGGGTTGTTCCAACAGCTGCAACACCGACTCCAGCCGGGCCGGCCATCATCATGCTCTTCCTTTGAGACGGCCGGTCTTGGCTTGCTCGACCATTAGAGTCACCAAGATGGGCGCGTCTAATCTGTTCGAAGAGGAATGGGTGGTCCAGCTCCCGGCGGAGATTTTCGGCCAGAGATACGCGATAAAGAGGCACCTCGTCAATCCGCCGAGGGGCGACGCTGGAAGGAGATATCGATTCTTCAGGCGGGCTGTGGCTGACAAGACGCTCACCCGCGCTGGCAAGGATGTAGCAAACATGAAGGACATCATGGTCAACTGCGCTCTCACGACTGACGATGATACCATGTCCTGCATACGCCCAAATCACTGGAAACATGCCAGCATTGCCCACCTCACCCAACAAGCCTACCGCGGGCCTCTTACGGCTCGCGGTCATTTCGAATCAACGACATCGGAACCAAGCCTTGCTGCAATGGAAGACGCGACTAATCCCCCGAGTGTTCCGCAAGGCTATTGTCTGGGGGTGTTTGGGGTCTTGCAGACCGCGACTTATCCAATAATCCTGCTCGGAAGCCTGCTTCAAGGCAATTCCTCAGCTTTGCCACCAACGACCTCCGCAGGCGGGCGGCGATTCGCGGCGCTGGACGCTGCCTTTGACAGGCTGGCGGCATCATTGCTCGAATAGGAGTGCTGGAAGCCTTCATTTTCCACGGAGGGAGCACTCCGGATTTTGTCGGGGGCCCGCATGGTCGCGCAGAAGGAGATGCTCCCTCGATCTGCTCGCAGGTCATCGGAGAGATGTGAGGGACTCTCCAAGGCATCAAGAGTGCTATCTGGGAGATTTAAGCTCGGATATAACTGCTCGAATGAAGGAGAAGCATGGACATCAAACACACCAGAATACTTCCGGAGGCCTCTTGATCCATTGGGGGGGGGGGGTGGGGTCAGAGCACTCCTGAGGGTATCAAGGGTGCCATCTGGAAGATCTGATTATTCCGACTTCGAAAAATTGTTCGAATGAATGGGGGCGCGCCGCATCTCCTCTCGCGAGGCTCGAAGATGACAATCTGCAAGATTGCCTGCTCCTTCTGTGTGATTGTCTCACATAGAAGGAGATATTGCCTCAGTCGACCGAGCGGATCTTGGGGGTCCGAGGCACCCCCGAAGGTATCAAGGGTGCAATCTGGGAGATCTGCAAATGTCTTATCGATGACTGGCAGAGAGGCACCGGCACCGTCCTCTGCAACCCTGCCATTCGCACTCAGTCCGGTACACCAAAAGAAACGTCGGCTTCTTACTTCTCCAAACAACAGACTCGCTGAGGCTTGTGACCCGGCTAGGGACTGGGATTCCAAGAAGCGCATGAAGTTCACTCACGGAGAGTCTGCCGCCAAGAGGATGGGCTAGAATGGTCCGAACGCTGGTGGTGTTTGGCTGCCAATCTTGTGAAAGCTTCTTATACTGGAGCAGTGCCAAGTTCATTGCCTGAAATCTATATTCGAATTCATGTTTCAAAGGAAGGCATGTGTCCCATGATGATGTCGATGACTATCTCAGCACAGATTATCAGTCTCATAATCGACATCACCCTCATGCTACTTGGGTTCTTCTTCGTTGCATCGATCTTGGTGGTTACTGGCCAGGCTCAGAATCGCCACAATCCTGAAAACAACAAGATGAAGTTGCGGGGTGAGAGTATCAATATGGATGTGGGGGGTGCTCGAATAAGGCGGTTACGGAATGGAGGGTATCAAGATGGATGATGGTGAAGGTTCGGAGGATATGAAATACAGAGACGAGGGTATCGATATGGATATGGGGAGTTCTCGAAGAACGAGAAGTTCATGGATGAGGGCATCAACAGACCAAGGGGGAGTGTTCAAAGAAGCGTTCGAGTTTTGGACATCAGCTAGAATTTGATTGAAGGTGCTCTCGTGGCCGGTACGCCTACTATTCAAAACCTTCGGAGATGTTGTCGGAGAGCAGAACATAAGGACTGCATAGCTGGAAGGGAACAGGAGGAAGTCGTGGTAGAGAGGACGACACGAGGGATTAGCTCAAGAGTACAGAGCGTCCAAAAAAACGACAAAACACTTTTTCACTAATCAAGTCTTCAAAGCTGTGCAAATTAGGTGGTGGGAAGAACCTGGGTGAACCCATTCTTCACCAGAACGTCAATCATAAGCCATGGACTCAGGCCGACCTCACTCTGTGAGAGTACCACTCTTTATTCATCATATCAAAAAAAGTGGTTTAGGTATATTCGTGTATCGTAACATTGCCTCCCTGGGAATCATTCAAATTTAGGCAAGACGTAGCCCAACTCTCGTCGTCGTCTCAAAGTGATTCTCTTTCCATCTCCATTTTCACCTCTGCACCACTCTAGAAAGACCAGAAGGTTGTGGCCATCAGCGCAGCGAACCCAAGACCAAGCGAAGGCGCAAAGCCATTTGCAGCATCAGGCTTGGCAGTCGCAGACGCGGTGCCGGTGACAATAGTGCCAGGTGTCGTTGACGTAGGCGTAGTATCGTTTTGCTGCAGGATGTAAATTTCGCCCGTGGCGTCCGAGGTCATGAACAGGCGGTTCTTGGCGTCCCACGCGAGTCCGACTGGGCGGAAGCACTGATCGGGGCAAGTGCTCAGGTCCTTGTTGTACATGATGTTCTTGAGCGCGTCGGTCGAGTCGCTGCTGGCGACGGGCTCGCCGTTGGAGAAGTCGACTGCGGTGAGGGCGTATCCGACAGGGTCGGGGCGATTGACTGTGCCATGTCAGTTTTAATCAGAGAAGGTGAGCAGGGGAGGGAGACTTACAGCTACCGCGGAACGACATGAAGGCCTTTGATCCGTCGTTGCTGAACTTGAGGAAGACGGGAGACGAGTGAGATTGGAAGGTCAAACGGGGAGCGATGTAGTCATTGTGGCAGCGGGTATCGTTCATGGTCGAGTTCTGCTCCATGGAGAACTGATCACCGACGTTGAGAGAGCTGTTCAGCGGGATGCTGGTATCCCAGACGGCGAAGCACCGCGGGTAACCGTAGTTACCGGCGTCGGTCTCGTTCGTAATGGTACCGAGCAAGTTCAGCTCCTCACCGGGGTTGTTGGCATGGATGTCGACGCCGTTGCGCGTGATATCATCGATCGAGTTGTCCATGGCCCAGACGTTCCCGGTAGCGGGGTCCTCTGCGACAGCAACAGCGTTGCGAATACCCCAGCCAAGAAGCTTGCCGTCCGTGTTGAAGTCAAAAGGGTCGTTGCCAGACTTACTCAGGTCGAAGGCCTTGACCTGAGCGTGGCCGCTGTTGGCATCGAGGGCATCGATATCGAAGTTCTCATCGACGCCGCGGGAGACGACGAGCCAGTTGCTTGAGGCCTTGGACATGACCAGAGTACGAGTGGTCTGGTCGTTGTTTGCCATGTTGTCAATGACGACGGCGGGCTCGGCGTTGACGGTGCCGGCCTTTGCGTCGTACGCCCAGGCGAGGACTTGGGAGACGGAGGAGGCGTACAGGGTCTTACCATCTTCTGAAAAGGCCATGCCGTGTGTGAGCTGGATGATAACATATTAGAACTCTTATCGCCTGCGGGGAATTCAAGGAAGTCAAGTCTCACTCTTGTGTTGTTGACCAGAAGCTTGCTCTCAATCAACGATAGACAAGTGCCGCCATTGTCCTTGAATGTGACGCGATAAACACCAACGGCAGCATCCAGGACAAGCAGAGCACCCTCGCTATCGACGTGAATTGTCCTAGGCTTCTTGAAGCCATTAGCAACAAGCTGTGCCTGCCAGCCAGCGGCGACCTGAGGGGCTGTGTAGCTGGGGGTAATGATATCGGCGCATTGTTGCGCAAGCACCGTGGTAGCAGCTGCTATCGCGAGCGCGGTGGTTGTGAATCCCTTCATTTTGGCGGGGGCAAGGTGAAGGATCAAATCTGAAATCAGGCAATCGCGGGCGGCTACAACACTTTCAACCTGAGAGTTGTCTTGCGTACATAAACGAGCCCCTGATGTGTTCAAGGTGAGGGAAAGCTCAGTGGCAAGGTGAAGAAATCAATGTGCCCGTAGCGATTGAGTAGCCTCGGAGCAGATTGGAACATGTCCCGCGAGATGGGTAGCGAGACATCTGTCGACCTCGAGGGTGGCAGATAAAAACTCCACTTAAAAACGAGAGACAAAGCTCTCTCTGGTTCGGGATGAGATGCCCCTCCATGCCCCCCCTCCCCTCCATCGCCTCCTCGTGCGGCGACTCGCGAGTGGTCGAGATGGACGCGAGCGGGCGATCTTCTGTGCCTCTTTGGGAGCTGCTCACCTGCTCTAGCGCAATCGGGGAACGGTACGGCGAGTAGTCGACTGGGCAGCGGAAGGGGTGGTGGGCGAGTCGACCCATGAAAGCTCTTTGGGTCTTCGTTGGATGGGAAGATCAGAGAGGGATGGATGCGATGACGGACGAGCAACGCCTCACATGTGCGTGTCTGACCATGTTGAGCCCCTTACGTTGAGCCAACGCAACGGCGTTGCTTTTGCGACCAGCCACTCTGCATGGCATTGCTGCTGGGGGTGCAGACGGCAGTTGCTGAGGGTATCGCGAGAGTGAAGCATGAGAATCGGGCATTGGCCCTAATCTCAAGATGCGACGGCACTGTGGCATACTGCCGGGAATGTTCGTATCATATGCTCTGAGCTTTGGACCTTACTCAAAGGCAAGGCTTGTGCTGAAGCGGAATGCAAAGTCCTCCTAGAACATCGTGAAAGACGAGGAGGTCCAAATCCGGCGTCGAGGCATCGCTTCCCACCAGTCGCTGGTCGAACAAGAGCTGGATTGGCGCAGCGAATTCAGTAAGGCGCGAAAAAAGTTGTTCAATAGGCGCACATTCTCTGGTCGCGTTGCGCCATGCTATCGGATGGCTCACGTTTGATGTGGGGGAATAAGCATGCAAGACAAGCTTAGCTGCGTCTGTTCAGTGGGCACAGGAGCGGGATCCACGACCCGATGGTGGCCGAAGGAGGCAGGTCGTCGGATTTCCGCCTGCTTGGAGCTGGATCCAGGCGGATCGTGGGCGTGGTGGTTCTGGCGATGAGGGGCAACCCATGTGGTGGTGGCCAAGGGTTGTTGAGTTCCATCTGCTCAGAGTTGCGACTTGGACAATCATGATGATGATGATGATGATGATGATGATGATGATGATGATGATGATGATGATCATAGGTATTGAGGGAGGCCATTCGGTCATCTCAAAGACCAAGTCTATCTGTGTACCTAATGCTTAACATCTCTCTTGGTTGACTTGATCTGGCAATACATAGTGAAGAGGAAATGTGCGCCCAAATGTCTCTCAAGGTGACGGGTTCAGCTTCAGGCATGCCTGGGATGACACATGTTGGTTCCTGAACGGCGTCTTGGCTGGACTCTGGTAGCGCCCATAGATACGGGTTGTGCTGCATTTGGTTTCTCACCAACGGGAATAGACCGAAGTCATGATGTTAGTCAGTAGAAAGAAAAGGCCGCAATGCAAGCAAGAAATCCTCCGCTCCCATAGAGTCCCATTCCCGCTGGGTAAGTCCACTCTCCGGCCCTCTCCTCGGCGCATCTGTCGGTCCTCGTCCCTCTACAGATCCATCATCACACATCGTGACACTTACCACACGGCATATCGGCTCCATTAACCATCAACGAGTCTTGGCGCAAGCATGAGAAGAGCCAAGACCACCAAGTGTCTGAACTCGTCCCTTTGCTGTGCCGTTGGGTCTGGGTCTGGCCTGACGTCCATGGACCAACCACCTCTCTGTGCGACAACACGCTTCGCAATCGCAATTCTGCCATCCCACCACTTCGGACAAATATTTCTTACACTCCATCTCGAGCCTTGACACAAGCAAGCGTTGAGGCGTCTGGGCTAAACCATTCCCGCGTCACACCATGCACTGCAATCATGGTGGACTTTCAAAGACGTTGAGAACGTGCAGCGTTCATCCGCAGCATTTCCAGTTCATTTCTCTTGTCCAGTTAGACAACCCGCTGTTGAGAATGGGAACCTCTAGACACATCATGGCCCGCGGACCGCGATCATTTCTCGTCACTCTACGGAGTACAAAAAGGGGCATACGAGGTTAAGTAGTAAACCTCTCGCATCCCGAGGATGGCGATAATGGGTCACTCATACGGCAAACGGTACAGATAAAAACAGCACCACCAACCACCCTCCTGTCACGCAGAGAAACCGCTTGGCGTCCATCAGACTTTACTGCTGAGTGGTGGCTGCAGGGCAGGGCTTGCAAAGTTGCTGCCAACCCCGCACTAATCACTTGTCTGATGGCAAGCCCATTCCCGTATCGACGCTGTTCCCTGTCTTCTCTGAGTCGTATCGCCCCTCTTCTCGACGAGAATCCCAAGTCCATCTTGCCTTGGCTCTCGCAGCTTTCGCTTCAGAAAGTTCAGCCTAGTCATCAAAACCCCCTTCCCTCTGAACGCGAAACGGAATACACACCGGCCCTACACTACTGTGCGGTACAGGCGTTGCAAGTGGTGTTCGTCTGCTTTACCTGAGCTAAAACAGAGATGTCTCCAGTTTGGCATGTCAAACGTCAAGTCTGGGACCCCTTGAGGGGAGACCAGATGGGACGGCGTTCTTGTTGAGACTGTAGAGAGATGCCAATCAACACACCGCAACTTTTGTGATATTCGAAGCCCAAGACGGACCGGCAAACTCAACAGAGGCACGAGAGAACACTACGCCCGGCTACGGCACTCCGGTACCGTAAATGATGGCATGGCATAGAGTGCCAACATGTATATTACCAAACACACAAAACCGTTGCACGCCGTGAGACATGCGCCCAGAGCACGCCAACACTGCTCGACAGGGGCGTTCCGGGCTCGAACCATTGATTCTGGAGCTTGCCGAGACAACAGCGGGCTAAACTGCTGGACGACTCCGTCCAAGCTCCATCTTCCAAGACCGCGGTGCCCATCTGTCCACGGCCTTCACCCTATCACCAACCTCCTTGGCGTTCTCCGCCTATTATCAACTGGTTGCCACGCTGCCGTGCCATGCCCGCGATTGTCTATTGCCAAGCATGCGTTGCTCACGCCCAGCATCCTTCTCATTGGGTGCCGATTGACCATGAGCCAGCGCTGGTACGCTGGTCCCCTCGCCAAAAATGGCCTTTGGAGAGCGGGACATGCGGAGCACAAGAAGAAAGGCCATTCCACCTTTGGATTTCACTCCATTCTCTTCTTCCCACTTGTTGCTAACTTGACTGGGCCAGAGAGTCTTCTTCTTCCCTTGAAGCCTTCAAGTTTCCTAGCGCCATCTGGCTGAGCTCTCGTCTGCTCTACCTACTCCAGCCACCCAACACACAAAGTGGTGCACTACGCTAGCTCAACTGGCGCAACCAGCCCTGGACTTGGAGACTCGGCTCGAACTCGAGGATCGCGAACGAATACATTTGCGTGCTTACTGCCGCCTGCGTCCGCTACCGCTCCTGCTGCTACCAACGTCCGATGCCCCTCCATTTCATGTTCGTATGACGCGTTGCGAGACCCCAAGCCGGCAAACATCCGCTTCTCTGGGTCCCTTCTTTCCTTCCTTTCTCTGCGGATTCCCCCTTGCTCAGTCGTGCCGCTTAATATTTGATACCCAGCAAGGTACGGTACGCTGAGCTGTAGAGGATCCGGGACGAAGTGGTCCATCACCAGCCGATCTTTCTTTTCTCTCTTACGATCCATGTCGATCTGTTGTTCTTAGAGACGCAGCTTATTGCGACCTGATTCCCCTCGAGGTATTCCTTTCTCACCAATCTGGGGATTCTCATCACATCAGAGCGAACCAAGGCGGACTCGACTCAGAAATACGAGCGAGGACTATTTCCTACTCATGCACTTTCACCAACTGCGTCTGTGCTCCCCCGACATTTGAAGCTTCGCACAGCATCGAGGGACCCTTTCGAGACCATGTTTACAAACACACAACGGCTGCTGTCCGCCTTTGCGGCGACAGCTCTCCTCTTCGCAACATCATCATCAGCCGCGGCTGTCAAACCGCGGCAGAATCAAGGTCCCGGCCCGGTCAACGACTGGATCTCCATCGACTCAAACGGCAATGCCCGGACCATCTCGCCATCAGTAGTCACCAGCAATGGCGCACGCACAACGATCAGCCCTCCTCCATACTCATTAACGGGCTCCGTCTACACAGTCACAGCCACCACCGGCGGACTCACAACCAGCACAGGCGTACCACCGCCACCGCAGGCGAGTAATACACAGGGATTTGGAGGTGTATTTGCCGTGTGCAACAATAGGGTCGGTCAGGATGGTCCGTTTTGTCAACCTCGACGGGGTAGCACTCTGCACGTGGAGTCGACGTACTACAGTAAGCTTCAATTCATCCTGTCCCGTCCATGTTTGAATGGCGGGACCGTCTTAAGCACCCCCCCCCCCCCCCCCCCCCCAATATCAGTTTGCTGACAATATTCTTCAAGTCACTTGGGATACAACATTCTTTGCCGACCCCGCGACACCCATTGGCATCGTCGGCTTCGACGTAGACAACGGCATCACCGACAATGCACCCGCGTTTTCCGTAACAAACCTCAGCGGCGGCGATGGCTGGGTTCCATGGACACCTCACCTGACCGATCTCGAGGAGAAGACCTCGAACAACATGACCATCATCCTCATGTACAACGACCCCGACACCGACGAAGAGAAGAACGTCACGGGACCCGTATTCACGCTGAGGATGGCACTGGACATTGACCCATCTACCTCGCGACCGAACCTTCTCGCCATCCTGTTACCCGTCATCCTCATCTCGCTCGCCATCGCCGGGGTGATGATGTGGCTGTACATCAGGCGTCGCCGCCGTCACGCGGCCGTCGCTGCCGCGGTGGAACGCCAGAACGCGGCGCATCCCACGGGACAACCGCGGAGCATGCATGGGCAGAAGGGCAGCGCCGATATCCAGCTTGAGCCGACGAGTCCGCCGCCGGGTTCTGCGCCCGGGAGGAACGTGTTTCAAGAGGAGGTCCGCAGACAGGAGCGGGAGAGGGCGTAAGGAATGAGTGATACGAAACGGCAATGGGAACGGGTAATGACAGGAACCTTGTCCGACGGATCATCCGTTGAGACGGTATAGGGAGAGGGTACTTCGTTTGGTAACGACTTTCCAGCGATACCCTCAGCCCGGAATGAAGGAATGGGATCTATGACAATCTACATATCATGAATCAAAAGACAGATGGGATACAACCATCGTTCAATTTTGACCACTCTCAATTTTCTGGTAACAAAGACACGCTGGCTCTATCGAATGCGATGTGTGGGGTCTGACCAGACAATCCCAACGTATACGAAGACGACCATGTAGACGGGTCACTAGAGTTGACATCTTAACTACTACTGTCGCGTCAAGCGGTGTAGAGGGAGAGTGACATTGTTTGGAACCATTGCCCAGATTCAAAGACAAAGGCCTAGCACGGTCCAGTGCGATGTACAATGTTTGCCCAAGGTAAATCTGGCAATTGGTATCAGTCGAGATGCGACATCACGGTGGTCAACCAACTGCGCTGGATTACCGGCCGACACGGGTCCGCGGACGGCCGCGGAGAGCCGTTCGCTTCGTGGACACTCCAGGAGCCCAAATGGAACTACCCTCACCCGCAACCTTTGCTTATTCGCCTCGGCTAACACGAGTTCGGTTGTTTTAGGGGGCTCTTCAGTCAAGTACAAGTGACCATGAGTCCTTCGGATCGTGATCCAAACGCAGCAAGTGCTGGTCACAATCGGATATGATCGTCAATCCCGGGGCATATTACAGGGCGAGCGACTGATAGCAAGGTTGATATGATACGCCCAATATCGATCTCGAACTTGGTGTCTAATGCTCGTCTTGCTTCACTGGGCCACACCATAAGGCAAGACTTGGGTAGGCATTCATCATGGACAAATACATTCCGCTAGTAATGGGATAGTATCATGTTGCGATCCTGACTAAGTACAAGCTAACTACTTCTTACAATATCTGCTACTAAGTATACGACTCTATAGAGACCAAGCTACTAAGAACAAAGACACGGCCACTCTTTGGGTATCGTGAGTGATATCAGTCCTTCAGAAACAGGCACGCTGAATTCTGAACATTGCCCAAATCAAGTCCATCTTCAGAGCTTTGCAACAAACTTCTTACCACCCTCCAAAGAACACAACCCGTAGGTCATCCGCACCAGATCCCTCCTCAGAATCTTCCCCGTTGCGTTCCTCGGAAGCTTGTCGACAGCCCAAACACCGCCTCTAAGCTTCTTGTACCCACTAACTTGCTCATCTACAGCCTTCCGAATCTTTGTCAAAGCTTCGATAACCCCGCGCCCCTTGATCTCGTGTTTGTCGTCCTCCTTAAGTACGACCCATGCGGTAGGGACCTCTGTCAATTGGCTCTCGTCCCATAAAGCTCCGACGCCAGACTCCCTCACAAGGGGGTGGGAGTTCAAGATCTGCTCGAGTTCCGTCGGGCTCACCTGGAAGCCCTTGTACTTGATAAGCTCCTTTGTTCGCCCGACAATCGACAGCCGTCCCTGCTCATCTATGCGGCACACGTCTCCGGTGTTATACCAACCCTCGACAGGGAACGCCTCCTTGTTCGCGCTCGGGTTGAACGCGTACCCACGTGTGATATTCGGGCCCCGAAGCCATAATTCTCCAGGGCCACCTAGAGGTGCGTCTTCCGTCGTTCCCTCCTTCTTGAGCGCGGCTTCGATACCAGGCAGAAGCCTCCCAGTACACCCGTCAGGCACGACTTCCTCGAACCCCTGATAGGCCACATACCCAGCCGCCTCCGTCATCCCGTACGCCTGAATAAGTCTCCACGGTGCCCGGCTGAGTAGTCTCGAGAGCTGCGCTGGCTTGAGCAGCGCGCCGCCAATGTTGATGACCTGCGCCTTGGAGAAGTCGTAACGGTCTGTGACATCCGAGTTGGCCAGGCCCAGCACCATGCTCGGAACCCCCTGGAACATGGTAGCCTGCGTAGAGCCCACAAGCTTGCCAAACTCTTCGATGCTGTACTGCGGCATCGCGTGATGGAACATGCCAGTATACGGACCGAGAAAGAGAGGCGCCGTCGTCATGGCGATGTGTGCCCAGGGCGTGAATGCGACGATTCTGCAGGCCGAGTTGAACATTTGGCGTTTTTGGTCAAGGGCTACGAGTTGCATGACGTTGGCGACGAAATTGTAGTGCGTTAATTCGACGCCTTTTGGTTTCCCTGTTGTTCCTGATGAGAGGTGTATTGAGGCTAGTCGCTTTGATGTGTCTGGCCAGTGCGGTATGGAGAGTTGACTTGAGGCCATGAAATCGTCCGGAATGTGATTTGCTTGCTTGTTTCGTGTCACTATTGATAGTATTGGCGGTGGTTTCCATGGTACCCCTTCCTGACGAAGCTCTCTCGCTGCCACATCCACAGCCGCTTGGATGGTCTCTACTACCGATCCATATGCCACGATGAAGTGAGGTCTCGAGACCGCGATTCCATGGCCAATCTCGGATGCCCTAAGAGCATGGTTGATGGGACAGACGACACCGCCTGTCCATAGGATGGCATGAAAGATTTCAAGAAACTCGACACAATTTGGTACCACAATGACCCATCGTGCTTGATCCGGCGGGTCCAGCTTTTCCGCAAGCCCTTTTGCAATCCTGCCGGCTCGATCCCGTAACTCGCCGAGAGTAATGCTCCGGTTCGTTAGACTATCAGCGGCGATGACATGTGACTCTGGGATCGAACCCGCATTTGTATGAAGCAACTCGGTGAGATTCAGTACGCGAGGAATATCGATAGGTCGAGGTGTGTATATCCTCATTGTCGTGATGATGGTCGGTGCATTCCCCCTTTTGAGTTTTGGTTTCAAACAAACTGTCGGATGAACGAGCTCTCGACAATGTCATGAATAGCCACAAGATCCCAGGACAAAAGAGACAACCGCAGAGTCGTATTTTTTGTCAGTGTCAGGAACAGTCGGTTCGAAATAGTCCGACGGCGAGAAAGAGCCTCAATTTGTTTGAGCCGCTCGTGCCGTTTAAGCCGCGCTTGCTTCTACCTTTCCTGTAGGACTGGACTAGAGTTACCGCGCGGGATGGAGGGCGGCATCCGCGGACCTTATCCGATTATTTCCTGCTTCGGAGAATGAGGCAAAAGGAAAGCGTGAAGGATGAACAGGGAACAAGTAGGCTGCTGAAAGGCAGATGGGTCCTTGAACTGTCGCCTCAAGACAGGCAGCGATGAGTGACCCTCCACACGTAGAGGAGGGGGAAGACCGAGACAATGATGTGCGGAGAAGCGAGTACCTCTGCATGAAACTCCTGAATCATCGAAGTCTTGGTCGCACTCGGGGAGCACCCGCAAGCGCAACTCTGACAAACAGACTTCCTGCGGTGATCCTTGTGGTAGGCTGTAGGTCAGAGGTCAAAACGTCGAGGCGGCAGCTCGAGCGGCGGCGTCGGCACGGTTCGGGGTTTTGGAGGGCGAGAGGGTCATACGATGGCCTCAACGTCGAAACAACGTTTCTAGTAATCGAATGATATATCCACGGGCTATTTGATCAAGGTAAACTTACCTCGAATAACATTCATTCTGCCATATGGATCCGCCTCGACGACTTATACGCATCGGCAATTGCTCCGGCGCCATCAACGACGGCATTGACCAGATTTACCGCCTGGCTAAGCACGGCAATGTAGACGCCATCACAGCCGACTACCTCGCAGAGTTCAACATCGCCTGGAAGGCTATCGAGCTCCAGACCCAACCAGAGTTAGGATACGAGCCAAACTTCCTCGAGCAACTCGCATGGCACAACGGCGACGCAGCGCGCCTCGTCGCCGAGAAACGCATCAAAATCGTCCACGACGGCGGAGCTCTGAATCCTCGGGGCCTCGCCGAGAAGACGCAGGCGTACTTTGAGAGCCTTGGCATCCGTGACGTCAAGGTCGCCTGGGTGAGCGGCGACAATGTGACCGACGCTGTAAGACACGGCGCGTTCGGGCGAGTCATGCATCTCGACCAGCCCGGCGTCAAGTTTGATCCGCATTCGCAGGGTAGCGATCTCCTCGCTGCCAACGCCTACACGGGCATGGCGGGCATCGTGCGTGCGCTGGAACTCGGCGCCGATATCGTCGTCTGCGGGAGATGTACCGATGCGAGTCCCGTGATGGGGCTTGCGGCGTGGTGGCATAGGTGGAAGACGACGGAGCACGATTCGCTTGCTGCGAGTCTTATGGCCGGGCACTTGATTGAGTGCGGGCCGTATGTGACGGGAGGGAACTACTGCGGTCAGCGCGAGGTGCCGGATCTCCATCACGCCGGGTTCCCGATTGCGGAGATCGGAGCCGACGGCGGTGTTGTCATCACGAAGCCGGAGGGTTCGAATGGGCTGATGTCTGTGGACACTTGCAAGGCGCAACTGCTTTATGAGATACAAGGCGTCTACTATCTCAATCCGGATGTCATAGCCGACATTGAGAGTGCATCCTTTACGCAGTTGGGTAAAAACCGTGTTCAACTATCAGGCGTCAAGGGGTTGCCGCCACCGTCCACGGCCAAGCTGTCGATCTGCTTTATGGGAGGGTACCAGGCCGAGATCTCAGCGTATGCGACTGGCCTGGACACCGACTTCAAGTTCGAAGTGCTCAAGAGCCAGGTGTTGGGCCAGATCAACCAGTCAGATTTCACAACCTTCAGCATCGAGAAGTATGGTTCATCGTTGGCAGATCCACGATCACAGAAGTCATGCACGACGCAGTTCCGTATGTTTGCACAGTCTCGGACAAAGACAGCGTTTGAGCACTTCAAGAGAGCAATCTTCTACAACGGCTTGCAAGGCTATTGCGGTCTTCATCTGGGCATGGACTGGAGGACCATGGAGCCGAGGCCGTACGTCAGGTATTTCCCAGCACTAATTTTGCAGTCCCGGATTCCCCTTGCTGTGAGCTTTGTTGGTGGTGAGCAGCAACATGCCGTCGAGGCGCGTCAAGATGGTGGCACAATCCCTCGCCAGCCCGATTATGATGCCATAGTGCCGTTGTCGAAGGTCCCGTTATCTAGGACAGTGAAGAGGCCACTTGGAGACCTCGTCTTCGCGCGTAGCGGTGACAAGGGAGGCAACGCGAACGTGGGCTTCTGGGTACGCAATGCTTTAGCGTGGCCCTGGTTGCAGGCTTTCATGACAAGAAAGAGACTTATTGAGCTGCTGGGAGACGACTGGCAAGCTCGTTATGTGGTGGAAAGATGCGAGTTCCCAGGGCTCTGGGCTGTCCATTTTGTCATCAAGGGGATCTTACAGGAGGGCGTTAGCAGCAGCAGCGTACTTGATGGGTTCGCGAAAAGCCTAGGGGAGTTTCTACGTGCCAGAGTTGTTAGTCTGCCAGTTGACTTAGTCAAGGTTGAAGATGACCGCCGGCCGCGTGGGTTTGAAAGCCGTGCCCGATTCTCAAGATTATGAAGTCTGACCATATGTATGTATAGCCGAGGAAACATCCTCTTAGAAACAAAATCAAGAATAAGAGGAAATGGAAATGGACAATAGCTTTGATCAAAGCACCTATGTCGTATGCGAAGGTCATGTCTCTTTCGTGGAGTGACCTTTCTCCACGATTGACCGAGGGCATTGGGGGCACTGCGGAGTACCTCGGCCAAGGTTCAAGCGCCTGAATGCGCTATTTCGGCAGTGCGAAAGCGTAGTCGGTCATCTTACTTAGCGGTCTGTGTCCCCTGACATTTCATCCAGTTGCTGACCTCAAATCTGTTGTCGTCAACCTCTCTATCAGCAACCGCATCGTTTCCTACCGTACTAGATACAGCTCTAACTTCAGCCTATCATTAACGAGACCAAACACGATGGCTTCGAGCGATAGACCAATCAAGAACGCGTCTGGTCGTTACGACAATGTTGACTTCCGCAAAGCAGCTGGCTATGAGCATTACCCCATCAAGTGCGCCTACAACCGTCGTGATGTTCTCCTCTTTGTAAGCATCATGGCCACGTCTTCTAGTACCTAATGCTCTTGAATGCCTGTACTTTCCCTGGATCAAGGAGAGCGCCAACTAAAAGACGTCTTAGGCCAATGCCATCGGCTGTCAGAAAGAAGAGCTACATTTCCTCTACGAACTGCACCCAAACTTTGCCGCGTTCCCCACGTTTCCAATCAACCTCGCCTTTAAGCAGACGGACCAGGACGTCTTTGACTTTATTGCCCGCACCGTGACCGGCCATGTCCCGGGTTGTCCGCCATTTGACGCCCAACGCTCTGTGGACGGGGAGCGAGGCATCGAGATACTTGGACCAATTCCCGTGTCTTCGGATGGGCTTGATCTGGAGATTCGAAGCAAAGTCATAGGAGTTTATGACAAAGGTATGTAGGCATTACGCTGGAGAACATGAAGCCTGGGTTAGTTGACTTTTTGCAGGCGGCGCAATGATCCTTGAAGCAGAACAGCTGCTGGTCGACAAGAAGACCAGCACAGCTTACACCAAAATGACATCCACCGCATTCGGCATAGGACAAGGCGGCTACAACGGCCCCCGGGGCCCAACAAAGCCGGTCATCAAGGCACCGGACCGCGCCCCAGATGCCGTGCACACCATCAAGACCACCCCGGAGGCGGCTCTGCTGTACCGCCTCTGCGGTGACTACAACCCGCTCCACGCAGACGAGGCGTTTGGACAGCGCGCTGGGTTCAAGGGGTCTATCCTCCAAGGCTTAGGCACCTGGAACATGGCGGCACATGGCCTGCTACAGAAGTTGGGCGGCAGCGACCCAAGTCGTTTTAGAGCTTACGGGGCTAGGTTCAAGAGCGTCGTTTATCCCGGAGATACTCTCGAGACGCGCATGTGGGTTGTCAAAAGCCTAGATGGAGTGGACGATGTTGTCTTTGAGACGATTGTCAAGGACGATGGGCGAGTTGCTCTGTAAGTCTGCTCCTGGTGACATACTCAGCACCCACGTCGGATCTGGTGAGACGGGATGCTGACGATCATCAAGATCCAATGGCTACGCCAAGATTTTGCAAGCGAAACCAAAGATGTGATCTTTATGCTGTGCACGCGGAAGTTTTCCAGGGATACAGCCGGCAGCATTCAGAGGGGATTTCTGTTTTTGAGGCAGATTTTGCGCCGTGTATCATATTCATCCAAACTTGGACTCAGTCGCGAATATAGGTCCATCTGTGCTGCTGTAATACCGGCTGTCTTATGATCTTTTGAGTCAGAAGAAGCAGAAAGAGTTGTTCTCCTTGAGTCGGCAGAGTTTGGAGTGAAGGAAACGATGACACTGGCCAACAGGTTGAGTGAGGCTTGCCCGTGCGGATGTGGATTGTTCGTAAGAAGCATCCCGTCGGCGTGCCAGGCAATGCCAGCCAGAGCTCATGGGTAAAACCTTCTGCTCAAGAGCACGGAACATAACCTATGCTGTGCACTAGGACACACATCCATGCAGGTATTTCGAGATAGCATCAAAAATGAAGTCAAGTGTTCATGAGGGCCCAAAATCCAAAAGTTGCGTCGAGGGGGAATCGAACCCCCGGCTCCCCGACGCTGCTGGATGGCAACGGAGAATTTTACCACTAAACCATCGACGCTGTTTATTGGACGTTGAACCAAGCCTCTCAGATTTTCTTGTACCAAGCTCGCGAGCTCGCGAGAAATTTGACGTGGATCATCGAGTTGCGAGCCTACAAATGCGAAGGAAACCACTTGGGATCCCTCTTCTCGCGATATGCTGCCAGTCCTTCAGTCGCGTTCTTACTCCGGAGCATCGCTTCTGCCCACAACTCCTGTCCGCGCATAGTCGCTCTGCTGACCCCCGTCTCCCATGCTTCTCGCGCCGCCAATCGCGAGATAATAACGCTGTCCGGACTTAGTGTCGCGATCTGACTGGCATAGTCGAGTGCTCTCTCAAGCAGCTTCTCTTGAGGGACGATATCTTTGACCAATCCCCAATTGTGCGCCTCCTCTACAGACATTGTCCGGCCTGTGAGGACCAGGTCCATCGTTCGGTGGTTGCCGAAGAGCATCATGCAACGAGGCAATGCTCCTGCGAGGGCAGAGACGCCACGGAGGACTTCGGGCAGACGAAATGTTGCGTTTGGCGAAGCGAAAATGACATCTGCGTTGAGTATGGCTTCGAAACCGCCGCCTGCATGCCACACACATTAGCTCTGTCTTAACACATGCATCCACGGCGATCTCTTCGGGTTCCAATAGTGAGCATACCGTGAGCATGGCCGTTGCACGCGACAATGATTGGTTTCCTGCCGGTTCGATTGCTCATGCCCGCAAACTGACCCAGCGGGTAGTCGAAGGCGACATCATTTGTCTTGATTATATCCAATCTCTGCTTCAGATCCATCCCGGCGCAAAAGGCCTTGGTTCCGGCCCCCGTAAACACGGCGCATCGCAGCTCCGGTTCGGCATCATACCATTTCCACAATGCGCCGAGCTCTATTGTCGCCTCCACGGGGAGACAGTTCATATGCTCCGGCCGGTCGATTGTGACAAGAAGGATGTGTTTTCGAGGGAAGGATATTAGACTGTGTTCGACATGCGGGTAGGGGTTCTCTATCCAGGAAGGGACTGGCTTCTTCGTCCTCGGCGTAGCCATTTTTCGTGTATCGCTTGGCTGTAAGTCTTACTTGGGGTTACCTAGTGTCGCTGTCGTGGGACGTTGCGCAACCTGCAGTGGTCTCGTAGCCTCCTCTCGTTGCACTTGTGAGGCTTCGATGGCTCTGGTGTCTTAATGAGTCGAATCAGATCTGCATCATCGTTCTCGCCAAGTTGACCAGCAGACTATCACAACATGTCGTGGACATGTCGAGCCACATTGTGACACCCAACTTCGCGGCCAGTGCACGGTGACCTGCCACGCATGCTTCAGTGCCCGTAGACGAGGACGAGCACACCCACGCAACCCCCCAACGATCCGTTGACGGATGCTCCCTAGCGAGTCTCACAGGCATGCCGCCTCGGCACGTCAAGCGGGAACATCCCTGGGGCTCACCACCGCGGGGTGTCCCACGTTTTCGTTGTCCCTCTTTCACCCGCTACAAAGACGCACAGAAACGTGTTTCCCGCTGAGCACGATTGCAGAGCGAGTCAAAGCCCCTGCGAAACCTGGCGCAATGGCCGTCGAGGACGGCCAAAGCATCGGGGATGTGTGCCATGCAAACTCAAGGCTTCTTACCTTCTACCGATGGACGCGCCGCGGAAGACAGCCGAGTGGGGGTAAGTAAATCTTGGATCTGGGGTGTTTCCTTCGAGAATTAGATGCCAGGATTGTCTTGTGCTCTAGGCCTTTGTTTGAGCCGGCGAGGCTTAACAGCGGACGGAATTTTGCAAACGGGCTTCGCCACAAGCACTTGACATCGTGATAATATCACCGAGTGAAGAACGTGATCGCCGCTCCTCGCGCTATCAGCAAGACTTCATCAATTAGCTCGGAACCAAGCTAGACTAGGACACCAAAACTTCGACATGACGGACTTCAAGACAGAATCACCACCACCGGCGACGCCAGCCTTTCTCAAGCTCTCATACCCAGCTCCCCGCGTATTGCTTGTGCGCATGGACAGGCCAAAAGACCTCAACGCCATGTCCACAGCGGCCCAGTGGGAGATGGACTCAATCTGGAAATGGTATGACCAAGAACCCAATCTCAGCGTCGCAATCATCACAGGCACGGGAAGGGCCTTTTCGGCCGGAGCAGATCTCAAGGAGTGGAACAACAGCATGGCCGCAGACGCCGATCCAAGCCAGCGCATGGGCAATGCGCCTGCTTTCAAGCCGTTGAGTAGGAGATTGGGCAAGAAACCAGTCATTGCGGCCGTCAACGGTCTCGCCATGGGTGGCGGGTGCGAGTTCATCGTCAACTGCGACCTCGTCGTCGCTGCTGAGGACGCTTACTTTGGGCTTCCCGAGGTCAAGAGAGGCATCGCGGCCATAGGCGGAGCTTTGCCGCGACTCATACGGACCATCGGACTTCAGAGAGCAAGCGAATTTGCGCTTACAGGGCGCAATGTCTCAGCGCAAGAGATGGAGCAATGGGGCATCGTGAACAAGGTGGTGCCCAAGGAAAAGGTCGTCGAGGAGGCGGTGCGTTATGCTAAGATGATTGCAGCCAACTCCCCGGATGCCATTATATGCACGCGAGCTGGTTTGAGGCAGGGCTGGGAGACGGCATCCGTAGAGCGGGCAGTCGAGTGGACGCTGGAGAAGGAGTTTGCGGAGCTGCAAAGGGGCGAGAACATGCTCGAAGGCCTCAAAGCATTCTCTGAGAAACGAGATCCCCGTTGGAAAGGTAGCAAGCTGTGAGAAGGATGGGGTCTACACTAATTCCAAACATGCCGTTCGAAAGGAAAAAGAAGATCCCGTCTGATGGGAAACCCGGACGAACTAGATCTGTGTGGCCCTCTTCCCCAAAGCTTTTGCTCGACCACCGTCTAGACTAATCAAACCCGTCGTCCGAAACCGGTTGAGATCAACTAGCTAGGTTCGTCCTTCTTTGTAAATAGTCGATATGTAGAATAACCTGCCAGGGACTTGGGTTGGTTGCGCTGGCAGCTGCACGTTTTTGTCAGCGTTGCAGATAGACCAGGTGATAGGAAGTGAGGGCAGCCATCACCAATATTGCCCATCACATCAGACTGTGTACCATCGGTCCGGCCCCAAAACGGGTTTCAACTATCAATGCCCAAAAGGCGCAGTCCTCTTCACCAACTCGACGTCCCATCCCGATTCAACATTTTGAGTCAGCAGCGAGCTAATGATTCGAACTACCGTCGCAGCCAGATGCGGAAATCCCAAAGTCGGTGTGCTCAGGTCGTGTGGTGGTCTTCCCCGCAGGCCGGCGCAGGGAATGGCCCCGGCTGCACAACCAGACTCCGTGAAAGAGTTTCGGAGAGGTTCGAGTCTTCCGGGGGATACCTTGGTGTGCGTATGCCGTTGGACGGTGAAGCCGCGTTGCGTATGAAAGAGGGAGGGGCGGGCGGGCAAAGAGACAGACAGGCAGACAGACAGCAAGCAGGTCAGACCAAGGCTGCATTGCATGTCTTGGGGTTCATCTCACTGCTTGACCTTGACCCGTCAACCACCCTTTTCGACACTACGCCGCACATATACAGTCCTCCATCGACGTTTATAGATGGCAGGTTGGACGCGAAAGGTTGTATAAGACTTGAGCACGGCCTCGAGCGCGCAAGATCCCGACCATCGAAACCTGTGTGACGACTTTCTATTCGAATACCGACATACTGCGAGCTGGTTCCCGCATATCGATATACCGATCATCCATCATGGATATTTCCAAGAACGAATCCTATCGCGAGTTCGATGGGGCTTCGCTGGAGAAGTACCGTGAATTCGACCGCGATACCGACCGAGACGATGCTTCTTCGATCCGTTCCGAGGCGCTCGGTGATGACCTCCCTCCCGGTTACTACTACTCACCTCAGTTCCTCGGGGCTATGGCGGTTTGTCAAGATCTTGGCTGAAATTTGAATCTTCACTGATATCATCCTAGGGGTTTTGTCTTTCAGCAATGTCGGCATACATCTTCCTGATCCTGCCAACCAACGTGCTGACATTCATCAACGCTGATATCGGTGAGTCTATCTGGCTAAGCCATGAAAGATGCCATATGCTTATCCTAGATAGGTCCGAGTCCGTATATCTCTTGGGTCAACATTGCCAGAACCCTCTCGCTGTCGTTCACCTATACGATCCTGGGCCGCTTGTCGGATCTTTTCGGCAGACGCTGGTTCTTCATCGGAGGCAACGTCGTCGCCATTGTTGGTATCATTGTCTGTGCTGTTGCACACAATGTCGAGACTCTCATCGTTGGTGCCGCCATCTACGGCCTGGGTGAGACGGTTCAGCTGAGCTTCAACGTCGCTGTCGGCGAACTGGTTCCCAACAAGTACCGCCCTATCGTCTTGTCCCTCATCTTCTTGACCAACGCCCCTATCTCCGCGTTTGGTCCTTTTGTTGGTAAGTCGATGGCGAATCACCCATAATATTATGGGTACTAACTGAGTTTCAGCCCGAAAGTTCGTCGAGAACCCCAATCTGAGCTGGAGGTGGTGCTTCTACATCAACATCATCGCCGTGGGTCTCGCAATTGTCCTGTTGTACCTCTTCTATCACCCACCCACCTTTGAGCTTCTCCACGACCGCAAGACCAAGCGCGAGTTGCTCAAGGAGCTTGACTGTAAGCTTACTCATTTGCTGAACCTCCGATACTCTTCTATACTGACGTACTACATAGACCTTGGAATCTTCCTCTGGACTTCTGGCCTCACTCTCCTCCTCATGGGTGTATCGTGGGGAGGCGTCATGTTCCCTTGGGACTCGGCAGCTACCATTGCGAGCTTGGTTCTCGGCGTTGTTTTGCTGGTGGCACTCTTCTGCTGGGAAGCCTTTGCAGACTTGAAGTATCCTGCTATTCCTGTCAAGTTCTTCGCCAACCGAGGCTTCATGGCACTTGTCTGCTGCGCAACAGTTGCTACAGTGAGTCCATGTTCGAGATTTTGCCCTTGAGAGAATCTACTAATAAGGTACGACCACAGATGTTTTACTATTCCGCCGTTCTCCTGTGGCCGCAACAGGTCCAGGCCCTGTACACGACCGACATCACCTACGGTGGTTGGCTTTCGGTGAGCAGAGCCCTAATTTGCATCCTCGTCAGTGACTTACATGTGCTAGTCTACCGTGGCGAGCGCGACGGCACTCGGTCAAGTTTGCGCTGGAGGTATAGTAAAATGGGGAGGCAACGTTCGCTACTGGATCATTTTCTCGACCTTTTGCATGGTCGGCTTCGTCGGAGCGCTCGCATCTCTTACCCCCGAAACGCTGAACACCGGAATCGCCCTCACGATCCTAGGCCCCTTCTTCGTGGGCTTCATCGAGCTGGCGTCCCTCGCCCTGGCGCCCCTATTCTGCAAACCCTCAGATATCGGCCTCGCCTCGGGTCTGTTGGCGTCCATCCGCTCGGCTGGAGGCTCTATTGCCGTCGCTGTCTACACGACGATCCTGTCCAATCGCCTGGCAACGGAGATTCCGGCAGCTATCCGCGGCCCAGCTGTTGCTGCGGGCTTGCCTTCAAGCCAGCTTCCGGCACTTGCCAAAGCAGTCCAGGCCGGCAAGCTGGCCGCTTTCCCTGGCTTAACCAGTGCTGTCAAGGCTGCGGTGGCAAAGGTGCTGCCGGATGCGTACTCAAAGGCGTTTGAGACGGTTTACCTGGCGAGTCTGGGCTTCGGAGCCATTGCTATTGTCGGGTGCCTGTTCTCCAAGGATGCCCAGAAGCATCTGACGAACAAGGTGGAGAGGAGGATGGGTGATGGAAAGAAAACCTAGGAGAGTGGATGAAGAATCTGGATGGCTGGGGAGAAGTGGTTCACTCATCTGTGTAAAGATCGTCACATTTGTAGACAGGTTGTGAAAACGTTCATCGCACGATTTGGCCCAAAGCGCTGATCACCTCAGTTTCCTTCGCATCAGGTGGAATGTGATAGACTGCCACCAAAACCCCTCGTACCTTGGGTAGTTGACGACTAAAGTGAGATTTATTGCATCGACTACGCTTCAAATCGCTCAAAAATCCCTCATAACTTACAATAATGACACTTCCTGGCCTTTCCGTGCAATTGCTGCATCTACATCAAATTCCATTGTCCCATCTTTCCAAGCCTCGTCAAGAACCTCCCAAGTAGCTCTAGCTAGTTGGAAGAGATATCTCTTCTCGGCAGCAGCGCGTACCTCATCCACGGTTTGCTTCCAGTCAGAATGTCGCTTGAGGAGCCTAGTCTCGAGACATGCCGTTATCAGAGGGAATACAATGCCATTTCGGCACAAAAGATGCTGGTTCTCAGACAACTGGCACGCCACATCAAAGAGGTGAAGTCCTGATACCAGACGATACAAGACGATTTCTGAACTCGGTGATACGTCCTGCTGATCGTCGCCGACGAATTGGGCATCTTTTCGCGCGGCGTTCCTGCGTTGCTCGCGTCTGCGGATGTGAAGCAGTCCGGCAAACCTCCAGCAATCCCACAGCAAGCACTGAACATATTCACCCATTTCACCTGGCCACCCCCAAAAACGACTGATGGAAACTTCAGCTGTCTCGAAAGGTGTATCGGAGAAGATGTCGAGAAGCGACTGTGGTACACCGGTGACGACCTCCAGACCCCCAACTCTTCCGCCCTTCCAGGAGTCTTGAACTTTTCGAAAACGTCGCCAAATACCCATGGAGGGGCATTGTCTCCCCAGAACGAGGCAGGGCATGTCCATGAGGCCGATGAACTCCAAGGCGTGTCGGACTGAGAGGTCGTGCTCGGGATTGGGTTTAAGATATGCCATAGAAGTATTCAAATGAAAGGACTCGGCGAGTAAGCCAATGACCGGGGTACATGGCTGAGCTTGAAGGAACTGTTGATATCCCTTTGATTAGCTACAAGATCTATTCCATATCTGAATATCGTGATTCAATAGGCACCAGATGATGGATCCTAGGGTCCGCCGGACTTAGTTGGTTATCGCCGGACCGACTTACTTGGAGAACACAGAGTAGTACGCCAGAGCAGGCTGTGGCAGCTGGCAGGACATCGTAGTGGACCACGATTTCGCGCCGAAACTCCTTCAGAGCAGTGTCGATGTACTCCATGGAGGAGACAGACATGTCTGAGCTGCCTTCATCGAGATAGGCTTGAATAGCAGAAGATAGTAGCACAAGAGATTTACTCTTAGCAGACATCTCAACAAAGAAGGGCTGGACCCACGAGCACACCGATGTACTGTAAAGGCCCATGAGGCCTGTGCGGAGGACTGTGAGCGTCATTCCCTGTTAGCGACCTTGATATACGGGATATCCTATCGAGTCAGCACCAACGCAGTTGTGACATACACTTATGGAAGAGATCATCCGTAACATGCGTTGTCTGGACGTGGGGACTGGGACGACTTGGGAGGGCGACCTGGCTTGAGATACTGTCAAGTTCGGTAGGAGTGCCAGTGCTACTACTACCTTCGCCAACAGCAGGATGGTTCGTAGCACCGTCTACCCAGCGCAGGGGCGTCGAGTATCCGGGGCATTGGATCCCTCGTTGGGTGCAGGCTTCGCAGAACGGGCGGCGGCGGTCACACTTCCGTTTCCGCCGCCGGCAGCTCATACAACCGCCGCGAGCGCGTTGCATCTTGTTCTTTCAAATCTTGAGAACGACGGTTCAAAATGGGCTTCATAGCCGTTGGAAATGGATGTTTTCCCCAAAATACACATACACATGCAGACACGGAAAAGTAGATTAGACAAAGATGCCGGCATGGAGCCTTACTTAGCCTCTGTGGCTACGATTCAGGGAAAATTGGGACCGGCCAAACGGAGCACAGACTACGGATTCCCCAGCATGATTCAGGGCTAGGAACATCAAAGTTAGACCGCAATGGTTAGCGAGTATAGGTGGCCACTAGAGTGTAGCACTGCCGACCCCACGCACGGTAACCGGTGCGTAGTAGATTTCCGCATACCTTAACGAAGGCTGACAATGACGGCAATGGCGGATCACAAGTGCCCTCTTCGGTAGGTTCCGATGATAGTTGCCGGGGGATTCTTTATTCAATGCAGTAGCTTTAGCATTGTTTTGACCTTGTGAGCGGAGTTTGGGTTAGCAAGGTGTACGTGTTATCCACACGAGTTGCCGGCTAAGTAGTTGGGCGATGCTCTTATTAATGTCCAGCGTTGAGGATCTTGTCAATGATGCCGACAGCTTCCAAGCACTCCTCATCGCGGAACCTTGGCGCAATAACCTGGACTGCACAAGGTGCGCCATCAGTAGCTTCGGGGATGTCTTCAAAGTTCAAGGTTAGAAACATCAGCGCAAGTTTCTTATTTCTGAAGGCCGGGGACGGATCTTACAATCAGGCACAAACTCCGCGATGGCCTTTTGTGGCTCAGAGTCTCGCGTCGCGGATGCAGTGCCAAAGGGAATGACTGCTGCAGGGTACTGTTTGAAATTACATTAGCGACCTATTAGGATGCTCCCGAAGATTTCTAAGCATCGAGCGGAGCAATCAACACTCACGTCAATCAAACTCCACATGACTGTATACACGGGGAGGCCAAAGGTGTCGTGTGGGACGGCTGTGCATGATGCACCAGGAGCCAATACAATGTCTAGATCGTGCTGTTGCCAGGTCTGGCTCCATGATTGGGCATAAGCTGCGCGAGCCATGTTCAGTCCTGTAAACTGGCTCGGGATATCCAGCTTTGGATCCACAGGGAAGTCTCCGGTAGAGAATGGGTGCATTCCTTTGGCAACAGAGGCAACAAATGGCTCTCCAAAGTCGGCAACAGCTGGTGCAGAGATGCTGAAGTATTGATACGAGATTCTCGCACCAAGAGCCGCGCTGCGCTTGGCTTCCGGTGCAAGATGTACAACTTTGTGTCCAGCTTTCTCGAGAACGGACGCCGCCTCAGCCAGATTCCGGCGTACAGGAGGATGTAGGGTGTATTCGGGATCTTCGGGCAAGATGCCGATCGTCAATGGTTTTGATCGAGGCTCGTCAAGGCTTCTCCAGGAGAGATTGATCGCGGTGCCGTCGTACTTCCACGGGTTGAGCTTAGTCACAACCTCCATGAAAAGCGACAAGTCGTCAGCTGAGGTGGCCAACGGACCGAGAGCGGGCATGACAGCCGACATCCAGTTGATTGGCCACGGGGAGAGAGACTGCCCTGAGAAAGGTACACGATCCACGGTTGGCTTGAAGCCGTACAAGCCGCAGCAGAAAGCTGGGATGCGCACGGAACCGGCCAGATCGCTACCGATGCCCAAAGGTGATCCACGGAACGCTACGAGCGCTCCCTCGCCTCCACTAGAGCCTCCAGCTGTCAACTTTGTATTGTGCGGGTTGAGTGTTCGGCCGAAGATGTTGTTCTCGGAATCGCAAGTCTGAACAGATCGCGTTAGCGAATGTTGTTAAAGCGATGCTATGTCTGTGTAGGGTAGATCGCTACCATCATTGTTTGTGGAATATTGGTCTTGCAACTAGCAAAAGATCCTGTCATTAGGTCTTCCCATCTAAGCAATGTATCTGCCAGATACTCAACTTACTAGAGAACCGCTCCAGCGTCAAGAAGCAGCTTGACAAGAGCCGCGTTGCCTTTGGGAGGGGCTTGCTTGAGGAACTCGACATAGCCCACTGTCGCAGAGTGCCCATTTACGTGGAAGCTATCCTGTTTGAATCAAGTCGTTGTTGTCAGGTGAATTCAGTTCCAGAGCCCCTTTGTTGTGAACCAACCTTGAGACTGATTGGCAAGCCATGGAGGGGTCCAACGACTTTGCCAGTTTCTCGTAACTGCCGGTCGAGCCATCGAGCTCTTTCGATTCCGTCTTCGAAAAATATCTCGGTGAGGCAGGAAGTCTGACGAAAAGAGAACATCAGCCCGTTGCTTCTGTTCCGTGGATGGTTAATAACAAGCAAAGTCAAAGGACTTACCAGCTGCTGAGCAACGGCTGCCCGCTTGCAGTACGCATTTGCCACTTTCTCGGCGCTGAGCACTCCTAGCCGAAGGTATCGCACCAGCTCGCGAGCCGTGTAATTCTCAGTTATATCGATTTCTTTGCTGTCGAGGATGCCCGAGTTCTTGGCTGCTTGGAGATCGATGAGGCGGCCCTCTTCTGCCGTGCCGACACCGCGAAGCTGGCTTAGCTTGTCATTGTCCAAGAGCCATGCTGACGGAATCTTCTCCTTCTGCTCTTTTCGGTGCTTGCGAGCGATCTGTTCCCAGTCTGCCATGTTTGATTACCAAAGGGAGGTAATCGAGAATCAACGGAAAAGTCGCTGATGATTTGCAAACAAATTAGGCTCGAGCTTGGATGATAGGGCGCACCTCCTTGCCATGATCACGAGGGAATTGGAGCAGTCGATATATACATGACAGAGTGAAGAACCAAGGTCAGTGTTCTACGGAAGTTCTTCTCCCCTGACTGTGACTGTTCCTTCGACTCCCTCTTCTGCACATCATCTGAAAGCGCTGGCGGCGCACTTCATAGCCCAATTGGGATAGCATTGCCGCTTAGTGATTAGCCCTCCACAAATCCATTCCGGTGGCTAACACCAAGATCTCTGCACCTCTCGGAATGCAGATACTCGACAGCCTCACGATGTCCAGATTTCACCATTTGCCAAGGCTAAGGAAAGTCCCGACATCGCCCGTTGAGTGTTCAGTGTTGTGATGCCTCGAGGTGTTCCGAGCTGTGTTCCGAACGTGTGTCCGTCGGAGTCCGTCTTGGTCGAAGAAGTCACAAAGAACCAGTCAACAACTCAACATAGATACAGGCTCGGGCAGAAACCCGACAACGAACACTTGAATCTATCAACGCACAGTATCTCCAGTCCAGAGTAGTCGTGGTGGAGTGGGATCGCGCGTGATACTTCTATGGTCTAGCGATAGTGCATGACACCAACAGGCTACTACAACTCGAGGTCTAAAATCTACATGCAGTTACACCTTTCAGGATCCCCTACTAAAATCACCAAAGTCTGAGAAATTCTTATCGTCTGTATTGGGATAGTAAGGAGCTGTCACCAAGTGCTACGAAAATCAACGAGGCAAGGACTCGCGTGGTGCAATGTAATGTGATTGTGGGATGGTTATTCTTTGGTACTGTGCTTAATGGCGTAACCCAGTCGTAATTGGCCTTCGACATGGATTTTTGCGACATGGACGGAGTAAAGTCTGCATGTGGTAATCACGTCAGACAGTTGTCATATACACCGTCGCGTGTCGCGGGGCAGCATTTGACCCATCAGAGACTGAGGAAAATAATCGGACTGAATAGGCTGTATTAACATCTGAACTCTACAGGTATAACATGCAGGTAAAGTTTGGTTACAACTTGGGCAAGCGGGTTTCCTCCGATTAACCCACCGGAGACAGGCGGGGCCGCGCAATTCCGGCACACCGTGATTGACCGCGATTATCTAAGCAGGGCAAACACAAGACGGAGAGAGAGGAATCAATACTTCTTCATAATAGTTCTCGCACAATTTCACAATCTGCTATTCTGCATACTCATGGGGATTGTTACCCGCATTGGGTAATTGTAGCCGCCACGCCTTGGCGACGAATTAGATCAGCTGGAACTCGTCCCATATTGTGTGATTTCCCTTGAAAGCTGATCTTTTGCGCCAGTAAAGCTGGGGAAAAAAAAAACCACCACATGCTGGATGTTGACCTGTGTGGCCTGGCAGCAACAACGCAAATTCATGACCAAGCCGCGTTATCCAACGAACATGAGGCTCGTGACATAAATCGACTCCAGCTACCGTCCAGGCGCCATCTTTAAATCTGCGGTTTGCTCACAGCTGTTTATTTTATGTTGCTTTGACTCTACGATGCACCGGAATGATGTGCAACAAGTCCTGAGTTCGAAGTAGCTGGCGGCAGTGTCTCTAGGTCCCACCGCGATGCTGAAAATGGAGTCAAGTCAGAGGAGGAGCGCCCACATAGTTCCACCCACTCTCATCACACTGAATTGTCGTACGAGAATGATGGGAAAGAGAAGCTCCAAATTAGAGCACTTGAATCACGGTCAATTTTTTGAATTTGAGAACCATTATGATCAGATACCTGATTTAAGAAATCAAACAAAAAGAACAGTTGTCTGTCTCCTCTTCCAGAATCGAACTAGAGACCTTTCGATGGATGTGGATATACCATTACAGTCGAACGTGATGAACCAACTACACCAAGAGGAGGTTACAATGGATAGGCGCTGCTGTCTACTTATACCTCGATACTTGCAAACAGAACGAACAGCTACTTCTGCTTCTACGGCAGTCGCGATAGCTTGATATGCGGGCAATATCCCATTCTCGAACTAGAATCCAAGTTATTCCGACCTTGAGTGGTCTAAGACAGCGCGGCGGTTCCCGCTTTGTGAAGTTACATGTACCCGCCGGAGCACTTTCAGGTCGTCTTCGAGACGTTTCTTTTACAACCGCGTCATTCTACCCAGTGCCGCTTAGTCGATGAAGATCTGTAGCGTTTAACATGCTTAGATCAAGGTATTAAGTCTCGATTTGTCACGGCACAACTTTAGAAGTTCATATCTCTTCGAACACTAAAGTTACATTATTTCACGACTTTTACAATCAAAGCACGCTTACTATTTGTTTATGAAGTTTGACAACGTGCACCTTTGCAGAATCAGCAGGTTTGGAGTTGAAAGCGGAGAATTGGATCTTCCACATGTTGATGTAGGTTCGACCTTATCTGCATCCTTCAGGGATCCGGCAGCAACATTATCAATGATCATTGATCATTGTCTCAGTCACAATACTCAGATGAGATACTATGGAAGCCCTTCAGCTTTAATGACCTTTTCAACTTTCGTGATCAGCTGACATGCATAGCGGCGATAGCTGAAGTTGCTGGCAGCACAAACTTTGGCAATGCAACACAAGGGACCCAACCGTACCTAGTGAAAGACGTCTCCTATCGCGATGTGTCCCAAAACCTCTCACTCTCGAAAACCCCAAGCAATTTAATCTCGTTCAAACGAATTCCTGTGGTCGTTTCCGATCGAAGGATCTGCTTACCGTATCACTATGCTGAGTTGGGCGGTACGAAGCTGCTGCCTAGAGTTAGCCAAGGACTAGGCGTTCAACTACATTAACGCTACCCGCCTTGTGGAACCCAACCTTTCTCTTATACCTGAAATTGGCAGGTCTTCGGGGACCTTCTTATACACATCGGTGACCTACTTACAGTTATCGGTGACCTCAGCATACTTGATGACTCGCATTCGAGCGGTGTGATAAGGCTTACGGCTCGAAGCACTCTGGAAACGATGGTGCAATTGAGCATCTCGTACCTATATCCTAGTCATTTTTACATCACACAAGGTACATAACATAATTATCTTTGGCGGCAAATTGTTGGACGAGGATCATGGTAAAGGCACGGCAACTGGTATGATGCTGCCTGGGAAGGAGAAGACGGGTGTCATGGCGCATTTGGATTAAGTAACCGCAGTCGTTCCAATCATGAGAAAATTCAACTTCAGCTCACCTCTGGAATGGATTATAAGACTGTAACTCGTTCCTTGATCTTGAGTTGATGCTCAGTGAAAACCACACGACCTTGAACTCGCACCTCATCTCCTGTCTTCAATAACCAAGCTATCAACTTATCATCACAAAGGTAAATAGTGAAGCAGAAGCAGCGAGTCAATCCTTTAAACACCATGACTAATATACATTCAGTCAAAATGCGCTTCCCTATGTTATCTCTTGTCGCATTCGTCGCAGCACTTGCTGCGGCCCAGCAATGTACCCCAGGCCGCTACCAATGCAGGTCTGTCTCTTTGCCCTATCCCCTGACGTGTATATGAACTGATCTCTTGGTGTAGATCGAATGTCTTTCCCGCGGTCTGTGACGCCTCTGGCAATTGGGTAATTCTTCAGCGATGCCCGAACAACTGGCGCTGTATTGAGAACAACGGCAGCGTGACCTGCTCGCCCTAGCTCACTGTATCTTGGAGCTTGGAAATTGAGCTTGTGGCGATACACAGTTCAATATCAAAGACTTCGCCAAACGGAGCCAACTCACGAGGAGTAACGATGTGAGGCTATGTACTCGTATTCATGGTCGCATCAGATAGCTTGTTCATAACTTTGCAAACACCATCGTTAAAACCGGCTCTTCCAAGCTGGACGCCATGGTCCATCTCTCCGTTCCATCCCCTCAACTTCATCAAACCCGTCTGAAATATACATGAAATCAAGATGAAGGGTCCTGAGTTATAGCCAAGGAATTCAGAACTCAATTGACGAAGCTGTCGCTGGTCTTTATTAGTTGCAGAATGGCTTATGATTGGGTTGAATTCAGCGTTCATGCCCAGAAGTCTTCTCTCAACGCAGGATGCCATGGAAACACTACCGATCGACGGGAGTGCCCCCGGAAGAAACAAAGCCCGTTCACCCAACGCCCGATAAGTAGTTCAGGCCCGAGCTCGTCGTAAAAGTCTACTGACTCCAAGTTGCGTCCACGAACCTGAATCGATACGTGCTTATCGATGTCGTTTGGGTACAGTGATTCCGAAGACTCCTTCATCGGCTTGGAAGAAGTGAACACGTAGACTGAGTCGAGTCAACTATCGGATTCCACCAGAGTTGTATTTGGTCTTACCTGGATCGTCGTCTTCCTTCTCCGTGTCACCTTCGGAATACTCCCCAAAGTCGCTCTCGCTGACGGAATCGGAATCAACATCGCAGCAACCGGTGGCGGAACTTGCGTCTGAATCCTCGTATGGGTCATCAAACACCACGACACCATCATCTGCATCATCTCTTTGTTCTTCTTCTTCTTCTTCTTCCTCTTCCTCTTCCTCTTCCATGTCTTCTAGTACGAAAATACCACAGTAGCTATACGGCTGGTCATCAAGAAGGCCGCCAAGTGCCAGTGGCTTCTGCGCATCCATTGCCGCCACAATTATCCTGGCCATTGTCCACATGTACTTTCCGGAGAAAGATTCCTCTTCCATCAGTCGTATACACTTGTCAATGAATTGCTTAAGCTTACGCACGAGAGGATAATTGCCAATATGGCGGATGGCATCTCGTAGCTGCGTAAGACGCTCTATGGTGTGCCCCCGTCGGCTCCTCCCATTATGTTGTCTTCTGTATTCTGGAGAAAACATTGCATAATCTTCCGGCATTATAATAAGACCTAGACGCCACAGATGCCCATAAGTCTGCAAGCCCTCATGTGTTAGCCGAACATCAATGAACCGGCATTCATTGTTGAAGACAAGAGGGCGCCGCAGTAGAGGTGGGCAGAAGCCATCAAAGGACTGTTCTGTGATGAAGGCGGCAACTGTTTGACTCCGACACCTCGCTAAAGAAACCTCCTCCTTCTCTTCGAGAGCGTTCTTTATAATCTCTCCATTCAATAGGTAGAGGGCGAGCATGGAAAGACTCATACTATGTGATCCTTGCCGCAAGATGGCGTCATCTAGCCTGATGGAGTATTGGCAGCAATTTGCGACTATGGCCAATCTGTCGTGGCAGAATTTGATGCCGCGTGACTCGATATCTCGTATGATCCTCGGCGATTGTGACCAGCGGGCCGAATATTGTCCGTCGGGCATGGTCTCCCGTAATAGGAACTCGTAATTGGAAGCTCTCTCAAGAATTCGTTCGGCAACGCCGGACATATCGAGAACTCCGGAATTCCTCTCTGCAATGATACAGGCTTGGCACAGCTTTGTGGATTCTGTCTGGAACTTTCGAGATGAGATCAATAACTCGCCAGCCATTTTGATACCGGATTTTTCGAATACGTGTTTGTTCCGCCTCTTCGTCTTCACCATTGCATTGTTTATTGAATGAGAGATGAGCAGAGTCATCTTTCCATCGCAGCGATAGTTCTCTTGAAAAGTCCACGCTCTTGTCCACCAAAGATCGGAAGTAATTGCATCAAGAAGAGTCACGGCTCGACGAAGCCGTTCGAGAGGACCATTTGTCGTGGTCCTCGAGCGGAAATCCCCAGAAGCCTGTGTTGTCACAAAGCTACCATTGAGAATGTCTGCGAGAAGGCCAAGCTCTTCGCACGATTCGATCGGCCGTGCTAGCAAAGCAATGGGGTGGTCACTCAAGTCGTAGACCAGATCCATAGCCTGCATCCCTTGAGTCTTCTCCGGTCCCGGCTCTTGGCAGATACAGTGCCTATCTATCCATACGTATCGCAGATTCTCATGGGCTTCTGTGTATCGCCGTATGCGGTTGAAGACCCGGTTCCGGACATCGGAAACTTTGGAGTCGCCGTCAAGCTCTTCGACTTCATGCTTGCCGGCGGTAGAACTTTCGTAAGATTCGGAAATTCCCCATGTCCACGATACGGCCACATAGTTCGGCTCGTCGAAGGCATTCAGGCCTCGTTTGCGGAGCCACCTCGGATGACCATCTTCAGATACTGAATCGCGGGTTTGTGGGGGGCGCTTTCGGCTTTTATCAAGATACAGACAGTCGAGGTTCTGGAGGAAATGAAGTGATTTCGATTGCTCGATAGTAGCGGTCTGGATCTCCAGGAGCTGACGGACAAGGGACTGCCCACCAGCCGACTGTATCGAAGATAATGGTTGGTCCTGATCGTCCACATCTACTCGCGGCTCCGCCATGGCGATTACTGTATTACAAATGCTGTTTCTCAGAGTCTGCCTGACGGTCATTGACAAGTTCCAGTCCGTTGTTGTTCGGCCGAGTGGGATGCATGGAATGGGGAGGGAGAGGGCTCCGATAGCGCGACGCGTCAACGTTGGGCCCTTGAGCGTCCGCCGTCAGCAACGATCGACGGAGAGGAGGCTACGGAGCGTATGATGGTGTGGCTTAGGGTCCGGGTACGTAGTCTGTTTGTGTTCCCACTTCCCGTCGAATCCCTGTATTTTGCACCTTGTTACTCTAAAGTTTTGACTCTGGACAATGCGCCAACGTTCGGTGTTTTCGGGGGCTATGCCAACCAACACTTGGTCAGGCACCGCAGTACGTCACGAAGACCTTTCCAGTTGCTTGGATCAGTCATCATTCGCCGGGACACTCCCGATCTGTATTCCGTCCCAATGGACATTCACATAGTGTCGTAGCAAAGACAGATGCTCTAGGACGGAGATACGGGATGATCTTTTTGCCAAGTTGCCAAGCAATGTGTCCAGCCCTCGAAGGCTTAGCGTCCACCAAATCCGTCCAGACCTGACTCTTTGTGTTGGGGTCTTCTGCTTCCCCCACTGGGTTCTCCGAGAGAAATTTTAAGGCGTAAGATGAGTTATCCGTCCTCTCTCATCACTGTATCGCATCCACCGATAAACTAGTCCACTACCTGGCACGCCTGCAGGTGATGAACTGGGTACTGCTACGAATATTCGCATTCGTTAGTACGGAATGTACATAGTAGACCGGGCTGTAGAGCTAGACCGTAGGATTGTAAAGAAAAACGGGAAAAAGGGGGGTTTCTGTAACGCAGTCACTGGATTAGGGATCATGATTGCGCGTTCCAGATCCCTTCCGTGGGAAAAGTCTAAGCAGCCTGTCGGTGCACTGCATGTGGGCGAGGCCGGGTTCGTCCATGGTCCATACCCCGTCGAAAGCCTCCCGCTTCCCTTCCGAATATGCTTGTATCTCAATTTCGAGGAAGCCAATCGGCAGTTGCCCAACTTCCGTGGAGAGCTGACGTTTCGGGAGCACCTCATTTGCCATTGAATGGAATGTTGTGTTGCTCACCCACCAACCGTGCATACCGACTGATCGGCCATCGTCAACTATCAGACAAGATGGAAAAGGCCAATTCGGCTGTGCACAAGGAACTTGGAACAGGGCACATTGAAGGGTCTAGATGACGAGTCAACGGTTCAGCTGACATTTGCATCAGGTTCATTGGCTGTTTGCCCACGAGGTGCCTCGCCAGCACGGCCTCGATCAAGGGTATCGCTGTGATGCTGGTAGCTCGATCCGTCACTGATCCCTCATTGGACACTGGAATCAAAGTCTTTTCGAGCGTACGCGCGTGCAGGAAACGTGCAAACCTGTCTGCCATCCGGTAATTCTAACCGGATGATCGATGGTGAGATGGGACGAAACAGGAGACTCCTCTGTTCTGTTTGCGACCTTCTTTCGACCATCCAGAGGTTCACGGCGTTCGCGATTCCCAGACGGCTTCAAATGGATGTGATCCCATTCAATCTTGACCGACCGTGCTGCCGGATCCTTTAAGCCTTGGCCTTCTATTCTGCTTCCTCAACTTGAGCATGCCAAGTAGCCAAGAGTCTGGAGACCCCGAAGAGCACCTGTAAAGTCCGACGGCAAACATCGACTGTGTTGGGAACTCGGGTGCTTGCTGTAGCAAACGCGCAGCTGGTCCAGCCGCCCCCCGCAACCCGGGCTGAGCCACTTAAGACTTTCCGCTGTGTTAAAACACCGCAATCTACAACAGTGCAACTACTTGACGTCAGGCATGAACCTCGGCTGGCCTTTCTAAAAGAAAATCTACCTGTAGTCCGGGCACAGAAGCCTCTCGATGCAAGGCATTTTTTCGCATACAGGATAAGCTCATTGGGCAGATAGTTTGAACCCCATTGATGTTCACAGTTTAACGTGACGAATGTTAAAGGTGTCAGGGGGGTTAGGGGAAAACAACCCGAAGACGGGAAGCCCATGCTGCGTCGAAGTCTATTTTTACAGCGTCAGTTAGACAACAAGTCAGCTTTGATTGGACAATGGCAGCGTGTGGACGCGCCTCGACAGCGGCTTTGGTCCATGGGCGGGGAGAATTTGCTTCGGCATGTGGGAGGACGGCTCCGTCGACGGACCAGGACAACGCAGAAAAGGAGGCTTAAACGGCGGCCCCGACTCCACTGTGTCCCGAAAGCTTGCGCGTAGGGCCACGTCCGGATGCTCAGACTGAGCAGACCGGGGACCCTCCGGTCACTCAGTGACTGAGGAACCGGGATGAAAGGGAGGAAAAATTAGACTATGTGGAGATGTGCCCGGGGCTGATTTGTTATGCCCAAGACGTCACTGGCCACTACACCAAAACGGTAGAGATTAAGCCCCTGCCAAGGCGTTGTACCTGGAAGCAATTGACGATGGGAGGATAGTCTTTGCTCCAGAGAGAGTAAGGGGCAAAGGGGGCAACGTACTCGTAGTCGTCGTCCACACTACTATCCCACCTACCGGTGATACTACCGAGGCTGCTATGACCCCACAGAAGAAGAAGTTGACGTTGGCTGGGCCTGGCGTAGCCGCAACGGGCAGCCCACGCAATCGAAAGCCTCTCGGGGCCACCGTTCACGTCTCCCGAGTCAATGAGGCTTGGTACGGTGATGGCGATATGAGTTGAGCTCCACAGTTTGTACTCATGCGACGAACTGCCATCATGGCTATGGCACTGACGCGGTTCGTGGGGGAGGGATGTTGACCTTGACCGTAGATCAGAATGTCATCTCGTCGAGTATAATAACCCAAGGTCGAAGCCACCGAGAAACCAGAAAGAAGCTCTTCACCAGCATCACATTCACTCTTCACCAACACACCTTTCGCTTTCACTTCCAACAATACCCTCTTGTTCACTTCGACAAATCGTATAAACACCTTCTTTAGCAAAGCTTTCCATCGTCACCTCTCACAACAACCGCAACAATGCGTTTCTCAACCGTCGCCTCCGGCCTCGCCCTCCTCTCCGGCGCCGTTGCTCACCCCGGCCACGATCTCACCGAGGAGATTGCCGAGCGCCGCGCTTTCTTGAGCACCATCAAGCGCTCCAACCTTGCCCACTGCGCCGACAAGCTCGCTGCTCGCGGTGTCACCGCCCGCAACGTCGCCCGCCGTACCGCTCAGCTTAACCAGGCCCGCCAGAAGCGCAGCATCAAGCGTGATGCCGACTCCGTCCTCGCCGAGAGCCACAACTCCACCGAGCTCGGCTACACCCTGAACACCGACGCCGCTACTCTCTTCTCCGGCAACAACTCTTGCGTCTTGACCCCCGAGGTTACCCAGGGCCCTTACTGTAAGCCATCAACCAACAAGCCACTTTCCCTTTCGATCATTAACTAATAGCTTCTCATAGACGTCTCTGGCGAGTATGTCCGCCGCAACATCATCGAGGAGCAGGAGGGTGTCGACATTGTCCTTGACTACCAGGTCATTGACGTCGACACTTGCGAGCCCGTCCCCAACGTCTACCTCGAGATGTGGCACTGCAACTCCACCGGCGTCTACTCCGGCATCGTCGCCTCCGGCAACGGTGACTCCTCCGACACGACCAACATCGACAAGACCTGGCTCCGCGGTATTCAGGAGACCGACTCCGACGGTGTCGCTCAGTTCGAGTCCATCTTCCCCGGTCACTACACCTCCCGTGCCACCCACATCCACTTGATGGTCCACCAGAACGCCACTGTCTACGCCAACAACACTCTCGGCAACGTCATCACCGCCTCCCACGTCGGCCAGACCTTCTTCGACCAGGATCTCATCTCTGCCGTCGAGGCCTTTGCCCCCTACAACACCAACACCCAGGAGCTCACCACCAACGCGGACGACTCCATCCTGAGCGAGGAGGCTGCCACCGATGGCGTCGACCCTGTCATGGAATACACCCTTCTTGGCGACAGCATCACTGACGGCCTCTTCGCCTGGATGGCCTTCGGTATCAACACTACCCAGGCCCAGACCATCACCCCCGCTGCTTCTCTCTACGCCGAGGGTGGTGTTGCCAACTCCAACTCTGGCGGCGGTGGCGGTGGCTCCCCCCCTAACGGCACTGCTCCCGGCGGCGCTCCCGGATCTGCTTCTTCTTCCGTTGCCACCACTTCCGCTGCCGCCTCTACTGATGCCGCTACCTCTTGCTAAGCGCATCACTGTCTGCTTGGAACATTTGATCGATCGAGTCGCAAACATGCATAAGTAAGCGTTGCGCTGCAGTTGCCCACCGAGCTTTTCTCGGGGCATTGGTTGTCTTAGGAATCTGCATATAGAACCGGCGTTGTTATTTAGCTCTTGTATATCCCAAAATCTCTTTGTACATTCTACCAAATCAAACATTACATTGCTGGTAAATAGTTCCCATTATCTTCGCAAGTGATATCACTCTTCATTCCGACGCTTTCTCGACTCTCTATCTCTAAGCCTTTCGACTAACTGCCTTTTGACCTCGGCGAAGATCTAGTTAAGACATTGGCTTCTGAAGTTTGAGAATAATGGCATTCGTTCAATACATCTGTGCGCTCGTGTTTAAAAAGTTTGTTCAGTATTTTATTTGATTTACATTGTCTACGCTGTGCACTTGGATAGTGGCGCTTGATTCATGCGTGTAGTCCTCACTCATGCGGTCGGCGTAGGCAAGCATGAACATGCCGAGCTCACTCGCGAGATGACATTAGTCGGGCATGCCTCGGAGGCATAAGCAGGTACAACCGCAACATCGGCAATGACAGTCTTCGTGAACTCGCCGCAGAATTTCTGGCTTTCCTCCAACCGACCCGGAACGCTGGACGCTCTCAGGGCTCGCAGGCAGTTGTCCGCACTGCATGTCTTGGGCTTGCAAGCCTCCTTCTTCGTCATCTTGACCAAGTACGCCCCACGCTCGATCGTATTAACGAAAATAAAGCCCGACTTGAAGTAGGCGTAG